CACTACTAATTGTAAACTATCAAACAGTGCCAGTGTTTTGGGAAAGGTTTAACTCTCGTACTGAGATGCAAAAAGCAAATTCAAATTCAAATTCAAATAGCCAACTCTAATCAAAGACCACGATTTGGCTGACGTCTGACAATGGATTCACTCGGGTACATGGATCGTCACGTCAACCATGTCTATCCGGAAATTCAATTGCGATGAGAGCCATGCTGTACCTTGACAGCGACCGTCAAAAAGTGATAGGAGACCGGAAATGCCAGAAACTTCAACTCTCTGAGATCTCAATGTGATCCGGCCCTTAACCATAAGAAACAAAACGCCAGATCCCGAGTGCTTAGACCATCTACAGTACCACAACCTTGGTTGTCCGTAGACAGTAAAAAGTGGACTTCGGGAATCGCAGTCGAGGAAAGCTAAAGTCTTTCAGAGTTCAACAGTCGCGCTTTTTGGTCTGAACTCTCAGGCAGAGGCCTGTATCTCGTAACTCTACTCCACAAATCTAGGTAGACAACGGCCGATAACGCAAAATGGAGAATACTACTGGTAGCTTTCGCAAACAGTCTCTGATTGAGAACCACCTACTGGGGCAGGTAGTGACATTGACGAGTGCAACTCTCCCTAAGTCTGCGCCTTTCTTTTCACCAAAAGTGCATCACTCGGCCCCCCGAGGCTGTTCTCCGCATCGCGGGATATGTCATCAATGATTGCTTTCCAAGCCAACTCTCTCCGAGTCCCATCCAAAAGTCCATTTGGTGCTGACGGACGGCACGCCTGATGTGCTCGAAACGAGACACAACAAGCTCAACCGGATTCGCTAGGAACCGAGCTCATGCGTGCATCGAGGGCTGGTCGGCCTTGCGCCCTATAAGGGGCATTTCTTGCGTGCGCAGATGTGTACCACCAGATCTGTGATCGGCAGGGAAGTTGCTAAGTACCGGGTGTTGAGGGGGGACTTCCTGATCCGTCTAGCATGTAAGACGACGATGGTACTTTTCTTACCAACCTCAGCCCGTGCCTGCCTTTGGGGACAAGGTACAGAGTTCTCGCGATTGGATCGTTCTCTGGTCGTTCTTCTTCACCGCGATGATACACTCGAGGCAATGCGGCATTGATTCGTGACCGGGCCAAGTCAAAGCCACTATTAGTACGACAGAACCTACCTTGGGATGACCATGCGCGAGTTGCGCATGACTAGTATTCGGTAGTGCAGTTGTACCCAGGCATTTGGAGAGACATTGCTCCCTGAATTGTCATCCTGAAGTTGGTAGCCTTGGATGTACCCACACACAATCGACCAGGCTGGCGAAGCAGCAAGGCGCCAGAGAGGACGGATTTTGGCCGTCAAGCCCTGACCCTCCTGCCTAGCGATGCCGCTGACTCATCTCTCGCAAATTGAACTTGAACTTGAAGTTGGTAGGCGAGTACTCTTTCTGCAGATGCGCATACCTATCCAGGTAGGTAGCGATCGCTTGTGCCTGCCTACCTCTTGGTACGGAAGAAATCCGTCCATCGTGATCGACAGCTATGAAGCTGAAGTCGGAACCTGGAAACTGGAGCTGAAGCTCTCAGTTGAACTGTGCGTCCCGTGACCATGTGCGCGTGCACTCGCCAGGGCCGACACGAGACAAAGAGGGTGTGAAGAGATGCGACAAGGCTGCCTGAAGAGACAGCTCGAGAACCATCGTGTCAACAAGTTGACATGACTTGGCAGTCTTCGAATACGAGCCCTCGTTTCTGACACCTGTTTGGACCCCTCGTACTGCCTGTTTCTAAAAAGGGTGTGCAACAATATCCGAATTGACTCATTGACAGGTACTTTGTTTTGTGTGCGCCTTGCAACAAAACTCTGCTGCCTGTTTGATAGACCGGATAGTCTCTCCGGACCTCGTAGTTGTTGTAAGTCCCAACAGACGATCCTGTTGAATGAGAATGGACCCCTTACCTACCTGGCCCAGCTGAGGCAAGCCACGACCTAGGATTCCATGCATCCCTTCACATTGAAAGGGGGACGAGACAGGTGTTTTCCAACTACTTTCCTCTCGTGCCCCTGACATAAAATTCTCCTTGTTTTGCTGGCCGAGGATGTCCACCTGCGGCCTGCGTTGCCTGGCTCGATTTGAAACTCACCTTCCCACACAGGCAGGACGAGCAGGTGCCTGTCAAACATGGGTTTCTTGGCTTGGAGACGGACGGGCCATGTGGTATCTTGTGTCTACCGAGGGCCTTCATGCGGGGTTTGGGTGTCACTTTCCTTCAAAGCCACATCTCTTGTGCGAATAGTCGGCTGGATTTCAGACTCGAAGCGCCAAAGCCCACGTTTAGCGGCTTTGCCATTGTTGATTCTTGGAGAACATGCTAGAGGGCCCCCCGACTCCCCGAGTTTTGAATCATGAACTGGCTCATCTGACCATCACTGAGAGGCCATCTATCCATTGAACGGAGAGCCTTTGTTCCTATGTGTCAAGGGACTCCAGGCTCGAAAGAAACTCCCCCTTTAGACTCTCCATCTTTACAAATAGCAATCGACGCCAGAAATGGGTTTTTTACCTAAACGCACACCCTTTTTCTTCTCACTCCTCGACTCCGAAACCAAATCTTTACCTAAAATTTTAATCACTGGGGTTCACTAGTGCCGCAGCGATCCGATGTTGGGTCCGAACTCCATCCTTCTGGATGATCTTGCACGATTCTGGGATAGCGTACCACATTGGGCGGGTCGCTCAACCTAAACCTTCCCTCGGGCGGTTTTAGTGATTCTGGGGGACTTTTTCCTGGGGTTGGGTTTCGTTAAGCGGGGTTGGACTCCGTCCCCCCTCAGTCCTGGAGGCGATTGAATTTTCTCCCTTTCATCTTGCTTTTTCCACGGACCGCTGAAAGTGGAATCACTAGCACTTGTTCTAGGATACAATTAGGTAGTGTCTTTGAGCTGGCGCTTTATTTATGCACTATGCGAAGTACTGCACATATCGAAATGGGTCCAGGAGTGGACAACGAATGCATGGCTACACTCCATAGTGGTATATTTCCTCTGCATGCAGTACTAGGTACAGACACACGTAGGACCAAGAGACCAAGACTCAAAACGCAAGGCTTTTCCTTCTCTCTCCAAGTCCTGAGACTGTCGGCGAATTCTAAGGTCCGTTGTCCGGAACAGTGCAGGCAGTATTTTTGCCTCCTCTTCGGAGTACGAACACCACTCCGCAGGTTGTAGGCGGACGCTGTATGTGTACGGATAGCCGCCGTTACGTTCGCATCAGTGTCTGCGTGATAGGCGAGCTGAACTTTTGAACGCCATCAGCAAGAAGAAATCTCCCTCCGACATACGTATCCGGGTCTTGCTTCGGCTGAGGTGAGAGTCCGCCGTGATTTAAATCTCTGCATCCTCGCCAACGCCGACTTCCTGCAGAGTTGCAGTGCATACGTGATTGCACTTGTTGTTGGCGATGGCGAACGGCGACGAGTACCTCGTACACCCCTACCGATAGTTTTAGTCAAACGGGCGGTGCTTGCGATCCCACTACCAAACTCAGTTGCACGATCTGGATGGCTCGACTCCGGATTCATCCTCGTTGAAGCGACGATTCTTTTCGGTTCATCGAACCAGATACGAGGCATGTCACAATTTCCCTTAGGTCGGTCGGCGTCTCCTGGTGTTAAGCGAAAGTGAAAGCAAGTGCCCGTCCTCTAGTACGAATCTGATTAGGACCAAACCAAGTCCTTTGAGAACACCCCACACTAACCAGGAAAGCGTTAGATTACTCAAGACAGCGCGCAGAAAGAAAGCCCCCTTCGTCCTGGCCTACCTTGATTCAGCTCGGATGGTCGAATTTGGGAAAGCCTCGTACTCGTTCGTGGAACTCGGTGGAGTCTGCGTTGACAGAAAAAAGATGGGTGTTACAGTTGTCAAGAGCGCACGCCTCAATCACGAGCTTCACGTTTTCGTTGTCCATGTTGTCGACAATTCAGAGGGAGATGGCCATTCGTAGAATCAGAGGCTCGCTCGCCGTCAGGAATGCTGAGGGCAACGCCGAGATGACATTCGCCTCGACTTCATCAAAGTATCCGTACTGCTTGAGCAAGAACCCTCCCTAGCCGACTAGTAAGCAGCTTGGGTTATTCTCCTTATCGAAATGTAGCGGCGGTTAATTCGAACCGATATCCTGACCCCATATTATCCATAACGGTGTTAAAATCTCCTTTCGAATATTGACGTCAACCTACTCAGTACACCCACTGGTGATTCAGGCAGCCACAGGCCCACAGCTTGACACTGGGCATGCCTTCACGTAGATACCGCGGACGAAGCACAAGTAGTCGTACTCTGTCCAGCGATGACCTTTCGGTTCTGTGAGCATCCCTACCCCGTACAAAAGTACCTTTGCATTGAATCGCAGCCTTGTTTGATGACACCCCCTTTTGGATAGCGCAACAGATAGTGTGCATCGCACAGTTTCCCTCGTTCGAAGGGCTCGTCTTTGCAATTGCGTAGATGAAATGATCCATCAAGCTGGTAGATATCTCTTTATGCATGTTGCTATCGCTTGGCATCCTTCAACGATTAACGCTCCGGCAAATAACATTCAGTATTGTACGCTTCGCACTTCACAAGAAGCAGGTGTTGAATCCAGCTAAGTGACATGAATTTCCTTCGCATGCTTCATGTCGCTTGGTCTCTTCGACCTGTATCGCTCCATGCGATCTAGTCTGGCTCTCAGATCACCCGATCAAAACGTCCGTTGCCTCCTCGAATTGAAGGTTCCTGGATCTGGGCTAACCCAACGCGACATGCTCACTGCACTGCTGGATCGTGGTGCACAGTGCGTTCCTTGCCATGGTCCGCATAAACCTTGGGAGAGAAGATACTAATTGGAAGAGCATTCGTCTCCATGAATCGGAAGATACTCAGCTCTCGAGGTCGACGTATGACCGACAAATAGGGCCGAGGCCGCTTCGAATATCAAGAGTCATACTCAAGGTTAGCGTTCATCCCAACATCATGCCGCTTCTAGTGGTTTGATATCCGGTCGATCAAAGGTGGACGGCCCCGTAATGACTCTGATGAGGATCTCAAGAGGGACGCAAACCTGGTGGTACCACCAGAAAGGCAATGGGTCGTCTATGCTGTACGAATCGTTGGTCCAATGGAGAAGACGATCGACCAACGATGCCAAGCTTTTGAGAAAGCTCCTGGGACCGACTTTAAATGTGAGTAAATGTCTCAAGGGTGTGACTGCCAGTGTATGCACCATTTGACCAAAGTTGTAGACCCCAAAGGTCTCGAATACCGGGAAAGACACACCGTCATCTGAAACATAATATGGATAAGATGATGCGACGTCTGTTGTCGGGTTCTCCTTCGGATCTGCAGATTGTAAACAAGCCAGGTAAGCGCGAGTCAGTTGTGCGGATCCTGCAATACCTCGAAACAACAGAGTGTTTACGTCGGCTTGCGTGGAAACATCCACTGGAAGAATGGTTTTGACAACGCCAGTTGCTGTCACCCATTCCTCGACGCGGAAGTCCATATTTAGGTGAATGGTAAGGTTGCAACCTTGGCTTTTCACGAGTGACGAGACAAAACGGAGCATCGATTGGCTCAATGCCGAATCTGGGTCGAGGAGCTGAAATGATGAATTGTCTGTTGAATAACTGGCCACGAATGCTTTGATCTCCCCTCTTACTGTTATGGCAAACGTGGAGTATTTTTCCATCTCGTCGGTATCTTGCTCCAGCACCCATGGAGAACTTTGGGTAATGTTGATTCGGGAAACCAAGTTGTAAGTTTGGCTCAGGGTGCGTCTTGGTAGACGAGCCCTGATCCTCGAATTGTTTGCTTCCTGCTTGGTAGTCGCATGCAGCAAGTATTTTCTTTGACCATGTGACCTGTTCAAAACCTTGTGAAGCTCATCCCTGGATCGGACCTGGTGGACTTCTGGCACTGGAAGGCCTAGACTTTGCATATATGACAAGAGTTTGTCCTTGCGGGCAAAGCACGGAGCGTCATCAAGGCTGAGAGCAAAGCAGCGGCATGTCGTTATTCGTTCGATCCTCGTCCTGACCTGAGATTCGAGGTCGGGGTCGGCGTTGGTGATGCAATTGAGCCACAAGTCCACTCGTTCCTTCTCGACGATCTCGGTCACATGATTGACATATTCGCTTCGCCTACCCTCAACAGAGGGCACTCTCAAGGGGTAAAATCTGTGCACCGCCCTGGAGAAGCGGGCAGGAGTGGGAAGGCCAGATTCGTAGTCCAACCCTATGACATTATGCCCGGTGTCATGAAAAGCTCCTGCCAATCGTAGACCTTGTGGGGTGTTGACACCAGTCAAGAGAACGGTTCTGGGGCCAAACCCTCGAGTCGTTCTCAGACGGCGACGGATAGAATGTCGCGGGAAGAGGCAGATATACAGATAGTTGACCACCAACAGAAATGTTGAGATTGGTAGAATTGTGACAGCTATGGCAAGTAAGGGTAGATCCCAACTTCTGATGCGCACCGCCATGACGCGTAAATTAATATAATTGTCGATATGTATAAAGCCTTGTCTACAACTACTAACAGGGGTCTGCTAGAGTTGCATAGCCCAATGAAGACATGTTAATTGCAGAATAATAGTAGTCTCTCTAACAGACGAAGAACTAATTCGATGAATCCAATGCGGTGATGGGAGGCAGCCACATGCCAGTACACCTCTCCAACGATGACGTTCTGTTGAAAACCAGTCACTGTCTAGTACCTCTCTGTAGGTAATGATGACGAGATGAAGTGCGCCCGAGGAGCTTTAACTGTCCTCAGCTGGTTAGCACCTATGTCGTATAGGCGAGATCTGGGCGTTGTTCGGTCACATCTCGGCTAAGGAGGCGCCCAGAGCTTTAACTGGAGCATACAGCTTCAACAAGCTTCAAGTGGCACCCACTAGCTGCTCTCGACGGAACACCATCCCGAATTTTGATTGTCTGTGCTCCACGTCATCCAATAACATCTTGTCGCTCCCGTTTCGCGACGGCCTGCCCAGCTGAAGGACGCGCAAGAACCACAGATTGCTGAGGAAACTCGGGTTAACAGATGGCATGTTCCATCTGTCACTGTTTTCCCTTTGATTCTTTCTCTCCTCGATAGTATACAGCAACTGCGCATTCGTGTTATCAGAATCCCTCAGCTCTGTGACGCGACGGAGGTCGACACTTTCAATCATGGCGTATCAAGGTCAAGCGGCGGATTATTACAACAACAACAATTACCAACTTATTGATAGTCCTCCACACAATCAGACTGGGTATCAATCATATCCTCCACCATCAACCGCGCCTCCTCAGAACAATGGCCAAAACCAGCAACCTTATCAGCAACCATACCTGCAACCACACCAGCAGCAGCCACCAAACGATGGCCCAAAATTCAATCAGCAACCTCCCACCTATGGCCAGAACTTCGCCCCTCCCCAGGACAACAAACAGAGCTTTCAAGACACGTTCAAAATCCCGAAGCCCAAGTACAATGATCTATGGGCAGGCCTACTGGTAAGCAGTCAAACAAAAAGACATATCCTCGACCATTGCGATACTAACTCGGTGCCCATCCTATAGTTTCTTGCTACTTTCTGTGGCTTCGTGGCGGTCTCAGGTCTCACTCTCTACCGATATTCCAGGTACCACTCATTCAATGGAGGAGGAATCTATGGTTCAGCCAATGACTTTTCCTTGGACACCAACACCATAATCCTTTTCGCCTTCGTTCTTGCTGTTGGCTTTGCTGTCTCGTGGGCCTATTTCCTCTCGGCGCGTGCTTTCACCAAGCAGTTCATATGGATCACCGGAATCCTCAATTGTGTGCTAGCGGTTGGCACGGCCGCCTACTACCTATATCGACGACTTTGGAGTGCCGGAATCATCTTTGCCATCTTTGCCATCTTCGCTATCATCTGCTTCATCAGCTGGATTCCGAGAATACCCTTCACGGTAGTCATGATGCAGCAGACCATGGACGTCGCTCGTATGAAGCGAGTTCACGTTTTCCTCATCAGTTTGATCGGTGGAATAATCACTGTTGCCCTTTCGGCTTGGTTCTCAATCACTCTGGTTGCAATTTATGTTTCATACATGCCAGGCAATTCCAATAGCAATGCGAACCCAGCTTGTGCGGATGGTGGATGTTCCAGCGGGAAAGTCATTGGTCTGGTTGTATTTGTGACCTTCGCCGGATATTGGATTTCAGAATGGCTCAAAGCCACCATTCACACTACAGTCGCAGGCACTTATGGGAGTTGGTATTTCTGCGCTGGCAAGCCTGGAGGCATCCCGAAAGGAGCCACCGCCGGTGCTCTCAAGCGTGCCACAACCTACTCATTCGGGTCAATTTCTCTCGGTAGTCTTTTGGTCGCAATCATCAACATGCTTCGTCAAATTTGCAGCGTGGCCCAACAACAATCATCTGCAGATGGAAACATCATTGGAACCATCATGTTCTGCGTCTTGGGATGTCTCATCTCGATACTACAATGGGCAGTCGAGTTTATCAATCGATATGCCTTCTGTCACATCGCGCTATACGGAAAGGCATACATCGCGGCCGCCAAGGACACCTGGAAGATGATGAAGGATCGGGGTTTTGATGCAATGGCAGCAGATTGCCTGGTCGGACCTGTCATTTCCATGGGTTCGCTTTTCGTCGCGTACCTTACTGCCCTACTTGCCTACCTCTACCTGGAGTTCACCAAGCCGGCCTACAACGATGGCCGCACGTTTACACCAGTCATTATGGCATTCTCGTTCCTGATTGGTCTTCAAATCTGCCAGGTTTTCATGACTCCGATTTCATCAGGAGTCGAGACCATCTTTGTCGCGATGGCTTGGGACCCTCAGGTACTCATGGTAGACCATCCTGAGTTCTACGAAAGATTGATGCATGTTTATCCACAAGTACAACACATGATTCAAAGTGTGTGATGTTGACGTCTGCCAATGGTGGTTGGTTCAGGCAGACCTGAGCCGCTAGTGGTGCCCTACTTGATCATGCGAGGCGTGGTTCTCCTTTGTCGTTAGAATATTCTTTGTCCGATCGATAGCGATAGCGTTTCAGATGGTTCAAGCCTCGATATTATGGCCACTCAGTCAAACCTGGATTTTCAGGTTTCCGCTCTGTGCATGTGAACTTCGTGTCCTACCATTTTTGTAATATGACTCATCGAGCGGAGCCTTCTGCCTGATTCACCAGTAAGAACACATCAAGTCAAAGAACCGGTAAGCCTAGGTCGCTCAGCCCTGAATCAAAGTCTTCAAGGCCCCATCATAGGCGCCTTGAGTATTGTCTCCAGATATCTAACACGATAGCGTTCTTGAGTACTGATGACTGGACCGATTTTGTCGCAACCGAAGTCTCTGGATACCATCATCAAAACGCCATGCCAGAATCAGAACCTTTGTTCAGCATTTCGGGCAGCGACTGCCTCAAAAAACCAAGAAAATGCCAATTCACGAGAATGTATGTTACACGCGGATTTGTCGCAGGAGCACTGGCGGCAGACACATGTGTCCCCTAATGCGCCGCTACACAGAAACTAGGACCCAAGACACCCAGTGGCCCACGACTACAAGATCATGTGGACATCGATGAAAGACGCTTCTAATTATCGAGTCCTATGAGATGCCGAATTTGCGATCAGCACTGTCAATTCTCTATGATGGCCAAGGGATTTCTGCGTGGACTATCTTCTCACACAATCATTCGTTGCCTGATTTTCCCATCTACATCACTTATGGATCACAGAACGAGGTTGCCTGACGCTCAAGATGTTCATTGCTCAAGTCAGAGGCAGCAGTCTCCATTTAGCAACCCAAATTAGTGCTTCTGTCCTGTTGTGGCATTACAGCAGCAGATTTGCCAGCGTTCTCATTAGATCCTTGACACGAGATGCTGCCTGACACTACACCGAACTCCTGGTCACCGACCCAAAGGCCACTGGCATTGGCCTTCCTTTCTGCCTACCTAGGTGCGTTCTTTGGCGTGTTCTCCGGCTGAGGTCAGCCGAAAGATGATTCCCGGGTATGGGGCATTGAGGCAAGTCACAAATTTCTGCGGATAAAGTCATCACTAAACACATTTACCTGCGAGACCACCTTTGATCAGTGATGTCTGTGGTCCAAAGAGAACCGGCGACTGTGCTCCATGACGCCGAAAGTATATGGTTGTCGATGTGGAAACCTACCTCTTGATCTTCAGTTACTGCGCACGAATATGGTTGCTGGCTTACGACCCTGCCACTCAGCGGATGTCAGAATTCGTTGATCATCCAGGTGCCTTTTTCAGCTACTAATCGACCGTATAATCGTTGAGCATGGCGGGCGACAGGCTAGGAAATACTGTTCGTGATCCACGAATTCTGTCATGCACTGGGTGTCTGCCGGACAGCGGATCAGCAGAGATCACTCGAACGCCCAATGTCAAAGGAGTACTAGACGGTACGACATATCCCAATAGCTTCAAAGCTCGGCCGGCTGGACCCAGCATGTGAGCCCAGATTATGGCTTCTGCCATACTAGCGGAGGTGTCAAGTGCCACAGGACATGGACAACATTCCAAACGACCGCGTCAGCACCCCATATCAGCATTGTTTTGGGCCATGAAACGAGGCGCAGTGTGAGACTGACCAACTATTCCCACGAATCTAGAAGATGGATTATCTTGTCATTCAATGGGCCAGAAAGTACTGATTGTGTCCAGGTGCCCTCCAACCAAAGCCACTCGTCGGATATGATCATTCTGGGACACGTGTGGCCTCACAACGCATACGCATATCAACAGATCTGTAAGCTGCCGGTCCATGTTGACGGCTAAGTTTAGTGAGTATCGGTTGTTGAGTCCATTCCGAGACGTGCGACACAAAATCGGAAGTTGATTCAGCCACCCCCAAAAACTTGCAACAAATTCTCAATCGACTATCGTGGTGCATCATGGCAATGTCAGAATGAACAATGGCATGCTTGTATAGGACTGAGATAAGTTTCCAGTATCTAAAGTCACGATGAGCAGGATATACTCAAATCCAGGGATCTTCTGCGTAATGCAACGCGTGGCTTTAAATATGCATCTAGCTAGCACTGAGACAGGGATATCGTAATCAACGCTTATCGCGGTGGCTTACATGTCACCACTCGTATCCGTAGTCTGTGCAACAGCTGGAACGTCACGTCTAAATAGCTCTGCTTTGCTTCTGAAACATTGTCGCTTTGCGGAGTATGAATGTTTTGAAATCGTACAAGTTCTCATACGTAGATTGTTTACGACCTGATGGCAGTATATAGGTATGTGTGATAACCGTTTGAGCTCTCCTTTCGGCATTGCCACCACCCGGATAAGCCAGGCACTGCGCCCCATCCTTCTTACCAACTGGAGATAGTAGTATGGTTGTGTCCACGACAACTCAAACTCCGAGGATGACGATGACGATGATGATGACCTATCGGAACGCAAAACTGTGAGACGATCTTTGTGATTACGCCCGGACCTCAAGGAATCCATGGCTCTCAAAACTCAACTATTCTTGGGAGCAGTCTAATCCTATCAACCCATTGAGGGGGCCATTTATGTTCCAAAAGAGCCTTCGTGCAATGGAATTCGCCTGAACCTTGGGGCGACCAAGCCCATCCACGAATCGCAGTGGGATCAGCATCCGAATTAAGTTCGGGCATGTGGACATGAAACACAGCTAACTAGGCTGATCAGGCACACACACAGCACCACTGGCATGCAAATACACCAAGTCACTATTCAAGGACGACGTATGAGGTTGATGATTTGTTCGAAGCATAAACCATGCATTAAGCAAGACCCGGAGCGGAGCTCTAACCCTGTTTCGTGTCCCGAGGCATGGCCATGGCATGGCACTTTGGTGAGAGGGATTCGTTCCTGCACGAGGTATCAGACAATCAAAGGTCCCGGTCCCCATGTCCTACCATCCACACGCTGACCTCCCTTGCCCTATAGGCAATTCCTACGCCAATGACTGTGCAAGTGAGTCACATTATCCTGTCCCGAAAGGATACGGTATGGTAGTGATCATGTGGCCTCCCTTCTGCCTTGTCCCGCGGGGCGGGACTAAGGCTTTCTCTAGCACAGCAGGCTTCCACCACCACGCTCTGCAGGCAGACGGCCTAATCGTTAGCCATCTCAAAGTATATCTATCTACACTAGCGACCCAAGAGTATATGGCCGACTTCTTGAGGCTCTGACTCGCCTCAATGTGGCGTTCTGACAGCCTATTCGACCACGATTTCGCCTCCGTATTTTTCGGTGGCTCATCTGGCACTGGGCCGAGACGGGTATGAGTCTTCCTTCTCTCTCTTTCGGTGCACAGCCTTGCATATTAGGCAGATCCCTGTCGTTCCCTCCGTGCCTACCCTAAATATATATGGAGTTTGCCCCAGGTATAGTAGTCACCATTCGTGTCGAGAACAGAGCCTTACTCTTCCCTCAAGATCACCTTCCAGCCCCCACCAACCTCAGATCGAACTTACTCAAACACAATGATTGTGCGGACTAGCAACTACCCATATTCACCACGCAGTGAAAGCGATTTAGCGTCTACCAATACATCACCAGAGATCAAGACGTTACATATCACTATGGCGGACGAGGAAAACGTCCCACCAAATCTGATCAACACCAAATTCAACCGGGTACAAGGCGCTGTAAGGCGGGCACGATCTCCTCCTCGCAACGAACACAACCAAATGTACTGCGACCATGTTAATTGCGACGGCAAGAACCAGACTTTCAAAAGAGTCTGCGAGTGGAATAAGCATATGGATCGACACGAACGTCCTTACAAGTGCCGCGAGGCTGGTTGTGAGCTGAACCCCGGGTTTACTTACTCAGGTGGGCTCCTCAGGCACCAGCGTGAAGTGCACAAGATGCACTTGTCAACGAAAATGCCGCTTTTCTGCCCCTTTGAAAACTGCAATCGAAGTTCAGGCACTGGATTTACCAGGAAGGAGAACCTTGAGGAACACAAGCGACGTCGCCACCTGGAGGAGATGTCGGATCATGCGGCCTCATCGAATCGAGGTTCTTCTCAGCCCCCTGCTCCCACTCAAGCTTCAACGCACAGCCACCAACAGCACCAACGGCAGGCAACACAGGAGCCAGTGTACAAACGCAGACGGATAGCGGCGGAGACAGACACAAACGACACTCTCCAGCAGTATCGACTGGAGCCTAACAACACCATTCCACTCTCATCCTCGACGCTGGTGGCGACAACAGTCTCAATGGACGACCGGCCCCGCAGTCCCGGCGGCAACCTCGTGACTGTGCTATCCCACCAAGAGGAACTGGTGCGGCACCTTCAAGCGGAGCTCCGACGTAAAGACGAAGTGATTGTGCAGCATGTCACAGAATTGCATAGGCTCCAGAGTATCTTACGCAATTTGCCACCACAGACAGTCTACAGCGTCGGCGTCATGCATTCGAGACAGCGTGGCGGAGGTGTTGGTTGAGAGGGAAGAAGAGGGAAGAGAAGATCCGGAACCGGAAGGCCTGCAGAGAACGAGCATGACGACATGAAATTGCTTTTTTGTTTTTTTCCTTATGTCTTGTAACGACTGGAGTGGCGCATTGTTGTTTTGTTTCGTCTTGTTTTGATATGGATTGGACGTGTGAAAGCGAATGGGAAGAGGAGGGAAGACAAGAGAATGGAACAGAATGAATGAATGGCTATCGTGATTCATCACCACGAACCGCCACCCGGCGGCATCTCTCTTCAGCACAAGAACACGGTCGCTCGCTACTCAGGGCATTTCTCATATAACTACCTAACTCACCACTACTACTATTGCTACTGCTGCTACACACTATGATAGAAACCCATGTATGTATCAAACACAGAACTCTACTACCTACCTAATCAAATCAAATCAAATCAATCCTGCACGGTCATCATTGGCCTACATCGAATATGAACTATCAATTAAGAGTCATCGCTTTCCCACTAGTAACAAGTTAAAGTAACTGTATGTCCTTCATTCGGGGTGGTTAGTTACGAGTCTCGCGTATCTCGCCAGGCACAGGCAACAACTTATGTCCCAAGGCCAGTTCTACTCATAATGAGAGGACGAGTGCCTGTGCCTGGCGATCGATGGCTGGATAGACGGATGGCGGAAAATTGAAAATTCGCCATCCGTCCGTCGTGGAGCAGTAGCCTGTTGTACGTATGTAGGCATGTTTGCGAATCGACACGCGGAGTTTGGAGTTTGGAGAATGCTGGACGCGGATTTCCATGATACGTAACTAGGTACCTAACATAGGGGGAGATGCACTAGTTTACGAGGGTTACGAAGTGCTATACGGATAATAGGATACGAACGATCCGTGGGCGTGGAACTTCGTAGGTAGTTAAAACCGCGAAACTTCTAGGCGTGACCAGGCTGCAGTGCCTCAGGCAGGAAAAATCTCGCACCGCGTTCAAGTTGCTTCGTAAGTTGATCGCCACTCACCCAATCGCTGGGCCTGGGCCTAGACCTCGGTCGAGAGAAACCGGTTCTGGCGCCTTGGCGCGAAGACCCTGAGTGGTCGACTCGTCATGTGACCTCGTTCGTGTTTTTTGCCCCCCACTCAGGCTCAGGCTCTTCCCAACTTTTTTGAAAAACTGCACGTGCCTGTGCCTCGGTGTTAACTTGAGTGGCTGCCATCATCCATGGAAGGGGCTGAGCCAGCCTTTCCAGCGTGCATCAGGGTCAAGTTTCGATGGACGCGTCGTGGTCCCCGAGGCTGCATGTACTGGGTCTCATTTGACCAGGTGTCCAAGATGCTCCGGCTGTGAAACCTTTTGTCATTATTCAAGGTTGTTTCTGTTCAGCATCACCGACTTTCTTTTACGAGGCGATGGTTGGATGTTCCTTCTTCGATCGACCTGGAAATGTCTGGAAAACTGGGATCACACGACCTCTTTCAGTGGTGGCTGTGCTGATCTGCGCACAGTTCTGAATCAATCGAAAGGTTTGTGCTGGTTCCTGCTTTGTCCTGTGGTCTTGTGCGTTCTGGCCCGTGGTCCAATTGCTTTGCAGCAACAAGTCGCCAATTGTAACGCTTTCGTTGTACGTATACACTAATGTGAGAGTCTGTAGAAACAGTAGGACAAGCCTCCCCGTTCAGCTGCCAGCCGTATAATTTCTTCATTTATGGTTTGCCCACCATAAGACAACATCATTCGTGGACGCGTATTCTCCCAGTCAGCTCTGGGAAGGCGTTCAGAAAGTCACGACTGACGCTCCAGTTGTCGTATTCGAGAACATGTTCAATAAATTTGGGTGTCAGCTTTCTTGTGTTGGTAACAGGGTCATGCGCAATAGCTGCGTTGAGATCATGTGGCCAGTTCACGGACCAATTCGTGCTCTTTAGCTGTGAGAGCCAATCCCGCATATGGTGTATCAGGGCATCTCGTAGTGGGCCTCTACTCAGGTGTATCAGCTTTGGCTTGTCACTCAGGGAGTCTTCATAGTTGTGCCGACTTACAAGGGCAATATTTCAATTGCGCCGATATGAGGGATCATGCGTTGAGATGGTGTCGGCTTCATCATATCAGGAATTTTGGCGTAGGCCGCCTGCGTTGGTGATAATAGCCACTGAATCGAAAATGTCAGTATCAAAGCCGGTATCTTTTCATGTATCGTTGCAACTCACCCGCATCATCAGTGTCAGCATATAAGCACTGGCCATGCGAACATAATCGTCTAATATTGGGAGCGCACGACAAACCTCGCATGCCCATGAGGCGCAGTCAAATTTGTCATTCCCGGTACGAGATCGAAAGAATAACTCAAGGGACACTTCGTCGTTGTCGCCCAAAACATCCGTGAACGAAGTCCCTGACTTGAGCATTTGCTTCGCCCCTTCCACATAGTCTGTGTACATATTACTCAGGTAGGAATCATCAGGAATTATCAATGGGAGAACGAGATGAATCGGAATTCTGAGCTGGACCATCATATTATCCTGGGCGATGCTCAGGTCCGAAGCGTTCCCTGCTCGCTGCTTAGATGGTGGTAAGTTAGTGGATTCCACATAAAGGGAGGTAGGCGATTGTAAGGATCCCGACAATGACTGTGGGTCGGTGCTGCGCGAATGGCGAGAAGTAGGGTAGGATGGCGATGTTTTTGTGGCCGAGGGCTCGGTGGAAGACGATGATGCCGAATTACTGATTGATACTGCTAAATCCGTATAGCGCCGTTGAAAGGGACCACTTTCTGCTTGCTACGAAGAAGGTCAGTTGTCTTGAAATGCTTTACAAGCACAGGAAGATGTCCTTGGTGCATTGGCAATGCTCACATAATTCATGAACACGTTCATTGCGCCGGTCGGGACTTGTTGGGTCAATCTGATGCCATTAGTACGTACCTGTCGCGACTCTTCAGACTCAGCTGGCTGTGAGCGTACATGCAAGGCAGGATGCCACATAGAGCGCTCTCCGGTTGAGGGAACGACAGCATCTCGACTGAAGCCGTCATGTGAATGTTGTGCCGCGGAATATCCAACGTCGTATTGTTTTCCACTGGAATACTCTGCCAAGATTTGTCCAAGGAGTTGCTCACCATCGGTCGCAGGTAAGATCTTCAACTTGGAAATAAGGGTTGATATATCTTGTGCAAATGACTTCTCTCTACTCAAACCGGAGGGTGAGGAACTTTCGCCATTAGTAATACCGGCATCACTCATATGCTTGTCCTCGTCAACAGTGGGGAGACCCCCACTGGGCTGATTTTGTAGTAGATTATTATTATCCGTCATTGCATTATCAAGTGGAGATTGTGATTCTTTGATATGGTTTTGTAGAGGCGAAGTGTTCTCACTATCATCCTCGAGAAGTGTGGGCGAGTTGTGCACAGCATCGATGACATCCTGGTTGGATGCGCCGCCTCGGACATATTCCAACAGACTTTCATATTGTGGTGACGAACCCTCGCGTATGCAATCGATCAATCTGTTCAGAGCATCTTGATATGACTTGGATTCATCCACCGTCCGTTGGAGTGCGGCGCGGCGCCGCATGTCCAGTGTCAGATCAATCACACATTCTGTGCCTAATGATTGACATAGCTGGCAAGGAGGCGGTCCGCCAGTGCATTTTGTCTTGCGCTTCTTACATGCTTCACATGCGGCTGATATTCGAGCGGTGGATTGTCGCTTTCGAGGGCCTGGTGGCGAGGCTTTTTCGGTCTGCTCATGCCCCTCCTTGGCCGGCTTGATTTGTCTCGCTTTCGATGATGGCATTTTTCATTGCGGGTGCTGTTTTCAACAATGCTCGTATGGCCGTGGTTGGCGATAAGCTGCGTGCTTTGCGTACAGTGTCGAAAAGAAGTGAGCTCCTGGAAGACGGGTTGACGGCTAAAAGCCTGGGCCGCAGGTGGGGTCAACCACAAGAGGTGAATTGAAGAAAGCCGTCGTCAGCAACCCTGAAAGGCATGTTTCGTTCTTAAGGAATTTGCACCTAGAGGGAGGGCACTCTGGCACTAACCGGTACTTGGAAATGGGGCTCGTTGAATTATTGCGATGCCCGTTGCCCACCGTTGGAATAACTTGAAGTTCAATCAGTACAAAGTGGAAGAAGTCTCTCGAGTGGCAGGACGATCAACTCCGTAGGTTTCTAATTGGCCAGATTTCATCTCTTCGTTTCTGCGGATTAATTTTTCCTCGTCTGCTGCTTTGTCTGTTGGAGGCGATCAGTCTGTTTGCCACCTTCCCACGAGGCCCAACACATGCCGATCCTTGGAGATACGGTACGAATTAAAGGGTCCCAACTGCGCCATGCCCTGTGTGTCCTCGTCATAGAGCTGGGACCTTTGGAATTTCGTCGTCCTGTTAAAATGGCACAGATCGACAACCACTCCTCGGACGAACTCGTCTCGAAAGGAGTTCAAGTCATCTCCCCTGAGGACCAGATATGAAGTCCAGATCAAATATCGACATGGAAACATCAGACGTCCCTAACTATGATACGTCACGAAAGGCTGCTTGACATGTACCAGCTGTAAAGGCATTCTCCAAGACGTTGTTTCCTCCACGCCTCTGGGGAATCAAGTAACTAGATCTTGATCGGAAACTAACAAAGCTACCCCGTAATTTGTTTGATTTTACTTTCGTATTGCCACAAGCCTCCCGAAACTGGTTGGCAAATTAACTAGTTACTTCTGGTTCCGGAGCCAGAGACCGGACTCTTGCCCGAAATATGTCCAGGAGTCCTTTAGAATCCTTTCCAGTGTACTCTCCAATGCTTCCCTAACCGCTTCGATCTGAACATCGACCATTCGTAGTTCTTGAAGAACACCTACCCTCGTGAGTGCTGCGACATTGTGGGCGATCAACCTCCACGATGTATCGCATTCATTCCAGGGATCATTGATGTCGAGATGGCCGCCGGCAGCCTCTGCCTCATCCTGCAGGGTGCTGCTGTTTGCATCAGGACACAGCTTGATTGACAATTTCTGAAGACAGGTCATCTTTTGGATGCATTTCAACACTTCGTCCACGTGGTTGTAGAAAGGGAATATTGCCACATATTCAAAACTTATCAAGTTGGCGAACATTGCATCTCCAGAGATCGAGCTGCTTGGAGCCAGTGCAGAGAGCAGTGATGGTGTTCTCCTAAAGAAGTATTCATAGGTTGTGTATGCGAACACACTTGACCCTTCGTTGGCAGTCAAGCCAATCCATGGACGTGCATTGAGAAAGGTAGGGAGTTCGTCATAATTGATTTGCTGCGTCGTGGTCTCGGGAGATTGTTCAAGACTGAGGATCTGATGCGGTATATCAAATGCCCATGCATCTGTACTCCAGGAAGAAACTCCAATGAGTTCGGCCAGGATGTGAGGTGCTGCAATGATATGCAATCGAGTTGCTGGTACCTCGTTGAGCAATCGTGCCCACCATGCGGGGTGGATATGGTTATAGTGGCCCGAGACAACGGCCACGACACTTGCTACTCGCTGCACAAGGTCTTTTTCCTTCAAGAAGGCTAAAAAGTCGCTCAGCCAGACAGGGTCGAAGATGACATCCCTGAACAAGAGTGGCAGCGTGAGAGACCGCAGTAATTGATTCGTGGTTGAAACACTCTTTAGCGTTTGGATTCGCAGTTTCGAGTTCGAGTTGTTATCCTTTGGCCAGTCTAAAGCTGGCTTCTGAGAGAGGTCTGTATCAAATGGACTCGGTGTGTCAAGAAATGAGATGATCCGTGATAATATCTCATTTGGGAGCTCGAGAAACTCCATGGTGAACGTGAGCTCGAAGCGCGTCCACAAGGGGTCGCTCTGGTTGGTTTTGTTATACTTGCTTTCTGAGAGGAGAGTGTTCAGGAGATACAATATAGTGAACCAGGCTCAAGAAGCCATAGCATCACATTGTGTGTTGTAAGCCCTTGAGTGGTCTGAACATCCTCAAGATAGCCCTTCAGGACGCTCAGCCAGATCACTGGCTTATGGCTTCCAGGTAGAGTTCACAGATGTCTCATCTGCCTTTTGTGCTCACCTAATTTAGCTATCGATGCAAGACTTCAACCACCTTGTGATGGACAGGAGAGGCTGAGGACGAAGGATGCCTGACCGGTTAGCATTGCCACGATGAATGTCTCGGAGAAGGAATGCACAACTTCTCATTTGAAGTTAGCTGGTTTCGGATCTCGTATGTGAAGAGTTCTGGAGTGGCTTAGTCATTGCCGTCCCTCTCAGATTCACGAAGGAGATGGCGGGGTAAAACCTGAGGCGGCCACGCTGACGACGTCATGTTTCGTCGTCTCCTCCCTCTCAACGACTCGTGTAGCAAACTACTGATCTGATGAGTTAGGAGGAGGCACCGGAAAATACCCCTTTGGCCCCTCTCTCTGAAGCTCCCTCCCAAGGACAAAAGAGTCTGCAGAACCACCTAATCCCTAGTGGGGTGAACTCCAATGACCTCGAACGTGGGACGACTCCTTGACTCCATCACTAACCACACGAACCCAATGGCACTGCTCTATTGGTTTCTAGCCAAATTATAACGGCCATGGCTCAGACATCATGCTTTCTGAGTGTCAGGTCATAGTGGCCAGTCGTCGAAAATGCGGTGGAGATCTGGAAGCAAAAAATTGGACAGATGAGGGGTGGTCCTCCCAGGCTTAATTGCAGGAACAAGAGGTCTGTTCGCCTTTCTTTCTCTTTCGTAGCACATTGATTCCTGTTGTCGTTGTCTTGGAGCTGCCCCGAGTCAGTGAAAGACTTCTGCTGCCATCTCAGGAACTCACGGTAAGATTGTGTTCCCGAGACATAGTGACAAACTCCCGTACTACTGTGGAACATGGCATCCCGTCACAGCCAGCCTCCCTTCCGTGCCGAGCACCTAGGCTCCCTCCTACGCACAGCGAAGCTCCTCGACACGCGTCATGCATGGGAAGCGGGTAAAGCGACCGAAGACGACCTCAGAAAAGTCGAAGACACCGATGTGAAGGACATCGTCAAGACACAGCTCGACCTGGGCTTCCACGGCATCACAGATGGCGAATACCGCCGCCACATGTTCTGGGGCTCCTTCTGGCCTGGCCTCGAAGGCATGACTGAGATCGCGACTCCCGATGCCGATCTCTTCCGCATGTATATCCCAGACATTGCGGCGTTCACGGAGGAGGGGTACAAGCCTGGTGAGACGGTGCTGTGCACGGGGAAGATCAAGCATAAGGGCAGCACATACACAAATCAGTTCGATTATTTGAAGGGATTGGTGCCGGAGAATAAGTGGAAGGATTTGAAATTGACGCTCGCGGCGCCCAATTGGTACCATCTCAGGTATAAGGAAGGCAAGGCATATCCCAAGGATGTTTACAAGAATGACGATGAATATTTTGCGGATATTGCAAAGGCCTATCAGGACGAGCTGAAGATTTTGTACGATCATGGGTTGAGGAATGTGCAGTTTGATGACCCGAACCTTGCATGTGAGTTTGACGGCGTCTGGAGAAGCAGTGCCAGCCTTAGTGGCCATTGAGATCACGCTTCGCTAACAATGTGACAACTCAGATTTCTGCTCAGAAGCCATGATCGCGGGCTGGGAGAAAGACCCTTTGAACACGTACTCCACGGATGAACTCCTCGTGAAATATATTGACCTTTACAATTCCTGCGTGGCCAAAATCCCCGCAGACATGCACGTCGGCGTGCACCTGTGTCGCGGCAACTTTGTCAATTCACGTCATTTCTCCGAGGGAGGGTACGACCGCATCGCCACCATCCTGTTTCAGAAACTCAACATGCACACCTATTATCTCGAGTACGATACGGCACGAGCGGGAGGCTTCGAGCCACTGCAACACCTGCCCAAGGACAAGAACGTCATCTTGGGTGTCGTGACGAGCAAGTTCCCAAAGCTGGAGGATGAGGCTGAGATGGTGGCCAGGGTCAAAGAGGCGGCCAAGTGGATGGCAAAGGGAACTGGAGAGTCCGAAGAGCAGACCCTGCAGCGCTGCGGTGTCAGCCCTCAGTGCGGGTTTGCCAGCCACAGCAGTGGTAATTCCGTCAATCACGACGATATGATCAACAAGTTGAAGCTGGTCAGGCAGATTGCAGACAAAATTTGGCCTGGAGAGCCTTGAGGACCAAATGAGTTTCTTCGCGGATAGGGCAAGTAGGTAATCCACACCACTGAACCACAAGCTAGATACCCCGACCAAGAATTCCACCTTCGGTAAAGAAGAAGCAAGAAATCAATTGGTTTTGAAGGAGTTGGTGCCAAAAAATGACATGGCAAAGGCTTTCCATCTGACTAACAGTCCTTTTCTTTCGCACCCACAATCGATTGACATGACCCTCCCTTGCATCGTTCAAGGATACGGACAATTGGCCAGCTTGACCTTGGAACGTTTGAGCATTGGCAATAGTGCCCATGGCACAAAAATGGGTGTGTGTATCGACTAGCGTACTTGTGAGATCCAATTTGTCAAAGGACAATTACATCGCGTTCGAGATATCCAATCTGTTGGGTGAACGATGTATCGGGAAACGGGGGATCTTGTGGTCTCGTTCGCGTCTGCGACCCATTCCAAAACAACACAGGCTCTCCGTACTTTCCATAGTCATTTGCACCTTCCATATGTCGCAAGAGAAATCCTGCCACCCTATCATCGCTATGGCGTACTGCCCATGCCGTCAATATCCTGTCATCGAGTGGGATACTGTCGATTCCTTCCCGAATCAGTGGAGACAACAGAAATGAAGAGGCTGGATATGGTTGCTCGCACGCCAGGTGAAATAATGCTACGGGGATAGGACTTGTGAATAGCACTGCAATATGGTGTGGTGTTTTACGATCGTCGCTCAGTCGTTCTGGATCTCTCATGCAGTCGAAGTGAATCTCAAGCAAAACCAGAAGGGCGTCCAAGTTATGGGATTTGATTGCCGAAGCCATCCCCTCGTAAAGCGCACCAGGTGAGCACTCGAGATGCCGACGCTCGAACTCGTGCACCGGGTGGAAAAAGCGAGCACCTTGGCGCAGAAGCATCAGTAGTTCCAGCTTGGGTTTATCCCATGATGGATTGCCCTCGAGTATATGATCTGGCAGGATTCGTGTACCAATAATTGAGGCACAGCCATCGACCATCTTGTGAAAAGGCTTTGGGCTGCTGTACCCAAGATAACTTCTCCATAGGACTATGCGTGGAAGATAATTTCCATGCCCGGTGGGTCCGAAGAGGCGAACAGCCTGACTGCCTTGAGAGAGGGAGTTCAGCATCGTGTAAGCGGAAAGACCAAATTGACCATCTGATGCTTGGAAATCATTTCCGGCAGGAGACGCTTTAGCCATGAAGTGTCTTTCAAGTACTTCTATGTCGGTGATTGAGGGAGGTCGTGCAGCGAAAGGCTGAAGGCCTTGGTTGTTCCTCTGTTCAATAGCTGGATTTTGTGGGCCCTGGGGACATTCAGATGTATCGAGCTCGGCTTCCGCCTTCGTCTCACGATGCCAGGCTTGGATCATTTGAAGTCGACTCAGATTTGGCATGCAGGACTTGAAAAGGTCAACATCGCACCATTGACAACTTAGTATGCTTTGCTGTAACCGGATCTTGTCCTCCACGCTGATCACGCGGTAATGAGCAGGTAGGAATAGTTGTTCTTCAACAGGACTTTCACCATCTTCTTGGAAGTAGGCGAATAAGATCAAAGCTGAGTATATTGATGGGTTAGATAAAACGGCAGCAATATGTGATGATGCTCGAGGCAGGTTGACCTCCAGGCTGTAGAAAAAGATCTGTTGAATCAGTTCCACAGGGAGGGCCTCCAGTGGTGAGAGTTCATATGGCTCAGGGTTATTTGTCACTGCTGCTCTCAGACTCTGTTGTAAGAGCTTCTCTCGTTTCCGTTGAATGGTGTTAGGAAGTTTGAGCTCAGGTCTCCTTTTCATCGGTCGGCCACGAGCACGATTGATACCAGACGCGGCAGGCGAATTGTTGCCTTCATATTTCATCTTCTCTACTTTCGATCTTCGCGGAGGGATCAACATGCTTGAATATAATGGGTCAGGAAGACCCCACAGGATTTAGTTTGAGATATTGGTAAGTTGGATTGGGTCCGAGTGTTCAATGTTGTCGTTGTTCAGTAATGGGAGGGACTAAAAATGCTAGCGAGATTAAATGACCGTCTGACTGTTCCTAATCAAACGGCATCACCCATATCATGGCGCTGTCAGCCTCAATTCCAATGCCACGTCAGACACAACCACCGCTACCTATTCCCTTTTATTCTCCTCTCACCTCATTTCAGATTTCGTTCATTAGGTCTGTCTCTAAACGATATTATGTGCTTTATGCACGGCTATAGTTTAGTATTGCTAGATTCAGACAAACTCTTGTCCAACCTTGTCATTCTATTCAGTCTGCTAACCCGCCAAACGAGAGCATGGCACGACCACCACTGCTCATGTCGGGCAACGGGTTCTTTGCGTCAACCGATTGCACCGAAGAATGAGCAGCACCGAGAGCGCCAGCGACCGGAGTTCTCGAGCGCGGCGATACTGGAGATGCAAGAGTAGACTGACGCCCTGTTGAGGACAAAGAAGGTGAAAACAAGCTTCTCCCATCTGGCACGTTCCAACTTCCTTTGACACCTCGCATGAAACTTCCGAACGCGTCTTGCACCGATACTGCAGTACTGCCTGCGATGCTGACATCAGTCCTCACACTGTTGGTGGCACTGGGTCTTCGAGAACCGAGTGATGCGGATGGGAGGTCCTCATCCTCACAGGCTTCGCTCGAAGCACTTGAGAAGTCTCCCGCTTTGAAGTTGATGATTGGCCTTGGAGACGAGGTGCTCGTGGCTCGAAATTGTCGCCCTCGCCAGCCAGCGCCGTTGTTCATACTGGTAAGTCTGGTGCTCATTCGTTGACCCATATCATCCCGCATCCGAGCCTGAAATGATGCCAGGCGTGCCTCACGCTCTGCTTCACAAACTGGGCAAGGCTTCTCAATGGTTAGGGTGTGCATTGCATGGACCAACTTCTCTCCACAGCCTGCTTCTGTTGTCGAGTCTGATGGAGGAGATGGATCTAGAGCAGGAATTGCCGAGACCGGCCTCGCTATCGAGTCTGCGAGCTTATTGGTTGTGGGAGGAAGAGATTGAGGTCTCGAACCAGGTCCATGTTTTGATGATCTTTTTGCACAAGGTGAGTTGTGGACTGGGTAATCGGAGAGTGATACGTGCCCACACACGGTATGTACGTAAGCTGTGTGATAACACATCGCTTGTATCCTGCCGCAGGTCACTTCGCACCAAGGTTTGCTTGTGATACCCTACTTCTTGACTTGTTTTGACCAGAAGTATATTCTCGAGTCTCGGGGATTCCTCTCGAATACCGGCAGAGTCCAGCAGTGTGATGATAAACAAGGCTCCGAGAAGCAGGTGATCAGGGCCAACGGTCGAGAACGAAGTTCGAGTGGCTTTTCAAACACATGGCCATCACTCATACTCATTATGTTCTTTGTTGGTTATTTGGCCATTGTCGCCGGAGCGTCAATTGACCGACATTTGCGACGCTGCACCCTGTCATTATCGTCACTTTATGTACTCTGCAAGCAGCGAACAAGGAATCATTCGGACCAACAAGTCCTGTTTGCTCATCTCTTTGTCACGACTCCTCCAATAATGCCGATGTCATCAACATCACTTCAAAAGAGTTTGACGTGTATGCGGCATGAGAATGGCACATCAAACGAGATCGAGACGTGCATTTGAGTCGAGGCTTAACTTCATAGGACGCAGATAAGAATCTCAATCTGACGCTCGGTATCCAAACAAGAGACATACGTAACGTAGTTGGAGCCGTAGGACCGAGTAGCGCAAACGAAAGTTTATACTCGAAAGACGACGAATTGGCAAGTCGCAAGCAATCAATGCAGATACGCCCTTAAAAATGGGAATACCTTAACAGGCTACAGTAAAAAGAAAATAAAATAAAAGCAATAACAAAATCCCCCCAAACAACCCCAAACAGCCAAAACCCTGACAAACTAGGGTCCTAGTGAGGGAAAATTCCAGGACTGCGTCCAGACCCCGTCGGACGAGTTTCATTTCGTTCACAGTACGAGTACACACGGTGCGGGTCCAGGTCCGCCGCCCGGATCGATATAGCGAGCAGCCCATCATTGAACAGGTGCTGCCAAACCAACTAAGCCATCCCAAGGGGGCGAGAGTCGTGTACTCGCTCTGGCCCGTCTCCGGTGCCGTTGAGAGCACATTTCTGGCACTGTGGTCTATATGACCTGCTAATTTTCGTATTCACTGTCTGGGGGTGACCGCCGGGCTTCACTTCATATGTAGCTCGTCGCATGTGCCTTCGATTGAATATTTCTTCATTGATAATATCATATATGCCGGTGCTAATCGGTTCTAGCTATTTCCCACAACCGCTAGCTTTCCAGTGGACTTGATCAATCCCACTGCGAAGCATGAAATATCTCCATGAACCTGCAAGGCTATCATGTCATTTGCCCACTCATTCCAGACTACGATGCCTCATTCCTCAGCCGCCAGCACAACGCCCGGACGCTCCTCATCCTCCGCACCGAGCGCCTCAGCGATATCAGCCTTCTTGCCGGTCCAATCCTCCTGCTCCTCGTCCTCGAGCTCCTTCCCCGTGCGCTCTCCCCGGTCGTGCAGCGCCGAAGCATGCTCTTTCTCCTGGCGATCGATATCTTGCGTCAAGCTGTTCGCATCTTGATGGCCACCGCCGCCGCCCTGCCGCACCGCCTGCGCCACATCGCCCTCGCCGGGCATGCGCATCTGCTCGCCCTCCAGATTACTGTCGCCCTTGGAGTAGTTCTGGGCATCGGAGTCGGGGATCGCCTTCTCTTTCAGCGGCCCAGTGTCGCCGGCGCCGAGGGCGGAGGGCTGTGCGCCTTCGCTGTGCTCTGAGGGGACGTCATGGGGGCTTCGGTGGTCGATCGGTTTGGAGGATGCGTTGTCTGCTGTCTCTTGGGATGTTGTCTCCTCTTGCGAGGTCTTGGATGCCGGGTTCTGTGCTTGGTTGAGGCCTGTCTGTTGTCCTGGCTGGGAAGGCCTTTCTGGATCAAGAGCGGACATGTCGTAGAGATTTGATCGGTATTCTTGATTGTTTATCCACGTAGGTGGTTTGGGATTTGCAAGATAAAGAAATAATGTCTAATTCTCGTGGGATGAAAAGGTTAGCTTTGCAGAATCAAACCGCACTTTTGAAGTCAATCGACTTATGAAGATTATGCTACGCAAAAAGTCTAAGGTTTGATCAGTGACGTCTGTAGATGGACCACACGAAGGAGTACCGAGAAGCAGCATCCCTAATCTGTACGGAGTCCTGCATGATGGGCAATGGGGTAGCCCCGAACAGCGTCTAGCCTTTTTATTCCAGTAGATAAAGCAATGCAAGATAGCCCACTAGACGAATCATCTTGTGTGATTGTGTTTGATGCTGTCATAATAGACTTAACGGTGTAAGAGGCGAAAATCATCACCATTTGGATGATGGTGGCTTGCCAGAATTGCGGTGATGTCATGAGCATTAAATTCCCATGTCGGATAATCTGCGGAAGAGACAATCTGGTGGGTTCAGCCTCGCACGTGATCAGATATCAAAATGCAATTCTGGACCAGCCCGAGGCTTTCATTATGTTGAATGCTTGATCAAGGATGCTTCATACATTTTTGAACAATGAGACCGCTGCCGCTGTTGCAGGTGTTTATATAGGAGCCACATGCTGCTTGTCTCCTTGTTTCGACCTTACTTCATGTCAATGCTAGTCATGGCTTTGAGAGTTCAGCTCGTTGCCTTTGAGCCTTCTTTGAGCCTCACAACGCCCTTTGCAACCGAGAGCTCTCGCATGAACGACAAAATGGTCATAGACCCCTCGCATGTGCCATGAAAAGTCCCTTAGTAATTGCTCACTTGGTTTCAAGCACATGGAGACGGAGTAAAATCTTGGCGTTCACGATCCCGTATCTGTAGACCTTCATCTCTCACCTCGCCAGCCATCACAACCGTTGACGAGGACAACTGATAGAAGTCAGTGTTCTTATTGATACTTTGCCTCAACCCAAGCAAAGATGGGGTCGATAGTAGGGTAAAGTCTCTCGCTCTCGTGCCGATGCTTATTCGCTGACCAACGACCAGAATCTTGGATGCCGAAACTTCCCTCAAGAAGGAAATGACCAGCCTTCGTGCCGCCGTTCAGACCATTCGTGACCACAAGATCATCCAAGAAGGTCGCAAGATAACTTGCAGACAGACCAATGTTCCTGCCGAGGTATGTGTTCCTCCATCCCAAAAGGCACGGATTCTAACAGGATCTCAGGTATTGCAAGCCACATCATCGAAGACTGAGATCATCACGCAGGACGATATCATCTCACGATTCCCGCCTGAAATTCAAGAGATGGTCTGGCAGGGCATTGATTCCACTGACCGAGCTGCACTCGCCCTGACCTGCAAAGGTCATGCCGCTGTCTTCGAAGAACTCAAGAACAAGGAAGTCGTACGTAATGGCAAATTGATCCGTCGTCTTCCGCGACCGTTCAGAGTCGACAAAGCCGCTCGTCTCAAGGTCCTCGTTCGCCTCAAAGAATGGATGCCTGCCAAATACCGTCTCTGCTATTCATGCAATCTCTATGTCGACTCGAAGAAGATGAGTAAGCTGGGTGGTCGTTGGGGAGGCGACAACAAGATCGTCGAGAGTGGATTGGCAACCATGAAGGCGATCAAGGAAGGCCCTCGTTGCCCGCTTTGTGTTCGTCGAGAACAGGTTGATCTTGCCAAGCACAAGCAAGATCATCAAAAGTACCTCAAGCTCGGCCGCAAGATCCAATTGCAATAGATTCGACTTGTGTTCGACAGATCTGAGGGTTCATAGATCCAGCTGATAATGTCGGAGGATTTGGGGGACTGGAGTCAGTGAGAGTCAAGGTGCATCATCAGGCAGACCGGCTACAGTTGAAGACCCTAGTTGGATGCTTCTCCAAAGCACGTTGAGCTTCGACATCAGGTCTCTTGAGGAGCTCAGCAGACAGGCTTGAATCCCAACAGCATAAGTGATCTTAAAGAACCTTCCATAACAATTTCAAGCTACTGAGCTTTGTCAACAACATTGAGACCCCTTCATGAATCGGATTGCTGATTTCTTGCGCTTGGCTTACTCTGATCCAGGCGGTCCAAAAATGGGCGGTAAGGAGCCGCAATCTCATGAGGCTGCGCAGTATCCGCCCCAGCTCGTGAACTTTCAGTAAAGCCTGGATAGTGTTGCTGAACCTGGTGAAGTCGATCTAGTGGCTCGCCAACGATGTGATATTTAGCCCATTCAACAGGGGGTGCACGCACTACGTCTTGTGCGGTTGGAAACGTTCCGAAGTTTGACACGTTGCGATTGCTTGGCTGAACATTTAAAGATGTGGCTTCGTCCTGCTCAATGCCAGTTCGCGACAAATGTGACAGTTTGCCCTGTTCTAGATCCCTGACGAACTGCTCTGGATCCTTCAAAGCGGCTTCTTTCATTCTGTCTAAGTCCCGCATATCTCGTAGAGCCTGTTGGCGCTGAATCTGCAAAATGGAAAGGGCTGCTCGTAATGCTATGGCATCAGGGTTTTCATCAAGACTAATGGGCAAGGGGGTAGGATCATCCATCCATTGCTGTGGTGGTGATCCTGCGGCAGCATCATCCTGAGGACCCCCCAAGCTTGCATGTGACAAGGTAGGGGTCACAGGCGAATACGAAGGACGCTGTGGACTGCCATTGGATTCATGGGACTGGGAAAGAGAAAGCGAGTTGTGTGGTTGTGCTTGGTTCTGCAAAGGTTGAGATTGCTGGTGACTAGCATTGTCTGGATCGTTGTTAGGCATGACCAGCTTGAGTCGCACGGTGGACTGGCCGGAAGCATCAGCCTGGTGAATGGAATTTTCGGTTGTCATCAATGATGGAACGGATGTGACTCAAGCAAGAGATGGAAGATAGGACTACGGAGTAAGAAAGTTGTTAACCTCGGAAAGGAAACCGAATTTCCCAGGAAGTTACTTCGTACGGTGGTCACGGTGGTTAAGTTCTGGGCCATTTAGGCCGTAAACGCTGCAGAACAGTTGATGGGGACACTAAAATAGGCATGGAACTGGTGGGAAGAGGCGAACAGCGGCGCCCAAAGGATAGGTAAGTGGCCACTTAAATGGTCAAGCCTTAGGTATCTGCCTCGTACCTAGGCACCCCCTCAGGCAGGTGCCCGAGGCTCCCTGTCCGTACCTGTTTGTTACCTAACCGCCAGGTCTACTACGAGCGACATCCCTGGCTCCTACTTCGTTCGTAGTAAAGATCGGATCGGGGAATCTTTCCCATGGCGTTCCGCGCGAGGCAGGTACGAGACCCCCGTCCACTCCTATCTTTATTGCCACCACCATTCTTTCCGCAATTGGGCTCCCCAATGGCCCGAACAGGCTCCATGCGTGAAGCATCTTTTCCCATGTGCTCCTTTGCATACGAAGGTCCACCATCTACCATCCGTACAAGAACCATTGCACAAACAAACCTTGCTCCGTTGAGATGGTTCGGACAGTCAGGGAACGTCTCTAGGCAGGAGTTGCCATCCAGGCTTCAGGCTGCCCCGAATCGATCCAACTCTGGAGTACGAATTGGTCCGTCCGTGGTGTCACAACCACTTGGGCAAGCCTGAACAGTTGAAGAACGCTAGGTGCTTTAGCCTTCGAATGCCCCCTCGGATGGGCTGGCATTATTCTAACAATGACTAACTAACTCTGCAGACCATCTCGGCCGATTTTTGCTTGGATGCTTGAAGCCGCAACTAAGAAAAAGTCTGGGGTTCGCGCGATCGAGTCGGTACCGGGCAATCGATAGGAAATTAAAATAAGCCACAATTCCTAATTGCAATCGCGGGTCTCTCTCTTTCCAGCTGGAGTTGGACTGTTCAAGTCAACTTCGCCTTCCCCCGAAGGTCTGGGTACGACTCGCAGATGTGAAGAAGTTTTCCTTTACATACTCCGCTCTACACATTCCGAGGGATACGAACTTTCTGCTGCCACGCTTGAGATTGACGTGCGGGAATGGCCTGTGCAGAAGATGAAATGTGTGGAGAGGTAACACGCGCAACCCTGACCAAAGACAGGGATCTTCTGGAGCCTCCATCTGTTGGCCACCCGTGGCTGTCAAGCCCTGAGTTACCTTGTACTTCACTTTTGGCGTCAAACGTTGGCTGCTGATAGCTTCCTTTTACGTATAACACAACCAATGTGAAGGGGGAACATCGCCGCCTCCCCTTACCTCCAGGTACCACAATTTCCAAGGGCGTTCGCTCAAGTTGATCTGTGATTGTTGGAATTCCGAACCGTCCATCTGGCATCATTAATTAGGACCGACGCCTTCGATACTGCCGATCAAACCGTTAGAGATTGTTATTGTTCGCATCCATCTTCCGTACTCTGGAAAGCCAAAGTTGCCCAGCACGTTCCAATTCAAGCCCTGCACTCGTCCGACCCCTGCCATCTATCAACTCAGCCTCCACTCATATCCACCAAAAGCCCTCACATTTGTTGTTGCCCCTCCACATTTTGACAGGGTTTACCCTAGTGGTGCCGATCTGAATCATTTTTGGCTGTCAGTGGTCACTCCTCCTTCGGACACGAAGTTCCTGTACGCAATCAGCGATCGCCAGTCCGAAATGCTCGCTCATGACAACACAACCTTCTATGCTTCTGGCCGAGCTTAAACCACGAGCACATCTCCCCTAAAACTTCTCCCACGTGTCATACAACGTACACCAACATTCCCTCCCACTGCCAGTTGAAACCATCATTCAACCTCTCCCAACGATTATCGCAAGCGACATGAACATCTAGTCTTTTGCGACGACGGGCCTCTTCAGTCCGCCTTAAGCGGTAGTATATTTGCAACCGACTTTGATCGTCCTTGTTTGGTTCGGTAACAATCCCATCCAACACATGCGTCAAATCTACGTTTGTATCAATTTCTCTGCCGAATCTCCTGCCATGATTGCTTGAGTCGGGTCTTGCTCTCAGTCCCATCACAGCCTTCGCGGCTCGCAAGATGGCCGCATCTAATGGTGGGCTTCAACGGCACAGTGTAAAGCCAGGCTTGACTTCAGTTAATCACTCGACGGAGAAGGATGTACTCGGAGAGTTGAGTAATTCGAATGACTTCAACTCTCGAGACAATGCACCCTCGAGCTTGACAAGAATACCGGCCGGTTATGGCCAGGCTAGAGACGCAGACAAAAAAGAACGAAAACCACCGCAGACCATTAAACAACTACGAGAGGCAGCTATAGGAGCAGCTCAGGACAATACAAGTCGTAATGTCCCGAAGAAGAAGCCCGAGATGGGAGGTAAATTTCCACCTGTTCAACAAAAGAAAAAGCCTTCATTGTTTGGCGGACTCTTCCAAGTAAAAGAGCCGACGCAAGTGGCTTTGAACCAGGTGGCCGCTCAAATGATCGCTCAACATGGATCTACCAGTCCCACCAAAGTGCCAAATGTACGCCTCGAAAGGATGCCCGAACATGTTCCCAAAGTAAACACCAAGTGGGATGGAGTTCCTGATAGTGTCAGGCGACGGGATCAAAGAGAGAAAGAAATTGTGAAAGGACCGATGAAAGATCTCTTTTCCCTTGATGTGTCCCGTTCTGGGAGCAGTGGACGTGAGGATGATGGTCGGCGACGACTCAATAGTAGAAATTCGAGCTCGACGACTGGGTCATTTAGCAGCCGGGGAAGATCAGTTGGCTCGGGCGGTAGGACGGCTCACAATCGGTTCTATGCTCAGTCCGTCAACTCTTCGGGAGACTTGGCCTCACAGCAGAGAGCAGAACGTGCAAAAAACGATAGTACGCCGGCTCACTCCCACTCCGCTTCCACATCAAGCCTGCCTGCAAGCGCCACGGACACGTTGCCAGATATCCCTGACTACCTACGTGAAGCGATTGTTGCCTCTCGATCGAATATCAAGCCCGATGGTGGGGATGATTTGGAACAGAATAGGAAACGAACTACGGTGCTCATGAGACCGCCAGAAGACGCAATTACTCGGCTCAAAATAAGCCAGGTTCCGGCTGTTGAAGATGTCCCAAAACACTCCATCTCACCACTTCCGTCTCCGCACGATTTTGCTCCTGCTACACCATCCTCTCTCCAAGCAGGCGATGCATACAACTTCAGAAATAGGAGCCCAATTGTCGAGCATTCAACGTCAATGTTTCCCAGTCCAGACAGTCCAGAATCGACATCCATGCCGGAGAGAAAACCACCGCCGATCATGACCCCAGGATTTCTTGCTGGAGAGGCCCAAGAATTGGTTCTCCCTGATGACGAGAGTGATCAACGCACCTCAGATTTGCCCTTGCGAAGCTGGAACTCAGGTCGCTTGGACACCTCCACGACCTCTGCCTCAGTCAGATCTCGAGTCCAACAGGATCTGGAAAAGCGCCCGGACAGTTCTCGAGCTAGACTTGGCCTTCGTGCTAGTATGTTGGTTCCAGATGATCAAAATCCATGGGAGCAAATTGAACAGCAAGCACTGGGTGCTGTATCTCCACGAAGACCGACCAGTCCTCGACTTGTCGCCAGTCCCCGGGGAAAGTTCTCTAAAAGTTTCGGTATATTCAACAAATGAGGAAGATGGATCTGAAGTGGTAAATGACAGGATGTTCATTGCGCACATACTTCGATTTCTACCGATTTGCACTGGCGGTGTCTTGCAGCCATCTATACGTCGAATTATTCATCTAGTGAGCACAGCGGAGTGCAGACTTGAATCCATCAGGTCTTCCAATGATTTTATGAGGGATTCAATGGGAGTTTTGACATTTTGCCTATGGTTGTAAATACCCCTTAAGAGTCGAAAGTCTTGCTTTTGAGCGATATTAGCACTGGATCAAGTAGTATATAGTATATTTTGGCAGGGTGAGAAAGTAATGACAATTATCGTTGTCTGAATATATTGCTTGCATCCTAAACAAATCAGTGTTGTGGCACTTCTATATCAATGATGAATCAATGATGCCCGTGTGGTTGTGTGAGCAATATGTTGAGTGGTCTGATGCCTGTACCCTCGCATCTCCGACAACACTCCACTGACTGAAATTTACATAATATTTTTTGGGGGGTGAACTCAGTCCTAGTACCGGAGCAGGATAAAACCAATGCGCATTGTCCAGCAACTTCCCTCCCTCGTTCTTACACGCATTCCACCATTTTATCCAGTCTCCCAAACATGAAGCGCGGGCCCGAAGAAGGTGCAGAGCCACCCTCCAAAAAACGCCATGTATCCCCGGACTCAAATCTTCAAGCTGCGCGGGGAACTGCCTTTCGAAGCGACTTGTTCGAGACCACGACCCGCGACTCATTCCGCAAATACTACGAGCAATCAGGTCCCTATCCTCACGCAGTCGTGCCTTCCCTCATCCAAGAAGAACTTCTACGGTCGGTCCGGCGTGAAGTCACCGAGCACGTCCATTTCACACTGAAAGAGACCGACATCTACCGCATACACCAGTCTGGCGACCTTGCCAACCTGTCAAACCTGCCTGCAGAAGCGTTGAAACATCTACCAAGCCTGGTCAAGCTGCGGGATGCCCTCTATAGCACAGACTTTCGAGAATGGGTCTCGTTCGTCACAGGCGCAGGCAAGGTCTCGGGAAAGAAGACGGATATGGCGGTGAATGTCTACACTCCGGGCAGCTACCTGCTCTGTCATGACGATGTCATTGGGAGTAGGAGAGTCAGCTATATACTCTACCTGACCGATCCTGACCACCCATGGCAGGCCGAGTGGGGTGGTGGACTACGACTGTTTCCTACGGAGGTAAAGAAGAATAAAGCCGGCGAGGACATCCAGGTTCCTCTGCCCGAACATAGTCTCAATATTCCTCCCTCGTTTGGACAACTCAGCTTCTTTGCTGTCAGGCCCGGAGAGAGCTATCATGATGTCCAAGAGGTGTACCACGGTGAAAATCTCGAAGCGGATGGTGGAAGAATCCGGATGGCCATTAGTGGGTGGTTTCATATCCCACAGGAAGGTGAGGATGGATTTGAAGAGGGTATCGAACAGGCACAAGCCCAAAGGTCCAGTCTCGCGCAACTCAAGAGCGCAGCCAACGAGTTTGACGAGCCACAACTCGTCTTCCGTCATTTCGACGAGCCGCGAAGCGTCATGGACAGCCACGCTTCCAATCATGAAGTTGATCCTGGGGATGACCAAGATATGGAGGAAGATCTGCTCACCGAGCAAGATCTTACTTTCCTCCTGCATTATATCGCCCCAAGCTATCTCACACCCGACATGATTGGCGATTTCCGATCATTCTTCGAGAACGCGTCCAGCCTACAATTGGAGCATTTCTTCAACGCAAAGTTTGCCGCCGAGCTAAAAGACTACGTGTCCGGAGCCGAACAACACACCGAGGCAGCACATTCCGAATCGAGCGCCCATCCTTCGAATTGGAAAGTGGCCCGACCACCTCAAAAGCAACGGTTCACATATCTCCAAGGGTCTGAGGCACTTCACAAAGATACCACGCCTATATCACGGATTCTCACGGATCTTCTACATTCACATGCGTTCAAAAAGTGGCTGGCTCTGGTCACCGGACTTGACACCAAAAGCTTGATCCGACAAAACGCGATTGCTAGGAGGTTCCGTCGTGGTAAGGACTACGCACTAGCGAACCCCTTCCAAGGTGAACAACCACAACTAGAATTCACGATCTCAATCACGCCTACAGAGGGTTGGGAGCCGCGTGATGCCGCTGCGGAAGCAGACACCGAAGTGAAACCCCAGACCGACATTCTGAGATCAAATGGCACATCCAACGGTGTGGCAGTCAACGGCGACAAAGGGAAAGGCAAAGGTAAAGCTCGAGAAACCGAACAAGTGCAAGTGACGCAGCCCACGGAAATCGAGTTCGGCGGTGAAGAGGCGTACATGGCAGGCGACGACGACGAAGACGACGACACCGCGTCCGTCCGCTCGAAGTCGCTGCCGAACGTCGGCAGAAAGGCCGATCCCGCAGTCTACAAGTCCTCCAACGGAGCAGAGGACGAAGACGACGGGATTTTATTCGCCAACTCACCTGCCTGGAACCGCTTCTCTGTCGTGTTGAGAGATAAAGGCACTCTGAGATTCGTCAAGTATGTCAGTCGCGCCGCGGCGGGTGATCGCTGGGATATCAAAGGTGAAGTGGAGCTTGCGGAAGATGCTTTTGCTGATGATGGGAGTCTGGGAGCTGAGGAGGGGGACGATGACGATGACGATGATGAGGAGCTTGAAGATGACGAGGAAGACGAGGACGAAGAGGAAGAGGAAGAAGAACAAGACAATGAGGACAACCAGCTACATCACGGGGGTAAAGCATGAACGCGTAGCATAGTCACAAGACAAAACTCACACTTGACCTCCAAATCCACTCATGATCTACCCCCCTATACTATATACTCGGGACGGGGCACCACAGGCAATGGAAAACCCAAGTGGGTTTTTTGAGAGCGTAATATGTACTAAAGTCAGTCAGAGCGATGGAAATTCTCCAAGCAAGAGAGTTCGAGTTCGAGTTCTCTTCGACAATTTTGCATTGATATTGTTTTCAGACTTTTTCCGGTATGGTAGGTATTTTGAGAGTTTCTGGGGTTTGGGGTCTTCACTTCAAGTTCGCCTATCAAAAAGATAAGATACTGACTGGCCTCAACCTCGCCTACCCTCGCCCCCCTTTTGGGCCACTAACTAGGAGCGAATAGAAGAGTAGCCTCGCAAGGCGTTTGACTTCTCGCACACCCACGTATTTCGACCAGCACGGCAGAGACTGCTTCAATGCCCATCGCCTCACATCTAAGAATGTAGGACTTCTACCCCATGCATGGCGGGAGGGGCAATGCAGCGATATCCAGTGACGTGTCGTATCGTGTCGCAAATGCGACGAATCCATTTCTATCCCGAACGCCGGCAGTGCCGCAAACGATGATGACATGATTGTCCCCTTCCAAAAGCTTTGCAGGCATCAACATGTAACTTCATCGTTCTCATTACAATGCATCTTGTCAGATGTGCTTTTCGTCGAGCAAAATATTGGAATTCTTCACCAATCAGCTCAAGGACTGTTAGAAGAGTTGAAGTCGAATCTCGGCATGAACCAGAATTTAGACTTGTCCCATAGACACCATCTTCTTTCGCAGGTGGTTCTTGTATGCTCCGATCGATCCGTCCCAGCGTCGGACTGTCTTGTTTTCGCAGACCATGATGTCTTTGGCAATTTTATCGAGCAATCTATTTCAATTTGTTAGCCAGAACTTCACGTGGGGAGTTAGGATTAGAACGACATACCTGAAATCGTGAGACACAACAACGACACCACCCGAGAAAGCATTGATAGCATCCGCAAGTGAGTCAATGGTGGGAATATCCAAACCGTTGGTAGGTTCGTCCAAAAGTAACATGTTGGGACTCTCAATTGCGAGAAGAGCGAAGACGACACGTGATCGTTGACCTTCAGACAGAGTACCCATCAAGGCAGTCTGAGATTCACCAGAAAGACCATAGCGACCAAGCTGTTGTCTCCAGTATTGGTAATCTTGTGAAGTTGAGGCATACTTGTCACGAACAAAATCGAGGGCCGACTTGGTCAGGTCCAATTGATCTGCAGAGTGCTGAGAATACAAACCAAGCTTCAAATGAGTATGTCTACTGACACTTCCTGATGTTGGGCTGAGCTTGCCAGTCATGATACGCAACAATGTCGATTTACCGACACCGTTAGGTCCCACAAGAGCTGTTCTGCTGTCCATGTCGACACCTAGATCGAGATTCTCATACAAGTTGTCCTCCGGCTTGCCTGAATAGCTGAAAGTCACGTCATCGAAGGACAGGACTGGGGGAGGAAGTTTGTCGACATCAGCGAATCGGAAGGTGAAGACACGATCTTGGATGACTGGTTGAATGAAACCATCAGCCTCCATCTTATCCAGGATCTTCTGTCGAGACTTGGCTTGTCTGACCAAATTGGCATAGGTACCAGCCGAGGCGATGAATTTTTTGATATGAACAATTTCGTCCTGTTGTTTGAGGTAGGCCTTTTGTTGATTGGTCTCTTGCTCGGATCGTGTCTTCATGTAGGAATCGTAATTACCACCATAGTAGATCAGCTTCTTTTCTCTCATATCGATCATGTTTGTGCAAACACCATTCAAAAAGTCCATGGAATGTGAAACCAGAATCAAAGTCTTGTCCCACTTCTTCATGTATTCTTCAAGCCACACACAGGCTTCGAGATCAAGATGTGCAGTGGGATCATCAAGAAGTAGTAGAGAAGGTTTGACGAATAGAGCTCTACCAAGGGCAACACGCATTCTCCAACCACCAGACATGTCTTTGGTCTTCTTGTGGATTGTCTTCTTGTTGAAACCAAGACCGGTGAGGATGAGGGAGGCGCGCACTTCGAAGGTATTTGGATCCATGGCCTCGGAACGCTGTTTGATGTTAGTTGATGTTCCAAATGAAGGATGTGTACACGAACCTCATAAATATCCATCAACGCGGGACTTTCTGGGCCCTCCTTTTCCAGGATCTCTTCAGCCAAATCGTCCAATCTCTTGACCTCCTTCTCGGCTTCTTTGATAACCCACTCGAGAGCACCCAAGTCGGTTGCTGGTGCACCTTCATTGAGAAGATAAATGTCGACATGTTCTGGGAAGGGATATTCTCTCTTTTCAATGGCCTTCAAGAGTGTTGATTTGCCACAACCATTCTCACCGAGGAGGCCGTATCTTCGGCCAGAAGTAACTTCGATTGTAGAGTCGGCAATAAGAACTTTACCGTGGAAGACTAGAGAGGCTGAAATGATTTTGACATCGCGACTGGCCTCGAGGGAAGCCAAAACACCGGTTGTCACTCTGTCGGAAAGACCGTGTTTATCCATCTGTTCAGTCAATTTCTTGACCTTTTCCATTTTATCGGCTCCAGTTGCAGGAGTGTCGATTTCGTCTTCGTCGAGCATAGGAGGGTCATCGTCACCAGCGACGGAAGATGCTTTGGATCCGTTGGTGGAGGCATTCCTTGATGCAGCCTTGGAGGAGAGTCTGGATGCAGCCGTCTTCTTCTCACCCTTCTTCGCAAGACGAGCGGCTTTGGATGATGAGACTGGCATTTTGAGTTGGGTATTTAGGATGGTTCTTGAGAGCGATTCAGAGGATTTGAGGATTCGTGTGGGAAGCCCAAAAAAAGAAGAATTGGCGGGGTTTCCTTATCGATTATCGGTTGCCTGCGAGAAAGATACGGTAAGGCGGGGTGGGAGAAAATCGACAGTAAACCCTCCTAAGATGGCTTGATGCAAAGACTCGAATAAGACTTCGTGGGTCTAGTTTGGAGTTGTTGTCTCAAAAAGAAAGTAAAGAGAAGTAGGATGTCGGGAACAGCGTAGAGGGGGAAGAAGAAGTGTTGGTGGTGGTTGTATTGATGGCCCTGGAGTGAGTCGTTGGAAGGCAAGAAAATTTGGTTGCCGCTCTTTGATTGAACGTTTGCAGGACAAAACCTGAAAGTGGAGACCCAACCACGTCACATTTGCCAAGCCTACAGATTGCTGATGCACTGCACTGGGCAATTGGGGAAGTCACGACTGGTCCAAGTCGCTGATGGTCATCACCTTCCTCTAGTGATTGCTTAAATATGATTCTATACATTTTCCAAATCAGAGGAGTCGGCTTGGATTAGAGTAGTCTGCATGATCGAGAGTTCATACCGTCTAAACCAGACTACTCTACAGAGGCAGCCAGTGCAGAACGAGAAACCAGAAGAAAGGATAGGCGTCATCTCATCTCATTGACATTGAAAGCTATGCATCTCCCTGGTTTTCCTATGTCTGTTCTATTTAAAAAAGCTCCTGTTCACCCTGCTAGGACCTGGAATGATATGAAGGAGTGATGCATAGTTGGATCCAAGGTCCAAGCGGGCTGCTTTTGGTAAAAAGAGAAGTCGATCATTTCAAGACTCGACTGTATGAAAATTCATAAATCATGGCATCTTCTCTCAGGGCCAGAATCTGTACCTTCCGCTCGAAGTTACCGTTGCCGTTGCCGCCGGCCAATCTCCCCAGGTCGTGCCGGTGACACCGCCACCGCCGCCTCCAGTCGGTCCAACTTGAGTGCAAGATTTGGTGTCAACCACTGTAGCTGTTGCTGTGGTGGTGGTCGTTGTTGTCGGCCCTTCTCGAGTGATCGTGTTGGTCAGTGTTAATGTGGAAGTAACTGGGCCAGGCCCTGGGAGAGTAATCGTGCGGGTTTGAGTTTGAGTTTCGATGTCTCCTGGCTGAGTAAAGGTCACGGTTTGTGCAGGACCTGGGCGAGTGATGGTCTCAGTTTGTCCTGGACCTGGTTGCGTAATTGTTACGGTTTGTGCTGGACCACCTGGTTGAGTAATTGTCACAACATCTCCAGGGCGAGTCACGGTCACGGTTTGTGCTGGACCTCCTCCGGGTTGAGTTACTGTCACAGTCTGAGCTGGGCCACCTCCGGGTTGAGTAATAGTGACAGTCTGAGCTAGACCTCCACCAGGTTGAGTTATGGTAATGGTTTGAGCTGGACCAGGTCGAGTCACCGTCACAGTCTGAGCAGGGCCTCCACCAGGCTGGGTAATTGTCACTGTCTCTCCGGGTCGAGTTACTGTCAATGTCTGACCTGGACCAGGTTGAGTTATAGTCACAGTTTGTGCTGGACCTCCAGGTTGTGTGATCGTGATTGTCTGCCCAGGACCTCCAGGTTGGGTGATTGTTACGGTCTGTGCTGGACCTCCTGGTTGAGTAATGGTAACAGTTTGAGCTGGACCTCCTGGTTGTGTGATTGTTACTGTTTGAGCTGGACCTCCTGGTTGAGTAATGGTAACATTTTGACCCGGACCTCCGGGTTGGGTCACAGTCACGGTTTGAGTAGGCCCTTGTCGAGTGACTGTCTGAGTTTGAACTTGGCCGGGTAGCGTCACAGTCTCTGTTCGTCCAGGTCCCGGAATCGTCACCGTTTGAGCAGGACCGCCAGGTTGGGTGATCGTTACAGTCTGAGCAGGACCTTGTCGGGTTACCGTCTGAGTTTGAGTCTGTCCAGGGAGCGTCATCGTTTCTGTTCGTGCGGGACCGGGGATTGTCACTGTTTGAGCAGGGCCAGGAATGGTAACAGTCTGGGTTGTTCCAGGTCCAGCTTGGGTTACCGTACGAGTAATAGTATTTGCAGGTCCTCCTTGGGTGACGGTTACAGTAGATCCAGGTCCAGCTTGAGTTACCGTGCTAGTAATAGTATTCGCAGGACCTCCCTGAGTGACTGTCACCGTGGATCCAGGCCCTCCTTGAGTCACCGTTTGCGTAAGAGTTACCGGTGGTCCTCCTTGAGTGATGGTTGTAGTCGATCCAGGTCCGGGCAGAATTACTGTGCTAGTGATGGTAGATGGCGGGCCTCCCTGTGTAACCGTTTGAGTCTGAGTTATAGTGACCGGAGGACCTCCCTGAGTGATGGTCTGTGTGATTGTGCGTTCTCCGCCATCCCGAGTTACAGTAACAGGAGGACCGGCTTGAGTTACGGTTGAGGTGAATATTTGCCCTGGGCCAGCGATTGTGGTCGTAAAACCTGGGCCAGGAACGGTCAAAGTCGTGGTTCTAACGCCACCATCTTCAGTTACCGTGGGCCCTGGGATGCTCACAGTGACCGTCGAAGGGCCAGGACCTGGAAGGGTGACGGTGACGGTTGAACCAGGATTGGTTCCTCCAGGACCAACAGGAGTCAATGAAGGGCACGAGCCCGGCTGAACCCTGGTTACTGTAGTATAGACAGTAGACAAGCATCCAGAACCGACAGGATTGACATCTGTACTACCACCACCACTTCCACCCCCACCATAGGAATCCCAAGATTGCCAGGCAGAAGAGGTAGCAGCATCATCCCGGGCGTGGAGAGGATTGGCAACTGCAGGCAAGCTACTTGATTGTCAGAGAACCTTCCAAAGTACTTGATGAACGAAGTGGGCAAGAATTGACGCCCTCGCAACCGCTTCATGGAAGATCACTTACCTGAGTGCCGTGCCGGCAAGGAAGCCTAACTTCACAATATTCAAATGCATGGTTGCAGATGACTCAAAATACCTTTGAAAAGGCTCAATCAAACGAGTGGAAGGCTGGTCGGTCCTGTCGAAGTTGTCGAATTCTAAAAGATGAGGACTTTCTTCTGACCTTTATAGACAACAATCAATCTCGTGTACGAGAACGTTCGCCATCATCTGCTTGACTTACACGACAGAAAAGCAGGAACGGGTTCCTTTCCTGACCTTGTGTTGCTTTTGGTGTGCATGTTGAGTAACTTCGATATTCCTCGTCCCAGGATGCGAAAAGCCCAAGGCTGGGATCTCAATAACCACTTTGAATCAGCAATCCAGCCAATATTACAATGAGATTTCTCTAGCGTTGTAACCGTGATGTTGTTCGTGCAGCCTCGCCTATGCAGCATTTACTGTTTATTCTTAGAAACTCCACATCAGTGACTTCAGCAAGTGAAGTCGGTATAGCTGAATGGTGACACAGCATGGAGTTGCTTGGGTATAGCTGACCCATGTTCCGAATACAGCTGCAACATTCGCTGTGCTATAATATACCAGGTCAGGCCCGAAAGACCAATGGCTTTCGGAAATCAAGGCAATGTGCCGTACATACACATATTCGGGGCTGGAAAAAATGTCTCTAGCCGAGTTTGATAAATATGGGCAAGTCATGAGGCCCAAAATTGGATCACAGCGAAAAGATGAGTCGTTGATTGTCTTCGTTAGATATAGCGGTGACGACTGGCATCAAGTCTGATATTCCGCTTGTGAACATATGGGCTGTGGATAATTGGGCAGGCCATTACTTCCTAGATGGAAGCCAAAGCCGGCGCCCATCAAGAATACTTTGTGCTAAACCTTGCTGGGTCAAACAATTCGTAGCACCGAGAGTCTTGAGGAAAGACACGGTTGATTCGAACTGTACATCGATGATCCTTGAGTGCACACTTCCAGGAGATTATGGTGTCCTGGATGAATGCCAGTAATTAGACAAGAAGAATTAAACGTACGAAGATGGCTGTGTGGGCTTGTTTTTCGAAGATCGAGATAGACGTGGATGCGCAGATCCAGAACAACAAGCCAAGTGGAAGGCGGATTCAGTGTACAGCATACCAGACCCGTGCTCAAGGGAGCTTGTATCACCGTCAGAGATTCCGAATGAATTCACTTCCTGACGGAACCCGGTGGCAAGGCGATATGCAGCGGACTAATGCGGTCGATCCAAAAATCTCCATGATACCCAGTGGTTTGGTCTCAGGTGCTGAATTTGTTTGTCTGGACTTGGTCATTGAACAGTGATATTGTGCGAGTGATGGTGTGATGCTGCGTGAAGATGCAATCTCCGGAAACCTTCAATACTTGTTTCTGGGGGGAAGATTGACTATAGCTTTGCTATTGTTCATGTTGAGGCATCATGAAACGGCGTAATTGTGGACCATCTAGTGACACCGTTCTGACGACACTGCTCAGGCTGGAATGAAATTGTACGACAGAAGAGGAGGCCAACCATCTGAATTAACACTTTCGTCTTCCACGGAGCTGTCAGAAGCATGTCTTGGGTTGCAATGAAATTCCATGCAACACATGGCCGATTTTCGAATCCAATGCCAATTTATTGAGGAGAATGTTCATCGAGTAAGTGAATGGCGAAGTTGTTGTGTTGCAGCTCACAAGGTGGGTTGGCGTGGTCAACAGCTCACGTCTCGAAGGGGTAACAGCAAGTTTGCACATTCCCTTGGAGACAAGTGGCCAACCTTACGATCTCCCTCGTACAGCGCCATGAATCACCAAGTTGTCCTTGGAGTACCTGGAGTACCCTGTACCGTTTTGGTTGACATCAGCAAGAGTCTTGACACGAAGAAGTCGATATGCAGAACTTGAAGCCAGAGCCCCTTTTCGTGATGAATGGGCGAAGAACCACTTCGGCCCGACTTCCATCTTCAGCTGTGAGCTTTCTTGGACGGCAACATCAGGTTCAACATCACAATCCTTGTTCGAGCTTTGAAATCTTTGTCGATGAATGCGCACCAAGTTCATCATAAATATGTGTAAATAAAGGCATCGTGATTCCTTACATTCTTCTTCCGAGAGCATGTTAGTGGACTATCATGTGATGTGATTTTTCACGAGTCCAGCTTCGATTTCATCAAGATTCTTCGAGCACCCATGGGTGTCCAGTAGGTGAGTACCCAGGTAGGTGTGTTCAATCAAGGCTTGTGAAGCCTGATTCTCCTTTCTCTCCGTTGATAGTGTCCAAGAGAGATATTTGTGGGAATAAAGAACAATATGAGGATGGTTGATATTGTTCTTTTGTCTTAGTTTCTGGAGCTATCTTGGCTCATCGCTGTCCATTTGAGCAGTGCAGACGTTCTAGAACGAGAGACTGAGTGGATTATATGGCCATATCGGTGGTGGCGATCAAAGACTATGGTATATTGGACGTAGTGCTGAGCAGGCGAAAGTATCATTGAGTATGAAGGGCAGTTGTGAATATGCCAAAAGGTCATTGGCAATCTCAGAGGATGACGACTTTGACGATGGCTTCATGGTGTACTTGAACCTGCGACTAGTCGCCTCCAGACTGACGTTCAAGCCCAAGTGAAGTTGGTCACTTGCTCTGCTCTTCACTTCACTTCACGACTGCCAGTGCGCGAGATTTCAACTTTTTCAACCTTCAATTTGGTTCTCTCTCCTGCGCGCACAACAAACTCCCCCCATACCCATCTCCTTGTTAATCATCAGTTCTTCCTTTTACTCCTCCTTGCCATCAAAACTTATCTCGGCATCGTCGCTCACCCTCGACGTCGCTCACCAAGCACCAGCTGCGTTGAACGCGACAGTGTCACTTCTTCCAGCACCTCAACACCCACTCTCACTTCTCACTCATTCCTCAATTCTGTCTACGAAATGGCCATGCGTACGATCCCGGGATTGACCTATCCTGCACCTGTTGCTTTTCCTACTGTTGGGTTTGGAGGCTCCTACTATGACTCCCCCGTGTTCTCATTGCCTTCGTACGGTACTCGCCCAGCTGTTCTCACATGGCGCTTCATCGATGACTATTCGCGACTCGTGGTCAACAAAAGTTCCACTGATGGCATTGCTGCAGGCATGACTTGGGCCACTTTCATCTACCTACTCGCCCTGGCACCCAACCAAAAGAGAACTTCACTATTTCATACCTGCTTGCTAGGTGGGGTGACCCTTCTGCTGGTGCATTTGATGATCAATATCATCTCGGCTGGCACTCCTGGCTTGAGCAAATATTCGCCTTACATCCTACTCGTGGGTCCTGAATCAGTCATCTTCCCTGCTCGCTACATCGCAGTTCAAGCCGCAAGCTTGGTTACTGAGATCCTTTCCTACTGCTGCGCCAGTGTCTGTCTTTGGCTTCAGGCCAAAGGTTTGATGACTAGTATCCAGAACAGATTTCCTGTGCTTTACTGCGTCATTCTCGGCTATCTCGTCTTCTCCTCAATGGCCACTTTCGCCACACAATTGATCTGCATCGTCAAGACGCTTGTTCAGATAGACCAAAAGCCGGAGTACAACGCGGTTGCCGATTACTTGACATGGATTTATGTCTACCACACCACATTTGCAGTCAGCGTTGGAAGTTACGCACTGATCTCTATGTGTTCCATAGTGAGCATCATCTGGAGGCGACCATACTCTCTTGTCAAGACCCACAACGCTTATGCTTCGGCGTTGAACTTGGTTGGACTTCTTTGCGCTCATTCCTTTGTGCTGCCCTGTAAGTGACAGCATACTACAATGAACATCACTGAGTTCCACGCTAATCTCTTACTAGTCATCTTCTGCATTCTCTTACTGGTTAGCCACAGTCGCAATATCGTGGAGCCAAGTGTTATGATCTTACCCACTGTGTACCTGATCATTCCACTGGGCACGCTCTTCATGACCATCAACCAAAAGTCTACATCAACTACAAAGGATGATGTGCAGGTCAGAGCAATATTCAGCCCAACAAAAGCAAGCCATCCCGATCGTGGCCTCACGCAAACAATGACCAACAGCACAAATCCAAGCTCAAGCTTGACCGCCTTTCTCTCCGACCCGGAAGCTGGAAATCGTCCCAATGCTACTTCTCCGTTTGCTGAAGTTGATCGAGAACTTGCAGCCATTGATCTCATGGACTCCTCCACGATCGCTTCACTGTCTCAGTCATACAAGGGGAAGGAAGTGATGAAGAACGACAATCCACGACCCGATTCATGTGTCTTGGGTCCCAGTACCTCGTGGCTGGCACCAGTGAGTTGCTGCTCGCAGAACAAAGTGTCTTGCTAACATCACGCAGAAGGAAATGCGACTGGTCTACAATTGACTTGTGAGGTCAGAACAAAGCAGGAGTCCGAACGACCGAGACTGGATTATTCGTCTTCAGAAACCCAGAGCAAGAGTGTGAGAAGTATAATTTACCGAATCCAACAGGAAAGCACTTCCCTCAACATTTGCACATCTGCAACCAGAGTTGCCAAGGTTACGATCTTTGTATTGATGGAACATGACATGAGTGGTGATGACATCGGCCAAACTCCAGGCAAATTTGGTTTACATCGAAGCTTGAAACAAGCCTTAAGCACATATTGTCTACAGGATGACATGATGGAGGAGCTGCCTGGTTCAAAGGTATGCTGCCTAGGCATGAGCTGAGAGCTGGAATATTCAGGTTTCGCGAACTTCAAAGCATGAGACGCAACCGAATTTAGCTAGATGATCAGAAAGAGGAGTCCACGCTTATCGTGCCTCGAAGGAAATTCAGTTTGTCCCCTGCAGAGAGTACTTATACTCCCACTTCCATTCTCAAGCCGACACATCTCAGCATATCACATCACAACCCACTACCCACACCACTCCCAACAGCAGCAGCACCATGCCCAACAACTCGCCTCTTGACAAGCCTGACCCACCTCCTGCGCCTCCACTCGCCGGTGCGGCCTTTATTCTCGAGGCGCGTCGCCTCCTCCCAATCTCGGACACTACCGAGACTGACCTTGGCACCGCGTTTCTTCTCCTTCTCGCGCTGCTCTTTCTCCCTCTTCTTCTTCTCGGCTTTACTGCGCTCTTCCGCCGCCGCCCGCGGAATGTCGTAGTCGCCGTACGCGAGCCACAGGTCGTCGTCGCGGTTCAGCCCGCTGCCCGGCACCGGCGGCAGGTCCCACACCCAGCCGCCGAAGTCGAGGTTGACGCTGCCGCGGCGGCGGTGCGTGGACGGATGTTTGCTGTGCTGGGAGGTGGACGTGGAGGTGGATGTGCGTTGGTGATGGGAGGTGGGGGATTCGGGGATTGTGGTGGGGTTGTCGAATGTGATGGCCTCCTCGTTGGTTTCGTCGAAGACGGTGTCGTCGTCGTTGTCGTGCCGTAACACGTCATATTCGACGCCGACCACGAGTCGCTCGTTCACCCATTCGCCGGCTTCGAGGTCGAGTTCCCATTTCTTGCTGGCCCATTCCCAGCCTTCCGGGGGTGCTACGTCTTCGAAGAATCGTGTTCCTCGGGGTCGGTCGCCTGCTATGCGCGATGGCGAGAGTGGGTCGTACGGGCTGGGTGTGAAGAGATGGGGTTGCCATTCGGTTGCTGGGGCGTTGGCGGAAGATGAGACCGAGGTGAGTGGGCGGTGTTGTAGTTCGAAGACCTCGACTTCTTGGGTTTCCGGTGTGCTGGACAGGGTTATGGCGGAAAGGGATTGAAGCGTTGATTGCATTACGGCGGGAGTGGCGGGGAGGGGAATGCCGTGGATGAACCGCTGGTGTTTTAGTGTTGGGTCGTTGAGCGCGAGAGATGCTTGTCGTTCAGCGCGCTTTTGCATTCGGGCGAGCCATTGTTGTGCTGTAGGGTGCGAGCTGACGGTGGTTGTCCAGCCTGCGAGGAGGAGGATGAGGCGCCACGGTAATAAGTGAGCTGAGATGAATGATAGAGTGGTCAGGATGGTCAAGTACAAGAATAGTTGTGAGGAGAACGTTTCATCGCTGAAGTTGGTGGCTGGTGCGATTGTCGATACAAGAACATCGTGCAGATTACTGAAGTCCGCCATGCAGTTTTGCAAGTCACGCATGTTGCGGAAGAAATCTTTCGACGTCTCGCTAGCAGGTTTGATGGTCCTTGCAGGGGCAAGTGCTGGACCAGCATAGTTTTGATGGTAGTATGGAGTGGTGCTCGAAATGGTGGTCGCTGGCGGTGGAGGTGGATGGCGTGAAGTAAAGGCTGGGACCATGATAAACAGCAACGCGACGGCGAGTGGAACGACAATTAGGAGGTGTGGGTCCAGACAGACAAAGGTATAGGTTGCAAGAAACGACAGGGTGTGAGATGGGGTCTTCCAGGTGAAGAGGCGGATAAGGCGATTTTGGAAGACAAATACTATTCCAATGCGTGCATTGAAACGACGAAAATTATTCGTCATCAATGGCAGCGAGAAGGCTGGGCGAGAGACATATTTCGACGACCTTCGATCCACCGGCGTGTCAACCAGGTCATCATCAACATCTTCTGACGATGGGATCACTTGTTGAAGGACTTTGGAGAAGAGTCGATCTTGTAAGGAACCTTTAGTGCCTGGACTGAGCTGACTTTTGTCGAGTTGAGCGGCGGCAAATTCTTGACCTTTGGTCTTCAGTCGAGAGGGTGATAACGAGCGCTTAAGACGACTTCGGCGGCTGGTAGGTTCAGGCTCGCTGGATGAAGTGTCGATATCACTTTGCGACACGGCGATGAGTGGAACAGGTTCATCGCGATTGGCGAAGACCTCAGCTGTGTATTCATCCATTACGCTGGGTCAGGTCGGCGGACCACGTTACATAGTTCCATTCCTTTTGTTGTTAACATCTGTGTACATGGATGAGTCTCTTGTCCAGGTAGGGTTCACGGTGCTCCGATCTGGCTCCAACTTGAAGTCGAAGAGATGTCGTCAGAGCCTCGGAGGACGCCACTGACATGTGGCTGACCGCCTCAACGCACGTGAGATCCAAGCTAATCTATTTCGAGCACACGGCTCGGATTAATCCTTCGGGGCTGGGTGGCATAAACTCAGATTCCCAACTCTCGAGATGGTCAAAAGAAGGGAGAGCAAGGGGCAGGGGGTTGATCGATCGAATCCGCTAACAAGCTTGATATCATTCTTGAAGTTAGACTGTTCTTTTTGGTTCGCACAGGAGGACGTCGTTAATTTGTGGTAGGCTGGTCGCAGCGTTGGTGCTAATGCATCAACATTCAACCACGGTTAGGCCATCCTTTGTTTGTTGTGTGCGAGGACCACCAACGAGAGCGGACTCCGTATCCTCGCATCATGCCAGCCTCGACAAGGATCATCACAAGTCCAAAGAATATTCCTTCCACGTACTTGTTATGACTTGTGGCATTTTCGTAACCGGACGGATACTCGGTACGGGAAGAATGCACTGCAGATCTCTGGACTGGGTCTCTTTTGATTAAATCCCCGAGCCTCAATTCAAAGACGAAATTGCTGTTGATAGAAAACTTTGGCCAGCGATGGTCGGATAGGCAGGTTGGCATGGATTGCATGTCGCTAAGCATCACTGGCAGTGGCCAGCCGAATTAAGAAAAGCCACCGAGGAGCCACAGTCAAGTTTGGTCGATTCAATGCCCCTAATAGTCGATCGTCTGGACAAGTCTTCGAGACGGTCACTCCATCCATCCCCATACGAATGTCCAGAATTAACCTGTCAGAGAGCAGTGTCGTCTGTTAGCCACAGCATTAGTCCCTCCCGTCAGGTACAAGCACCAATTACTAGGCGTGGGTAAGGTGCATGGTGGTGGACACTCTGGGGCCTGGGCATCGAAAGTACTCGTAGGCGTGGATGCTGGGCATGATAGACTGCAGTGTTAGCTACCGTTAGCCTAAACCCCTGCTCTAGACTGATAGTTACCGGGTAGGTAAGAGTAAACCCCAAGCTTACGAGCACCACCACCAACTTGGACCTGACTGCCCTTTCAGCCAGAAATTCATGCACAGGCCTTTACCGAGCACTGCGTCCTGAATCTTGATGCTTGATGGACGATTATTGTCACCGCAATATCCTCCTATTTCATCTACGTGGTTGTTCCTACAGTCCCTTTGATCTTTGTTGACATTGTGTTTCATAATCTCCAATCCTCATCCTCACCTCACTGCAACTACATCTGCACCTCTCGATTTTCGGATATCATTTTCTCCCCTTGCCACCGCAGCTCAGGAGCGCGTGGCCTGCCAACTGTCCCTCCTAACCTAATTCATCCACCGCCAGAGGCACCACGAGGCACCGCACCCGTGTCTGCTCACCACCACCACTGGGTCGCGACTTAGGCCATTCGACCTCCTTCCCTTGACGACAATTCAGATCCTCTCCAAGGATGGATTGAGCAACTCTAAATGGTATTGCATGTCGGAGACTGAATGGTGAAAGACGCGGGATAGTACACGCACGGCCGGACCTGCACGGTGTCGATTGTCCAAGCGTTCGAGTTGCTGAACCATGCCTTACCGTCAAAATGCATCCATGCCCTCCTCTTCGAATCCCAGCTCGAGCTCTGGCTCCGGTTCCTTGCAAACTCGATATACAAATCCTGTCAGAGCCGAAGATCTGGATAATGGTGGTACGAACTCGCTGCATCATGCAAAGGCTACCTGCATAAAAGACACCCCTGCTGACACTGCCCTTTTTGCAGCCGACAACTTGAACCCTCACGCAAACGCAAGGAAGGGCCCCTCCTTTGTCATGAACTCGACCTCGTCCGCTCCCAAACGTGAGCCTGGTGACAATGTAACCTCCACGGCCACTCTCGCAACTCGAAGAAGACAGTCCTCGATCCCTGGTATCAAAGGTCCGATGGGTCCACGACCTCTGGATTATGGTTCGGGGACGGGGACGGGTAAAAGGTACCACTCAATCGCAACCACAACCGTGGTTTCCAGAATCTCTACTGACTCACACTTTCCTCAATCACAGAACAGCTAGCAATTCAATAAATCCGCAGTTTAATTCCCTAAGAGGTGCCTCCGCCGTCGCTTCTCAAGATCCCTATACCAACGAGCTATCCATCAACGATATTTCCAGATTCAGCTTTGCATCTATACAAACCAAACCCTCCTCCAACCAACAGCGTGATGCCACCTTGGATTTCGGTAACTTTCTCGAGCCTACCTTCAATTTTGACGACTTTCAAGATACTATAGTTGGCACCGAGCCCAGTCTGAACCACTTTCCTCTGCCAGGAAGAGGTGGTTCTGTCAAAATCCCGACTGCCAGCACCACCGCCTCGGCCTCGGCCTCTACCTCTGTCACTCCTGATTCCTCCCAAACCGAGCAGAAGAAACCTACTGCACAAGCCGCCATTCCTATACCTGCCCGTAAAGGCTCTGGCATAACTCCCATAACCCGTAAGAGTTCGACCGCATCAAACACGTCGAGGAATTCAGCAAAGTCCGATTCCATGTCCGCATCCACTACCTCGATCCTTCGCGGTAGAAGACAGAGCCACTTTCCACCCAACTCCTTCAACAATGCAGCACCTACAACCAAGGCTCCCAGGAAATCAGTCGGGCCTGGGACATTTGTCGCCCCAGAGTCATCGGATAAGCCTGTGGTCAAACGGAGACCTAGTGTCGGCGGGAGAAAATCGAGTACGGAAAGTACAAAGAGTTTACAACTTAAAACGTCTCTTGGACCCAAGAGAAGAACATCCAAAGACCTGTTGACACCTTCGAGGACTCCAGATCAACTAAAAATGAGTTCTGGAGGTGTTCCCAATACCCCGACAAGGAGAAGTGGAACTCCTGGAAGGACAACAACTCCAGGTGGTAATGCTGATCGAAATAGAAGGATGTCCGTCATGCCTCACCATGCCACAGGTCTAGGTGCTCGCACCGTCAGCCCAACCGATGCCAGACGTATGAAACGTATGTCCATCGTTCCTCCTGCACCTCCGTTACCTCAGAGCAGGATATCTCAAGCGCCTCCAACACCATTACCCGACCCAGTACCCCAAATGCCACAGTCAGACATCCAATCACCAGTCGTGCCCAGTCGAAAGAGTTTGACCCCTTCATCTTCGAGAACAACCCCCGATCCGAATCGAAAATCGTACAGCTCTGGTCAGTCTTTGTCTTCGAATACTAGTTATAGTTCTGTTCGCAACAATGCGAACAATCCAGCAAGACTCCCGCTAAATCCCAATTCATCCCGTCTACCCACCCCCAAACCAAGATTGGACACCTCCGGAAATACAACCTTTGAGCTCGAAGTCCCGCCTGTACCTGCGATTCCCAAAGCTTACGAGTCTCCCGGAAGTGAACACGATCAGCCATTCTTCTCAGCCCGATCATCAAGCCTTCCTCCTTTTGATGGAGTAATATCTGCAAGTCCAGTCATTTCCACAGTGGCAGATGCAATGAAGGCGCTCGAGACGCCTCGAGCCCCTAGCACTGCTTCACATGTTTCATCCAACCAACCTCTTTTGCCCGCTCCGACACTGGTCTCGATCGAGCCAGAACTCAGAGCCAAACCACAGCGCAAACCGAGCAAGAAAAATCTACATACTCTGAGATTACCTCCGCTGAATCTTCTTCCTCTGAGTACGCCTACAGCTGCCAAGATCAAGTCTTTTAATTCGAAGATTGAATCTGGTGAGGGAACAACCACCCCTCCAGCACTACGCAGTACGATGAAGACACCAAGTACGCCTATGACAGCATCCAAAGCGAGCTTCTTCTCTCAATCCCATAAGGGTGCTACCGAAACCATCCTCCGGAGTTCAACTTCCCATCACGCACTTCGTTCTGATGATTTACGCCCACCGAGTGATATCAGTCCTAACCTTCCTGTGTTCACATTCGAAACAGGCAAATCTGATCGAAACCTGTCACCTTTCGTGTCGTCCTCCTTGCCGAAGAGCGCCGATGATTTCACGACGTATATGAGACCTAACTTCATCACCGAGTTGAGTCGTAATCCTAGCCAAGCGAAGCCGAATGGACCACGAGCACCAAGTTTCTCAGTAACACCCAAAACGGAGGTAGCAGCAAGCCCTATCAGTGCTGAGAGACCAGCGGAAAGTGAATCTGTCTTTTCCACTTCTGTGTTGCGAAGGAAGCTAAGCCGAAAAAGAAGCGAGACTCAGGTGCTGGAATCGGCAGCGCAGAATGATGATTTGCGAAAGTATGATAATATGCCCCCTCCGAAACTTCCAGCTTCTTCGACTTGGACCAATCCTCAAAATGGTGGCTCCAGTCCTTCTCAGAAGCCTTCGTACCTGCGATCCCGAAGACAAACCTCGACATCGAGCATTCCAATTGAACCCAAACGTCAAGAAAGTCATGATAGTACAACGATGCACACTTCTACTGCACGTCCATCTGTAGACTCGAGCAGAACTCTTATGATGCAGACGAACAGGTCTGGATCACTGTCCGCGAGCACGCCAAATCTGGTGGGCAAACAGCCGTCTCAGCGCCAGCAAGAGCCGGTATTGGATCGTGATGACATGGTCGCGGAAGAAGAAATGAAGAAACTCGCCTCCAAAAGGAAGGATGCTGAAGCCGCTGCACGTCAACTAGATGCTCTTCGTGCACGGGCAAGACCAGTTCGACGGATGTCAGCAGAAACAGCTTCAAGAACATTTGAATTGAACCTTTTCGAACGAGGAGAAATTGTCGACTATCCAAACGTATATTTCACCGGCACGGCAAAAGCTCGAAAAATCATTGGTGATTTGAATGCGGCACCCACGAACTTTGGCTATGACGATGAGCGAGGTGATTACAACATTGTCGAAGGAGACCATCTCGCGTACCGTTATGAAGTTGTGGACCTTCTTGGTAAGGGGAGTTTCGGTCAGGTTGTACGTTGTGTAGACCACAAGACTGGAATTCTTGTTGCTGTCAAGATTATTCGCAATAAGAAACGATTTCACCAGCAAGCACTTGTGGAGGTCAATATTCTTCAGAAACTCAAAGAATGGGTAAGTCATTGAAGCCAGCTGGAGAAGTGAGAAAATACTAAACATGAATAGGATCCACACAAGAAGCACAGTGTTGTCAACTTCGATCAGAGCTTTTATTTCCGAGGCCATCTTTGCATATCGACTGATCTTCTGGATATGAACCTCTACGAATTTATCAAAGCTCACGATTTCCGTGGATTCTCTCTGAAACTGATCCGACGGTTCACAAAACAGTTGCTCCAAAGTCTCGTCCTTCTACAACAACATAAGGTGATCCATTGTGATCTTAAACCTGAAAATATCCTCCTGGCCCACCCTGTACACTCTGAGATCAAAGTCATTGACTTCGGGTCGAGTTGTTTCGAAAACGAAAAAGTGTACACGTACATCCAATCACGTTTCTATCGATCACCAGAAGTAATATTGGGAATGTCCTATGGGATGCCGATCGACATGTGGAGCGTCGGCTGTATTCTTGCTGAACTCTACACTGGTTATCCTATTTTCCCAGGTGAAAACGAGCAGGAACAGTTAGCATGTATTATGGAAGTTTTCGGTCCACCAGAAAAGCACCTGATTGAAAAGAGCAGTCGTAAAAAACTATTCTTCGACTCCATGGGCAAGCCTCGGTTGACTGTCTCTTCCAAGGGCAGAAGGAGACGACCGAGCTCGAAGGAGCTACGACAAGTCTTGAAATGTGATGATGAAGCATTTCTTGACTTTATCACCAAATGTCTGAAATGGGATCCTTCACGAAGACTAACGCCTAATGAGGCCAACAAACATGAATTCATCACTGGGGTTAAGATGAGTACAACTGCAACCAGACGAAATCTGATCGGAGCTGTAAACTCTCCTGTCAAGAGAGTTAATTCGGTCACGACTGCTGCAGGTCCACGTCCATTACCACAACCCCCATTTCTTGGTCTGAAGGCACCTACCGGCGCAAGGCAGGAAACTTCGCCGCACAAACCAGGGCCGCGGCGACAATCGACCGTACCACCGGCAGGATCTGCTCCGGGTACCTCTCAGGCTAAGCGAGCATCTCACGCTGCCATGAATTCATCTGCCTCTAACTCGGGTCTGGCACGGTTGACAGTAGGTCAGAGGACCATGAGCGGGAGATCTGATTTGGCAACTGCCGCCGCCGCCGCAAGTCTTGTGAAATGAAGTTCCAGGTGGTACGGAATGTGCCACTCATGTATGACGGTCACAGTTACAACGAGCTCAGCGGATCGATGAAGTGTACGTTAGATGTCGAATGGCCATTGGGAAGACGAATCTCTTTATCATTAATGAACATATAAACCCTCCGCATAGCCAAAAAGCTGGAATTGGAAGTTTCGGAGTGCACAAAACAATACTGTCAGTGGGAACGCGATTTTGGAAGGGCGCCAACTCTATCTGGAGCCCAACGGTCATGGTCGAAATTGATCTTCTCCAACAGTTGGGCAGCCTGACAGTTGTGGCATGATATGGCATGGCATGGCATTGGCATTGGCATGGATTCGGCATGACATTGCAACTTTGTTTTTTAATCACAATCAAGATATACCCTTTCGTGCGCGGCTGGAAGTTAGGATTAGAGAGGAACAGAACTCTGCCTCCATCGTTTACGCTGGAAGATTTTTCTGATTGCCAGGTTTTATTGATTGCTGAAAAGTTTCTCGATTTCTTCAAGTGCATGCAAGCCTGGGGAACGAAAACCATTGCAAAGATCATCAATACATATATTTTGAGTGTTGCTGCGAGCAATCTATCGTTAAAGCTTGTCTTCTGTGTCCCTGATCGCAACATCCCTCCCTCTCTCCATTAAATACAAGTGGGAGATGTACTATCTGGGCCACCCACCAGCCAGCCAGCCACACAACCCCCACCCAGACCTGGACGCAGCTTCTCATCAACCGAGCAAAGCCCGCAACAAAGTCCGCTCCGTCGTCTCCTCGGGGCACACGACCCTGCCGGGCACCCAGTCGAGCCAGTCGCTCGCCAAGGCGCCGTCGTCCGCGCGCAGAATCCCCACCGCGACGTTCACAACGCTGGGCCGCTCGTCGTGCATATAGAAGACCGTCGCGCCGCAGGTGCGGCAGAACGAGCGCGTCGTGGACGTGGACGAGCGGTGCTGCGAGAGGCGTGCGGAGACCGCCTCTTTCGCTGTCGCTGTCGCTGTCGAGGGGGAACCAGACGGGAGATTCGGCGGCGACGACGATGACGACGAGAGCTGGAAGACGTCCGCCACGGTGACTTGTCGTTCGTCCCCTTCAGGATCATCGTCGTCGTCGACAGGAAATGTGAACGTGATGTTCGCGGGCGGAATGTACGTCCACGGCTGTGCGAACCACGCACCATTCCCTGTGCGGTCGGAGCGGCATGCGCAGAACCACGCCGGGTATTTGGTCGTCGCGTGCTCGGCGATGTACCGCGCTGGGACGCCCTGCGTGTCGACGGCGTAGTCGGGTCGGCGGATCGAGAGCTTGACGCTCCCGCAGTGGCATGCTGCTTTCAGGCAGGAGGAGGATGCTGTTGATGATGGAGATGTGGATTTTGAGTTGTTAAGTCGCAGCTGCAGGACTGATTCGAGAGATGTCGCGGACCCAGGCGATGTGGCCTCGTCGGAGTATCCGTCCATGAAGAGCGGGATTTTCGTAGAGGCGGGGTTCGACAGGCGTGGCACAATGCCACCGTCGAGCGTGTCAGCGATGAACATGTGGCTTAGTGTATTCACGAGATCGGTGGCCCATGGTGCATCCGCTTCGATCTGTGCTGGGTCGCGCTCGATGAGGCCTGAGTTGGTATACCATTCGGGCTCTTCGTCGTCGCTCTCGATTTTGGCTTCGTCGGGGCAAGAGCTGGCGGAGGAGGGATCGGTCGTGACATCCAGCTCCTTTCGTGCAATGGCCATGTTCTGCGTGAAACAATGACATCCACACGTCGTGCAGAAATACCGCACAAACTGTGCGGATGTGGCGTAGGCGGTGCAGTGTGCCAGTGAGGCTCGGCTAGGTGATGTCGTGAGTGCCGGGCCTGACAACAGGATGTTTCCTGTCACGTAGCGGCAGCTGTTGCAGTGGCACATGTGGCTGGCGACGGGGAATGTCTTCGATTGCCCGGATGGTACGAGTAGTGTGCCAGGCTCTTTGACGGTGCCGCAGAGGCATGATAGTTGAGCCGTTGAGAGGGGGAATTGGTGTGGTTCTTGTTGATGAGGTTGAGTTGTCGACATTGTGTTGGGGAGGACCGTGCTCTCATGGACTTGATTATGTGCTGTTGATATGTTTCCTACCTGGATGGTGGGGTCGTTGACCTATATCTCATGAGACCAGGTTGTGCTGCCCGACAACAAAAGTCGTCTTGAGATACTTTGCGCCAACGATTTGTCATGACTTATCGACGATACGCGGGATCGACGTTGTCAAACTTTAGGCTTTATCGACCCTAAGAAATTGATGGAGGTCTTGGCTCTGTTTCGCGGGATGATGGAGGCCATCAGAAGCGCCATATATAACATCTCAATGCAATATATCTGTCTAGTATAATTCCTTCATCTAATGAGGTCTAATGCGATGCCCTCTATGGAGGTTGAGAAAGAATAGCTCTGCCATATTAGCCCTTTCCTTTGGGAACGCCAACCGGGCTGATCGATCTATCGATGAAATTTCACAACTTAGCCTTGGGCGCTTGCTCCTCCTGGATTCTTCGTCCGATCTCGTCGAACTCGATCTTCTTGCCTGTGATCAAGGATTCTTGCAATGCAGCACCAACCTTGACTGCCGTGACCGCACCCTCAAGCCTGAAAGGCACCTCGGTATTGTCGAGACAGCAAGCAGTGAACTCATTTGCCTCGGTGATGAAAGCGTCACGGAACCGTCCATAATAGTGAGGAGGAATCTCACGGCGGATTCCTGTCGAATCGTAGATGTTGACCAGATTCGACTGTGGCTGGGCATTGATGGAGAGCTTGCCTTCGGTTCCAGTGACTTCAGTCGTGTCTTCCTGGCCTGCAGCCATCATGCGGGAGCAGAACAGCTGAGCAATCTTGCCGCCGTAGAATTCGACGATACCGACTGCATTATCACGGTCGTTGTATTGTCGCAGCTCGGGACTGACCGCTGTGATGCCGACAGCGGTGACGGATTTGACGATGGAGTCTTCTCCGAAGAACCATAGTGCAAGATCAATGTCGTGAATAGAGCAGTCGACAAATATGCCACCAGAGAATTGTGCATACTGCACAAAGAAACCTGAAGGGTCGAGCTTGTCGCAGGTTTGACTGCGGAACACTGAAGGTCGGCCAATCATGCCAGATTTGACTTTGGAATACGCATCACGGTATGAGGCATCGAAGCGTCGGGAGAAGCCACAAATCACCTTCTGCGAAGGATGCTTCTTGATGGATTGACGATAGGCCGTAACCACAGTTTGCGACTGAATAGATGCATTTTTAGATTTGTATAATATATGGTAGAGTATGGGATTTTAGCTCTTACCACTTCTGGGCTGGTACTGAGAGGCTTCTCACAGAGAACATGGAGTCCCAGATTGATGGCCTTGATGGCTTGTTCAGCATGAACGACAGTGGCCGATGAAACGACCACGGCTTGGAGATCCTTTTCTGCCTTCAACATTTCATCATAATCGAGATAGGTCCTGACACCTTCCAAGTTGCGAGCTGCCCATGCAATCTCTTTTGGGTCTGGGGAGGAAACAGCTATCAACTCAGCTCTGGGTGTTAACTGATGAAAATGAAGAGCATGACGTGACCCCATGCGGCCGAGGCCTGCAATGGCGACTTTGAGCTTGGGAGAAGACATGTTTGAAAGCTTTGAATATGTCTTTCTCGAAGTGGGTGAAAGGTGGGAGGAATGTATGTTCGCTCGCTAGATTATTCTCCAGGAGAGTGATGAAAGATCAGGAGAAAAGTGTTGATGGTCTCGGCCGATCCCGCGCTCTATCCATACCAAAGTTTCCCCAAAGCTCAGTATTGCTCACCGCTGATTTGAAAATGCCATTGATCATAGCATGGAAATCCATCGGGTTCCATTGTAGGTGACGTGCATATACATGCCACATGTATCTGGTCAAATTCGGTTGCAGTTCTCACCGAACACGGTAGCGAATGGTGTTGGACAAGAACCATAGGACTACTTGCTGTCGAGCCTCGTGGCTCTTGTGTCACCACTTGATCTTACAATCATGATTGGCTTTCCATCGTCTACAGCTCGTCTTCTTTCTCTATTTCGCTGGACTGTTGTTTACTTGATTGTTACACAAACATGACAGCGCCTCGTGAAAGTCTCGGAATCAATATCCGGCCCTCTTTCAGCCTCCGAGACAATATGCGGTCAACCCTTTGTTGTCAAACAAGCTGATCATAATTTTGTTGAGGTCCGATCTCCAAGTCCTTGAGAATTGGGGGAGTAACCCCTGAATCCAGAGTCCAGACCTCCAACTCCTTTTTCAGTTAGATCTGGCCAGCTGCGCAGTGGGTGCGCCATTTGGGTGGGGCCCGGTGCCTACTAGGTAACCAATACCCCGGATCCCCCCACTTCCGCTATTGCCCATTCGACGGAGCATAAAGTTATGACGAAAATACAAAAGGAGTAGCTGATGGCGGGCATTACGAAAAGAGACAGTGTCAAAACAGAGTAATAAAGAACGACATTGCTATGGCAAGCACACCCACCGTGCTGCGGAGGAGCCATGAAGCGTGATACTGGCTCAGGAGGCAGGGGCAAAGCAGTGAAGCACTTCTCAACACCACAACTATAATGTTGGTCAAAAGTGTACATGCTCAGTTTGTTGATTTTATTTCTTATGGTACACTCGTTTGCTCTACCATATCCGGCTCTTGAATGAACCTAGCTGAGTTGCTGAATGTCACGTTGCTGACGTAATGGTCGATACCTCAGGGGCTGAAGCCTCGCGTTAAGAGTCTTTGACGGCAGCTTTGATAAAACCTTGGAGAATAACCAAATCGATACTAAGCTAAATATCGGTCTTCCTCAGTGCGAATCAACGTTCTGATGATGCCGCTGGGAAGCCCAAACTGCCCTCGATGCTAACTTCACGGCACGCTAATCCTCATCAGCGTGGCCCTCCTCAACAACCAATGCAGTCTCTCTCTCAATGGCGCTGATGTAATGCTCATCGCTCACAGTCCCTCTGCAAAATGGGCATATGTGATTTTGGTCTTCTGTGACAGACAGTCGCCACCACTCGATGGCGCAACTGAGATGGATTGCTTGCTTGCATGTTTGGCAGTTAATGACTGTAGATGGTAATTCCTCCATCGAATTGTCTGAGGGAATCACCAGAGCCATCGTACAGATCATACAGTCTCCAGCAGGCGATTTGAACTCGTGTTGAGCAGCACCTGCGTGGCTCGTAGATCTTGGTACTATTACTGCCAATTCTGGTTCAATGGCGCAGGCTGTTGTTAGGCTTGTGAGAGACTTGAAATCGTCCAAGAGGTCTACCAACCAGGGATATCGACGGATGAAGCTACTTCCTGATCGAATTTGTCCACACTGCGAGATCAAGGCGGACTTCTGCCAAGAGAACTCTTGCTCCGACCAATCTCAGTTGAAGCTCGCGATAATGAAGTCCTTTTCGTGTGTCGATATGCGCCTTTCTGCAATAGGCTGTCTGAACAATTGCCCCCTGGAGTTGTTCTTCGGCAGATGTTGCATGAATTCGTAAATTCTCTGCTTCTGACGCAGCCACCCGCCGTATCAAATTGGCAATCCGACATTCGAAGACATATTCGCATTCAAGAATGTCGGGATGGTGCTCTCGGACTTTAGACAGGAGATTGTGATCCAAGGAGTGACGGTGGGTCTCTTGCATGAGTTTCGCGCAAGCTTTATCAACTCGGTAGAGACCATCGTCAAGCTGCGAAATCTCTGTTGACAAATCAAGAAACTCATTCACACGCTGCTCAATGCTCTCTGTTTGGCCTTCCGGTGTCAAACCAATCGGAGTCGTAAACAAATCGTAAAGGCGCATGCTCTTTATGATCCTTCAAATGGCACGGGGGGCGGAAATCTGGATATCTTCTCCGGCAGGGCTATCGTCGTATAAGATGTATGCCTCGGAGTCTGGATCAAGATACCGAGCTTGAATATATGCCCAGTTTCTTTGGCCGACATCGTCAGCAGAGCCCAGCTCCTCGCCCAGTTTACCATCACCCCCGTTCGCAGCTGCACTTCGACCTTGAGCTTCAAGCTCTGCTAGGCGCCTTCGTGTGATATTGTGAATAGAACCCAGGTCATCGTCCGAGTTGTCATCATCCAAGCTGTCGTCGTCCATGCTGCCGTCGTCCATGCTGCCGTCGTCCATGCTGCCGTCGTCCATGCTGCCGTCGTCCATGCATCTTACCTTGATCTCGCTCCTCTATACGGAAACTCCGTAGCAGATCAACATGCGGTTCGAACACTGAAGGATGGTAAGCTCAAACCGGACTGTTTCTTTGACAGACGCATCCTGGGATTCCCCCCTGGTGTTGGTGTCCTGCTCATCATGTTCAATCGCTTCCACAATCATGTTGCTGAGCACCTAGCTGCAATCGACGAAGGTGGCCGGTTTTCCAACATTCTCAATCCACGGAGCAAACCCCGTCTCGCGAATGCAGAGGAGTTGTATGACGATGCTTTGTTCCAAGTTGCGAGACTGGTTACAACTGGCCTCTACATCAACATCATCCTGAAGGATTACGTTCGCACCATCCTCAATCTGAACAGAGCTGACAGCCACTGGAATCTCGATCCAAGATCTGAAGAGGGCAAGGCATTTCTCGGTCACAAGATTCCCGAGGCAACAGGAAACTCAGTTTCCGCCGAGTTCAATTTGGTATATCGTTGGCATTCATGTGTCTCTGAGAGGGATGAACAATGGACGAAGGACGTTTACACCAAGCTCTTTGGGAGTAGTCAATCCACTGAATCATTGGGGGATTTCTTGCGGAAACTTGGTGAGTGGGCGACCAAGCTCCCGACCGACATTTCACAAAGGGATTTCGCAGGTCTTGAGAGATCCTCTGATGGCAGGTACTCGGATGACAAGCTTGCAGCGATCTGGACTGCTTCGGTTCAAGATGTTGCTGGGAGTTTCGGTGCACAACACGTGCCCAAGGTGCTCAGAAACGTGGAGATTCTAGGAATGATCCAAAGTCGGTCTTGGAACCTCGCAAGTTTGAATGAGTTCAGAGCATACTTTAAATTGGCTCCTCACGAGTCCTTCGAAAGTATAAACCCGGACCCCGTTGTAGCCGAGCAATTGCGACGACTTTATGGTCATCCTGACAACGTTGAGATCTACCCTGGTATTGTTGTCGAGGCTGCTAAAGAACCAAAACTGCCGGGCTCAGGTCTTTGCACCAACTTCACAATCAGTCGAGCAGTCCTGTCTGATGCCGTTGCACTTGTACGAGGCGATCGTTTCTATACCGTCGATTACAACCCAGCCAATCTGACCAACTGGGGATACAACGAAGCGGACTACGACATCAATGTGAATTATGGTTGCGTCTTTTACAAGCTGGTCTTGAATGCATTCCCCAACAATTACAAGCAGAATTCAATCTATGCGCATTACCCTTTAGTGGTGCCGAATGAGAACAAGGCCATCCTTACTAAACTGAAAAAGGCCGATCTATACAATTTTGAGCAGCCTGCAGAGTTTTCTGCTGTGGTTACCTTGAAATCTCATGATACTGTCAGGAGCATTATTGGCAACACAACAGACTTTCATCCTGCTTGGGATGCTCAAGTCTTCTCGCCTACTCACGGACCCAGCAAGCCTGAACATCAACATCCGCTGTTGGCGCAGAAATTGTTAGAAGCAAAGGGCTTAGCTGGTGCGGCCACTGTTTTCTATAAAGAGGCAATTACTGCTCTGCTGAAGTCCGAATCGTACCAGGTTGCTGGCATTCGGCAAGTCGATATACTTCGAGATGTGTTCAATATTGCACATGCCCAGTTCACCGCCAAGTTGTTCTTACTGCCGCTGAAGGGACAGGAACACTCGAAAGCCCGGTACACCGAGACAGACCTGATTTCATTACTCTCAGCGATATACTCGAGTGTGAGCGCAGAACATGGACCCGCTCGACGTTTCGTCATCACTAAAACCAAACAAAAGGATGTCAGGCAATTAGCTGAGCACATACAGGATGAGGTGGACAGTGTGGTGAAAGGGAGCTTTGGACTTCACTCGCATTCGACGGTGCAGCTACGCAGCATTGCTGTCCAGGCTATTCAAGCTGTCTCTTCGGGCGGAGTGTCAGTCACTGACATCGTGTGGACCCAAATTCTGCCACTCGCAGCCAGATTTTTCATCTCACAATCGCGTTCATTTGCCGAGAACATCGACCATTTGTTCAGTGCAGGCCAAGAAAAAGCACAGCAACTGATCAATTCAGATGGCCCGACCAAAGCAGAGAAGATTCAGGAGTACATTAATGAAACTTCTGGACAGCAGCAAGCCACCCCAATTTCAAAGAAAGCTGTGGCATCTGCAACGGTCCTAGATGGGGAGCGGCAAGTCGAGATATTGCCTGGACAACTTGTTCTCTGTGATGTGGTAAGTGAAATTTAGTGAGCCTTTGTCGGCTTGAAACTTGCTAACGAGTATCCCAGCCTTCTGGAGAGTACGGCGCGGAGCAATCTCTCGAGAAACAACTGATTGATGCGGGGCTGAGTGCAGCGATCGAATGCTTACTACAATTAGGGAAGGTCACTCGGGCTGTCGGACCGACTGGCGGCTTGAGAAAGATCAAGATCAACAACACGGTTAAATACCTGAATATTGAAGAAAGTAAAACGGTCTTATATCCAGGTTCACTGAAGGTCGACTGGCAGCTTTGAGTGCGAGATGCATGGTTATGATGGTATTCCTGTATCTTTGAGCCAATAGCAGGAACTAACATATTGTTAGCAGGTGATAAAGAAGGAGGGCGGATCAAGCAGGCAGACAGACAGAAATCGATGTTGAGCAAGGCTGAAGTGGCAATCATGTCTTTATAAGTTACCTAGGTGCAGTCGCCATTCAGGCACCTGTGGGCGGGTTGACTAATACAAGAAAGTTTGCATTCAACGTGAGTATGACGTTTAATGAAAAAAAGGCATTTTAAGTATCAGTAGCAGAGACCTTGAGCCACTAGCTTTTTAAATACGGCGGCCTCTCCAACTGCAGTGAGCAATTCGTCACTTAAAAAGTACCTACCCAACTTAGTGACAACTTAGACTGTTTGTCCCACTTATGCGCCCGCCTGCAAACTCCAACGACAACGCAGGCAAGCCGCAAGAGGAGATCAGTACAGTCTCTTCAGCGGCACGCCTCTGCTTGTAACTTTGCAAACCACCGACTGCACTGTAACCACTTCCAGTCTATCATCACCTCTGCCACCATTTCTTTTCATCAAAGCTACAACTTACACCTCCACAACCTTCTCTCCTTCACTTTCTCTTCCATCTCTCTTCTTCCAATTGTAACATACTTCTCCGCTAAGACCGTCGCTCAGTCTGTTCACAAATCATCCCGCAAGAGACTGACCTCTTTCAACACTACCTCATTCACGCGGACCATTTCTTTTGCAGTGTTTCCTATTAACACCTCCGTTACTGGCAATTCATCTCACAGTGTCATTCACTGCCAAAACATCCTCCACGTCTTCCTTTTCTCCGAAGTCTTCCTCGAAGCGCCCTCCGATCCTCTACTGGCTGGTCCTTAACCCTTCAGCGCTTCCCGAGGCTGAATCGACTTTCATATCGCTGATGCAGCCTATGCTGTACCAACGTGGGCCCTAGAAAATGGTGAAGGTTACGAGGAAGCCTCAGGAGAAGCACAAGGTCTCACTGGTATGTTCATCTTTTCTCTGCTCTGCACATGTACTAAACTTCGTCATAGTCACCCGCAGTCTCAGATCTTGTTCACAAAGTCTCTACTGTTGGCCTCGCAGATCTGCCAGCACTTTTCACTGGATGGTCTCAGCGATGGCCCTACCCACGAGGTGATCTGAACAATTGGATCGAACCGCTTGACCGATTCGACTCCATCCTGCAGGATTTCAATACCAAATATGGTCTCGACAAAGGTCCCCAGACAATACCGTTCGGTGTCTCTCTGCTCCTCGAGGGAAGCCCAGGTGTCGATGAACAGAGACTCAAAGAGTTAGGATTTGGTCCTGAAGGCGATAGAGAGCTCATCGAAGCTATTCTGGTCTTTTCAAAATTGCTGGTGGAGAAATGTGCCAATAGAGTGGTTTACAACAGTACCGACCGATTGAATGACTTGCTCAATACCACCTCCTTCTCCCTCCTACACAGTACACTGAGGATCACTTTCTACCTTGCTCAGCGATATGCCGAACGCCCCCCTCCTCCCTCCAATCAGCCGTCCAAGTTTTACGACTTTGACCATGAGCGTTTACATACTCTCTCAGTTCCCTTCGGACGGCAGGCTCCTGTTCTGAAGCGGGCTCCTTCGTCTCCTGTCAAGTCCAAACTGAAAGAAAAATCTCCTCAAGCTAGCCGTTCCAGACGAGCCTCAGTCCCAGAATCCCCCAACTCCTTCCGTGCCCTTTGCAAAGACTCATCCTCTCAGAGTGAACGTGGCAAGTCAGCATCCTCTTCCGACCGAGACTGGCAACAGTGGGCTTATGTCAAGGTCTCGTGGAAATCTACAGACTCAGAACAGCATGTCGAACCCGGCACGGGCTCTCAGTCTGATATGCCTTCAACTCCTACTCCAGTTCGACGACAGTTCTCCTCATCGCTTGCAGGACCTCAGCTTGACATGTCACAGGAAGATGGACCTCCGCGGTCGGTCGAATCAACACCAGAGTCAGACCTGAGAACGGTTGAATATTCCCCCACAGACTTACAGAATGCCAGCATTGAGACTATCCTCAGCCGTCAACCCGAGGACATGCCCGCAAAGGCTAAATATGAGCTGCTGCACCAGCTTCGTATCGCCTATGGCTTGATGACTTCGTCCAAGACACGCAAGGAACTCCTCGCCATTCGCCTTTTGTCTATTGCAAGTCTTGCTAACGTCCTTGGAGAGATCGAGCTTGCCCAGAGATTTATTTCAACTGATGGAATGTTTGGTAAACCTGGGCATAATCTGTGCGAACAACTTCTTGACTTGCTTTATGAAGATAAGAAAACCAGCTCGCCCGTATCGCTTTATCTGCAGACCATTGCTATGGAGACAATGGGTATTCTAGCTCATCACAAACTTTTTGCTCCAGACATTCATGGTTTGTTGGGTGCCGGCTCAGCCCATGGACTTCTGGCCCACCTTACGGAGAAAGGTCTGAAAGATATTTCCAAAGACAAGGACAGCACAGACACTGTCGTTGGTGATGATTGGCGAGATGCTATATTTACTTTACCTCGAACAGTGATTGAATGCGGGGGGCATCATGGACGTTCAAGTGAAGCAGTGATACCAGCAAGTTTCGTCACAACTTACCTCTCTGGTTTCAGATTGACCACGGGCAAGGCATTACGTGTCCATCTGCGAATGCTTGATTTCATCAAGACCTTCTTCCATCATTTCAAAGATGGTATGGCTACCCTCCTGGCAAGTAGTGCGTTCGAAGCAATCAGTAACCTTCTCGGAAATCTTGCGAATGGTGCTTGGGACCTCTTTCAGAATGGTGGAGGAATTCCAGCACAGTACAAGACGAGAGCGACAGATTACGAGATTCCATACATGCATCAGCAAATCATCCGATCCATCATCGACATGATCAATGATATCAGTGGACATCAAGGCGCCCAAGCAGATCGAGTATTGAGGAGCTTGGTTGACTCGCAAGCTCTGCTACGATCCTTCCGCTTGATCGTTGATAATCTATCCGCATTTGGACCGTACACTTGGAGTGAGGTCGTGAAAGCAGTCTGTGGCTTCTTGCACAATGAGCCTACCAGTTACACTGTCATCGCCGAGGCTGGTATTATTCAAAGTCTCTTGGATACTGTGAACGCCTCTCCTGAGGATCCTTCCAATTCACCTTCTGCAAAAGCATCGAAATCAATCTCCTCTGTCCCCAGCGAACAAGCTCCGGGTATACCAGCTGCTGTTGATGCCATCATAAATGTCTCTCAAGTCTTTGGCGCTATTTGTTTGACAACTGCTGGTTTTGACTTGTTCAAGTCCTCCGGAGCACTTGACAAATTTTTTGAGATTTTCGAGTCTCCGGCTCATGTCAAGGTTCTCAAGGATACAAACACTCTGGCTCTGCTAGGATCTACCTTTGATGAGATTGTGAGACATCACCCTAATTTGCGGACCGCTGTTCTCAGTGCAGTGATTGTCATGCTTGCTCGCGTGCGACATATCACTCGATCATTATCAGTCTCAATTGGAGCTGGCCCGAAGCTATGGCTTGGTGGCACCAACGACGAAGATGAGCCCTCCGGAGGTCGTGAGGCACTGTCGTTGGAAATAGTCCCGCCTGCTTCAGATGCGTCTGGTGATTCCCGCGTCTCGAAGCCCCTCGAGCTACCAAATGGAAAATCTTTGCACATCGCCGACGAAACCTTGCCAGCAACAGATACTTCTGCGGTCCCCACCGACTGCGATCGCCACGGTCTTTCTGCAAATGACTATGCGAGGCCCGCGATCGCTTTCCTGGTTACTTTCTTTGAAAACCAGGGTTTATGTACAAGCTTCCTTGAAAACGGTGGCGGAGATATTGTGCTTGACTTTGTGACGTTGCCCAGTCTTCCTGTCGGAGAACAAGCTTTGAATCGTCGCGATGGTTTATTTAACGAGTTATCTTCTGCGGTGCATATGATGGCAGAGACCAAGCCTAACCTTATTCTTCCAGTCTTAGCGGATCGTTTACGATTTGCCTGCTCGCAACTAGAACACTTCAGCCAAAATCAACCCCGGGACTGGACGTGTTACTTCTCTTCCTTGGTCAAATCAGAGAACCCAGATGGTGCCCTTGGCAAGGGAAAAGAGCCTCCAACCTATGTTGAACACAATGGAACAAGAGTAGCAAAGAGCCTGATGGCAATCTTCTCCTTGTCTCAAGTTCTTGCTGAGGTCTTCAATGTACCCATGTACACGACAAGATCAGCCCAGGCATACCTCTTCGGCTTGGTCAATCTCGCAGATGTTTTTGCCGATATCTCCAAGATGCTCGGCAGTATCTCATCTGCTTGCTACCGTGAAGAGATCGCACTGCAACGTACGATACCCCAGACCTGGCTCGCTGCAACAATACCAGTACACTTTTCAACTGGGGACGATGACGTCGACAGAATGCTGAATGTTCGAGATAGCAACGTTCGCATCGGCGAGACTGGTGATGAGTCTTTGCCTGAGCAGCCTCCCGAAACTCGCACCGAGTCTACTGACCTTGCCAGCACCGAGACCTCCAAACTTGATGAGGAGAAGCGAACTCCGTACTTTCGGAATGTTCAGATACTTCGATATCTCTTGATTGAGACACCGTTTGCAATTACCGAGTTCCTCTGTCGGCTTGGTCGAGGTATTGCTGCTCGTCGTCGACCGGATACCTTTACCAAACAAAAGATAGCATCGATTGCGAATGCTCTTGCAGCGGCATATACCTCTCAACTCCAACCTTATTTCCTGAACAATGGCTCCGCAGAGCCTGACGCTTCTAGTCTGGAAGCAAACTTTACCTATCTTGTCATCGTCCTCGACAATGTTCGGCGTAGTTTTTACGACGAGTCTCAACCTTCCCCGGGACCCATGACCACATCATCAGCACGGCAAACATTTGTGATTGAGGCATTTAGACAGGCAAATGGTCTCAAAATCTTGTCGAAGATTGGGACAGATTTCTATGATCAGCTCAAGGCGTGCAAATTGGAACATTCCACGCTATCAGCCAATACCGGACTCAAAATTTGCCTTGATATTCTAGACGAATTTACCAGCGCCAAGAGCATCATGGATTCGGCACAGTCAGTGAATATGAGAAATGCAGACCCGAGCAAGGCACTTTACTTTGTTCCAGCTCAAGTGCTCCTTAATCTACGTATGGAAGCCCTTCCAATGACGCAACTGATATGGGAAAGTGACTATGCCGATCAAGCGTCGCGAGATGTTGTGCAGAAGCTTGTATCCATCTTGAAACATATCTTGACAGGTGATCACGAGCATGAGGCAATTCAGACAAATGACAGTCGACCAGAAATTGAGGTCCACCCGCTTAGGAAGCATCAAATCGACGAGCACAAGGTCAATACACTGAAGGACAAAGGGTACACCGAGGACCTGGTACGCGAGGCCATATATCGCACCAATACTACTGCAACGAGCTCTATTGTCGCTGCTGAGGAGTATTGCAAAGCATTCATGTCTAATCCTCGTCGGAGACGCCTGCCCATTCCTAGTAGTGAACTTGACGTCACGTCAACTAACAATCACACTCCAGCCGTTATAAGTCCACCTACAAGCGCGCATTCAAATCCTCTCACTTTGGCCTTATCAGGCCTACAAGGGATACTTGATGCTGGCAATGCGGAAGCGGTTGTTGCTGACGTTGAAGACAACGAAATGAGGGATGTTGGCGATACCACTATTAGTGAACCAGTTTCCGTGAGAAATGCGGATACCAATGTATCTACTTCCTCTGCAATGGACATCCAGAATATCCTGAATGCTGATAGCAATGGTTCCGGCAACTCTTCATCCGATGCTCCGCCACCAGATTTATCACCGGTCTACTCTGTTGAGAGTATCGACGCTGTTCGAGACTCAATTCGAGAAGATCTGGCCGAACGATGCAACAACATTCTCAACACCCATCAGGATTTGACCTTCGAGTTATATGATCTGATAGCCAGCGCAACCAAGAAGCTCAGTGATGTTGAAGCAAAAGACTATTGGCGAACCACCACAGAAATACTTGTGAGCTCACTCCTATCAATGCAAGTTGACGAAGACATCAATGAGGGGCGTGGCAAGAAAATTGCCGCTGCGGCTCATCTGGTAGCTCTCCTGTTTCAAGATGGCGAAGTTTTTACAGACACGCTCAATATCTATCAAGAATCGTTCGAAGGACTTGTCAGCTTTTTGAAACTTCCTCAATCCCATGGACGTACCACTGAAGATTCGTTCCCCTGGGTCGCTCCAGTTCTGCTTATCGTGGAGAAGATGCTGTCGAGAGATAGTGAACCAGCAGAAGTCAAGTGGGAAGCTCCAAATGACGTGGAACCGTGTAAGAAGCCTGTCATCACTCCCACTGCGATTTTCAGTCTCGAAGAAAAGCAGGAGCTACTCGCGGCCCTCATCAATATGCTCAATCGTGTTGGCAAGGACAAGGCTATGGCACTGGCAATCACGCGGGTACTAGTGATTCTTACACGGACGCGAGAGATTGCGGCTTCCCTGGGAGAGAAGCGCAACCTCCAAAGACTTTTCATGATGGTCAAGCAACTCGCCCACGGAATTGGTCATCGAGTGCAGAGCACGTTCATGATCATTCTGCGGCACATCATGGAAGACGAACATACACTGAAGCAGATCATGCGTAGTGAAATTAGTGCAGCATTCACAGGTCGCAACTCAACCAGACACATGGACACGACAAGCTACGTTCGAGACCTCTATCATCTTGTGGTAAGATCTCCTGACACTTTTGTTCAAGTCACAGAAGAGATGGTCAAACTGTCTGCATGGCCTCCGCACAACTCCTCTTCTGGTCTGGTTCTGAAGGAGAGTGCAACAGCAAAACCAGAGTCTGACGCCGTCGACTCTTCGGTACAGCCCACCGCGAGTGTTGAGGCACCCGATGATTTGGTTCAAGAAAGCAAAGGCAAAGGGCCTGAAGTGAAACCTCCTACTGTAGAACATCCTGATGGCGTCATACATTTCATTCTCTCGGAGCTTGATAGCTATAAGGACGTCGATGACAAAGAGGTTGCTCCGGAGAAGCCCAATTCTACTAATCCTAATGAGAAGAATGATTCTGCTGGAAATACCGACGTACCGGCAACCACAAGCGACAATGCAATTGAAACGACTGCTCCATCCAAGCCAGAAAAGGTCAAATTTAGGCCAGAAGATCACCCGATCTTCTCCTACCGCTGCTTTTTGATGTACAGCCTTACAGAGCTATTGCACTCTTACAACCGTGCCAAGATTGAGCTGATCAATTTCTCGAAGAAAGCCGATCCAATGGTAGCGACTCCTTCCAAGCCTCGATCCTACATTCTCAATTACTTCCTTCACCGCTTGATACCATCCTGCTATGTCGACAAGGAGGAGTCTTTGCATTTCAAGAAAAAGCTCCTCACGAGTGACTGGGCCATTCGAGTTGTCGTCGCACTATGCTCGAAGACAGGCGAGACAGGGCTGACAGGCCTAGGTCAACGAAATTCACCTCAAAGTTTGGTTGATGACCTGGATACAGAGCCTGAGTTGACATTTGTGCGCCGTTTCGTTCTAGAGCATGCAATCAAGACCTACAAAGATGCCATTTCATCCACAGAGCCACTCCAGATGAAGTACAGCCGCCTGCTTTGCCTCGCCGATACATTCAATCGCCTTCTGACGAAGCCCGCAGTACCCGATGGCTCTGCTGGTTCCCACAATAATTCTTACAAGGTTCTCGGTCGCATGATGTTTGAGAAGAACATGACAGCAATTTTGACCAGCTCTCTGGTCGATATCGATCTTTCATACCCTGGGTCGAAGAGAGTCATCAAATTCATCTTGCGACCTCTTCAAGAGCTCACGACCCTTGCGTCCCAACTCAGTTTGACTGCCCCTGAGCTACTCATCTCCGGTGTCAGCACTGTACCAGACAACGATATCTCATCTGCGTCTTCCGTCTCTGACGTTGACGATGATAGAGAGGAGACTCCAGACTTGTTCCGCAACTCCGCCCTCGGAATGCTTGATCCTAATCATGATCACGAGTCCGATTCTGAGTCCGACGAAGAGGACGAGGATGAGGAGATGTACGATGATGAATATGGCGACGAGATGGAGTACGACAACGAGATGCTTGCTGGAGGCAACGATGATGAGGCTGTCAGCGATGAAGATGTTGATGAAGAGATGACCGCCGATGGTCCCATCGAAGGTCTTCCTGGCGACGTGCCAATGGACATCGAGTTTGTTGTTAACGATCCTCATATGGACATCGATTCTGATGAAGACGATGAAGACGATGAGGAAGAGGACTCTGATGAAGATGACGACGATGAGGAGGACGGAGAAGACTTCATGATTGAGGACGATGATGGTGGCGAGATCAATGGAGACGATGAGAACAACAGCCTCAATGATGGTCTGGGTGAAGACGAAGGCGAATGGGAAGATGAAGGTGAGGATGATCAAGAAGAGGGTGCCAGTGATGACCAGAATGGAGTCGCAGACATTACTTTCGATGGCGATGACATTCCTCTTAATGGCCACGGCAATGGCAATACTCCTGCAGTTCTAAGCAGCCTTCTCAGAGTTCTCGAAGATCACGATATGGATGGACCTATTGGAATGCCCCCCAATATCCCTCCTGAGCTCATCGTTCCTGCTCCAGGATCTGGCGAACCTGGTGATGAAGATGAGGACGATGAGGAAGATGATGAAGGCGAGGAGATGGACGAGAACGACATGGTCGAATACGACTTCGATCACTTCTTGGCAGGAGGTGGAGACGACTTCCTGGATCATGGTGACGGCTTTGGTTGGAACGAGTTTTCGAACTTCGCTCGGCGACATCGCCCACGTGGTGCAGAGGTGCATCCTCCACACTTTGGCCGACGCAATAACGACATTCATCATATGGGCCGTCCCGCCAGAATGCATGGAGGACCGACTGGTAGAGCAGGTGCTGACGATGGCACCAATCCATTATTACGCAGACCCCACGCACAGCTCACTCGTCGGAACCCGGAAGGACCAGTCCGTCATGGGTTTTTTGCTCCTGGACTCTCAAGTCTTCAAGATCTGCCAGGCTTTCCCGGCTTTGGAGGAGCTTTCCAGGCAGTTCTTCGTAATGGGGATACGTCTTCGCCACATGGATCCCTGCTCGACAATCTCGTTCAAGCATTCAACGGCAGAACTGACAATCGCCCCATTTTCAGCTTCACCGGATCCCAGGAGGAAATCAGTGAACTAAGCCGAGTGCTTGCGAGACCTTCCTTGGCCGGCTTCCCTCACCGCCACCACACTCGTGAGGAAAACCCACGTGCTGGCCATTTCGTCCCCGCCACCACAACTACGAGATGGCAGGAGGAATCACGAATCTTGTTTGGTGCTCTCTCTATCGAAAAGTCACAACGCGTTCAAATTCTCATCATGTCGGTTCTTGTGCCTCCAGCCCAAGAAGAGGAGAAAGAGAAGCGTAGGAAGCGCGAAGAACAGGAAAAGGCCGAGCGCGAAGAAGAGGAGAGACTCCGAATTGAAGGAGAACGACTCAAAAAGGAGGCAGAAGCGAAAGAAGCTGCTGCCAAAGCCGAGGCTGACCGCTTACGAGAAGAGGCTGAAGCCGAAGCTGCGGCTAGACGCCATGAGGCAGGTGAGCTTCAGAATGATGGCGACACAGAACCCATGGAAGACGTCCAAAGTGCTGAGGATAGTACTGCACCTCTTGATAACGCCGCACCAACAGAAGATGGTGATACAGAGTCACAACCCCGAATCTTTACCACAATTCGCGGCCGACAGCTTGACATAACTGGTCTTTCAATCGACATTGATTACCTGGAAGCTCTGCCAGAAGAATTGAGAGAAGAGGTCATCATGCAACAATATGCAACTCGACGTGAGGAGGCTCGTCAAGAGGGAAATCACGAACCTAGCGGAATCGATCCTGATTTTCTGAATGCCCTGCCCGACGACATCCGAGAAGAAATGCTACAACAAGAAGCACATGCTCAACGACGTCGTGAACGCGAAGCAGCTCGTCGACAGGCTGCGGCTTCTGCTACCCCAGCCCAAGCGGAAGAGATGGACAGCGATAACTTCCTGGCCACTCTCGATCCAAACTTTCGGCGTGTGATCCTGGCAGAGCAGCCACCTGAGGTCTTGCGTCACCTTAATCCTCAACATGCTGCTGAAGGTCGTGCTCACGCAAGACGTTACTTCCCATACGCCGTGGGTGGCGACCGTGATGATCGTGGTGACCGAGTACCCGTCGACGCTCCTCAACGTGATAACAAGCGGCAAATTATTCAGATGGTTGACAAAGCTGGAGTTGCCACTCTTCTCAGACTCATGTTCTTGCAGCAGCAAGGTTCTCTACGAGCGAATTTGTGGCAGATCCTCCGCAACATCTGTGGCAACCGACAAACTCGATTTGAGGTCATCAGCCTTCTTCTCGTGGTTCTCAAAGAAGGTAGCACCGATGTTGGCGCAATCGAACGGAGCCTCGCAAACTTATCGCTACGTGCAAAAGCCACGGTTGGACAAAAGACTCCACAGCCATTGAGACGAACTCTTTCAATGCAACCTAACGGGGGCTTGAGCGAAGAAGTCACTCCATTGGTTGTCATTCAACAATGTCTTTCTGCCTTGAAGCAATTATCATCAGGTGGATTTCATATCCGCAGCATTTTCCTAAGAGAGGTCGATATTAGTCCTGCCAACAAGAAGGGCAAAGGCAAAGGCAAGGAAGCCAAAACTGCCAAATACCCCATCAATGATCTCATTGGTCTTTTGGACCGTAAGCTGATTGTTGAGAGTTCGTTCTGTCTTCAATTGCTTGCAGAGCTCCTCGCAGCCGTCACGTCTCCACTGCCCACTCTCTTGCGGAAAGACAAGGAAAAGGCAGCCGAAGAAATGAAGCAACATGAAGCCGAGTCTGGAAATGCAGATACTCAGAACAGTTCAGCTTCAGGAGTTGGCCCGACAGCTGCTCCAACACAAGACTCCAATGCCGACCGTGGATCCACAGCTGCAGGTGTTCCTGCTGCTTCTACTTCTGATGTCGCAAGCGCCGCAGCAGATGGCGGAGAATCTTCTGTGAAGCCGGATGCAGACCAAGAAGTGTCAACTTCCGAAGAGAGCAAAGTCAAGAAGATATTTGAACCACCAGAGATCTTTGAGCACAATCTGGAATTGGTTGTTAGAATCTTTGTTGCTCCGGAATGCAACAGCGACACATTCCACTCGACCTTGGAGACTCTCTTGAGTCTTTCATCCATTCCCGGCACCGCCGAAGCTTTTAGCAAAGAGCTTATCAGTCATGTCAAACTGCTATCTCAACTGATCTGCGTTGACCTGGACGAACTCATTCCTCACCTGAAAGAGGCGCAACTGAGCACAGACTTGCACAACGTCGCATCTGCCAAATTCTCTAATGGAGGTTCGGACCAAGTCAAACTTTTGAGGGTTCTTCAGGCTTTGGACTACCTCTCCGCACCCAAGAAGGACAACGAAGAACCAGGAGACAACCCGGTGGCCAAAAGCATTCTCACCTCCTCTTATGAGAGCCTAAGCCTGGGACCCTTGTGGACCAAGCTAAGCGATAGCCTAACGGTTATTCAAGAAAAGGATAATATGATCAGTTTTGCTAACATCCTGTTACCACTGATAGAATCATTGATGGTTGTTTGCAAGAACACTTCTCTCAAGGACTCGGTTCTGGCTCGACAGGTTAGAGAGCAAGCACCTGGTAGCCCAGTCCCAGAAGCCATGGACGGTCTAGAGGAGCTCTTCTTCAACTTCACGACTGAACATCGCAAGATTTTGAATGATATCATCCGTCAATCACCAAAGCTGATGCAAGGCAATGGAAGCTTCAGTCTGTTGGTCAAGAATCCCAAGGTACTTGATTTTGACAACAAGCGTGCCTACTTTACGAAACAGATTCATTCTCGTCTGCATCAACAACGACACATCCAGCCACCTCTCCAGCTCAACATTCGTCGTGATCAAGTCTTCTTGGACTCATACAAAGCATTGTATTACAAATCTGCTGAAGAAATGAAGTACGGCAAGCTCAACATTCGCTTTAATGGTGAGGAAGGTGTTGACGCCGGCGGTGTCACACGAGAATGGTTCCAAGTTCTCGCACGTGGCATGTTCAATCCTGATTGGGCCTTGTGGCAGCCCGTCGCTGCTGATCGGACGACTTTCCATCCCAACCCACTCAGTTGGATCAACGGTGAGCATCTGCTATACTTCAAGTTCATTGGTCGCATCATCGGCAAGGCGTTGCATGAGGGTCGGGTGCTCGATGCTCATTTCAGCCGCGCAGTCTACAAGCGTCTGCTTGGTAAAGAGCCCAGTCTGAAAGATCTAGAGTCCATGGATCTAGATTACTACAAGAGTCTTCTTTGGATTCTTGAAAACGATATCACCGAAGTGATTAGTGAAGATTTCTCCGTGATTGAAGAACAGTTTGGAGAGGAGAAGGTTGTTGACCTGATCCCAAATGGACGAAACATCCCTGTCACGGACGAGAACAAGCGTGAGTACGTCAATGCTCAAGTCCGCTATCGCCTCACGACATCAGTAAAGGATCAACTCGAAAACTTCGTTCGAGGTTTCCATGACATTATCCCAGCTGAGCTTATCGCTATCTTCGATGAGCAGGAGCTGGAATTGCTCATCTCCGGTCTGCCTGAAATCGACGTCGATGACTGGAGAGCCAATACTGAGTATCACAACTACACAGCCAACAGTCCTCAAGTAACCTGGTTCTGGCGTATTGTCAGAGGTATGAGCAATGAAGAGAAGGCGAAATTACTTCAATTCGTCACCGGCACCAGTAAGGTACCTCTCAACGGTTTCAAGGATCTTGAGGGCATGCAAGGCAACACCTTGTTCAGTATTCATAAGTAAGTCTTCCACTTTCCTTCAGCTTTGACCAAGTACTAATATATCTTGACAGGGATCCGAGCCAAACTCGCCTTCCAACCAGCCATACTTGCTTCAATCAGCTTGATTTACCCTCTTATGACGACTATGATACTCTCAAGAGCAGTTTGATGACGGCCATCAATCTCGGCGCAGACTATTTCGGGTTTGCTTAATTGCCTTGAGCTCATGGGAAAATGGCGATGCAAGGTTGCATTATTAACGAGTGTAATGGTGGAAAACCTGCTGTGTGGGCATTCAAAATACAAGGCGTCATTTCTTATTTCTGTCAATTCTTTTTTTCATTCAGAGCGTGGCCGAAGACATCTCTCTCAGGAAGAGAGGCACAACCAAACATGCATTTACAGGGAGCAAGCAACTGGGTGTGTTTGCGCGAGACTCGATATGTATCAAAAAATGGAGAAGCGACACTGCGACCACAGGAATTGATGGTACAAATAGCATTCTAATAGTGTTCCTGGTGGAGGTGGTTGACCTTTGGTATTCTTGGGCCCATGGTGAGAAGTGCAGGTCTCGGACTGGGCATCCAATACCGGGTTGATTACTTCTCGTAGATAGATTAGTTAGTTTGTCAAATAGACAACGCTTTATGCGCACTCATGGCTTTCTTTGCAGTCAGTGCTCGAGTGATTTAGACAGCTCCGCATGAGAGCCACGGAGTTTCCTTCTGGAGGTAGCCCGCAACAACTCCAGGATTGGATATTGGTGGGTGGTTCGGCCTGTTGGATGAACGTATCACGTGACATACGCTTCGCAGCGTGGTGCCAAGATATGGTTATGCCAAGCTGGCTTTTCCTTTTTCGGCCGCCCCACATTCCCGACTGCACACAGGAACTTTTCATATCTTGCGTTCTCATGGTGTTTGTTCATTGAACTCTCCAGCTTCAAGACAACCTCACTTCAGTTCAACCACTTTCCGCTTGCAAACATGGTAAGATAACAACTCGCTATCAACAACCCGCTCCAGACGTTCTGTGCGACGAGAAAGATGCCGTGAAACGCACATTTCGAATCGCAACAGTGACGGATTCCGCCGACCAGGGAAGAACTTGAGAAGATTGTTACATGGGATCTGAACTCTTCATTGAGACCTCAATCCAATAACATGAAATAGCCAACTCTTGTCTCTTCTGCGTCTGGTGATGAACTTAGGCTGGAGATGCCGGTGCGACTCACTAGAGGAGAAATCTTCCTTTGATTCACAAACCGTGCCATCATCCCTTAGAGTCAAGAGAAAATTGATCAGATGTGCTGATGATGTTCTCTTCTCAATGATAGCCACCCAAAGGAAAGAAGCCCGCGGCCGCCCCATTCCCCCAGGGAAAGGCTGGCTCCAGCAAGAAGGCAGCAAAGGTGAGTTTCTTACGTTCTCTAATATACCTTCCTTTTTCAATGCGACGCCCCCGTCGTGGGGTTTACTGACTTGCGGTGTGTTTGTGTGCAGAACCCCCTCCTTGAGAAGCGATCTCGCAACTTCGGTATCGGCCAAGATGTTCAGCCTCCTCGCAACCTCTCTCGCATGGTCAAGTAAGCCAGCTCTCCCCTTTCCACACCTCTCGCCTCGCTGCATGAGCAACACGTTCTAACATTTATGTTCCCCCCAATAGGTGGCCAGAGTATGTCCGCCTGCAACGCCAGAAGAAGATCCTCAACCTCCGCCTGAAGGTCCCACCGGCCATTGCTCAATTCCAACATACCCTTGACCGCAACACCGCCGCGCAGACTTTCAAACTCCTCAACAAGTACCGACCGGAAACCAAGGTGCAGAAGAAGGAGCGTCTCCATGCCGAGGCCACGGCCGTCGAGCAGGGAAAGAAGAAGGAAGATGCCAGCAAGGTACGCAGAACCACACACAATCTAGATCTTTCAAGACCCCAACAATCCTAACCCGCAAACCAGAAACCCTACGTCGTGAAATACGGCCTCAACCACGTGGTCGGCCTGATCGAGAACAAGAAAGCCTCATTGGTCTTGATCCCCAACGACGTCGACCCCATCGAGCTGGTGGTGTTCCTGCCCGCTCTGTGCCGCAAGATGGGCGTGCCCTACGCCATCATCAAAGGCAAGGCCCGCCTCGGCACGGTCGTGCACAAGAAGACCGCTGCCGTCGTCGCGCTGACCGAGGTCAAGGGCGAGGACAAGTCCGAGCTCAGCAAGCTGGTTTCCGCCATCAACGACGGCTACGCCAGCAAGCACGAGGAGAGCCGTCGCCACTGGGGTGGTGGCATCATGGGCACCAAGGCCGTCGCCAGACAGGAGAAGAAGCGCAAGGCTATTGAGAGCGCCATCAAGATCTAGGTCTGGGCCCGTCTCGTGCCGGTCCCGCCTTCTCAATATTCTATTGCAGCGTTGCATCACATCTTCTTTTTCTCGGAAGTCCTCTTCGCCATGTCACCGCATGGAGGCTGCTTCTCTCTCTCCGCACACAGTTCGGCATCAGCCGGACTTCCTCTATCTCAATCCCAGACACAATTGAGCTAGATCCCAAAATAAAAACGTCAAGGAAATGGCATATCAAGTGGCATTGCACGGCACCGCACATCGTATGTCACCGGTGATCCATTACTTGCTGCTCGAAACCACTCTATTCGCAACCACTTCCAGCCTTGTACCTGTGCAGGTGCCGAGCTTCTCTTGCGAGTCCTTAGAATCAACCCCACACGGCAAAAACCCAGAGGCAGGAGAATGTCATGACTCCACTCCAGTTGGGTCGAGGTTGAGGAGAAATCAAAGTGGGAACATGTGATAGTAGAAATACCACTGAATGAAACCACACGAAATCATGAAACCTACCCTACACTTTTTCATCCTTGCTTTGCGTGGCCTGTAGTTAGATTGTGTGGAACCCAGTAGTCCTAAGTAAGTGGAGTGGTGCCCAATGCCTATAACGTGCCCGTTGACCTGCAACTTCAATACCAATTGCCAAGCCTGAATGCTACATGCCACCTACCCTATATACATGGACTGCAAAGGGATGCGGTATGGTGTTATGTCATTATCATTTGCCAATATACATTACTGTGCTCGCTCACTCGCTCACTCGCGCTATGCTGTCCTGGCCTTGCTGTGCATATTCCCTTGATGGGAGGAGGAAAAATCTCAGCGGCACAGTCAAAACCCTTGGAAAAGAGGACACCAGACTAAGGCCAAACCGGCCAACCGTTCCTGCTCTCATCGCCAACGCCTACATCGTAGCCAATTTCAGTGAACCACCTCCCAGCTACCGGATCACTATCCTGAGCGACCTTGCTCTCCAAAACAAAGTGGTATCAAGAAGATAAAAGAACGAATCTCGCTGTTCACAACGCCCGTCGCCTTGCCATGTAGCTGATTGATCGGCCGTCAAAATCCTGGAGTGATGTCCCTGTATATATCACCACCATACATCATGCCAAACCCAAGCAGGTAGTTCAGTTGGTGTCAATTGGCGCCTGTTACGACTGACCACTCAGTGCCGCGTTAGACCTTGTCGAGCCTGAAAGTTCACTCGTTAGCATCGTTGACCATGTCAATACCACTAGAGTCCACATACCTTCATTGCTTCAATCCGGGCCTTGAGCTGGCTGGTTACCTCAGCGGCCCTCTTCCAGTTCTCCTCTGTTCTCGGTTCCTTCGATCCGGTATCGCTCGGCTCCCGGCTTGCAAATGTTGGTCTCTGAGGGCTACTTCTTCCGCTTCCGTTTGTCATGTTATTGACTGGTGGGCTGATCTTTCTTCTTGCAGCAAGCATGTCAAGACCAAGACCATTATTCTCTTTCTCCTCGCTTGGGCTGAGATCTAGACGATTGGTAGTGTAGGTACTTTGCGGCCTTGTTTTTGAGCTTTGTGGTCGGGTGCCGTGAGAACTTGCGGTGCTACCTGTTCTCTGGATGGTGCTTTGCGGCCTTGAGGAGTGAATGTTGCCATTCGGTGGGTAACGATTCATGCTTTGATCCTCGTAAATACCTCCACCATCACTGGCAACATCATCGATACCCCGACCGCGTATCATGTCCTCTCGCTCCCTACCAAGGCTTTCTCGACCCAGTCTTGACAGTTCACGCTTATATCGTTCGCCTTCTTTTCGAACGCTTTCAATTTCTGCATTGAGGACATCGCATTCACTCCTCGCTCTGACAAGTTGTGTCTCCTTGGCCTTTATTTGCAAGACATCGCGTGTGTGGTCCTCGATCAGCTGTGCATTCTGATTTTGTAGTTCCGCGATTTCTGTGGTCAGCTTCGCATTGCTACCTCTCAGACTATCTGTCAATGCCGATAGTCGATCCTTATCGGCACGTAGCTCTTCTAGTTCCGCTCTTTCTATCGCACTCAAGCCATTTGAGATTGGAGCTACCGAGGGCGGTGACAGAGGAGCAGCTGCTGGTCTTGCGAGCGGGCGACCAGCAAGTCCGCCTCGGCCAACACCAAATTTGGATGGTGAAGGAGCAGCCGCCTCTTCGTCTTCGTAACTTACAGGAGGCGAGACAACTCTTCTTTGAGGGCTTGGGATACCGCCCGCAGCAGGCTTCTTTAAGCCTCCAAGTTTCAAAGCAGCGGGTTGTGCTAGACCAGGCCGAGCCACTCCACCAGGCTTGGGAAGTGCCTTTGCCGTAGGCTTGGGCTGAAGAGGTGCGGAATCTTCGATAGGTGGAGGAGCGGCTTGTGGGGCCTTTTTGGCTGGTCCTTTCTTTGAGCCTCCCAGCACCTTCTTTCCAACGGCAGAAGTTGCTTTGGCCGGAGGTGGAGCAGCTTTGGGCTTCTCCTTTGCCTTTACCTCAGCAGTATCAAAGTATTCCTTTATCTTGGCTTTCCGAATGTCATCCAGACCTTCGAGATATGGATTCATGGCACGTTCACCGAGGATTTTCATCAGAGTTCCGAGAATCTCCGCACCTCCAGCTCTGAGTGGCTCTGTTGATTCTGTCAACAGCTTGGTTGCGGCATCGGCGATCGACTTTTGTTCTGGTTTAGAGGGTACATCACGAGTTGTGCGAAGGCATCTGACGAGAAATTTGATGGTTTCCAGCTTGACCTGAGGGTTTTTGTTGGAAAGAAAACCAAGAGTCTCCTCCAAACAGTCTGTGAGCGAGGTGGCAGTGAAAACGGCGTCAAGGGCAGCACCGAGGGCATCAGCAACGGATTGTTTTTTCTCTTTTAAGCGTTCCATCATGGGGCCTAAGATAGTCGAACGATACCTGCCAAACGACTTCCTCAAGCCGGTGGCCAGCTTTTCAGTGCAGTTGGCAGCCACAGTGACAACAGCAATATTTGCATCCTTCATAGACTTTGCAAAGACCCGCACCAACTCGTCGAATGGACCTTCTTTGACCCTAGGAGTATTGAGAATGGTGAAAAGGTTGTCCAGAGCGTCCTTCCGGTCCTTCCACTTGGACGAAGCCATCATTTCGTGGAAATCGGCAGGGATTTTCGAGATGACATCGACCGGCTCGGCCAGATCAAAAGCGTTCACTTCCACCTCTTCTTCCTCTTCTTCTTCAGCCACGGCACCTTCCTCATGGTAACCACCAGCCGTGGGGGGAGGGGCTGAGGCTATCGCAGCTTGTTGTGCACGAGTCAGTCGCTCCTGCTTGGGAGATGGCTCTTCCTTGACTTTTTCGAACAGCTTTTCCAAGTCCTGTTGCTGAACGGGCTTTAATTCATTCCAGAAGACGGCCTTCATTGCTTCTTTCAACCAACGGTAAAGTTCGACGGTGAGATTCTGGGCCTCAGCACGAACATTCTTGTCGGCATGACCAAAGACCTTGGGCAAAGCCTTGAGGACCGGTTTCGGTTCGACGAGTTTGATACCAAAGTTATGGAAAATGGCGGTGATGGCACTGAGGGCGGCAGCAATGACTTTGGGTTGTTTGTTAGATAGTGCCGGAAGAAGATCTTCAATGACCGGATCGGACTTGTCCAATTCAACATATAGGAGCAAAGCTTCGAGGGCACTGGCTTTGGCGGCGGGCCTTGTCGAAGCCAGACCCTTTTCGTAGATTGGTTGGATGGTTTGAGCGCGAGACCTGTTGGCGGCTTGCTGACCCCCGTACTTTAGAAATGCGCAAAGAGCGGCGAGGCCTTCCTGTTGAGCAGCGACATTTGAGTCGGCGGCAGCACCTTTCCAAAGAGCTGGGTCTTGTATGAAGGGTCTGAATGTGGGGTCTGACTCGTCCGGGGTAGACTCAAACGCTTTGGCGGCGGCTTCGTACCCTTCTTTTCGAACCTTCCAGTTCTTGTGGGTAAATCTGTCGGGTAGAGGGAGTTGAGAAAAATCTTCTTCCTGGCCGTCGGCCATGGCTGAAGGGGAGAAAATGCGATAAAGACGGAGGAACTTTGAGGAAGGCTTTGATTTGGTGGGAGGCTGTCGGAGAACATGAGTTAGTTGTTGACAGTCGGCAGAGCAGAGCAGATGATCCATGGCTGAGTTCAATAGCATAGGCAGCGACGGAGATAGAGACGTACGTTCAATTCACCACAAGATGCACCGCAGTAGACTCCCTTTCGCTCTGAAACCTGCAGGTGCGGTAGGTAGGCGCCCGCGGTGCAAGGGGCGCGACAAATGGAAGGCGCAATGGAGGGGTGCCAGTATATTATGTATGAGTCAAGACACTTGAAGTCCAAGACTGTGAAGAATCTGGCGTGCAACAACAAGTGATGTATGTGGATGAGGTTAGTAGGCCGACTCGAAAAACTACCAAGATAGTCACGGTCTGCGGTATGCGTGGGATTTGAAGTGCCAGTGGGCAGGGCAGTGGAGTGCATGACGGTGTGGCCCGTATTGCACGTGTACAGATTCCCGTATTGGTGACAATTGTATACAAAAAAACAAAGGGCCCGTTGTACTGACAACCCTTACAGACAAGCCCGAGCCCTGCCCTCAGGTCCCCTGTCCTTGACAAGAGGTCCACCTGGGTACGAAATACTGGTACAGACACCACCTCACAAATTCCATTCCACCACCACCACCACCACCAACATCAACATCAACAACCCGAACAATTTCTTTGACGGTCTACAATTGCTTCTCAACTTTGGCTACTCAAAGAACCTGACAACAAGACCCAACTACAGTCTTTAGGTCGCACCCTCACCCATAAATCTCCCTCTGCCAGTGGAACCAACTTCGTTCCCCTCCAAACCGCCTCTGTTTCGCCCTTCCGAAATATCTTTATGAGGAACGAGCACTTTGGAAACTTCATCACCTCCTCAACAAAGGGCACACTACCCACATTCTTCAGTTCATGACCACACAGTCTACTCTACCCGGGCCGTAAGCCCCTGCTACCAAATATGGCCCAACTGCTCACCTCCCGCCAGGCGGAGGAGTTGTGAGTTGCCCGTCCTTCGCATGCCATGGCTCAGACTGACCGGTCGCAGGCACAAATCTATGGTTGCATATTTGCTCTCAAATGGCATGCATGACTCCGCGGCCGCTCTAAGGCGAGAGTCCAACCTTGCCGACTCCTTTGATGATGCCACCGCAAAGAAATATGAGACTCTGCTCGAGAAGAAGTGGACTTCAGTCGTCCGCCTGCAAAAAAGAATCCTCGACTTGGAAGCCAAGAACAACCTCCTCCAATCCGAAATCGACTCGGCAACCCCCCTCTCTTCCAATCGCAAGATTGACCCTGCATCATGGTTACCCAAAGCCCCAGCAAGGTACACACTAGAAGGCCATCGGGACCCTGTCACCTCGGTCGCCTTCCATCCCGTTTTCTCCTCACTCGCCTCCGCTTCTGAAGACTGTACCGTCAAGATATGGGACTGGGAGTTGGGAGAACTGGAAAGGACGCTGAAAGGTCATACCAAGGCCGTCCTGGACGTGGACTTCGGTGGCCCCAGGGGCGGCACTCTTCTGGCCAGCTGTAGCAGCGATTTGACCATTAAACTGTGGGACCCCAGCGATGAATACAAGAATATTCGGACCCTACCCGGCCATGATCATTCAATTTCTTCCATTCGTTTCATTCCTTCTGGTGCCGCTGGTGCCCCTCTGTCAGGCAACACTTTGGTTTCCGCGTCAAGAGACAAAACCCTAAGGATATGGGATGCCACTACTGGATATTGTCTCAAAACTCTCAAAGGACATACCGACTGGGTGAGAGCTGTCACTCCATCCATTGATGGTCGTTGGCTGTTGAGCGCCGGCAATGACCAGATCCCTCGGTTATGGGATGCCAGTTCGGGCGAAGTCAAAATCTCCTTTCTCGGTCATGAACACTACCTGGAATGTGTTGCCTTTGCACCGGGTACTTCCTATGTCCATTTGGCCGGCATTGCGGGCTACAAGAGGCCGCCACCTGTGAGCAGCAGCGGAGAATTTCTGGCCACTGGCGGCCGAGATAAGCTCATCAAAATATGGGACAATCGGGGCACTTGCCACAAGACATTGGTTGGACACGACAATTGGATTCGCGGTCTAGTCTTTCACCCTGGTGGAAGGTATCTACTCTCCGTTTCGGATGATAAGACAATTCGATGCTGGGACTTATCTCAGGAGTGTAAATGTGTCAAGATCGTCGAGGATGCTCACCAACACTTCGTCAGCGGTATTCGCTGGGCACCTGATATTCCAGTTCAGCCGCCCACCAACGGTGAAATAAATGGCTCAGCTTCCGCAGTGAAAAAAGAAGACAGTGGTGGTGGAGGTAAGATCCGTTGTGTCATTGCGACTGCGAGTGTCGATTTGAATGTTCGGGTCTTTGCAGGCTGAAGACCTGCATCGCTGGCAGTTCTTTTTGAGCGTTTGGATCACGGCTAGATAAACAAGAAATGGTAGATGACTGTATGACTATGATTAATGAATCGAGATACCATGTTGATCGTTTGAGGTCATGTTGATTGAATCCTTGGATACATTTCTGACTTCTGAATTGGGTGGCCACGGCACACCACACGCGTCCGACGTGTCTGTGACCCCAGCTTCTCTGTCCTACCAAGCTGCTGTGCCGTCCTGTTCGCAATATCTCCTTCGTCGTTGCGTGATGAAACATGATTGAGCATCCTGGTAATGTTCAGAGTTGTTCCTCATATTCACCCTGTTCCTTCTTCAGAATCAAAAACCACATGTCTTTGTGTCGAAGAAAATTCACCTCACTCGCACTAGCAACCATGTCAAACATATCTTAAGATCATGTATTTCCGGCCGAGCTGGCACGTAACTCCCGACTAGATCCTTCCCATTCCCATCTCTCCAGCCATCTCAAAGGTTTCTTGCAGATGTGGTTCTCTGTTCAACCTTCTCGTTCAGGTGATGGTTCTCCGGTCATATAAAACTCGAAACAGCAGACTGTGTCTATCCTCAGTCGATGGAATATCTTTGAAGCCTTGGTCTTCTGATGATCTCATAACCTCTCGTCGACTTGATGTCGTCCATGCAACCGATTCAGTTGAATCCTAAATGCGGGAGACACCGCACTTCATTCCAACAGATTCCGAACCAGACCAACTCATGTCATGATCCAGTTCAATTCCAGCTGAATAGCTCCCACACTCGCCCAGCAACAGATGCTGCAGGTATCCCACAGCTCCTGATGGCATGAACCATTCCCCACTCAGTCATACTCCGCAGCTTCTCATTCTTTGTTCTGACTGTGCATTCCTGATGCTATTGTTTCGGGTGCACGGTGATTGGGACCGCGTTTTCCCGTTTTGGGACTCTTTGAGAACAAAGCAAACTACGCACGCCTTGCTTCCCAGCCTCGCTACTCCATGCTCATCCTCACTGTGTGAGCACAAGGAGTCACACCAGAGGGACAAGGCAGATGAACACTCGGGAGGCAAATAGTAAGTCCATTGCGTATGTGCTTCAAAGCACGTCCACCTTCGTATTCTTTTACAAAGGATCAGACATGTCTGCTTCTATCATTCGCCCATTCCACTTTCCATCAAAGAATTCCTTTCATCGTTCAAGCTATGACTCCGTCCACGCAGGAGCCTCCTCCTCCTCCTCCTCCTCCTCGCCCCCATCCCACTGCTGCATTGCATCGACTGTTGCCCAATCCTGTTACCGAACATACTGCACCAGCCTTGCACAGAACATCTTCGCTCTCAGAGCATCATTTATTTCATGATCTACCACGGCCCCATTCCACTGCCCTTCACAGTGGACATGAAGAAATCCCCATCGCGAGGAGAAGTACAGTTCAGTTTCCTCCCCACCACCTTTCCGAACTTTCGTCTCCCAGCTCTAGAGCCGGTATAGCGTTGCGATCCATGTCAATCTCGGAGTACCATGATTCATCCGTCGCCAATTCTGAGCGAAACCCTCCCCACGTTGGGCACATGGTGAATGACCACTCGCAACAGCATAATAATGACCATAACGCTTCATTTTCCAGGGAGCTCGTATGTCTATGCCCGCCAGACCCCAAAATTCCGAGACCTCGAAATTGTAAGATTGTGCTTTATTTAATTCTGTCCTCGTCTCAACTATCGAGCGTCCCATGACGCTCTTTTGTGGTTGAAGACTCTTTTCCGCATGCGGTTGAACATGTTTTAATTCTTTGCAGCGTTCATTCTCTTCCGCCAACACCAACAAGCGAGCATTATTGCCCAAAATCCAGGCATTCCTAATCCGGAGGTATCAAAGATCATCGGAGAACAATGGAGACACCTCTCGACCGAGGCCAAAGAAGAGTGGAATATGCTCGCGGAAGTATGTAATATCCTCTTCGAACTCCTTCCTTATTGTTTGATAAAGATCTTTGTCTGACTTATCTCATTTTTTCTCTTAGGCAGAGAAAGCCCGTCATCAAGAACAATATCCCGGCTATCGTTACCATCCTCGAAGAAGTGGAAGAGCTAGCAATCAAGCTTCTGTCTCTGGTGCATCATCCGCAGAACCACAAGAACCTTGTGCTAAGTGTGGTGGAAAGCCAATTCAGAACTCGACATATAGCCCACTGCCTCCAGCAAACAGCACGCAGCCACAAAGTATGGCTACGCAGGTCCCTGCAAAGCGAGGATATATCGTCAATGGTCCTCACGGTCCAAGACTTCATGGCCAGCCAACAGTCTCTCCAGAACATTACGGCCAGCAGAAGGCATTTGTTGAAGCGTATCCATTTTCAAGGGTTGATCCCAGATTGATATATGCAGTGCCACCAAGCACTCAACGGACACCCCCTTCAGACTTACAGGATGCAAAAAGACGTCGCTTCAACGGCAGTGGCATCTATGTCCCAGCTGGCCAGCCTTACCCAGAACCCACTTACGCATATCCCCATTCTCCCATGAATAACCCATCCACCCGTGGAGAACCTATGCAACAAGTTCACGCTCCACAAATACCTGTTCAGAGAATACACGGCATGCAGCCAATGAAGACAGCAATGATATCTCCTCCACGCGGCGCATATCCACACCCACCACAACTACAACCCGTACGACCACCTCACCCTCACCATCGCACCAGATCATCAGTCGCACTTCCACCGATAGAGACGGTACTGGCCCAAACTCCTCTGAGTGGATCATCGATATCATCTAATAACTCCGGTGTCGAGGCGATGATCATGTCGATTCCGATCCTGAACAAGATCAAAGTCCTCTCTCAAATCTCTGGACCACTACCGGCCCCAGGTCTGACTTCACCCAAACCGCATGTCCGTGGTGCCATCATCGCCATCGAAGGGATGAACGCCAACAGTGTCAAGAGTATCACAGCCTCACTTGCAGAGCAGCTTGGGAGGGAGGGAGACTTCGCCGTCAAAGTTTTCAATGGTCCAGATCCTTACGACCTGGTCCGCCAGGCGAGGAGCGGTAATCATGGCCGTCATGGAAATACCACGACTGAAACCTATCTGAAAATGTTGAGCGATTGGCATAAGACTAGCAAAGAGATGGTGGAGTACATCACTGCACGACCTCCAGGACAAGCAGGTGATGAAGACGACCCCTTTGGTATTGACAGCTCCGAAAGCAAACCATCCACTAGCCCCGTCAGAGGCAGCTACACGGATGCTCCTCTCTCTGCAATCAGTCCCAAAACGATCTACAAGGCATCGGAACTATCAATTGTATCACCACCATCGACGAAAGGTCGAAGCCAAAGTACTCCAGGTGGCAGATTGAGCAAGGATGGAGAGCTCATCGTTGACCTTGACAGGAACGCGGTCACCTCGATTCCCGCGCCATTGATGTTCCCACCACCCCTGAACTCCACTCGCATCCCGCCTCTACCAACACAAACACCAGTACCGCTCTCCGAGTCCTCTTCCAAAGGACCCTCCCACGATGAAGCCTCACAAGCCGTGGTAAACCCAGATTTAAGCCAAGAAAAGCAAATCCCTGCGTCGCAGCAAGTCACACAAAATGACGGCCGCCGCACTCTTCCCATAGCCCTCGTGCCACATTTCCAACTAACCACCGTCGACGCAAGCTCGATTTCAATGCCCATCTCGGACGGCTTCAGCCCGCCAGCACACTGGCAGTGGTTCGCAACACTGTGGCGTGGCAGTGTCGGACCCGACGTGACCATTGTCATCAAGAGCACCGACGATGATGTCTCTGAAGGTACGAACTCGGGCGGCGGCGGCGCAATCAACACAGACGGCGCAGCACCCGGATCAACAGGGTCAGCGGACGCCAACAACCGCACTACTGGGCCTCGAACGACATCGACAACAGCATCCAACGCCAGTGTCTCAAGTCATAGTCAAGGCCCGGCACCGGGTCGCGACCGTGCGTCGGGCTCTACGGGTGGATCCAACGTAGCGTCGTCGTCGTCATCGTCGTCGAGTTCCGGTGTCGAGATCCGCCTGAATGACTATCGTGCTGTCATCGTCAAGACGGGCATCATCTCGAATGCGGCCTGTGGTGGTGGTGGTGCGGCGCATAAACAGGTCAGTGCCAAGGAGCTGGAGTATTGGGAGAAGGCGAAGCGACGCGTCGGCTTTGAAGTGGAAGAGTTTCTGAGGAAGTAAACGTTGAGGGAAAGAAGGGTATAGGTAGGGCCTTGTAGGTCAATAGGTCTTTGCCGGCGTGTCCGTGCAGCATTGCGAGGAAGGACTTGGTATGATGCGAGCAAGGTGTCGTTGGAACGGTGTACTTGAAAACGCTTGTATGGGATAGTGTTGACAATTTTTTTTCTGCTGGGAGATACCTAGATTGGTTGACTTGGATAGGCGGGACCTACCATCATTTTGATTTTGGATAGTCATGCAGTTCTGGACTATTTGTTTGCTGAGTGGATGAATTGTTTAAATGTATACCATCTCAAGTCTATGTGAGAGTGATTCCTGTTGACACAGCACCGTAAAATCAACATTCAGGTTCCAATTATTTCTCCTTGCTTGATCAAAAATCATTGAATAATATTCACAAGTAGTGCGAAGAAATGCCAGAAACATGTTCGATGGACTCTTGCATGAGTCGGAATTGTCTTTTGCTTACGCCGCTGCTCATCTTGACGCTTCTTCCACCAATCTTGCCATCTTCCCATTGTGTCTATGCAACGAGTTGTAGGCTTGCAGGCTTGCGTCTGCTCTGCTACACCGTTTCTCAGCCTTGCCATGTGTCTGTCCAAGAGTGCGATGTTCTTGAGTCCGAGTCTGAGTCTGCGTCACCAAAAGTAGTGCTAGAGACTGCTGTTGTAGATGTCGGCCGACAGACAGACGGACTGGCTGACCGACGGGTAGCACACATGCCCATGGTCCTGCGTGTCAAGCATCCCGGCTTCTTGAATTTCCGCTTGCTTCAATTCTTCGAGCAATCGGTTGTGGGTCTTGCTTCTCTAGTTCGCCTCTGCTCGTCGTACTAGTTAGTTGCATTGTTAGAATGCCTAGGCACAGTAGGTTGCACACACACACACACACACACACACAGAGAGAGAGAGAGAGAGAGAGAGAGAGAGAGAGAGGTGATTCAGGACAGATTCTCGTCATACATTGATAGTTCGGTGAGGAAGCGTGGGATAGCCAAGCTGTGTTGTCAGACTCGTGAGTATGTGAGACTTTTCCTGCCCGGAGCTTGAGCTCTCATTTGCTTTGATGGTTGGTAGGGACTGAGTAAGGGATGTTGTTGTGATCGACTGGACGCACTTTCCACGTAACTGGTCATTGTGCCGTCTTGTTGTCCGCCGAAAGTCTTCGGGACACGAAGGAGATTTGTCGCCAGTGGCATGCTAACTGCTGCGGCGCATTGCTAAAATGCAAGAACAGCCTTGATGGTTCGCTTTGGTTGACGATCCGGAGGCCTCGCCTGATCCTTTGTTAGTGTCCGGACATGAGATGGGGTGTTCAAAGGCAATGGTAACACCATTCATGCTGGAGGGGGTGCAGTTGCTGCATTATTGTCCATCAACAGACTTCCCTAGATTGCCCAAATGCTTCAGATATCTTCAAAAGGCACACAAAGCATCAGACCAGAGTGTTCCTTCAACAGCATTTGTCCACGTTCACCACTCCCCAAAGCCTCTTCAGGTTCAATAGCCACAAAAATGTGAAGTGTCTTCCTGGAACAATCCTCACGCGTCCGTCTGATTCCGGAACCACTCACCATGGCCAATGAGGTCGTTCAATAGCCATTCAATTGCCAACGCCGAGATTTTTCTGCGATTTTTGTCCTGATTCTCCAGTTTCTCCAGGTCTATATAAACCTTCTTCCCACCCCTTCCAACCTTTCTCTTTTCCAAATCACCTCGTCAACTTCAACGTAATCTCTCCTCGATCACATCAAAGTTCTTTATTTTTCTCTCGCCTTGGGGCCCCACGGGGTGGGTCCCCCAACTGGGCCTTTCTCAGGGTCGCCTTCAGGTTGATCGCTATCCACCATATGGGGGTGGCTCTGCCCCCTGGGAGGGAGGGAAAACATCCAGCCACAGACACCTCATGTGGTGTCTTCCTCCTGGGGGGAAGATTCAAGTCTCCTGACATTCTTTTAACACTGTATTCAATGTTTTGTGGTTGGGTACCGGCCCCCAGGCGGGGTGAGTCCAATTTGCAGTCCCTTCCTCATTCTTCCAACGACTTCTAACAATGTAGCAGGCCGGGGGCCGGTACCCACCAACTCTACCCAGACGCTCAACAGATGCTCATGCCCATCCAAACTATCCCTGAGACATTGTCACCCCGAGCTTCATCTCATCCTGCACCATACCCACCAAGCCCATCCTTAAGGTGGTGGCCAAGTCCATGATGGACAAAATATTTCGTGACCAACAGTGAGTTCAGCACCCCGTGCTAGGTAGATATCACAGCGAAACTAACACTTTCTCAGCAGCCAAAGGCCAATATACTTTCACCACCCATGGGCTGGTGCACTGTTGCAACCACTAAAAAGAGAGAATGGCTGGGAGGGATGGGTGGATCAAAGTCTGTTGGGGAGGATGTCATCAAAGCTTTGGCGGTGGTGGATGTTTCTTCATGTCGTGGTTCAACATTGATAGTTCATAGAGCTTCAATCATCATTGCTCAAACCCACTTCCGTTTATCAATGTGATCCCCTCTGTAATCTTGCGTGAGCGCCCGCCTGTCTCTCCGCATGGTAGTGACACGTCAATTTCCCTGTGCTGGGAAGGATGGACGTTGACCAGCCTCTGGTGTTTTCCGTCTAGGGGTGAAACCCTTACCCATAAGCTCCGAGACGGTCTTACCTGTAGTGTCATTCAGGCCTCATTGCACCAGTGAATAAGCTGTGAAGAGCAATGTCTTCTGTTGCCTTTGATGAACATAGTTGGGTTTGAAGAACCTTGGAAACTTGGTCCATGTTTACACTGAGCAGTCGAGACAAATTCAATTGAGGCCAGGCCTTAGCTGAGCCTTGTGCTCGCTACACTTTCCCGTAGTCAGATTAAGGGGTTCGGCAAAGCTTCCGTATGAACTCAACATCACAAATCGCTATTCCCCAGTTCCCTTTGCTTGTGAATGGCTCTACACTTCTGTTTTGGACCTCAACCAGCAGACAATGGTTGCATCTTCTCCAGGCTGCAATGACCCTCCGTACTCTCATCATGATGGTCGGCATAACCAAAGAGATAATGCTTATTGACAGCTCTGTCTATCAATCAAAATGTGATCACTGATTACCGACAGGCGTGGTTAAAGCTTGGCCTCAGCCGCAAAATCCCCAGAGGATCTAGACTGATTGTGTTAGGGGGTGATACGAGGCGGGCCTGCCCTTCATTGGTAGGGTTTATTCTTCAGACACCATTATTGAAAGGCTGGCTGAAAGCTCTCAGATACCTGGAAAATCTGAGCCCGACTTAGTTTTCTAACAAGTGCTACTCAAACCAACACACACAGCACGCCGATCTCATTAGGACCACAAACATAACAGGAGTGTTCTGGTCACGGTTCTCAAATCAAGACATTCTCACCCTGAAGAATCTCCAAGCAGCGTGACTGACAAGCACGGTGACTGAGGAGACGTCTTCAGATTCCGGAAGTGTCTGCTCGCTTGCTGGCCTAAGCCAAGACAATGGCGCTCTCGAATACGATGGGGGTCTGGAAATCAAGCATTGATAACCTATAGCAAGCAATTTCTATCAATCTTTATCACGAATTCATCCTCGGCGCTGAGCTTCAATGAGTGTCCAAGCGTCTAGTGGGAATTCCGCCCAATGTCAGCTCATTCACCGAAGACAGGCCTTATTGTCCCGATTCGAGGACCCAAATATGGCCGTGAATGTCCTCAGCATTTTGCTCTCCCATTTTTCTTTTTCTCTTTGTCAGATGAGCTAGTCCTTCGTTCAGACCCAACACAAACTCCTCAACATGAAGGACGCCCTCTATGAAACGATAACGCCTGCAGATTCAACTAACGTTCCGCCAGGTCAGCCAGGCCGCAAGCTCTTCTCATCTGCTGGCTGGATTCGCTGGTACTTACTAGGTGCAATTGTGTATGCCGCAGGTGCAATTGCTGCTGCCGTTTGGATTTTGCTTGGACCAAGATTAAATAATGTGGAAGTTGTCCTTCGCGTCTTTAATGTCCAAGTCAAGCAGCTGTACTCAAGTTTAGCCCTCTCGTGCCTGCTCACACCCGCTGCGATAATCATTCGACGTCTGGCATATGATATTGCACTTCTTCAACCTTTGGCAATTGCTTCGGCCATGCCAATGCGGCTCTCTCATCTCGATGCTGCTATGGATCCTGGCCTCTGGGCCGCCATTCAATTGCGGCCATACTCGGGCTTGGCAACCTTCTCGCAGATCTTCTTGTTGATTTGTGGAGCCACTCTTGTGCCAGTGGGAACACTGATGCTTACTACAGGCCAGTTCAACCCCCCTGCTGAGCGGACCGCGGTGGTCGGTATGCCAATCCTAACACAGACCCCATTCGTCAATGTCAACGATACCACAGGCCTCCCCACAGTGATGGACATCTTTGATGCAGATAGATTGGCTCAAGACCTGTTTGTGCAACCTGTGGTGAATACAGTCGTTGGAGTGATCACCCAGCAGATGGGCAAGCTTTCGCTTGTCAATCAAACCTTGGGACCTATCCCCAGCGCAAATTTCACCTACGAGGACGGTGTGATCTACCATGGTGTTGTCACATACACGTGGCGGGGTGGTTGTGCATTTACGAATGAGACAAAGGTCAACATTGAAGGAGAACCATTTGGCGAATCCGGCCAGACTTTCAATGCCACCATCGATTTTCCAGATGATTCCTTACCGCCTCGGCAGATCACCTTTCCTCAGTTCGTCATGTATAACACTACGGTCCCCGGTGCAGACGGCCTGGAAAAGAATAATTTTGTGTCCTATTTCGTGGTTGGTGGGGTCGGCAACTACACTGTCAACTGGAATTCACTTCCAAGGGGCACGACGCGCACTGATCGAGCTTGGATATCGTCCTTCAAGTGCACACCGAGCTTTGAATGGAACATTGCAAGTTGCACCTACAAGAACGGCAGCATGACATCATGTATGCCAACTCCTGGGAAGAACGTGACCTTGCTTGACGAAGCGAGTCTCAATTTACTTCCAGCATATTTCACCAGGCTACCTGGGATTATCACCGAGTTAGACCTCGGCCTCGGGAACCGACCCCTGATCTCCGTCCCAACCCTAGCCGATTTGCACTATGACCCAATCTACGTCCGAGCTTGCCAACCACAAGACTTCGACAAAGTCTACGGACTGTTCGCTCAGTCCATCGCAGCAATCACATCCGCAGGCTATATTGGCAGCGCCGAGGTCCCCACATCACTCTTACCAACCAGCCGGGTCTACATTGCACGCATCTACATCATAGCCATCGTGCTCTTCATTCTGATCATGGCACCCGCAATTGCAATAATCGACATGCTGGTGATGACCCGCAGAGGTTGGCCTCTGCACAAAGCGACATTTTTGACCATTGCAAATGCCGTTCGCGGCCCTTGGTGGGATAAGCTGATGTGGGGATACTGCGCTCTGTCGCCGGAAGAGCTACAGGCTACACCTGAACTGGCCAAGACATATGTCATGTTCGGTGCGGATGAGACCTGTCCACAACATGTTGGCCTGGCTCGAGATGTTACGCCTATTGAGAAGGAGAGGCTTTACTTTGGAATAGACAAGGAGAAGTTGACGTAGTTGGTGTTGAATGAGGCGCTGGCGCGGAAGCGGTTTTAACTGGGAAACAAAAATAGTGATTCCTTCATCGAAATATACAGTATACTTTAGACACTTGCTCCATGCAAACGCTGTTTCCTCTGCCCGAATACGATTTGATTAAGAATCCAATGGGTCCATCCGCGCAGATCATTCAGCCAGCAGCCACTTAGCTATCAAGAAATCACCGATCTTTACGCCTTGTGGCATCCCCAAATTTGTGGAGATCATAATTAGAAATACTTGGGTAGAGGTTCAGGCTGACGATAACAGCAATTCTCCGTTTTCCCAGCCAATCAACCGCACTATCATACACACATATTGAGGATTTGGCTCCTGAATTTACTTGATATATTGTTGACATAGTAAGTACACTAACTCACCAATCTGAGTCACGCCACCCAAAGGATTCATGCTTGCCCACTCCCAGCCTGCTCCTCACCTACTATGAAGACGCTTGGCCTCCTAGGCGGGCTGACCTACGAATCTACCTCGCTGTACTATAATCTCATCAACCAGCATGTGCGGGAGGTCGTCAGCCCGCGGTCCTCAGCAGAGCTGTTCATGTACTCTGCCAACCAAGAGCAGATGCTACAACTCGCGGCCTCAGGTGACTGGGATGGATTCGCCGATATTTACGTTCAAGCCGCCCACGCCTTGATAGCGGGCGGCGCACAGGCAATCGTGATCTGTGCGCTACTGGCGCATAAAGCCGCGGATCGGATCGAGGCCCGGATCCACGTGCCTCTCCTCCATCTGTCGGACTTTGTCGGGAGCGAAGTCAAGGCACGCGGGTTTGTGAAGGTGGCAATCCTCGGCACCAAGGTTGCGATGGAAGGGGAGTTTGTCAAGGACAGGATTCTGCAGAAGCATGGTGTCGAAGTGCTCATTCCTGATGTCGAGGACAGGGAGAGGGTGAACACTGGGATATTCAATGAGTTGACGACGGGGAAGGTTAGACCGGAGACGAAGGAGATGTTCTTGAATGTGACGAGGAAATTGCTGGATCAGGGTGCCGAAGGTCTCATCTTGGGATCGACGGATCTTGGTTTCGTGATCCGTGAGGAAGATATTGGTGTTCCGATATTTGATACGGCCAAGATCCATGCCTTGGGGGTTGCGAAATGGGCATTGCAAGAGGTGAAGGAGAAATAAGTCATTCCTTAAGCGTACCCATACATATTGACAAAGGTGTTTTCAGCGCCCACAAGTCCGTACCTTTTGATTGGCAGCCGTAGGATGAAGGCGTGATATCCCAACCTTGATAGAGGAAAGGAATGTAGAGCACCGCGTGGAAGTTCTTGAGTAAGCCCCGCAGCTTGGTGAACCCCACTGTTTTTCATGCACTGATCGAGATGGCCCAGTCCAGAATCGAAGTTAATCTGTTTTAGACCACTGGATTTGTCTCAAAGGGCAGTGGCTTTGAGTAGCTACATGATCTGGCGCATTGTGACTTGTGCCACCTTCCGTTCTGGCCAACTTTGGCTTTTTACGGAAAGTTGCTTTGAGGAAAGGAATTAAGAATGGGAATCAAATGGCATGAACAACCGCAAGGAAATCTCGACGATACGACTTGTATTGGGATTGCATTTTACTCAACCATTCCCGGCTATTGCTCGAGTACAAATCATCAGATACGGGGTATCGTATAACCCCCAGATTGTAACACGAGATTATCAGCCTTGTGGCGGCCTTCCGTGTGGCGCCCTGCTCGGCCAGCTGAACATTCTACCCGCATTCAGCTGGAAACCACATGCATATGCATGAATGACTCTGCAAAACAGCGAGATGTTCCATTCTAGGCATTTCCTTGCAGCCCATATTCGCTTTAAAATGGAGCCAGGCATCCTCTTTCTCCCTGGCCCTTCTCATTCAAGTTGGATTCGAAATCTCTCCTCAGAGTAGCTCCTGCCGTGAAGATGGAGTTCGGTGATAGCGTCTTAATCAGTGGCGGTTTCCAAGATACCTCTCTCAAGTTCAAACCAAAAAGAATAATACTGTGTTGTGACGGAACATGGCAGTCCTCGGTCTCAAATGTCACCAATGTTCCTTCCAATGTCACCCGCATCGCTCGTTACCTCGCCAGAGGTGGTCGAGACCGTGATGGAAAGGAATGGGAGCAAGCCGTCTTCTATGACGCTGGCATTGGCACTGGTGTGTCTGATCTAGAAGCCAAACGCGAGGGTGGTACTGGTTCTGGTTTCGTTGGAAATGTCATTGAGGCATACAATTTCATCGTCCTGAACTATAACCTTGGAGACCAGATCTTCTGTGTTGGCTTCTCTCGTGGCGCTTACACAGCGCGTGCAGTCGCCGGTCTCGTCACAGATATCGGAGTCATCCACCCAAGAGACATGCAGGACTTCCCAGAGCTCTATCGCCTATATCAGGCTCATGAGGATAGCCACATGTTCAGAAAGTCCAAAGCATGGCGAGAATGGATCGAAGGCAAGCCACTGTTTGATCCGAGTCAGAAAAATCTTCCCCCTGAGTGGAAAAGATCACCCTTTGCGTGGGAGAAAAGGCCACATGCTTCAGCTCCTGAATCATCTCGATGGGTAGAAGCGGTAGCCGTTTTTGATACCGTCGGCAGTCTTGGTGTCCCCGAAGTCGTGGGCTGGAAGGGATACTTGGTCCGTCCATTGGTTAGTTTGGCTCAAAAGCTCGGAGTTCCGGTTGAGAAGGCTGGATTTCACAATGTCGGCCTCAGTCCTTGTAAGTATATACTGCCTTCCCAGTCAAATTGGTCATGCTAATGCGAATCTGTAGATATCAAACATGCCTACCATGCCCTCGCACTCGATGAACATCGGAAACCTTTCGGACCAACCTTGTGGCACTACCTTGAGAGTGACACCACCCCAAAGTCTGATGCAAAGGCGTCTGAACTGAGAGAGAGCTGGAAAAAACTTCACAAGGACGACAATGCGACAGAGAAGCAGCTTGATGCAGCCTGGCACGAGCTCATTGATGCCGAGATGCGCGAAGAGTTGAACGGTCATCGTTCTACTCTGCTTCAGGTTTGGTTTCCCGGAGTGCACATCAATGCAGGCGGTGGTAGCAGCGAGCTACTCACCACGAAGAGAGATGATTTCGAACGTAAGTCAATCAAACCAATCGCTCATTTTTTTGTACTGGAGTCCTACTCCTTGGCGGTCCATGCTGATGTATAGTAGAGATGGCGATGGTATCACTTAGCTGGATGATGGAGCAACTGCGACGTCATCTCGACTTCGAGCTCAGTACCAATACTCTCATGGCATGGGATAGGTTCCAGCTCATCAGACCACAGATTGATGATCTGCTCAAACACAACAGCTCTCACTGGCTCACAAAAGAGGTCAATGCTCGCCTTGCCAAGCAACCGAAGGAAGATCTCTGGAATGACGGTAATAAAACCAGGTCTCTCAACATTGCAGCAGAAGTTCTCAAGTCTTGGGCCACAGGTCCGATCATCGACAGCTTTGAGGGCGAGATGAAAGCCACGGGATCGGAAACCAGGACTCCAGGGAATTATCGAAGCCGAAGTCCCGGACAATCGGCAGCATTCAGGCTGGGATCCACCAATGAACAGATACACCCCAGTATTACATACAGAATGGAGAAGCTCGGGGCGAAATACAAGCCTGAAGCACTCGCCGACTTCAAGCGCCAATCAAAGAAAGACAGCAAGGGCCATGTGACTTACGAGTGGGTTAACAAGGAGATTCGCATCCCCGAATACAAAATCCGCCCAGAAATGGCGGACGATAGCGTCGCCCCCGTGTTTGACACGAAAACCGGGTTCCTCATAGATGACTCTCTTGATCGGTTCGAACGCTTGCTGATCAGTGGCGATGCATCGGCATATGCTTTCATCGGTAAACTTGACAAAGAGTATGGGTACAATTCATGGGCAGCCATTCAGCAGGACCCGAATCGTGCTGTCAAGCAGCCTAATGTGGAGCACGAGAACCAAGGGTTCAACCCTGCGAATGCTGGATTTTAAGAGGCAGGTGGTCTGGTCGTATGCGGAGCGTGTGCTCACAAGCGATCATGTCGCACCGTGACCACCAGATCCCGAGTATTCTGTTTACCATTTGGCCACTGTGTAGACAGCCTGTTGATCGGGTTGTCACGTTGATGATGATTATCATGCGACAATTACGAAGCAGTCTGCGGAATATTATGACTTTTGAGTCGGCATATATGGTGGTTGTTCAGCATCCCTATTTCTTTCTGAGCGATGAGAACTTATATAAATACCACTCAGCACTTGTTGAGATATGATAAGAAATGGCAATTTCCCGACTTCTTCATTTTCCTGGATGCAACTGTAGCATACAATTGACAATTTCCGGTTGCGACTAAGGCTTCCAAGCTCTTCGCACGTACTCCTCGACATCATCGAGAAGTTCACGCGGTTTCTCCATGGCGGCGAAATGACCACCACGTTCATGTTGATGGAAGGACACCAGATTGCAAGTTTTGGCGGCCCAACTCTCCGGGATCGGAACGATCTCGTGGGCGAACAAAGAGTAGCCAGTGGGTTTGTCGATGTAGGGAAGCTTCAGTGCTTCTTTGCTTGTGATGACGCTGATCCTTGCGATCTTGGGGTCATCGCCCGCACTTGCCAGTCCGCGGCTATGGTACAGACATCGTGGAATAGTGTCTGTCATCCAGTACAGTGTCACCCCTTCGAGGATTTTCTCCAGTGGAGGGTCTTCATCCGTCCATTCTAGCATCTTCTCTCCGATCCAGCTCAACAACGCCAAGGGACTGGCACTCAAGGCCAGGCCGATGGTGGCCGGTCTTGTGCCCTGCTCCAATGCAAAGGCATATGAAGTGTCGATGAACTCGGCAGCCTTCTGCAACGCATTTCTCTCCGCGTCGGTTGGTGGACCGTCCGTCTCATCCAATGGTGGGATGAGCATCATGTTGACATGCATGCCTTTACAGGCGTCGTAGCCCATGGCGAGCATTCTGCTCATAAAGCTGCCGAGATCGCCGCCCTGCACCAAATATCCAGAGCCGAATCCCAAACCGACCATGAGATTGTTCAGTGCTCCTGCGGCAGCATCGATGCCGTAGTCCATGTCAATGGGAGGGCCGGATGAGTACGCGTATCCTGGCAGTGAGGGAACGATGATGTGATATGGGAGGTCCTTGGGAGAGTATCGTTCTTTCAGAATATCTAGGACATCCAGAAATTCGCAGATGGAACCTGGCCATCCGTGGAAGAAGGCGATTGGGATGGCGTCGGCTCTCTCGGAGAACAGAGCCAGAAATTGAACCTCGATAGTGTTTCCACCCCCATCCTTGACGGAAGCTTTGAAGTTGGGGAACGAATTGATTCGATCTTCGTTCTTACGCCAGTCGAAGTCGTTGAGCCAAGTGTTTTTCGCATTCTCCAGCCATTCTCTGTTCATTCCATATCTTCGACCAGCGTTAGTATTCTCAAACACCGCAGGAGCAATGGGTGATAGTTCCAACAGCTTCTTGAATAGCTGTAGCTTCTCCTCCTCAACATAGGCTTTGAAAGGCTTGATATCAAGGGAGGTCCCCTGTGGAAGCTTAGCGTAATCTGCCATGCTGCTTCTGGTGTCGAATAGTGATGGGTGGCAACTGAAGGTCGAGACCGTCGGAAAGCCATCAGAAATATATACCAGAGGTACTCAGAGGCATCGTAGCATAGGGATGTTTCGATAGTATAGAAGCTTCCAGAAGATTCGCTCCTAACGCGGGGACAGGAGGCCCGAAATGATGGTTATGCCAACATAAATGTTGCATTAAAGCCATATCTGTGAATGAACACCAGACATTCCTGTATATTTCGAAGACTCACAGGGTCAAGGAATTTCCTGATTTGTTGGGATCATAATAGTTCCAACTGTCTCAGCATGAGAGTGTTGGTGCTGAAGCTGGTCATTCCCAAGCATTGGCGCTCTGAGTCACCGACCAAGGAAGACTGGATGCATGGTGTAGCATGGGCTAGAACAAGACTGATGAGGAGTTTGCCTCGCCAATGTTTCAGGCATCATTCACGATGATATAGGATAGTCGCATGGCCTTGATATGATCGATCCATTGTGTTGTCATGATCAATTTCAGGTGGTGGCTGTTTGTTCTGAACTTTTGATAACCTGCAGTTAGAGTTGGATGGGGCCCGGGGGACTCGGGGGCTAAGCACCCCTAACACCCGCTAACATACTTCGTATTGAGGGGTCCACATTCACGTGACCATGATTCCTCGATCATCAGCTCCGACAATGGTCCATCCATCAGTCTTGCTCAAATCTTGCTCACATCAAACAATCAAGTCATAACACAAATCCTGTGTACACAATGGCCGTACCCGAAGCCACCGCACATGCTCGCTCGCTCTACAGGCGTGTGCTGCGAGAACTACCGCCGCGAACCCAAGCTCTCTCATCCCGCTCATCACCACGCTCTGCCTTACACAACTCCATCCGCACACACTTCTCCACACCCCTGAAGGACTCATCATCAGAATACACATTGGCCAGGCGGCAGGAAACCGAACAGTTCATTCAGTACCTCAAGGCGCAGAGGGTTTATGGGACACTGCTCGAAAGATATAATCCCGGTGCCTGGATGGATGAGGAGGAGCGGGTGCGCTTGACGGCCAGGCGTGTGGGCATGGACCTGCCAGTAGAGTATGAGTGGAAGCCGAATCAGTGATTCAGATTCAAATGGTCTTTGACTTGGAATTGAACATATCAGCCATGACTGCGCTTTAGTCATTTGGCCCATGGCCTGGTCGAGAAGCCACATGCGATACTGAAACCCATCGCCAATCCCGGGTTTTCGTCACGGTCTATGCGCATTTCTATCTCACGAGCAACAAACCTGGGGATGGCTGGGTATACGATCTCACGGATGGATAGAAACCTCCAGATCAAGGGTCTTGGCCATGGCCTACTTGTTCTTCACGCCTTGACTGGCGATGGCATCTGCTCGTCAGTTCCGAGGCAAGGGTTGCAGAAGATATCGACTATTGCTCTCTGCTCACGACGATGCCCGAAGCGTCATACCAAGGGGACTAGGTGCCTTTGCTGCACTCTTTCAGCTTTCAGTAAACGGAACCTGAAGGCTATTTCAGATTGTATTACTAGATGTGCGAAAACTTGTCCAGTACAATATTTAGACTGAAGTAAATATGGCTTAATGGCACCCATCTCTAATAACTTCTTGAGACGTCCATGGCTGTCGCAACACCGTCTTGGCCCTCAAATGCTGAATCTTTAAAGACCAAAAGCTTCAAGAATTCGCTTTTTGTTGTTGGATAACTGAAACCATACGATGGACCATGAGGAGTGTTGATTGGTGGGGAACCAAGGTTGGAGACAAGGCTGTAGTTAAGGCTGTGACCTGCCGGCTTGGATCAGGCCCTCGCCCCTCATTTTGACCAGTATCCTTGTTGCCGAATGCAACCAGCAGATTTCCATGGTGAGGATACCTGGCATACAGTATCTTCTTCAACCTGGGTAAGGAGAAATGCCACAGGCCCGATTGCTCTAAAAGTTGGAGAAAGCCAGCATTAGATCTGGCTCCGACATTCGTTTGTCATAATCATCTCAACATCAACTTATCGACATCAACATCGCGAACACGGAGACTACAATCACTTCCGAGATGGGGTCTTTCAACCAAGCGGAGGAATACGCACAGATAGGAAGCAATGACTCGCACCATCGCAGAAGAAGCTGGCGCGGTAGACTACGTCAAATCGCGCTCCCAAGCTTCCTCATCTTGTTCCTCCTTTTCATCACTGGCCATGATCACATATTCCGCACACTCACGATCTGGCCTTCATCAGCTTGTAAGAAACCAATAAAACTTCAATTCTCACCATCATCCAGTACGTTGAAGATTTCCATCTTCGAAGACCTACACTTCGGGGAGGCAGAGTCCACATGGTGGGGTCCAGAGCAAGACATCCGAACACTGCAGGTGATGTCGTCGATCCTCGACATGGAGTCTCCAGACCTCGTGGTACTCAATGGTGACCTCATCACAGGCGACGACACACAGCTAGACAACGCCACGGAATATTTCGACCGACTGGTCAGCCCGATGGTCAAGCGCAACATCCCCTGGGCCTCGACGTACGGCAACCACGACAACAATTTCAACATCAGCACGGAGGCCGTCCTTGAGAAGGAGAGGGGATACTACAGTCTCAGCATGACGGAGAAGATGGTCACGGGTAAAGCGGAAGACGTTGGCGTGAGTAATTACTTCCTCTCGCTCTATCAGATCGGTCACGAGGGCCCCGTTGCGATCCTGTGGTTCTTCGACAGCCGTGGTGGGCTGGCGTTTCAACGAACGGAGAAGAACGGGGAAAAGATACAACTCCCGGGAACGGTTGATCCCGCCGTGACGGAGTGGTTCGTGCGGACCTCAAGGAACCTGAAGCGGCAGCATCGACGGGAATCTATCCCCAGCCTTGCGTTCGTGCATATCCCCGTCAGCGCCATGCTTACGTTCCAGGAAGCGGGCGTCGACAAGCATCGGCAGCCGGGGATCAATGACGACGTGCCGCTCTCGAGTCAAGTCGGTGACGAGGAATTTCTGGCCGCTCTTTCCGAGGCAGGAGTTCAGGCGGTGTTCAGTGGCCATGACCATGGGAATGATTGGTGCATGCCAGTGGAGAAAAAGGGGGGAATGGAAGGGGGGAAAACCATGTTCGCATGTTTTGGGCGACATACTGGATACGGTGGGTATGGACACTGGATGAGGGGGTCGCGACAGGTCGTTTTGAGTCCCAACGGCGAGATCGAGACATGGGTCAGGCTTGAGAATGGAGATGTCAGTGGCCATGTCATGTTGAACGAGACTTACGGCACAGATGAGTATCCAGCGGCGAAAAAGGCCTTTACTAGCCTTGGTGCGGGTGAGCCAAGGTAACCGTTGTATGAAAGTGAAGTGTTATGGTTCCTTCTTGATTCCGATGTGGTCACTATCCAAAATAAACCAATAGCCGCATCACAGAACCATCCCTACGACGTCTAATGACCCCACAGTCTGCATAATGTTTTCCTGCCACCCGTAGCAACCAAACTGGTTTCAAATTCCAGCAAGTGCTACATGATGATACCGTTGATAGATCCTGCCTTGCATTCACTGTTGTGCCTGTTTCTATGACTTTTACGAATTCGAGCCTGTTAAATATCACCTCAATGAGTTGCAACGAATGCACAACATGTGATCGGTTTTAGCATTGAGGCTTGCCCAGTGATAACAAGCTCCGAGACATCAGCTATCTAAGCATTTGGCCACTTTGAGCTAACCGATCTGCGCAATGGAAAGTCCCTGATAGCAACAGGGCAACAACTTAACCAAGGCCGCGCGGGGTTTGCAGCTTTGATCAGGCTACTCGCTCCTTTCGCGACGGACGCGGGAGGTCATGCATATGAACGACCCATTTGATCTGCTGTGCGGCCCTACAAACCACTGAGACAGGCCTAATCTTTCTTGACCGGACGATATCTCACAGGTATGGCTACGGAACATGTGAATAGAGGTAACGATGTACACAGTCTGAGCGGTGCCGCATTGCCTTCGTTTCCTCTGCATCTTTCACTCCATGAAACAGTCTGGCAACAGAATTTCAATACTTTGTAGCACAACAACATGCATCCACTGTCGCTTCAAGACATCTGGAATAGGATCCCAAATGCTCATGACGTCTTTCCGGAGCAGAAGAATAGCCCGATTGGTAAGGTTTTTTGTGCCTGGCAGGCGACTTGCAAACGACTATTGGCAAGAACTTGGTGTTTATTCCTTGAGAATGTCGCCTCTTCAAGCAGGGGTTTAAAGACAAGTTCCATTTTGAGTATGTGTCAATTCTGTCGTGGCGCTGGAGCCAATTCCATAGCGGAAACAATGTCCAGAGACCGAGCGTTCCTCTGTGAGGCTGAGGATGCTGCTCACGCCAGATCACCTCCCGGGGATTCATGGACTTTGTCCCATAGAATTTACATAGACCTGCTGGTCGGATCCGTGGTGCATTGTCAACCATCTGCCAGTATAAGTTTCATTCGAGGCAGGGACTCGAAGCATGAAATAAGGATAGATCATGGAATTGGTGTTCGTCAAGAGGAAATGGGATATGGTATTAATGGTCGATTGCTGACATAAAAGTGCATATATCTCCCAAAAGTAACGGGAGAAATGGAGACCCAATATAAAGACACTCCATCTGCGATGTAGCCAGCTCAAACGTGCCAACTTCAGTCAAAAACAAGCTCGTACAAGTCTGCTCTGATAAGCCACATACATATAGCAGTATGGGGGAAAGAGAGACAGAGAGAGAGAATACACTCAAGAAAATGCCGCCGAAAACAAATCAAGCCAACAGGGAAGGATCGCCGCAATAATAATGAGAAAGAACACCCACAAAGAGCCAAGGAACACGATAACAGAATTCTGCGACCTATGCAAGGAGCGCAACAAGACCAGCCAGAACACCGGCCGCACCGAGGACGAGTTCCCCTCCCAGACGTCTCTGCCCGTTGGCGGTGTTCGTGCTCTGCGCACTGGTGGCCGAAGCGCTAGACTGACCGCTACTGCTGGTGCTGCTGCTGCTTGACCGGCTCGATGTGCTCGTGACGAAACTGCTGGCTCGCGACGTTGTTGCGGAGGTCGTCGCGTCTGCGTCTGCGTCCGTTGCAGTCGCTGTTCCAGAAAGAGTGGTCGTGCCCACGGACTCAATCGACGCGGTGGGGACGCTGTTGGTGAGAAGTGCGGAGCCGGATGCAGTGCCCGCGGCGGCTGTCGATATCAGAGTCACCTGGCCGTTTGCATCGGTGGTGACTTGGTTGCTGGACTGACCGAGGATCAAGCCCGTGCTGGAGGCGATGGTGGTTCCGGCGCTGAGGATGAGGATCTGATAGCCCGTGCCGAAGTTCTGGATCGTGTTTTCAGGCACGGTGTAGAACCCGGTGTACGAGGCGACTCCGGTCGCCAGGGTCAGATCCGTGGTCACGTCGTTGGGGTTGGCGTTGGTGAATTTGATGTCGATCGAGGCCGGGTCGTCGTAGCCAACAGACCAGAGGATGCTCAACGGCTTGGTGGGATCGATCCCGGAGCCCGGTGTCGGAGACAGGATTTCGAGACCAGAGGCCGCGGTCGCGAGGAGGGCCAGCGCGATGGCCCCATAATGGGCGAGTGTGCACATCTGTCAGATTGGGTTATCGAGTCTTGGATGTATTATTCGAGTGCTTCGTCGATCATGAGCGTCCACGTCGTTGTTTTGTTGCAGGCTCAATCCAGGGACACGCAGAAACAACAACAACGAGAAGCACGGACGAAAAAAGGAATGGACGCACCGAGCCTTTTGGGCAAGGGCAAAGTGCAGTTTTCGTTTCGCACCGGTCAGCGTAACTAGTTGGACTGGCGACGAGAACACGAAATGGAAATGAAACAAAAAGACGAAAGCAGAAGGAGGCGTCAAATTTAATCAAATGCAATGAAGTTTAAGGCTGACTGAAGACCCCTTTCGAGTTAGAACACAACCAAGTGGCGCCAACAGGGGCCCCGGAGAAAGTTAACTCGTACAAGAACACGCGGTTCGGATGCATCAAATGACAGCATCATGGAGCAATCAACCGATCACTAAACTGACGGACCCGATTCTAGAAAACCTGGGGCAGCTGCAGGACAATGGGGCCTGCCTTCAGTATGTACCAAGTATGTACCAAGTATGGAGTAATGTGTAGATTGTTTAGGCATCAAAAGAGACGCGTTCCTCGGCATGGCCAAATAAAGACAAAAATAAACATGTGTCATTGATTACTGTAAATCTTCAAAGGTCGAGCAAATCAAGCTGGATTGGAGGGGGTTCGGACAACGCCAAAACGAAACATTCATGAGCCAAAAAACCGTAAAGACTGATGTGTGGGGTGTATATCACAATTTCGTGTCGTGCTCCATGCCAGTATTCTGCAAAAGCTGAACACACGGCATGTTGATGTCCTACTGTACCAAGCCTTCTCCCTTCTTCCCAGTGCATCACAAGTCGATCAAGCTGCCGTTCTGCTGTCCAACAGGTCTTCCTCCAAAGGCGTTGTTATTTTGTTGACCATATCCACCACCAAAAGCATTGTTTTGTTGTTGACCGAAACCCCCAGCCTGATTGGGCTGTGCGTATCCTGTTGGCTGCTGGGAGAAGAACGGGTTGGCTCCGGTTTGAGATGCTCGGAGACGCTCCAGGCCTTGTCCTGACGAGTTGACAAAATTGCCCGGAGCGGTATGCTGAGCGGGTATACGCAGCTCGCCAACATTGCCAAAAGTATCGATGCCTTCTCCCGTCGATAACAGCGCATTGAGTTTCTCGTGATGTGGGTTCAATGGCTTCTGCGGCTGCTGTTGCTGCAGAGACGGCTGTGGAGCTTGATAATTGAGAATCGGGTTTGGCTGAGATGGCTGACTAAATTGTGCGGTAGGCTGCGACTCATACAAAGTTCCTAGAGAAGGCTGAGTCTGCGTGCGAGCGAACGGTGATGGCGATGGTTGTTGTGTCTTCTGGGCGAAGGGGTTATTCGAGCCCGTTGGGAGTGGTTTCATCTGCTCCAGTGGCTGAGGTGATTGAGCTGCCCAGGGATTGTTAGAGCCGGTAGGTAGTGCCTGTTGTTGTAGTTGTGGCACTTGCTGAGGTTGCTGCTGTTGCTGGGCTGGTTGGCCTCCAAAGAAGTTGCCATTGGGTTGTAGTCCATAAGGATTGTTGTTTTGGAATGCCGTTTGTTGGGGCTGAAGAGTGTTTTGCTGTTGGAGGAATGGAGCCTGTCCAAATTGGTCGTACCCAGTTGGTTGAGCACCTTGAAAGCCATTGCCATAACCAGTTTGAAACCCAGTCTGCTGTGGCTGAGCGTATTGATTGTTCAAAAACCCAGTAGTTTGGGGTTGTTGTTGAAGAGGGTTTCCGAACCAGTCCACGGCAGGCTGTTGCTGATAGCCTTGATTATATCCAGTCGGTTGAGGCTGGGCAGGAGCCGGTGTGTCATCGAACAAGGAGGCAGCATTTTTGTTTTCCAAATCCCGTCTGCGTTGCTCCTCCTCTTCGAGACTGAGAAGTCGTGCCTTTTCGAATTCGGGATCTTCTGGCTCATTCTGTTCGCTCCTCTTCTTCCGTGCCTGTTCATCAGCTTCTCTCTGACTTTCAGCCAGGGCTCGCCTGAGCTGCTCGTCCTCATCATCCTGTACACGATCCCGTCTAGGCGCATGTGACTGAGGTGGTCCCGAGATCGCTTGAGGGGCATATTCGTCGATTCCAGTGACACGAGTTTTCCACAGTTTTCGGTCAGACCGTTCGCTTCTGAGACGCTCCTCATCCAAGATCAACGAAGTAAGTTCTTTGGCAGACGTTCGCACTAAGAATTGGTTAGTATCTCTTAGTTGTAGTTGTGACTTTGCGCATACCATTCTGTCCAACATCTCTGCCGTCTTCATCCACATATTGGAATTCTCTCAGTGTCTTGATGATATAAATGTTCTTCCTAGCCCAGGTAACAACCAGTTCTGAACCTTCGTGCAGACAGTAGTCCAGGACTTTGAGGGACTTTAGAACATGGCGCCAGTTCTTGCCCTTATCATTTAAGCGCTTATCGAGCATGTCCATGATCTCGTAGAAATCACTCGGACTACATGACTGCGTCAGCGATGATTTCTTGGCTCCGGGGTGAGCGACTTACTTGTTGAATGTGAGGGCTGCGATCTCCGCCATATCTGTGCCCGTTGGGCCCCATGGGTCATTCGAGGTAGCTAAGATACGTGTAAGCGATATTGCAGGATGTTCTCAATGATTCAGTCCATACCATTTCGCACCTTGACCTGGACAGCACTATACCCCTTGGTGATGTTCTTCACACCCCTCACAACCTTGGACATACTGCCTCCTTTTCTTGAGATTGGTGCGGTCTCTACCCAGGATCTTCTGTAGACGTTTGCTGAGGAGTGCTGGCTGCGTTCGTGGAGGGAGGAAGAGCGGGTAAGATCTGCTTCGTTTGAGATGCCAACAACAGTACGACGGCGAGGTGGGTATGCGTCAAACGAGCGGATAGGCGTATCAGCGACCGAGTATCTGCGTCCGTTGCGATCGGTCACTGTACGCACTGTAGGGAGGTTGTGGTAAAGAAGAGGCGAGGCGAAGAATGCCAGCGCTGCGGCGGAGTGAGAAACGTCCGGAGGGAGCCTTGGATAGGTGCCGAGCAGCACCTAGTTTGGTAGAGTGGGTAAGTAGTTTCTCGTAGTTGAGAATTAGTAGCAGTAATCAGTGTTGAAAGTGGTCCCAGTACCCTTTAGGCGGCGATGGGCGGAAGGCAGGTCCCTTTGGGTTCCAGTTCCCAGTGGTAGTGGCGCAGGTGAGGTAACCAGGGTGGCTTGTGACGAAAGAGGATCCACTGGCGGTGATTATCAGACTTGACGAGACCACTGAGAGCTCAGCTAGGTGTTTGGGAGCGCGCGTAATGATGAGATTTACGGTTGATAAAGAGCTGAAGATGAATCAATTCGTGATTGGGTTCAAACTTGTGACAAAGAAGTGTGGTGTTGAAGAGTCAGAATTGACCGTGGTCAAGAGACATCATGACCTCCACTGGCAGCTACCATTTGGTACGGATATGCATTGAGTCGTCGGCTACAGTTTAAGACCTGGTTCTAGTTCACCCCTCACTGAGCCCTCCAGGCTCTGGCAAGGCGGGCACCACAGGCACTGAACGATCTACCACTGCCACTGCAGCGATGGCAAAAAAGCAGCACAGCCAGCGTTTGAATTCGCAAGCTCTCGTCTTGGCAAAATCATGATATTGTCAGCATCCTCAGCCGACGCTCCCGGCGTTCGGACAAACGCCTTGCCTGTCACTTGTTTTGATACTGCTCGATGAGGCCATCCTGCATCAAAAACATGCAGCTTACCCCAGAACCGTTGTCAACCCTCCAAAAATGCCTCGTCAATGCCTGAGCCCTATCAAGCCACATCTGACTAACACGACCTTTGTGTTCGTTCTCTCTCCATGCTGCTGTTCTGCCGCCATTTTCAGGCCTTGGGCCGGTCAATCAATCTCACCGCGTGCTTGATACTTGCGCCATCGATATGATCCCGGATCTTCGCATATTTCTCAAAATCCTCAGTCTGTGAGAAACTTTCGTGTTGCTTGACATCATTCCATCCCGTAAACAAGACAAATTCTTCAGCCTTCCCATCGCCTTCAGACGACGGATCAAAGCCACGGTCCAATCTGTATCCTCCAACAACCGAGTCCTCGCCTCCAATGAATGACTCCAGGTGGCTTTTATTCTCCGTGAAAGTCTCCTGAAATTGACCCCTGTGGCCATCCTTGATGAAATGGCGGACAATGCCTATCGTCGGTCTTTCCAGTGGCAATTTGCACATGGTTTGATCGATGTCCAAATGGAACATCCACTCCACGGCGAGTTCATCTTTGAGAATGGCAAGTAAGTCCTGGTTAGCTGGGGAAGGGATGAAGTCTTGCATATGGAAATCGGCCGATGGCCATGCCCCAATAATATAGATTAAATCCGGATTCTCGATACAGCGGTAATAGTGGAAATCAAGCCCGCTTGCTGTCTCCATGACCGATCGGGCTTTTGCAAGCTTCTCGAGGAGATCTGGCGATATAGTCTTCTCCGATGCCAGGCGTAGACATGCAAGTTCTGTGACTGCCATGTTGAAATTATGGTGAGACTTCGCAGTACAAAAATATCAGTCAGCGGGCAGCTATCCAATCCCAGTTGGATGCAATACCCTCTACATGTTCAAATTGGGCTTTGATGGAAATATATGTCTCCTTATCAGAGGCTTCGTCATTTGCCGTGCCTGAGGCTGCCCACAAAAATGTTGATCAAGCTATCCCAAAACGTAGGTACCATTAACTATACAAGGTAGTGATCCTCGCAATTCCTCCCTCCATTTGACTCGCACCACAAGGCTCTCCATCGTGTCTTATTTTACCCTAGTAGAGCATTTCCTTTATTGAGTACATTTCACAATGTCCACACACATCAAAATACAGATTGACCAAGCTGCCTGAGGGCCTCATGTCCACAGAGTGGAAAGCTAAGCGAGAGCACGCGTTCAGGTGAATGGTCACACCCAGTTCAGCCCATGGGTTGATGGGTTGCAAAAGTTTCTTCATACCATCCTCCAGCCAAGATGAATAGCCACAAAAGAAGAACACCACCACCAACCAAGTTGAGCGAGTCGAGATATTTGGAAGACGAGACCATTTTTAAGAAACTGAAAGGTGCGGCGTCGCCTCCCCCAGGTCTCTTACCTGACGAGGCCGGAATGTATGATCTATGATCATTACTGGAAAAATCTTCCTTTCTAGAGAATGCCAGGAAATGGAAAAAGTGTCCAATCAATTACACAATCCGTCGTGCCCCGCCATCTCTGGAAAGGTCCTTGAGCATTGAAATTGTTTTAGCCGTTGGAATGTGCCAATTCAGCGGGAGCGTTCTGTGGCGCCGCCTGAAAATGCAGGCGAGTATTCACAATGCGCGTTCCTGATTGCGGAAAAGAAGCAATCAGCTCTCCCGGCAGATTTACAAGGTCTTTGTATTCTTCAGGTCTGAATCCGGAATATCTATGGTCATATGGCACGTTGTCAGGGCTTGATGGTGTGTTACTCGCTTTCTTCCGATCGCCGAAAAGAAACCAGCCTGCACCGACCCCGAGGACCACTGCAACCGGGACACCAATTCCCAGTCCAACTTTTGCTCCAGTACTCATGGCACCTTCGTCATTAGAAGTATTTGAGGTCGGAAGGCCAGAGGCGGCTGCAACCGAGCTTGTGCTGCTTGATGGTGATGATGTTGTTGAGCTTTGCAATACGGCTGAAGAAGTTGCTAGACTAGCCGGTGAAGATGATGCGCTAGCAAAAGTCGTCGTCGTCTGCACTACGCCTCCGTCGCCAGCTCCAGCTCCGGTGATGTTGAAATAATGGCTGGTCGCAGAAGGGAGGGTATCTCCTTCAATGAAGATCTGGAAGAAGAACGTCCTTGACTTGCTGAGATCGCGCTGCGTGGTGACGGTCCGGTCAAAGGCCGATAAGTTGGATCTGTCCTCTGTGTGGGGTGAGCTTCAGCATGGTAGACACGACGAACAGATAACTTACGAAAGACGTATTCGAAGTCAGCTCCCTGGAGTTGCTGGCATAGCACAAGCGAAACGCTCTCTTCGATGGGTTCCCATTGAATGGTAAGACTGGAGCCAAAGACGTAGGACGGGTTGAGGGAAAAGTCACCATCTGTGCCGGACGGTCCAGGGCTTATGAATTCCAGATCCTGTGCTGCAATTTGGAATGTTAGCAGGAGTAGGAGGATCAAGAATAACATCGTGGTAAGCGAGGTTATCAACGACGCAGAAGAGTAAAAGTTTAGGACAGGCGACTTCTCTCAAGTTGTTATTGACATATTACCACTTACATATGCAGGCTTGGATGAGATGGAGAAGGGCCAGAGCAGGTCAGATGCTGCGAGTTTTCAGACATGTACCTGGGCCAGCTAGCAAGGGCACAGTACTCTGTAAACCGGTGCTTAAGTGGAATAGTTCATCTCGGTGTTGCAAGCATGTTGCAGCCTCGGCTGCACAGAGGTACGTGATACCTAGCTGTCTAAGACATGCAATTGCCTGAAGTTGTTGTTCAAGCTGTGGGACGCATACCGAACTTGGAAAACTGAACGCACCGAAATAACGCGGACGTTGGAGTGTCGGTAGAGACAGGCGTCGACTGTGGCGTTAGACATGAACCAGATGATTAAAATTTGATTGAGAGGACACGAGCCTACAATCGTGATAATCTTGGAATTTGTATATCGTCAAGGGATAAGTAAGGATGAGGTTCGACACGCCTGACATTTTCATCCTAATGACTAAAACCTGTCAGGTATTTTTGAGGCATGATGGGCACTTAACCCCCTCAGCAGGTACCTACCTGCTTAAACTCTCGGCGGAGCAAAAGACGGTCATTTCAAGCTTTAAACACTTTTTACCCGAAAACCCCGGCCAAGTAAATCTCCAAATTGTCGCGCAACATGGCCTTCTGCGATAGACAGTGTGGTTCGGTGGCATCGACCTACCCATATAAAGATAAGCCTCAATCAAATCGGGCATTGAGACACCCTATTAATTGCTCAAGGCTGACACGGTCTCAATACAATTTTGATTGACCTTGGAATGGTTACAGGATGTGAAGGACGAGCAAGGTATTAAAGTTAAGCGTAGACCTAGCCTCGTACTTGTCGGCGCTACGCTTGCAAGTAGTGGAACAAAGGACTCCCTGCGGCGACCTTATTTGTTATTATCCTTGTCCTTGGTTCCTTTTCCTGTCACGACATCTGCGCTAAACTCCAGCGCCAAACTTGCTCTCCACCCAAGGCTACTGTAGACGTCGGTGGAAATCTACCAACAAATCTTATCATGTCATTACGATTTGTGTCGCATCATATACTCTTTGCTACGGTCTTCACCTTTTGTATTGTAATCCTGTTTACTTCGTATCGGCTGCACGGCCATCCGACCACTCAAACCACTGCCTCATCCTCATCCTTGGCCGCGCCAGCCAAAGAAGTCTTACAATTCGATCAATACTGTAACGCCATCCCTCCTTCAAAAGACATCTTGATCGTTGTCAAAACTGGCGCAAACGAGATTCACGATAAGCTTTCCACGCAGCTTTTAACCAGTCTCCGCTGCTACAAGGACATCCTAATCTTCTCCGATCTCGAACAACAGATCGGTCCATTCGACGTCCATGATGCCTTGAAAAATGTTTCAAACGCAATAAAAGATCAGAGCTTAGACTTCGAATTTTATCGTCAGCTACAAGACTATAAGAAAAATGATCAAGATATTACCACCCTAGGACGGAATAGCAGCACAGCAGCGTGGGATCTGGACAAGTACAAGTTCCTCCCCATGCTGGAAGAAACATGGAAGATACAACCCCACCGAAAGTGGTACATTTTCATTGAAGCCGACACTTATCTAGTTCGCACGAATTTACTACTTTGGTTAGAACGGCAGGATCCATCACAGCTGATCTACTATGGCTCTCCAACCTCTATCAACGATAAAACTTTCGGGCATGGCGGCAGTGGCGTGGTTCTGTCTGGAGCCGCACTATCTCGGTTTGCCGAGAACGACACAGGAATCGCTGCACGATATGATGATATGTTACAGTCTGAAAAATATGGTGATTATGTTCTTACGAAGGCCCTGGGCGACAAGGGAATAGCGTTCACTGGTCGCTGGCCTATGCTTCAAGCTGAAAAGCCATCAACAATACCCTTCGGGCCTGGGCCAGACAGTGAAGTGAGGCACTGGCGCCAGCCAATCGTTACCATGCACCATGTTACTCCAGAGGAAGCGTGTGCTCTTTGGAAATTTGAGCAGCAACGGAAGAATCCAAAGGTTTGTGTTAAAAATCCCCCTTATGATCACATACCGTGCAGAAGCTGAACAAGCATGGCAGGAACCTCTTCTTATACGAGAGCTCTACCAAGACATGGTTGGCTCCAAGTTCTACGCGGAACGTGAGGATTGGTACAATCTCTCTGATGACATGTTTTACCGAGCCCCGGGCGTCCACAACGACCGCCAGAAATCTCCCGAAGACATGTCGGCGCTCGAACGCGAGGCACACCTTTCTTTCGAGCATTGCGGCCGAGCGTGTGAAGAACAGCCTCGTTGTTTTCAGTACAGCTACTCGAATCGCGAATGTGGCTTCTCCTACTCTTACCGGTTGGGCAGGAAGCGATATCCCGAGTCTGGCACGACGTTCATGTCCGGCTGGAATTTGGTACGAATAGCCCAAGATCAGTCTGAGCATTCGTGTCCTTCTCCTGAATGGTTGTGAACAACTCAAAGTTAATGAATCTCATTTTTCCTTTCTGCACAGACTCGTTGGAATAGAGATTGATAGGTGGGAATAGATGTCAAAAAGGAAGCATGTGCTCCAGGTGAGACATATTCTGTAATAGTGGCGCGGTGGGTTTATGAATATGAGGACGGATTTTGAGTCGACTCCAGGAAGTTGAATGCCAGCAAAGCATAGCCTTGGGGAATATTTCAGACTAGATCTACCATTATGTATTTCATTTTATTAACGGAGTTCTGGAAAATCTTCATGTCCTCATGCTGCCCTTAGGTGCCCATCAACCTCCCCATGTAGCCATCACGATTAGATCAAGACTTCTTACTTCCTTGTACTGAGCCAGGCGTGGGCTCATAGTAATGCAGCGCTCCTGCAGACTTCGCGCAGCCGCTGTTAGATGTGGCATTCACCGGTACCGAGTTTCCTTCCTGTGGACGGCCGATAACCTGTTGCAAATTGAGGTTAGTTGAGGCCAGACCAAGTCACCACCTCCTTCTTTCTCTCAACTGCGTTACCGCCAGAGGCACTTACATGGTTGAAATACCACACTTCACTCACGACGGTCCGTCCGGTATCGTTACTGCCTTTTCCTGCGTCGGTGGTGTTGTATCGTGGTCCTGAGCATCCGATGTAAGGTTTGGCACCGGACTTCTTGGTCAATGCCTTCTCGATGTCTCCCAGAGAATAAGTCGTCTTGTTGCTCGGCACGATCTTGGCTTCGTTGAGCCACTCCCATGTTGGGTAACGCTTGTACCATTTGATGGCTGTCTCGAAGAAGTCTACCACGTCCTCGTGTTCGACGTACTGAGGCCCATAGCAGGGAATGTCAAAGGTCGAGAAGCACGTAGCGTGCTTGCTAAACTCGTGCGCCCAGAAGTCCGTGTTGGGAGCTCCTTGGTTGACCCAGTATGTGTTCATCCAATCTATCAGGTCGTATCGGCCGAAGGCTTTGAGGAAGGTGTCGATTGAGGGACCCTTCCAGGCGGGCACCACCGTTCCATTAGGCAAGGCGTTCGTCGTGTTTGGAGAGGGTACTGGGTCATACTGGCGATTCAGGTCGCAGTACTGGGTGTACGCTCCAGAGCAAAAGTCAGGCCATAAACCATGATTTGTCCATGTGTCTATAGGAAGCCGTTGGAGGGGTTCTAACCCGGTGTAGGTTGACCAGAACTGGGTTTGAAGAAGGAGACCCCCAAAGGTTTCAGTACAGCAGCTGTCCACCTTCAACGGATCGGCACCAGGCGAGCATGAGAGCACAGGCGGGTCTGGAAAAATGGGTTAGTCCATGAAATGCAAGTCGCGTTCCCGGGTAGAGAGTACCTAGGATGCAGGTATGATTCACAGAGCTTTCGTTGTAGAGGGAGCAATGCGCTGCTCCCAGAAGAGTCGCAGCAAGAGCTGCATATGTTAACGGCGACATGCTCGAAGATCTTGGAAAGTACGACAAATGACAAGTGAACGGTGGAAAAAAAAGACCCCCTCCACTCACATTTGGCCCTCGAGGGAGCTTTTGTAGAAAAAATGAACTGTGTAAACCTAACCTCCAGCATGATTTGAGCAAGCTGCCCACGATCTCGCCAGTACAGCTACATCATTGGTGAACTGGGAAGCACGAAGCTAGGTACTCGTAAGTTAGGTAGTAGACGACGTGCATACGTTTCCCCCACATGGGCAGGGTGTATGTTTACGAGTACTCGAGCATGAATTTTGCTTATCAGCGAGTCGGGTTGCACGATGAAAGCACCTGCCTGAACAGTACCTGAATCCGGGACGATCAAAAGGAAGAGTGTTCAGAGCTTACAGGTCTAGGGTGGTAGTCAGGATGGGCCTAAGGACATGTACCTGCACCGAGGTACACGCTCGTGCCAAAGTGATTGGAGGATGTAAGATTATGATATAAGTGGTTGAGGTCATTTGGGGAAGTTGGGAGGCAAACATGATTGCATTTGAAATGGTTGGAAAGACGGGTGATTCGAATCTTCATAGACAGAGACGCGGGTGTAAGAAGGACAAGATGAATGTCAGACGAGATATCTATTCTCGATTTGCCATATGATCGCCTGGACGACTTCTCGGCCATCTCCGACCATGCAAGTCGAGTTAACAAAAGGTCTTACCAGTCCGTACCGATCAACACTTATATCGGACGGCTGTGCCTAATGAGTATAAGCAGGTAGTAATTCGTGTGATATGGACCTGTTAGCAATCATGAACAGATGGTTGTAAAGGTATCATGCAATTATCCAACGCTACCTATATAACATACGCTGTGCAAAAGTGTCTTCAAGCAATCCCCAAGAGCAGTCTACTCATCTGGACGGTAATCGGTGTGTCCGAGCATTTCGTGTCCTTTCGGGAGATCTGGTGCACTAGGTGTGGTAGTTTGAGGAGCCGCGCGACTACTTGCTGCATTCAACCTTTCATCCAAAGCCTTCAATGCCAGAGCACGTCGCCTTTCCGCCTCTTCACGTTTACTCATCCCCCGAGCACCACGAGCTTGTCGATTGAAACTGGGCAGTCCAGAATCCCCACGAGCGGCGGCTTGTTCATTACCAGTCGCAATCTCCTCGTCGGAAAATGATTTTAGAACTTTGAGATTACACAAGAAGATGTAAATCTGGTTGCTGAGAGCTGCGATAGGAGGCTGAATGATATCGGGGAAAAAGGTGGCAAATGCGAAAGTTTCGCTTGCGTCGCCTTTGGGTCCGTGATTCTCGGTGCTTGATCCAGAAAGGTCTGGTTGCCGTTTGAAGAATCGAAGATAGGTCCAGGTCGTTATCAAGCCATACCAAGCCAGGATGAGCGCAGTGTCTGTCCCAAGAAGGAAGCCGGACAGTGTGTTCACCGCTAGAAATATTCCTGGGAAATGTTTGACCCTCATCTTGATCATGCCTTTGTAAATGCTCACTGTATGTTCGGGAACCAATTGCTTGAAAGCGACCAGAAAAGCGGCTTGCGTGGTAATGCCTCCAGTTATTGGGGTAAGCGCTCTCTCAGGATTGCCCGTGATGGCAGCCCAGAAGATATATGTTGGAACGACCAATAGATTAGGGATGATGGAGGCGATGAGGATGACATATGTAAATCCTTGCGACCCCCATGCTCTTTCAAGATATCTCCCACCAAATAGGATGGTAGCTCCGTTCACCAGGAGAGTGATGATGTTTTGTTCGACAAATGTTGCACTCAAGAAAGTCCAAGGATACCATAGAGATACGGAGGGAATGAGAGCCAAGTATGGCACGTAGGGCCGTAAAGCCGGATTCACCGGGGTTGTGGAGGATGGATCAGGTTGGGATAGGCGCCATCGTGCGATGTTATATAGCAAGGTCAATCCAACAGTGATGGCGAGCAGCCCGCGAGTGACAGGAGGGAGATTGATTCTGAAAGCCATGACTACAGGTAGAGAATGGGAACGGACATGACATGGGATGATCTGTTTCTGGAGAAATCTTGGTGAGTGTTGAACTCGATGGGAGTAAATGCGAAAGTTGAAAGGTGCGATGGTGTCGCAAGAATGTGGAGAAGTGTTCAACTGGAACAGATGTTCGAGGCTCCGAGATCCAAGGCTGGAGGCTGGATAGGTGCAGCTTAGGCGGGTTCAAGCCCCAGGGGATGACACTCATGGCCGCCGGGCTACAACAGCGCCAAAGAACAGGGCTGGGCACGGAAACTGCCGGCACCAAGAGGGAGCACAGAATAACCACCCAAGAGATGTCTACGATGAAGACTGAGGTACAAAGATTGATATTTGAACTTTGACGTTCAAGATGTTGAAGATGAATAGGGCATTGATTCGGACTGTTGTTGTTGCTGCTGCTGCTGCTGCTACAAAGAAGACTTGAAGTTAATCATGACAACCCTGGAAGTCGTGCAGGGCTGGAGAAGACGAATCTGCGCCTAGAGTTTGATGTCATTAGCACTCGGGAAGGACGAGACTAGCTGCTTAAATGCTTTAAACCGGCCTAAACGGAGCCTAGAAAGCAATACTCGACAGGCTAGGCACCCAAAGTACTTGGAACCCTCCGCTGCATCTGGAGATGGAGAAGACGTGACGCCAATTCGAAACACCAGGGCCCATGCAGTGCCAGTCCCACACCCTCCTCGTTCTCGTTCGAGTTCTTCTTCCACCACAGACCACCCATTTTCAACCTCGCTTACTTTATTCTTCCCATCCCGGTGACCTCCAAAACCACGCCTTCTTCGTAAGGAGAGTGGCTGTCTGCACAGCTCCGGATACTAGCTGGCCTTTCCCTGGCCACGGCCTTGGCATACAGTCTTGCCCATTCCACCACCTTGTCGTCGTAGACACGTACCAAGTTAACAATCTTCTGGCGCATTCATCAAGGACTCCCAATTCGATTCCTTTCATCTTGGGCCCATCGAGGCGGTTTGGAGGTCGCTACTACTTCACTGTCTAGATTGGCACTGGGCCCTCTCCACCCTTTGTTGTAACAACACGTCCCTAATTTTCAGGTTTCGGCTCTGGGACTGGTCTTCCGCCCTATCAGAACCAAATTCAACACTTGCATGCCACAGCTCAGCTCGTCGAGTCCCCCGTGCTGCGCATCGCCAATCTCGATTTCATTCAATTCGACTCATACACGCCGCACGCATCTTCCATCGCGAATTAATCTGCTTCGATTGTCTGGGTGGGCTTTCAAGTTTCAGTTAAAGAACGACTCCAAGGTCTTCCTTCTACCTGCTGCTCTTTGGAGAGCGTAATGTTCCATGGAGACCGATAATACCTCAACTTTTAGCGCAAAGCCGCCTCCACTGAATTCCGATCAGCTCAATTATCTCATTTGGAGGTTTGTTCATTCTACCGTCAATGAATTATCTACAGTGCAACGCTAATCAAATTATGGCAGATATCTCCAAGAATCAGGTGACGCCCGCAACTTGTCAACTCCAGAAATTCTCCGTGCTAACACGTGCCTAGGTTATGGCGAAGCTGCCGTCAAATTGCAGCGTGACTGGAGAGTGGATGCAGAATCTCTGCCGTTCGCGAAGAATATCAGAGGTCATGCACTCGTCTCACTGGTTCAAAAAGGTCTTCGTTATCATCATCTCTCGCTGACCATCGATGAGGTACATATCTGATCCATCCCCATCCTCGACCACGCAAGATGCCCCCGTTCGCGCTAATCCTGTTTCAGAATGGCCGACCTTCAAAACAACTCAATCCGTCCATGTTCTTCTTCGGCCCGGAAAGCGAGAAACCACGTCCAGAATTGAGTGACGACGTCGCTTCCCAAGCACCCTCGCCGGAAAATTCTGGCATAGTGCCTCGGAAGCACCCTCGCGACAGCATTATCAATGGTTTACCCGAACCTACCACCCAGCCAGCCCCTAAGCGGAGTCGAAAGACTGTGGCTGGTTCGGAACGAAATGGGAGCTCGACGAGAAAGCCATCAGGCTCTACTGCTCAAGCAGCGACACACTCGGCAATGGATGTCGACATGACCAATGGTCATCCAGCCTCAACGAGTGACGCTAGATCACCCTCTGCTACGGAACCCGGCCCAGATGAGAACGGCATACATCTCAATGGCGTCAAGCACGACGATCGTATGGAGGTAGACGAAGATCCACTAGATGGTGACGGTCATGCGATTGAAGCGAGTGCTGCGGAGCTTGTACCGTCCCCCATCCATACACTATCGAACGGAGCGAGCATTGGCATTCAAGTTGCACCAGCCAAAGTCGCCAACCTTTCCCCTTCCACAGTCGTACTCGATACTCAAGACCCTCTCGCCATGGGACCGCCTCGACAAGTGACAGAGGTTTCCTGGCGTCCTGGACATACAAATGTGATCACTGCCATGGGTGATAACTTTTGTGGGACCTGGAAGCCTACAGATCGTTCGACGAAGCCAGAATCCAGAACTCCCTTCCAAAGCCTTGTTGAATCAGCAGATGCCGAGCTAATTAGCGCGTTAGCCTGGAACACTGAAGGAGAGGTTCTTGCCTTGGCCACATACAGCAGCCAGTCAGGCCAGTTACATCTCTTCGATGGGCAAGAGCTGACATTGCTAGAAGCGTTGCCTGCCTCACAAAGAGCAATCACATCACTGCAATGGCATGGTCGTGGAACACGTCTGCTTGGTATTGCGCCATACGACAATGACGATGGTACTAACACCAACACCATGGGATCGTCCATTCTACTCTGGGATTTGTCAAACTCTCCGAACTTCAGTGGTCCTTTATCCATCTCAGTCCCAGAGATACTGGTTGACATGGACGCTGCCTCATACAACGGAAATGGCATCGTGGGTGCCGTTGGTCAACAATCGGTCTACCTCTGTCGAGCGAATTCAGAACTCGAGATTGCGGAAAGATGGGTTTCAGATCCCAACGAAAATGACCAATGGACATTTATCAGATGTGCTTGGCAGGACCGTGAAGCTATTCTTGTGACTGCATCGGCCGAAACTCGTTGTTTGTGGATGCCGAGCAAAAGTGTCACAAAGAAGGACGCTCACGATGCTCCTATAACTGGACTCGAGCTGCGTCCTAGGATAAACAGCTCAATAACTCCAGGTTGGAAACAAGAGTTTGCCACGTCTTCTATGGACGGCACAGCCAAGATCTGGACATACGATCCGGATAGCCCTTCGATCTTGTGTCTCAACAAGCTGACTATCGGGCACGCCTCACCACTGATGACTCTGTCATTTTCGCCCGACGGGTTCTGTCTCGCAGGGGCAAGCTACGATACGATCCGTATTTGGAATGCCGAACACGGATATAATTACATGGCGACCTGGAAAGGTGAACTGGGTAGCTGGAATGGCTCGCAATTAAGAGACGACGACATTATGAGCATAGGAGGTGTTTCGAGTATGAATGGTGATGTACTTCAGACCAGTGCAGACCACGCCTTAACCTGGGACTCGGAGAGCAAGAAGCTGGCTTTTGGCCTTGGTTCACAGGTATGTATTCTCCCCCGCTACATTAAACACTAAGCTGATTTTGTAGGTTGCGGTTATCGACTTCCAGCGATGAAGCGACTATTCGACATAATAATACAACCAAACACACCACGACAGGACGATGGTGTTGGTTTCACCAGGATTAAACACAGTCGCTGGGTGAAATCTCGGATCATATTCCTGAGACTGTCTCAAATTCACCCCAGTCATCTTCGTCGTGACCTATAGAGCGACTGTCAGCCTGCTTTGCATGAGCATTCATCCCAATTGGAATAGACTCCAACTCTTGTTCGATATCACTGAAACCACGCAACCAGGCATTGACACCCTCGTGTATTGTCCTAGCATCGGAGGCGGCTGCGAGACCAGGTGCCGTTGGACCCTCCTCGGGTTCATCCACATAATAACGCCCACGAAATCTCCCACGTCCTCGAACAACAATTTTTCGTGCAGGTTGTGACGCAGGCGATGTGCTGTTGATCCAGCCATTCAAGCCGGCGACCGCACTCGACATGGCATGTACCGCGTCATCTCTTTTGCGCGATTCTGCTCTGCTGTGTTCCAGTTGATCACCCAAATCAACATTCTCGCGACTCAATTGGCGGTTCCGCTCTTTCAACAACTTGATCTCGTCACGGAAATCTCGCAGGCGAGTTTCTTGTTGTACACATCGTTGTGCGACAGCTTCAAGTTTTTCCATCGTCAGTTCATGAAGGTGGCTCTGTTCCTGCTGGCGCATGCGCATAGATTCAATGGTGAGGGTCAAGTTGGTCCGGATCAATTCAAGTTCTTGCGTCACGAGCACTTCTTCTTGATTGGTAGATTGGGTGGCTTCGTTGTGGTCGTCTTCGCCTTGCACTGCGGCGTTATCGTCTTCGATGAGGGCTGTCTCGATGTCATCCATGGCCGCCTCAATTCTCCGCCTCTTGCTCCCTCGTAGGGCGCCATCTTGCTCACTGGCCCAGATTTCGGAGACCAGTCCCCTCAGACGATCAGATAGGTGTGTGACAGGATCAAAGGACTCGGCGGTATTTGTATCATCATCGAAAGGTTTTGGAGTGGAAGTTCTGAGGCTGATGGCGGAGTCGGCAAAGAAGGAATTGCTGGTCCAGGCAGACCCTGGTCTCGTTGGGGACTGGGATTGGGCTTGGGCGCCCCGCGAATCCTCTACCAATACCATGTTTGCATGATCGGTAGGAAACGTTGTCATTGTCAACACGGTCTACTCAAATTTTGATTGAAGACGATTGTGGGAGAGATCGTATTTGTTGTTGGGACAATCTTGAATGAATTCAATCTCCAAGAACGAGGATAGGGCGTGGGCGCAGGCATCGATTTATCAACATGTGCAGTGCAGTGGCTGGGAATGCAAAAGAGGACTGGGCTGCGACACGTGACCCGTCAGACACGAGGTCGAGTCAGCATGTGTTGATTGGGTTGTAGAATTGATCGAAGATCTGTACGATTAGCATTATTGTTTCTATTGTCCTCATAGCTAGCCAGACATACAACGACTAGATTTAAGCTTGCAGAATTCGAATGTGATATATGCCTCTTGATTCCAACTTCAAATTGTTTGCAGGCATGCCGGATGGACTCGGTGCTTTCAGTCAGATAAGGCCGACTCCCCCGCGACCGCGACTCGTCAGGGTCTCCAACTTTAACCCCAATACTCACTAAGTGAATTAATTTCGCGTTGAGAGCGGTGACTCAGTCATTCTCAAGATACAACTCGCACGTATTCCAACCCTCTGCGTCTCGACCATAGAACTGTCTTACCTGATTATGATCTCGCTTGTTTTACGGCTTTGCTAGAGACTGGCCGAGGGCCCAAGATCGCTACACAGAATTGCCTCTCCGGACCATCCACACCCATCTCATTCTGATATGGTAGGCTCTGCCGCGTGCCCTCTATTCGTCGAAGCATCTGACTTATATTAATGCAGGCGCAAATCCAACCTTCACTTGAGGAGGTGACCTCTATCCTTGGCAAATCGAAATCAGCTCAATATCCTCCGAACCTCGTTCCGTTAAGCGCTCAAATCGCTGCCGACCTTTTTACACCGACGCAAGCATACCTCAAGGTTTCACAGAATTCGAAATTGTCCTTTCTGTACGAGAGCGCAGCCACGACTGGAACAATTGGACGATATAGCTTTGTGGGAGCAAATCCTCTCAAAGTGATCAAGTCGGGCCCTGGCCATGGCCCAGAAGAAGATCCCCTTCCGAGACTCGAGCAAGAACTCTCTCAGTATCGAGTTGCAACGGTTCCTTCACTTAGATTGCCACCTTTGACGGGTGGTGTGATAGGCTATGTTGGCTATGATTGCGTGCGATATTTCGAGCCGAAAACCGCTCGTCCTATGAAGGATGTACTCAAGCTACCTGAGAGTTTCTTCATGCTCTACGACACGATTGTGGCGTTTGACCACTTCTTCAACGTCTGCAAAGTGATCACGTACCTAAGAGTACCAACCACGGATTCGGTCCAAGATCTCGCCGAGGCTTACGCCAAAGCCTCTGAGACAATTCAGAAGACTATATCAGTACTTCAGGCCGAGCATATACCACTTCCCCATCAGCCACCCATCGCTCGAAATCAGCCGTCAAAGTCCAATGTCGGCCAGACAGGATACGAAGCACATGTCACAAATCTCAAGAAACATGTCTCGGTCGGCGACATTATCCAGGCCGTGCCATCCCACCGAATATCTCGGCCCACGACCCTGCACCCTTTCAATATATACCGCCATTTACGGACCGTAAATCCATCCCCTTATCTATTCTACATTGACTGCGAGGATTTCAGTATCGTCGGAGCATCACCAGAGCTATTGGTGAAGGAAGAAGCAGGTCGTATCATTACTCATCCGATCGCAGGAACGGTCAAGAGAGGTCGGGATCCCGAGGAAGATGACGCCCTTGCCGATGAATTGAGGAACAGTCTCAAGGACAGGGCTGAACATGTCATGCTTGTTGACTTGGCCAGAAACGATGTGAATCGTGTATGCGACCCACTGTCTACCAGAGTCGACCGACTCATGGTGGTAGAGAGATTTAGTCACGTCCAGCACCTTGTCAGTCAGGTTTCTGGAGTTCTAAGACCAGGCGAAGATCGATTTTCGGCGTTCCGCAGCATTTTCCCGGCTGGGACGGTTTCCGGCGCACCAAAAGTACGAGCCATGGAGCTCATCGCGGAATTGGAAGGCGAAAAGAGAGGCGTCTATGCTGGCGCCGTTGGCTACTTTGGGTTCTCACGGGTTTCGTCAGATGGCTCCACAATCGAGGATGAAGGTGCTATGGACACTTGCATTGCCCTACGGACGATGGTGGTCAAGGATGGCGTTGCATATCTACAAGCTGGAGGTGGGATTGTTTTTGATAGTGTTGAGGAGGACGAATGGATCGAGACTATGAACAAACTGGGTGCAAATATTAGAACCATTGAAGAAGCAGAAAAGAAGTATCTTGCACTGGAGCAGGCTGGCAATGGTCATGCCAATGGTATTTCCAAATAGAGGGGAGACATGGTGGGTGATTCAACAAGAGAATATGTCAATCTAATGTTTTGAATACCAATTAACATGTTCATTGATAGACTGCCACCGTCACATCAGCACTCGTTTCATGTCGCGTGCTTGATACTAGTGAAGTCAAGAGATAGTCATAGTAGGAGCACGAGTGGTAGGTGGGTAAGGGCTAGCCGGAAGATAACAACCAATGAAAGTTCTCCATATTCACTAGCGCACAAAAGACTTGGCACCACCGCACGAAAGCGAAAATCCTATTGTGAGTTTCGAACCACGCCAACCCTACAACTTTTGTCCACCACAATTCAATTGCTGTAACTGTCAGGACTTCTCGCCAGTCTTGACAGCCTCTTTCAGCTCATACCGACAAGATGAAGTTGAACATCTCATTCCCGGCCAACGGGTCGCAGAAACTGATCGAAGTCGAAGATGAGCGCAAGCTACGTGTGTTCCAGGAGAAGCGTATGGGCAACGAAGTTCCAGCCGACAGTCTCGGTGATGAATGGAAGGGCTATGTATGAGAGATTGAATCGTCCTGGTCTACCAAGCCTGTTGCTAATGTCTTGTTCTTCAGATCGTCCGCATCACTGGTGGCAATGACAAGCAAGGCTTTCCCATGAAGCAGGGTGTCGTATGTTCAACTCCCTGCCCTTGAAAGCGCCAGCGAGCCGCCCGCTGAGACTTGATTCATTTAGTTACTCCCCACCCGTGTCAAACTCCTCCTCGCCGATGGCCACTCCTGCTACCGACCTCGCCGAACCGGTGAGCGCAAGCGCAAGTCCGTCCGTGGCTCCATCGTCGCCAACGACCTTTCCGTCCTTGCCCTCTCCATTGTCAAGCAAGGCGAGAGTGACATCCCCGGCCTGACCGACGTTGTCAACCCCAAGAGACTTGGACCCAAGCGTGCCACCAAGATCCGAAGATTCTTCGGCTTGACCAAGCAAGATGATGTCCGGTAAGAATTACCCACTCTTGGACAATTTCTACGTAAGAGCTGTTTTCTAATCTCTATAACAGCAAATTCGTTATCCGACGTGAAGTTGTCCCCAAGAAAGAAGGTGCAAAGCCCTACACCAAGGCCCCCAAGATCCAGAGACTCGTCACCCCTCAACGCCTGCAACACAAGAGACACCGAATCGCACTCAAGCGAAGACGCGCAGAAGCCTCCAAGGATGCCGCAAACGAGTACTCCCAACTGTTGGCCAAGCGTGTTCACGAGGAACGTGACAAGAGAGCCGAGCTCCGCAAGAGACGTGCTTCCTCACTTCACAAGTAGAGAAAAATCGTCGTCTTGTCTTTCATTAGAGTTCTTTGGGGGTGTGTGGTGGAGGATCAAGAACGAAAAGAAACCCACTCCTCGAATTGAACGGCGATTGATTGATTGTTTTTGCCTGGCAAAAGAAAATTCTCCAAACGATCGAATGGGTCATTTCATGACGATTGTCATGTAATACGACCACAGAAACAGACCACATGATTCCATAGCATAGCAGCGTGGGCGAGCGAGTGGAGGGAAATGCACGGTTTGGTTGCTCGCTGTCATGTCGTGTTACCCATCATCACTCTTGCAAAAAGGTGTGTTGGACACTAGCACAACCACAGCATGGCCATCCCCCGCGTCCAAACTCATAGTTTGACATGCAGAAGAAGACAACATAGAAAACCAGTCACACCACCCCAAACATACAATCATACCTAATCCTTCTTTTGCACTGTGTCACACATGATTATATTCTTCGTTGCTGAAACCAATCGCCTTTAGCCCACCTTCATTCCTAAATATCTGTATATTCCCCTTCGCCGTCAGGAACCTAACTCAGTTTGAGCAAGCTAAGGTTATTGTTCGGCACGCGGAGGTGAAGTACTGTAGCTCACCTGCAACTTTAGGCTGTGGCTGGGCGCCGGGTGGTCTTCCCCAGGCAATCACTAACTGCCCAGGCAGTGCCCGCGGCCCCCTCGGTAGAGCCCTGAAGTCCCTTGAATCACGGCTCGCGCTTCACGCTTCACGCTTCACGGGGTCAAGAAAATTCTTTGGCAAGGGCACCAACCAGCACGGTGCTGTGCGGTGCGGTGCGGGGCAACTTGACTCCTACGATTATTTTCTTTGACTTTTTCGGGTGTCATCGATCCTACCTATGAGTGAGACTCTCGGAGACGGTTTTTTCCCTTGCACCTCCAACTCCACCACCTCTTCCTCTCGTCGACATGTCTCTCCAACCATAACGACAGCGCCAGCGACAGCGATCACAAGCTCTGTCTCTTCCGATTCCTCTTCCTCTTCCTCTTTGTGCTCCTCTTCTTCGCTCATTAACGCAGACATGGCGACGAATAGCATTAAGCTCTTGACGGGGAACAGTCACCCGGACCTCGCGAAGGCTGTTGCGGTTAGGTTGGTTCTACCTTCACTATGTGTTCGCACGCCCATGGACATGAGTTGTCTTTTCCTTGTTTTCGATCTGATGCGCTCTTGTCTCTACTACATTACAATGGCTGACTTGATATGTCTTGTGCCGATCTAGGCTGGGTATTGAACTCACCAAGATTATGGTCTTGCAGTACTCGAATCAAGAGACCAGTGTGACAATCGGTGAATCCGTTAGAGACGAAGATGGTAATTCGAGAAATCCCATCCTGCCTTCCGCACTCTTCGAGCTTGTCTGACATTCCGTGTCTGTTCCAGTGTTCATCCTTCAGTCGACAAGGCCAAATGACATCAACGACGGCCTGATGGAGTTGCTCATCATCTGCAATGCATGCAAGACTGCCTCCGCTCGCCGGGTCACAGCCATCCTTCCCAATTTCCCCTACGCCCGACAAGACAAGAAAGATAAATCGAGAGCACCCATCACAGCGAAACTTATGGCGAACATGCTGCAAACTGCAGGCTGCAATCATGTTATTACCATGGATCTCCACGCCTCTCAGATCCAGGGCTTCTTCAATGTCCCGGTCGATAACCTCTATGCCGAACCAAATTCCGTCAAGTGGATTCGAGAGAATTTGATGCATGCGACGGAAACAAATGCAGAGATCAATGGGACCAAACAGGACTGTGTCATCGTCAGTCCAGATGCAGGCGGTGCGAAAAGAGCCACATCTATGGCTGACCGACTTGATCTTCCTTTTGCGTTAATTCACAAGGAGCGATCCCGACCAAATGAAGTCAGCCGCATGACCCTGGTCGGTACAGTCGAAGGCAAAGTCGCCATTCTAGTTGACGACATGGCCGACACATGCGGCACCCTGGCAAAGGCAGCAGACACCCTCATTAAGCATGGGGCGAAGGATGTGGTAGCCCTGGTCACCCACGGTATTCTGTCAGGTCGGGCAGTCGAAATTCTCAAAGGTTCGAAGCTATCACGCTTAGTGATTACCAACACGGTACCGATTTCAGAAGACAAGATCGAGGCGTTGAGAGTCGAGGACGGCCAGAAAGGTTGCAGACTGGAATTCATCGACATTGCGCCAGTGCTGGGTGAGGCCATCAGGAGAACTCACAACGGTGAAAGTGTGAGCTATCTCTTCAGCCATGCTGTGTGAGGCTGTGAAGTGTTAGATGGAAACACCGGTTTTTGGTGTATTCGTACAGAGTTTCTTCTTTGAGTGACACGTAACGTGTGACAACGCCGCATCATATCTGGATACCCAATGCTCCATTGGGCTTAGCATCTCTTACTCCGAGATAGCTAGCATGTCAGGAAGCCATATCCGATTCTGTCTTCCAGCAGTTGCAACAAGATTTCGATCCTTCGAAGAGTTTGAAGATTCAACTGATGCGACAAAAGAGACTTCAGCAGTCCGCTTCTTGCCTTGTGACGCCCGCAACTCCAATGCAGGACTCTATGCTGATTTGATCTGCACATGGGAGGTCTGGCAGATGATTGCAGGGTTTATGCAAGGACAGTGACTGCTGGAGAAAACCATGGAGCCACGGAAGTTGAATCCGTCCTATTGAAGAGACACAGGGGGTCCAACGCTGTTTTACCATGGCTTTAAATATGACCAGCAATGGAGGTTGACTTGGGATCTACCTAGGCAGTCGGTGTCCTTCAACACTTTCACAAATGTATCAGCACGTAATGATAAACTTGCTTCTTGGGAATGGACGGGTCAGAATTAAAAATATTGGTGGATAGGTGCCGGAATGACCTTTTGTTTGTTCTTGATAGATGTGGGATCTGGAATCCCACAAATCAATGGCGGCATAAACAAATTTGACCTTTCAGGGGTTCTGGTGTACGGAAGTTCGTTCCTGGTGTTCTTTCTGACTGATATCCAACTTGACAGTTGCGTCTCATCGACCGGTTCGTGGCTGTGCACGTGACCAGTCCAAAGGCCGCCACGGGCTCTTGCCCCTGGCTTTCCCTAGCCACCATCTAATCAGTAGTTATGAACCTGTCAGCGACTCGAAAAACCGCCTCGTGGGATCCAAACCTCTGGTCAGAGCCTTTGCGCCATCCTCAAGAGCCAAGCCGTCAGGTTTCTACGCTTTTATGCCGACATCGTAGGCAGCTAAAACCTCTCGGTAGGTGGCAAGGTACCAACGCCTCACTTACCTAGGAACTACTCTTCACGCCAGTCATGCTATTGACGTTGAGCGAATCACACTGGCTGCATGGTGCCGGAGACGTCCCCCGAAGTCGACGATGATGGTGCGTTCGTTCAACCAACCATATCAGTGCTTGGGCTCCTGGCCAACAGCCTCAATTTGCGAGCGGCGGAAGTTGAGCTGCGATGTGACAGAAAGTGCCAAAGTTTGGAAGCCCCAGTGTGGCGACTTGGTCCATACACAGTCCCTGGAGATTCTACCTCCGGAAGTCTGTCTGAGTTTTGGTAGGTGGAACTACGAAGCATCCAAGAGTGAGCAGTTGCGATCGAGTGAACGGTTTAATCTTCCAGCACGCATGATTGGGTACAGCGTGGAGGAAAATAATTCCGTCGCCAATTTTGGAATCGTTCAGATATTGGCGTAGCACCCAAAGGCCATGGCTGCTTCCCACCCTCTGATTTCACTGCCTACGATCAATCAAACCACGAATGACGACGATTACGACAGGCGCCATCTATCATGCTGCTCGGGCCCCCCTCCTTTGACCATGATTGCACCACCCGGAATTGTATGAGGGGCACATTCATCTATCCGGACGCTTGCATATGACTGCTCAGAGGCCCAACTTCACAACCGACCAGTGCTTTTGCCCCTCAAAGAGCGTGGCAGCTTCTGTCTCTGGCCCAGAAACTTGCCTCGAGGCTCGCTCGATTGGGTCATAGATCGCCCGTAACTGATTTCCGTCGTCTCTAAGATCTCATCACGTGCTCTCAAACACAAACATTCTTTCATCAATATTCTCGGTTTTTTTCCCCTCCAGCAATCAACATGGCTTTGCTGTTTCATTGTCCCTGCTGCTCTGCTCATCTGGGAGGAATTCCCGGGTACATGTTCAGCGTACAAAACGGCGGACCACCTCACTGTTGGCCATTTACGCTCAGATCTTCGACTTGTTTACCGCGCGTCGGCTGGAGAATGTGGCCTGGGTGAACCATCACGCCTGTCGTATGGCAACTCTCATTCTCGTCACATAATGTCTGAAAGAAACCGAAGGCCGCTGGCACCTGCTGTACCTCTTGGCCCAGCGCCGATACCGAGTCCAACCTTTAGAACATCTCAGTCGTCCCCCCAAGCACGCCGTAATATTACGACTGCCTGTCGCGCATGTAGAAGGCGCAGATCCAAGGTGCGTGTTTTTCATCAGAGCTGCTCATGCCATGGCATTCAGGCCGTTGTTATCGCCCTTGCACGCTCCGCCGCTTATCTCGACTAAGGCCTGCGTGCTTTGTGTCGCCAGCATCCTCCTCGACCTTCAGCCTTGCGTCGGTTCTTCTAGTTAACACGATTTAAGATTGTAACACTCACATGATTTTGATTAACAGTGCGACGACAACACCCCATGCTCAGCCTGTGTAGCAAAGCAAACCGAGTGCGTTCGCGATCAGGCTGAGGATGGCCGGCGCAAAATGGCCTGGAAGCGCAAGGTCGAGGAGTTGGAAGAAGATAATAGATCTCTGCCTGATCTTCTTGACGCCATCCGGACTGGAGAAGACGACCAGGTTGACCGTCTTGTTGCCTTCATACGTAGCCAGGCCTCACAATCCGAGGTTGTCGACTATGTTGCCAACAACTTCATCAAAGCTTCATCAACGGCTGACCACGAAGACGGACGGAGCAAGTCTTCAACCCGTCAACAGTCGCCTTCATTGCACCAACCTCGCCTCCCAAGGTCTATCCAGCAATCGCTCAGACCTTGGATTACCGTCTCCGCGCACCCTTGGACGACGGTCACTGATGACGATGATTTGGTCTCACATTTGGTCTCGTTATGGTTCACCTGGCGCCATTGGTGCTATCCATTCATAGAAAGAGATGAGTTTGTCACTGCAATGCGATCCAAGGATGTGGAAAGTCCCGTATGCACACCAGCTTTGGTCAACATGATCCTTGCTGATGCTTGTGTAAGTCCCAAGTCAAATGGAGTCTATCCATCGCTGTTGAGCACGACGACCACGTAAAACCTAGCTTGTTCCCTCGTAACCACGAGCGCCGTCCAGTCCTTGAATTCACCTTCTGCCAGATACTTGCCTTTCGCTGACAAGATCCATCTTCCCATAGTTCGATTATGACCTTCCCAACGATGCACAGCCTACGTCCGCGAACGAAAGACCTCTAAGAGACTTGTTCTTTGACGAGGCAAGACGCCATATGGAAAGTTCAAAAAGCAAAAGATCATTATCAGCGATTCAATACTTGGGTGTGCAATGGATGTAGTAAGTTATCAACAGACGTTGCCATACGGAGTTTCCGACTGACATATGATGATCAAGTCTTGGCAATAGCGGGCTCGACTCCCTGTCTACTTCCGTCATGCATGAGGCAGTCCATCATCTGAAGCAGTTGGAGAAGCCGAGAAAAGCAGACCGATGGAAGAGTCGAGTCTCGGCTGAACAGGTAACTCGAGTAGAGAAGATCTTAGGCTATACTACATGGGCAACCTTTGTTTCAACAACAGCAGCCACTTTTGCCATGCGAAAGGATCCCCTGATGAAACCTCCGGATCAGAAAAAGACTGCAGCATGCCCAGGTGACGCCGGGGAAATGTGGGTACCATACCCTCAAGAAGGCCCATCTGTGGTTGCTCATGTTGATTGCCATCTTCGATATCTTGGAAGGCTGTTCGAGATTTGCTTCAACATTAGCGAATACCTCTTCACCCAGGAACAAGATGAGAAGGCATTCTGGACCCGAGATACTCTGGAGGATCTTCATAACGAGTTGGTAGCATGGTATGAAAGTTTGATCGGCTGTCTACAGATCGACTCTGTCAAAGCACCCCATACATTAAGTGTGCAGTAAGTTTCAACCTGACCTTATAATGTTTAGCACGGACTGGACAACTAAAACAATAAATAGCGCTCAATACCATTGGTCTGTCATGGTTCTATCCGAGCTGAACTTCACGTCTCACCTCGACGACGAAGACGATGCCACCGTTGCCCTACTTGTTCCTGTAATTCAGGCTCAACACATGGCTGCCGCGCTGGCCATCGCCGACCTCATCCATCGCCAATGCATACACTGGGGTGTAAGTCATGTTCCGACCAGCTTTCTCCAGCCCATCAACGCCGCTATTCCGGTGATAACCAGCGACTTGGAGCCGGCTGAACACAAATCAGCATTTGTCAAACTCGCCATAGGTCTCCACAGCCTGGCACGTAGATCCGTGTCAGCTGAGAGCGTCCTCCGCATGCTAAGGTTACGTCTACGGCAAAAACGACTTATGGCATCTGGTGATATCGATCGACTCTTCGCCGAGGCTTCCGAACAGTGGAAAGCGAGTTTGTGGACTCCACCGCCACAGACGAGACACGAGAGCTCGAGCAACCCGAACCCGGGCTTCACTATGGCCACCAGTGCAAACGTCATGGACGGCGATTACCCGGACGGCGAGGGATCCCGTCATCCCGTGACCGACGGAGGTGGGACACTGGATGAGAGCTATGATCTGCTTGTCAGCAAGTGGAATAACTTCAATCTCAGGGCGTTTTCGAGTAGTAGCTCATCGTCGAATTAATCCCATAGTCATGTCTGGCTAAGACGAGGAGTTGGACATGTCTCACATCATAGCCCACTACGAAGGCCAGTGATCTTCTTGCCATCAGCGTCAATTAACCATACGGGCCGATAAAAGACCTCCACGACATGTTCATCATTCCCAACTTCCGAGGCAGAGAATTTGAAAAGAAGGAAAATTATCGCACTGTATGTTGAACCGAGTGGCGAGATCCCTCTCAGGAGTCCCACTGACCCCGTCGGCGACCTCGGAGCAGTACACTGTCGCAGCTCAGATCCGATAGCTAGCCAAGATCTGTATCCTGTCCCAAGCAAGAAAGAGACCCAAGCACAAATATAGAACGTTAGAGGGAGATATATATATGTCTTTCATCCAGCCGAACAAAAACATTCCTATCCGAAGTCCAAGTCCATGTGCACATACATGTTCGGTCGTATGTATCTCTATTCCACCAATCGAGCCCTTTCTTCAATCTATTTCTCCTCGACCCTCGGACGCTACTCAATATTGAAAATCCCCACCCCCTTCTAAAGCTTGAGCGATAAAATGTCCCCGGATGGCCCAATGCCTACTTCTTCAAAATATAGCGAAGAACGCCCTTCCTGTTCCGTCCACGTCTTTCTATTCCGTTTTACGCCAACGACGCCAACGACGCCAATGTCGGCCTCGGTCTTCGGTGTCACTGTTCACTGCTCACTGTCTGTCACCCACGCGCCCAATTGTGACGCCGCCCAAGAGCCCCATTCGCTCGATCGTAGACTTCGAGGCGCCACCGCTCGTCCCACCCGTCTTCGGCTTGCAAGTTGCCACTGCTGAGCTCGTCGTCGCACGGCTGTTGAGTTTTGCTGTTGCGTCGTGTCCTATTGTTGGTGTTGGTGTTGGTGTTGGTGTTAGTGTTGGTGGTAGCATTGCTACTGCTCCCCACGCTGTCCCTGCGACTATGCCCTGTGGTTAGGGATGTCTGCTTGCGTAAGAGAATTGGATCGGTGCTCTCATGCTCTTTGCGCGGTCGCTCGTAGCATGACAGGTTCATTACATGGTGATTGTTATGGCTGTGGTGGTGGTTATGGGATTTCCCTTCACTGCCGTGCGGAGATAACGTCGGATCAACCATGGCTACGGCAGGCGAGCCGGCCCTGATATCGTCAGTGGACAGGAAATCGAGCTGGATGACGTGGTTCGCGATGCCGGCGTAGATGGTCGGCGAAGACGGAGACGGACTGGACAGCGAGTAGATCGAGCCCCGGTACCGTTCCGCGCGCCGGTTCGGCTGCCGTGCCAGCGGCTCCCAGAGCCGGTCGCGGTAGCTGACCATCGGTGTGAGGAAGATGTTGATGTCTCGCTGCGTATGTGAGGTGTGGAATGTTTGTGTAGTGGGGTCGTACGCTGTGCTTTTTGTGGAATGGGATGGAGGGGCTCGTAAGTTGTGTTGGTGGTTGCTGGTGTACGAGTATGCTCGAGCGCCTGACATGCGGAGGTCGAACGTCTTGATGCACCCGTTTTGATGGCTTCCGGCGACAAAGCGTTCGTGCCCGATGGGTATCAGCGAGAGGATCTGTCCGTCGTCAACGACATCGGTGTATGTTGCGACGAGCTTGTCGGGGAGGCGTAGGTCGTGGAGTCGGGTGCTGCCATCGGTCCATCCGGAGAGAAATAACTCGCCTGGCCGACTGCTGGTTGTGTAGCTAATGTGATCCAGTGGAGCAATTACATTGGCGTTGTGTCGGCCAAAAGTGGTGGCACCGACGCTGTGTACTAGTGGTGAGGTTGATAAGCCTGTGGGAGTGACGTCGTAGATATTGATCGGGCCCTGGTCGCGGCCTTGGAGGAATTGTGATGCTACCGCCAGAGTGGTATCAGAAAGGAATTTCGTGACTCTCTTCCGCTGTTGTCCTTTCGTAACGTCTTGAGCCGGTATCGTGTCACTTGATTTTACGAATTTGTCGGGGTTTCTGACTGAAAATAGTCGAACTGATTCAGCGTCGCATATGGCCAGCAAAGGGTTTGCATTCTTGCTGACATCCATGCAGTTGATATTGATGGATCCGGTCAGGTACCGCGAGCCTTGCACGAATTCGTTTGCAATAGACGTAGATTCGACCTTCATGACTTCACCGTTCGCTTTCCGCAGAACCATAGTCTCCCCATCCGGGTTTTCATGTTGATCCGGTAACAAAAGCCTGACATCTAAGATATCCAGTTCTTGACGGTGATCATCGGGCACCCTGAAGGATGACCAGCTCACAACGCCGCTATTTATGGTCCGTACTCTGAGCCTACCAGCGGCACCCCAGGCCAGGACCTCCTTTCGAGCAGACCAAGATTGACCGTGCCAGGTTTCATAGCTATCAATGCTAGGCTGATAGCCTATGGTGTTGTAGATTGGTCCATCCTCCGCCCAAGCAAACTCTTCGGGTGGTGGGCAACACTCTCTTGCAATGAACGCTCTTCGGTCCCATGCTCGAGACCGTGATGTCAAGCATTGAGCAGCATCCCGCCACAGGGGAGGGGTTGCGATGGTCGGGAATGCCCTCTGAAGAAAAGTGCGAAACACAGAGTAGTTGTCCTCAGATATGATGTCGTGGAGCTTGTGGGTTGTCAACCCTAGATTAAGAATGGAGGACGCTGTTGGCAGATGCCCGACGACTTGCTGGATGACCTCTACTGGAAGATCTACCAGTAACATTTAAATTGGTGTTGGCTCTTGAAATCGATATCAAGAATGACTGGGATGAATTTTGTAGTTTTGGTTGATGAGAAGAGAACCCTTAGCAGGGCAAGTCTTGTGATATAGTAGTTAATTCAGAGACGACGGTTTGAGTCATGCGTCTGATATTTTGCATAAGGCGGACAGCAGATCCATGTTCAACTGTAGCCAATGGCGTCATGTTGGAACAAGGTCCGTTTCAGCCTGGTGCCAAGCCCAGGCTGAACACAGAGAAAACATTGTCAGACAGTATTGACACTATGGGCTAACTGACACACTCCATACCCCCAAGACCGCCCCCAAGTGCCCATAAGGGATCCCGAGTATGTGACTCGGCAATTATTGTCTGACACGGATATTGTCCTCACACTATTTGATGCCAAACTCCAATCGGCAAGAGTGACTCCTTCGCGTGTTTTTATCAACCAGTGTCATGATTCGAACCTTGCGGCTTCTACATCACACAGTCATCCGGCCTTCTTGTCAGAACATGGCCATTACAAGCGCTTCCACATAGAAGCGTGATGAGTCGGCATGGCCACCATTAAGGCCATCGAAGCCAAATCCGTTCATCAGATACAATCTGGCCAAGTCATCGTTGACTTATGTTCTGTCGCCAAAGAACTGATCGAGAATAGTTTCGATGCTGATGCCACTTCTGTCGAAGTTCGCTTTAAGAACTATGGCTTAGATTCTATTGAGGTCCAAGATAATGGCTCTGGCATCGCTCCCGCCAATTATGACAGTCTTGCTTTGAAACATTACACCTCCAAACTCTCGAGCTACGATGACTTGTCTAGCCTGCAGACTTTTGGTTTCCGTGGCGAGGCACTGTCGTCACTATGTGCCCTTTCGAAATTCTCCATCACAACAGCACAGGCTGATGAGGTTCCAAAAGGCAAGCACCTGGACTTTGATGTAATGGGCAGATTAAAGTCGACCACAATAGTTGCCTCACAGAGGGGTACCACTGCCTCTGTGGAGGGCTTGTTTGAAAGCTTGCCTGTGCGTCGCAAAGAATTGGCCAAGAACATCAAACGCGAGTATGGAAAGGTCTTAGGTCTTCTCCATGCATATGCTTGCATTTCTGTCAATGTCAAATTCACCGTCAAGCATGCCGTCTCTAAAGGCAAAACTATGACAGTGTTCTCCACCAAGGGTAATTCCACTACAAGAGAGAACATTGCAAACGTCTATGGAACAAAGACACTCAGTGCGCTGGTCGCCCTGGACTTGAATCTTGAATATCAAACCACGTTGACGCAAGTGGCCCATAAGGAGAAACACTCCAACATTCAGGTACGCGGTCATATATCCAGGCCTGTCTTTGGTGAGGGAAGACAGACACCAGATCGCCAGATGTTTTTTGTCAACGGTAGGCCTTGCGGAATACCACAAATTGCCAAGGCTATCAATGAAGTATACAAATCGTTCAACGTGTCGCAATCACCATTCATCTTCGCGGACTTTATAATGGATACCAATGCCTACGATGTGAATGTGTCTCCAGACAAGAGAACCATACTACTCCACGATTCTGCGTCACTGGTGGATAGTCTCAAGACTTCCTTGACCGAAATGTTCGATCAGCAAGACCAGACTGTGCCCCAGTCACAGTTTCAACTACCAAAGCTCCCATCCTTCAAAAAATTGAACGTTCCACAACAACAGACTTTGGATTTATTCGACAAGGATTCCAGAGACACGCCTGACTCCGACCGGTCCGTAGGCAGAGAGAGGAGCGGGAGTGTGGGTGGTGAGGATGATGAGGATGTCATACCCAAGTCTTTGCTGCGCGATCAGTTCAGACTAATCACCAGCACAAGGGAGGAACCCGATCCCGGTATGGATGAAACAAGGAAGGCGAAAATGCAAGTAGATCGAGCACGCAAGGCTCAAAAAATTGCAAAGAAACTAGCAGATGATGCAGAAGGAGATGCAGAAGAGAATAAAGATGACAAGGGAGAGTTGAAGGACGGATTACAAGGGAAGCCTGAAGACGCAGACGAAGATGTGATCGAGAGCCTGGAAGAAGAAGATGGGGCCTCGCAGACTGAAGCCGTCAGGATACATGTGAAAGACTTCAACGCACGAATGGCCCCGCAAAAGGCACGGGCTTCGATTGTGGACGCTTCTATGACTCCGCAGGACCGAGAACAAGCAACGAGCAGGATAACAGACCATGAGGATCAAGATAAACCAGGACTTGTGACAAATGCCTTCGATCGGATGAGACCAAGACGAGCGTCGGCAGAGCTGGCCACCATCACAATCGGGGATAAGACAGTCACGACGTTCTTGGGTTCGCAACCGGCACAGTCTCAAAGCATGGCTGCTAGAAAATCAAACCCTTATAATGGCAAAACATTGGCGACTCCCACACAGAATAGCATGACCTCAAGGTCATTCTCGCAAGCATTGAGACGGTTCGGAGCGTCAGGGACAAACACTGTTGAAACCGATGAAGCAGCGGATTCTGAAGATGAGGTCCGGCGGCAGGAATCCGACACAGATTCCGAAAACGAAGCTCTCTCAGAAGAAGCCTCAGAAAACCCGGGGAGCGTGGCAGGGCCAGAGGAGCTCGACAGGGAATATACGACTTCTGCAAACGAGCTGAACGAGCAATCAGACGAGGACTATATTGACGAAGCCGAGAAGAGACAATTGGAAGAGGCCCGGGTGACAGAACTAATTCGTTCCGCTGAAGAGAGTTCCAGAATTCCGAGCAAAGAAAACATGAAACGAGCGACAAAGGCATTGGACGGAGGTCGGGCTAAAGACTCAATCACCAATCTTGCAACCACTGTTGAGATTTCGATATCAAACATCAGCCAACAGGTGGCGAGGCTGTCCAGGCTAGACACCCAACTTGCAAATAAAACTCGAACGTCACTTTTTGAAAAGATCGAGGCAGATCCAGAAGAGCGGCTCTCTCTGACAGTTGCTAAAGCGGACTTTGCCAAGATGAAAATTGTAGGACAATTTAATCTCGGGTTCATTTTGGCTGTGCGGCCGCAGGAACCGCATGGCGACGAGTCGAAGCGTTCCAACGAAGATGAGCTATTCATCATCGATCAGCATGCTTCGGATGAAAAGTACAATTTTGAAAGACTCCAAGCCACAACGGTGGTTGGCAGCCAAAGACTTGTACGACGAGTCACGCTGGATTTGACGGCAGTTGAGGAAGAGATTGTTCTCGAAAACAATGAGGCCCTGGAAAAGAATGGGTTTCTGGTCGAGATCGATACCAGTGGGGCGAGTATGGTTGGTCAAAGATGCAGACTGGTCAGCTTACCACTGAGCAAAGAGGTGGTGTTTGGCATTAAAGATCTGGACGAATTGATCCAACTATTGGCGGAAGCACCTGGAACGGGAAGCTCCGAAGTGACTCGTCCTAGTAAAGTGCGGAAGATGTTTGCCATGAGAGCATGTCGATCCAGTATCATGATTGGCAAGACATTATCGTGGAAGCAGATGCAGAAAGTGGTGGCACACATGGGGACGATTGACAAGCCTTGGAATTGTCCTCATGGACGTCCCACGATGCGACATGTATGCAGTCTGAGCAAATTTGAAGCATGGGGTGAAGGAGAAGACGAATACGGGGAAGAGAGGATGAGTATGGGGAAGGCACTGCAGAATTATGTATGCGGAAACTGATAGGAATATCTATAGACCTGGTGGAAGGTCAGTGGAGCGGATCAAAGGGAGGAAGCCTTGTTATGGTATGTAGAAGCAGAGCACGAGTGGGTGACGGGGATGGTGGTCATTAATGGGTCATCCTTACGGCCTTGAGGCTTGGTATTTTTGGAATGGCAGATATATTTTGTGTGTCTTCCGAGTTCTTCCACCGGATGCCTTCACAGTCTGGAGTCTGGAGTCTGGAACCCCAGCCGATGAATTCCCGTGCTGGGGGTCAGAAAATGCACCGATGGTAAATCCCGAACGAGAATCTGAGTCAGTGGGAGACCAGCTGTTATAGTACGGATAGTCGCACCTCTAGCTCATCTGGCCCTTGGAAAGTCAGAAGCTTACGGGCGAGACAGGCACCTCGGGCGCTGCTAGCTGATCTACTACCGTTCTTAGTGGCGGATGGGCGGTTCCTAGGCGGGACAGCATTACCTAAATCAAAGTCCAGGAATGCCAATTGTCTTGACTCTTGGACCTCGGCATTGTCAAAAGGCCTGGTCGTCCACTTCTCTTCCCACCAGTTCCTGTTCGCCGACTGCTTCTACTACGCCGCGGTAATTCCTGTCTTTGCCAGTCACTTGCATACGCTCCTTCCCGAATCCTATCCGATCTAAAAAAGTCGCGTGAACCTACGTAGTTTCACTGCATACAAGTCCTGGTTCATTTTTCTCAACCTGGTACACCCTTCTTAGTTCTTTCCTTTCTTCCACCGTCTCTCCTCTCTGACCTGGGTAATGTTGTCCACACTCGGTCGAGCATCTCTATCATTGCGACCGATCCCTCGATCTGCCAGGTCTTTCTCTTCCACCTCGTCGCGAGCTGTCCAGGTAACGGATTCCTCCCCTGGGCCGAAATTGACGTCAGAAACGAGATCATGGCTAATCTGCTTCCCCCAGGCTTTCACCATGGCCCCCGCAAACAAGAGGAAACAGTCGACAAAGTCCCAGTTTTGGGTAACTGAAGGTATGTATTTGACTTATCCCACCAGAACCACTTGTCTGGAATCTTTCTAATAGCATACCAGAGTACCGGGAGGATGCTTCCAAAGGTCCCATGCTCCGATTCGAGGATTCTCTCCCACGATTGCCAGTACCCTCCCTCGAGGAGACATCCGCCCGCTATCTGAAGAGCATTCACCCCCTCTTGACCAAGGAGGAATTTGCCAACTCCGAAAAAGCTGTAGCTGAGTTCAACAAGCCAGGTAGCCTCGGAACAAAACTCCAAGAAAGGTTAATAAGCAGAGCTCAAGATCCCAATGTCAAGAACTGGATATCAGAATGGTGGAACGAGGCTGCTTATCTCGCCTACCGCGACCCTGTCGTGCCTTACGTATCCTACTTCTATTCTTTCCGCGACGATCGACAACGGAGAAATCCCGCCAAACGAGCTGCAGCGATCACGACCGCGGCCCTCGAATTCAAGCGTCAAGTCGACAATAGTACCCTCGAGCCTGAATACATGCGGAAGAAGCCCATGGCAATGAGCAGTTATGAGTACATGTTCAATACCTCTCGTGTGGCCGCCTTACCAGCAGACTATCCTATTCAATATCCTGCTGAAGGCAACGAGCATATCATCGTCATGCGACATGGTCAATTCTTCAAGGTCCAGACACACGTGGCCGGAAAGCAGTTGAACACTTCCGAGCTCGAACAACAATTCACCAAAGTCTACAAAAACGCCCAAACCACCACTCCCATCGGCTCTATTACCTCCTTCCCTCGCGACCAAGGCACCAAGGCGCGTGAAAATCTCCTTGCTGCTTCTCCACTCAACGAAGCAACTCTGAAAGAAATTGAAGCCTCATCGTTTGTGGTTGCCCTGGATTCTGCTTCTCCAGTCACTCTCGAAGAACGAGCACATGCTTATTGGCATGGCGATGGTGCCAATCGGTGGTATGACAAGCCCCTTCAGTTCATAATCAACGACAACGGCACTGCTGGCTTCATGGGCGAGCATAGCATGATGGATGGAACCCCCACACATCGACTTTGTGATACCGTCAACGCCCTTATCGTACACAACAAACTAGACTTCAACAATCCTTCTATTCGCTCCAATCTTCCCGATCCAGTCGCCCTTCACTTCGAAACATCTGCCGCCGTTCTTGAAGATGTGGCCACCGCCCAAGCTCAGTTCCGCCAAGTCATCTCTTCTCACGATCTCCGAGTACAGGCTTACCAAGGTTATGGCAAAGGCCTGATCAAGAAGTTCAAGTGCTCCCCTGACGCTTTTGTTCAAATGGTGATCCAGCTGGCATATCATAAGATGTACGGTAAGAACCGTCCCACCTATGAATCGGCTGCAACACGAAAATACCAGCTAGGTCGAACTGAGACAACAAGAACCGTTTCTGATGAATCGGTTGCATTCTGCGATGCCATGGCCGATGCTTCTGTCTCTCGTGAAGAAGCCGAGCGCCTGTTCCGAGACGCGGTTAAAGCCCATGTCCAATATACCGCTGATGCTAGCGACGGATATGGTGTTGACAGACACCTTTTCGGTCTGAAGAAGTTGGTACAGGAGGGCGAAGAACTACCAGAGATTTTCAAAGATCCAGCCTTCTCTTACTCTAGCTCTTGGTATATCTCATCCAGTCAATTGAGCTCGGAATATTTCAATGGATACGGTTGGAGTCAGGTCATTGACCAGGGCTGGGGCATTGCTTATATGATCAACGAAAACAGGTATGTTTGCATTTTTCTATTGACAATGACCTTATACTAACCTCTTGGCAGTCTACAATTCAACATCGTGTCCAAGAAACTCGGATGTGAGCGAATGAGCTTCTACCTCAACGAGGCAGCAAACGACCTTCGAGAACTGCTGACACCATCACTTGAACCTCCGAAGGCCAAGTTGTAAGCTGTCTTTGACCTTGGCGCTACGAACCGCCTACTATTCATCCACAATTGAAGCTCGGTCTCATGCCGGGTGAGATGAGTTGATCAGTCAGCATAAGTCTTTTTCCAATCAGCGAGACTTCTTTGATCGTGCAACACAGTGGCACTCTTACTGTACAGCACAAGACTTGATTTGTGGAGATCATAATGCTCTGGGATAGACGTGGGCCGATCCGGCGGTGGGACCGGACGGAGGGTATAGATCTGCATGCATTCCATGTCCGGGCGAGTGATGTGATTGAAGATCCATTTCAATCTGAGAAGGCTTGAGGAATGTAAGATATTGTTTGTTGCATCTTGACCCAGCTGGGGCAGTTTGCTACATATGTCTTTCCTTGCTTTATTTTCCATGACTATGTCCTTGTCGTGCTATTCTGAGCGAATGTCAAATGACAATATATATATGCTCTGGCACATATATTATAGCATTAGGTATATAGAACCTTCATGTGAGGGATCGACCAAAAAAAGTATAAATTATCCTGCTGTATAGACTCTATTTTGTGCTCTTGTTTGTACAACCATTTTCCCGGGATGAGGACTGATATCTCATATAGTGATGGTAATGTACAAACCACGTCTCGCTGGTAACACCCCTAAATATATATACACATCCCTTGAGTCCTGAGACATTCGTTTGGTTTGGCCTCGTCACGATCCATTCCGTCAATTCTCGTGCCAGCCACTAGACGAGACCAGCGAGACCACACCATTTATTTCTTTTGTCTCTCTCAAGCTGGTGACCAGCACGACTCGACAGGATCGGAATTCGGATAAAGCGGGCGACCGGCACGACTGAGCACGACTTCCTCTTCTCTATCTCCTTCTCCTTCAGCATCCACGGCACGGCCGGCCGATCCGCGAGCGGAAGGAGGAGAGGAAACATAGCGCTTCACGACGTCCACGCCCTCGAGGCCGAGGTTGCGCGCCGCTTGGTTCCAGATGATTTGCTTGATGCGGCCTGTTGGCGGTGCGGGCGCCACAGGGGACTTGAGCGGTAGCTCTGTGTCTATGGGTCCATTCCCAGCTTCGGCCGTCGTGAGTTGCTCTTGGATCGGGGATTCCATGCCTGATGCCAGGGGGGTGGCGGCGGCGACTTCCTCGAGCATGATCCAGACCAAGCCACGGTTCGAGCGGCGTAGACTCTCGATCACGCCTTTGGTTGCGGGGCGCGTGCCGACCAGGATGCCTATCGCTGGACTATTGCTGTAGCTGTAGCTGCTGCTGGTGCTGGTCGACTGAATCCCATCACCACCATCATCAACGATATTACCAACATCCACATCTCTCGAGACAATCGACTCAAACAAAGACCCCAGCCTCGCTCCTCTCACAGCGCCATCTAACTCGCGAATGAGGTTCGGCCCGATCTTCGCATGCTTGCCGACCAGCCGCTTGCACTGTACGACGACTCGGAGCACCAAATCGTGGTCGCGGTCGTAGTTGGCAGGTCCACCCCGCCTACCGTGCTCCTCCTCCTTCCCCTCCTCATGATCGCCTGACGTCTCCCTGCTGCGCGGCACGCGCCATAATCCCACCAGATCGACGCCGCGGTCGCCCCGCCCGCCCACGCGCTGCAGCTCAAACCCCTGCCGCCGCAGTGTCTCCTGCGTGACGTATTCGTACACCGTGCCGTTGTAGACGCTGCTGCTCGTCGAGAGACCCGTGCGTTGCGCGTGCGAGAGGAAGGTTGCGAGCGAGTGATGTGTTGCGCTGGGGTTTATCGTTCGGCCTGGGCCTGTGCTTGGTTGAGACGGGACTTGGGATTGAGGTAGGAGTGTATCTTCGCTGTGGGCCGGCGAGGTAGCGGTCCTGGGAGGAGAGGCCGAGTTGGAGTAGTGTCTCGCTGTGGCTCTACTATTGCCCGTCCAGGACAGAAGTATGCTCCCGCCACTGCTGTGCTCGACCGTCCACGAGCGACATGTCCAGATTGACGGCCGTAAACTTAGGATCGGTGCCCGTCGTCGAAATATCGCGCTAGGCCTATACTCGTAGCGAGCGCAGGTTGCGATGCGGCAGCTGCCCACCGAAGACATGGTTGTCGTTGCGATTTATGTTGATTCGACATTGTCCGAGGCGCACCGAAATACCCTTGGGGCGATCATCAGGGCATTTCTGGTGCAATTGGATACGCACTTCCGTAGGCAGAGACGCTGATTATGGTGTGTGTAGTTGTCATATGAGATTGTTGGACTCAAATTTGAAGACACGGACGAGGCTGCGGTGGAAATATACGTGCTACCCGTGAGAGAGACGGCTAATCTTCGGAATGATTGGTATCTGGGGGGGCACCAAGCGATACTGTTACCCTCAAGAATATTTGCTCGGTGTTTCTTTGAAGAGTAATTCTCATTTTCATCAGTATTATTTATTGCAATTTTTTAAGAACTGAGATCTGGACCTTGACAGCAGCTCCAAGCCATCCCCACGACAAAAACTGAGAGACGTTGGTTTGCAGCGAAGAGAGCAGACGAGTAATGGCACCCAGATGGGATATGCTCGAAAAGCATCATTATACCTTCAAGCACGAATTGTCTTTGTCTTTTTGAAACTCTGCTGCAAGACATTGATGCCCATGCCCAAGTTAAAAGCCAGCCAATCTTCTTGGCCATACAGCTTTTTCTTGATGAGCCCGAATGTGACGGATCGCAATATTCGGATGACGTCGCCGACCATCCCCAGTTGTGGCATTATGCTGATCCCGAGATCTTCTTTGAAAGTCGCCGTGGCACCGCGGAAGGTAGCTGACCAAAATTCGATCACTGGACCGAGAGTCGCAACCAAAGCCCACAGGAGTTTTCTGTCGCCTTCTGGTCCACCCATCTCGCAGGCTATCTTATTCCACCCCTTGGAGAGAGCGCGGTTGACCTCCTTGAAGAACAGATCCGACTTGGGAGAATCCAAGAGCCAAGCCACCTGAGGGTTCTTGGGGTCTATGATGAAGTAGCTCAAAAACCATCGGGGGCCGATCACCTTGACCCTCTCGTCCGCTCGGATGGTGCCAAACACGCGTGACTTGGGGATTATCACGCCCGTGACACTGGCCTGGTCGTTGCGGAACATCTCAAAGAGGGCAGTGCCGAAACCTCCTGCAAGAGAGGCAAACTCGTCGAGCATCCGCAGGACCAGAAGTCTGTTTCCCAGCCATTCGAGCTGGTCAAGAGCCTTGGAGCGTGCATTCGTGTACTTGGATGGCGGCCGAAAAATGTGCGTCTGCAGGATCGATAGCGTGTCTCGCGGCATCTCCCACAGCAGATTCGCTGTTGCGTCGCTAAGACGAGCCATGTTTGGCGAGTCCGGGGCCGAAGGTTCTAGAAGCAATGTCATCCACGGCCTCAGGTATTCGGCCACCTCATGGATTTTCGATCCCGGCAATGAGGCTGCTTCTTCCGATAAGAGTCGTTTCTCAAACTGAGACACGATGAATTCGATCAAGTCGGCTTGGTCCCTCTTGTTCTTGCAGAAGGTCGATACGAAGCTGTTGGACTGTTGTCTATTGACAATGGCGCCGTCGAGGCCATCTCCAAAGCTGATCAGGTACCTTGGATACACGCGTGATTTCGCGTTGTCTAAATGTTTCGGAAACCGCGGGTAGGTATATTCGAAGTCCTTGCCTCTGAGCATGCGATCAACAAACATTTGGCAATTGTTGAATACATTCCACTGCATCTTGGTGCTCTTGCTCATCATCAGTGTCGCCAGTCTATTCAATTGTGCCCCCACCTCACGTTCGAGTTGTGGTTTCAAAGCTTGAACGACCTTGTCCGCCAGGCGTGAAAGCTTCTTCTGCCGTCCTTTCGTGCTGCTGCCGGCCCTGAAGGTGCATAGAGCTGCCTGTTCTCTCAATGTATCGATGGCCGAACTTTCGAGGCGACGATGATCGGGGTTGGTAAAATAGCCGGAGAATGCCCCTCCGTAAACTCGTTTCACACTTCCTAGTATCCTCCGACTGCGAACGTCCCGTGGAGACCTAAGGATTCTCAGATCTTGGCTTTTCTTGTGCAAATACAAGTCCATGCACTCTTGCATGTCAGCAATTGAATCGGCATCCTGATCTGAATTTATAAGACTCAAGACTGCCTGTGTGGAGGAGCAAAGCTGTGGTAGTGGTCTTGGAGAGATGAGCACTCCTCTGGTTCTGCATCACTCAGTATTGGATGCCTGCTATTAAAAAAGGGAACATAACTCAAACAGGAGCTTACCCGGGGACGCCCATCTCAAATATCAATGGACCGAACATCAGGGACAAATGGAAGGAGCCTGCTGGGGTCACTAAAGCGAGGGCCTCATCCAGAGTAGATCCAAGAGAGCTTTTGATGAGCGTTTGAGTGTAAGCCTCGAAGAGGGCGGTGGTGTCGAGGCTTTTGAGAGCGGAAGAGATTTGCCCTATATCCCAAGCTCGAGATCCGGCGAGAGAGTTCAATAAAAGACGTGTGGATGGCTTCTCGCCCTGCTGCGCGCGGTGGCGCTTGTCCTCTTCGTGACTTATTGTCTCGCGAAACCTTTTTACGTCTTTGAACGTCAGTATCAGGCGTGCAGTAAAGACTTGAAGAGCAACTGACTCTTCTCCTGGCGAGGTTCCAGGCGCTTCCTTGAGAAGTGGTCGACGTCACAGATGTTTTGATGACTTTCTTGCACTGCGCAGCTCAAACAGAGCCTCCTGACAACATCTTCGGGGGCAACGGCGCGGTCAATCACTATGCGGCCAGTTTGCATAGTTCTTCCTATCAGCAGAGGGGGATCCGGAGAGAATCTAGACGTTCATTTGATATCAGCACAACCTGCATGCGACGAGATCTTGCTTACGGACAGCCATTGTCACATTCGTAGAAGACAGGAGATCTGATGAGGTAGGAGCACTCGCTACAGACCAATCCTCTCCACAGTCCTCCCAAGCTGTTAAGCAGGCTATTGGAGGAAGTTTTCGTTTGTTCGACTGAGACCATTCAGAATTGACACCGGAAGCTAGAATGTGGAGCTTTGCCATGTGTGAGACCATTACCTACCATTTGGAAGTCCGGCTTCATGGCTTGGAAACAGTAACTGAGCTGGCTCATGTACGACATCGAGATCGAGAAAAGCTTTTGGGGTCGATTAGAGCCCGGGATGTATCAAGAGCTACGCAACTTACCCGATGATTGCAGAAGGTATCGAGAAAATCGATCTTGGGGCGACTGGAGATCGTAATGGTCTGCGTTTATTTAGACCGTGGCAGAGGTTTAATGTCACGGAGAATTCTAGGATTCTAAGTACCTTTTGCGAATCTGAGTGCTTCTTTGTAAAGCGGCACCTGCTCAAAGTCGACCTTGGTGGTTCCATTGGGGACATTGGCTAGATACCTTCGATTAGCCCCTTCCTTTCGTCATGTCAAGAGAAAAGAAGCACTCACTCCAGATTCTGAAGAGTTTCCTGAAATTTTCTCCAGCTATTTCGGCGTTCGGATCAAGTTCATTGGCATTCACGTTGAGAAGTTCACCGCACTCATTGTAGAATAAGATCATGTTCTGCACCTCTCTCGCGACAGCCTTCCAGTACAAATTGAGCAGCTGCGAAAACAAGTCCTTATTGTTCTGGACTTTCACTCCATCTTTATCGGCCATGTTTGCGGAATAGATAATGCCCCTTACAAAAAGTTGAGCGAACCTTGGGAAGTGTTCAGCCTTGTGGTCCTTGGAAATCGAAGCTGAAAAGTTGGTGGACTGTGTATGCACTTGTAACTAGACAGGGGCTGGGGAGAGGAACCTGAGAGTATCAACACGAGTATAAATCGTCAAGTTGCAGAGAAAGAAACTGTCTTCAGCAATGACAGCCAACAACACGTCCAACAACCATCCTTGCATCGTACAGCAGTCGACACAAGGGCAAGTGATGTGTCATAATTGGCCAATCACCAACCCTGGCTTTCTATGCATGCAGGTAAAGTTCAGCTTGATGGGGCGCAGACCTAAAGAGGGGCACCGCCAAAACGCTTTTCAGCCTCATCGAGGGTAAGTTGCACTGTTTGGCAGGATATAGTAGGCACCGAGGTTCAGATTCGACTGGAGTGTGCTCAGAGAGCGTTAGTATAGAAGAAGTATTATTTTGAACCTCGTCGCGATAACGACTCCATTCAGGATTCCATCAGGCCACGACTTGCCAGGATAGTCTCAAGCACTAGCAAATCCCATAACATGGCAACCGATCAAGTCCAGAATCGCGAGAAGGAAAACCCATGGGACGAGTGGGAGACGGAATCCATGAGTCCGCTGCTTGTGACCTCTGTGGCCGACGTGGTTCCTGAAACTCGATCCGAAATCATCGAGAAGATTGAGTCTGGCCTGGTCCATGTCAATCGCTTCATCAATACCCCAGTCATAATCAAGTATGGGGTCAGCTTCGTTTTGCAGTCGGGTGCTTCCCTAGTGAGATCCTCGAAATCGGTTCGATCGGCGGACAATGTCGCAGCATCCGCCCGAGCTTCTGCAGAGGCCACTCGACATCTGGCACTGGTCCTATCCGATGCTCCACTAGATAGTACGTGCGGTTCGACGTACGATGCTGTACCATCGACTGACTGTCAGCAGAGAAGAATCAGCTTGGCTGGGAGCCTTACCGCCTGAAGCTCGAACAAAAGCAAAAGCAGATGAATGAAGGCCGACAGCGGGATCGCAAAGCACACTGGTGAGCATAGAACGCATTCACCTAAGACGCTTATTGACCTCTTCGACCAAAAAGGTCGGAGTCGACTTGGGAGTTGGTACAGACCGCCGCGCGCTTGTCGAAGGAAGTCTACAACAAATACCCCATGTCGGAAGGAATCATATTCGAGGCACAAGGAGACTCGAAAGCCACAATCGTAACCTCTCAGAACCACAATGGCCATGGTTTATTGGTTGTCGCCATTAAAGGCAGTGAGTCTCGAGATGACTGGTTGCTCAACTTCAACGGTGAGCCGACGGAATCTCCCTACTCCAAGAAGGTGGGCACCAACGCCGGGATTCACAAGATGAATAATCATGGTCCACTAACTATCGAAAGCTCTTGGATGGAACGATGAAGTGGCATAAAGGTTTCCTTCACGTCGCGTCCGTGATGGACCCCACGATCGTGGCAGCCATCAAAGATGTGAGGAACGAACAGCCCGATATCAACACCATCCTCTTCACGGGACACTCTGCTGGGGGTGCCATTGCCCAGATTTTTCTGGCCGCAAGCAATTCGCCAGGCACGGAATGCTACAAGGCCGTGGCAGGTAAGCAATTCAGACAAACCGTTTGTGGCGAGATTTGAGAACAACTGACATAGGAAAATAAACTCCAGGCTGCAGTGTCTCCTGCATCACGTTCGGATGTCCACCGGTGGCAAGCAAGCCGATTCCACCAGCAGGGTCCGGTGAATTCATCGCGGTCATCAACGACGATGACCCGGTGCCTCTGGCCCAAGAAGCGTACATCAAGACCCTCATCGACGTCTACACCCTCGACAAGAAGAGCTTCAACGAGAAACACAAGCCGAACAGCGGTGCAGCCATCCATCCGGAGCCTGCACTGCGAGTCAGTGGTGATTGCATCGTGCTGAAGGACGTCGATCCGGACGCGGAAGACGATACAAGTGGCTATGAGGCGCTGGAAGTCCCGTCGGAAGACATCGAGAAAAGCTTGTTTGGCAACCCGCTAGCCCATATGATGGATGAGTATCTGCGCCGACTGGCGGCTATAGCCTCTCAATACCGGGGTGGGAGCTAGTTGAAACACTTTTGTGTTGAATAAGACCGAAATCTGAGGCGGAAATATTGTAAAACTCACAAAAAATCCTTATCATGACATGCATTTGAGATCAACTTGTGGCTCCCTCAACACCTGCGTGAGCGAGGCTGAGTACACAGGGTGAAAGACAAGAAAGTCGACTCACTCAAATATAACAGACCATAATCTTGGCATTTGTCGGTGTCATACCTATCGAAATAGGTAAGTAGTGGGAATCATTGTCCCGAGGAACACTTTACACATGCTCAGAAAGAGATTCAAATCGGGGGTTGTGATGTTCATTTCTGGATTATATGTTGATACAGGAACCGGGCCTGGTGTGGCTCCCACCAATGTACAACAGAGCCAAAGCTTTTTCATGAAATATGTGTATATACAGACAGAGACAGAGACAGCGACAGCGAGCGAGTATCCTCCGCACCGGATCCCACTCACTCTCATAGCCGCTTGCGGGTCCTCGTGTTGGCTCTAGCACTGATGCCGGCCTTGTGGACGAGCATTCTGCGGTCCCAGGCGCCGCCCTTACCCTCGACGACATTGATCAATTCTTTGGCCACTCGCTCGGCCAACTTTGACTCCTTGCGGTTTTCCGCCGACGCCAAGATCCATTTGATCGCCGTCCGCCGCCGCTGCTTGAGACTCAGTGGTTGCGGGATCGGCATGGACGCTCCACCTCCCAGCACACCTTTTTGCTGTTTGATCTTGATCAACGGCGCCACCGAGTCGATCGCCGCGGTCAGGTATTCCACCGGTGAGAGTGGGAGGGCTTCCCGTGGGAAAGTGGTGAGTAGAGCCCGGTCGGTTGCTAGTGCGCTGCCCTGGGGCGTCGGTGCGGTCCGGAGAATTGTTAGAATGTCGTCCATGGTCTGTTGAGAGGCAAACTGATGTCAGTCTAACTTGTACTGCCAGAACAAAGATAATGCCTCAAGAAATATCATACCGATTGTGCTCTGCTCAACTTCCCATGCCTCATCAACATCTTGGTGAGCGTGTTCAACACCGTGTCATATCGACGTTTGAAATGGTTGGTCTTGTTCCAATTCGTCATGTCCGGTAGCGGGAATTTATGACCAAGGCCGGCATCAGGATATGGCAGTCCGACGGCTTGAGTCTCGATAAAGTCGACCTGGGCCACCTCTGCCAATCTCCGGACACTGGTAGAATATGATCTCGTTCCTGAAGGGGATTTGGATTGTTTGTCACTGTTGATGGCCTGCTTCAGCACCTCGGGCGCCTTGTCTTGTGCATCTTTGTCGCGTTGGAGTATCTATGGAAAAAGAGCATCCGGTGTTAGCTGAGATCGCCCCGGTCCGTTTTTCGATCTTCATATCCATCGGTCCGACTCACCTCTTGCACTGGGGTCCCCTGATTGATATCTGGTGGTGTATTTCCCATCGACTTGTCCAAAGCAGCTTGTTCCTCGCTCACGTGTGGTAATTGATCCGTGTTTGGACCTTTGAAGTCGGGGTCGACGGGTGTTGTAGCCGGTTGCTTGGAGGAGGCATTGTCGCTTGCCGCTCGTTGTTGCAGAAGGGTGGAGGCGAATGGTTTTTGCGGTACGGAGGGTCTGGTTCTGAACGCCACAGACCGGGCGGTGAAGAGGTTTAACCGTGGTGGCATTGTGATTGCGTGAGTATGTTTAACAATCAATTGATACACTGGCCGCAGATATTCAGAAGTCGAGTCAAGGAACGTGCAATTGACGCCAAGATAGTCACGTGACAGTTCAGATAAAGTCGATGACGTCTGAAAGATTTTAGGTCTTGAAGCCAAGGAGATGAAGAAGACTACAGTGCACGGAGAAGTGTCTCAGTGTGCTTCGGCGTAGCCCAGAAACACCTTTTACAGGTTTCAACCCTCCTAATATTCACTCTGGGGTATCTAAGGAAGTACAGTAGTGCCAAAATCAACATCAACGAAATCCCATAATAAAAGCTTAGAGTAATGACAAGCGCCGGAATGAGTAGTAAAGGAAATGTCCCCCTGCCGTTTTGTTCCACATTCCCCTTCCAGAAAGGTTACCAGGGCTGAGATTTAATCCAACAATATATGCGTTGGGGAAAAAAAGAGTACAAATGAGATTTGTCTGCATTGCCGCATATTTCTGGAGCTGTGTGGGGATGTACTTTTGATGTGCGACAATCATCCTCTCCATCTTACACTATTCAGCTTGCCACATGTCCGCTGAAAAGCTTGTGGCCGAGGTTGAGGCCTGATTCTTGGTTGTCGGGTAGTACCCAGAAAGCCAGAGCGATGATGATGTACATGCCCAGGCAAAGTAGACCTTCCAAATAATTGGATTTGCCATCTTGGATGAGAAGAACAACCACGAGCGATGCCAGGAAGAAGGAAACCGTCTCGAAGGTCTCGAAGTGCAAGGTCATTGGCTTGTCCATGATCCAACCGAGAACCACCAAGAAGGGAGTAACGAACAAGGCAATCTGAAGACTGGAGCCAATAGCCACGCCGATTGCCAAGTCCATCTTGTTCTTCCAGGCCACAATGACTGCAGTGACATGCTCGGCCGCATTTCCGACAATTGGAATCAGGATCAAACCAATAAAGGTCTTGCTGATGTGTGCCTTTTCCACAATTGCAGGAATGCTGTCAACGAGGTACTCGGCGCAGATGGCCACCAACAGGGTGACTACAACCAAGGCGGCACCAGCAGCCCAGGGACCCAAAAGTTCAGGCTCGTCTCCGGCATGCTCTTGAGCCTCAGCATCGTCAAACAGGTCGGCGTGGGACTTCAATTGGAAATAGAGATATGCCACGTAGATCAACAAAAGGATGATGGAAGTGCCTCGCGACAGGATCATGATGTTATCTTCTTGCGATTTATTCTCCGCCATGACGGCATAAAGGGTCGCAGGAATGATCAATGATGAGGTGGCTACCGTCATGAGCGACGACATGGTAGATGCGACGGTCGAGTTGAAGGATTGTTCTGGATATCGGAGACCACCCGCCAAAAAGCAGCAACCCAGAACGAGCAGGATGTTGGACAAGATGCTACCGAGCATACTAGCTTGAACGATGCGGATTTCATTGGCTTGAAGAGCGATGATGCTCACCTGGATGGGAGTTGTCAGTGGGATTTCTTGACCCGGGGAGGTGGTTCCGTAAGGACGGGTAACATACAATGAGTTCCACGGCGTTTCCAAAAGTGGCATTGAGCAATCCTCCCAAGGTTTGTCCAAGTGGTACAGCAAGTTCTTCGGTAGCGAAGGCCAATAGTGAGGCGAGTGGGATGATAGCGATGAAGTTCAGGACGAATTGAACGACGGGGTTCCACTCAAGGATTCCTGAGATGATACCCAAAGGCACAAAGACAAGTAGGACGTTGACATAGTTGGTCTTGAGAACCTCCCAGGTGGTATGTGCGATGAGGAAGGGGTATCTTATGGCGGGATTGTCATGCTTGTAGTAAGGAGTGCCGCTGTCGGTACTGGCATATCTCGAGAGAAGGTTGGTGCGCTCGTTGGGTTCGGCGTCGCCATTGAGACCGGTGTGCTCGGAAGGCATGATTTCGTTCGCAGTCTGATTCAACTTCTTGCGAAAATTACTAGCAGCTAAACCGTTGGGCGTCGCCGCCATAGTCAGCGCAAAGATACCGCAAAGATACAAGTTGAAGGGTGGGACGAGAGCGGGAAGAAGGCGGAACGCAGTGCAGTGTATGTTAGAGGTACAACGGTGACAACAGATGTGAAAGCGGGACAAAGGAAATCGGGATGGATACATACCCATATGTTATGGACCAGAGCATGGATGCAAGAAGGGAGAGGAAATAAGACTTGGGGTGTGAGTGATGATGTCGAGTTAGTGATGTTTAGACACGGACACAAACAGTAGTAGTAAGTGCGCAGTGGTGCGGGTGTTGAAATGAAATCAGGTCCGCAAGAGAAAGCTCAGGTGCCCCGAGGTTCAAGGTAGAGAAGAGAGGCCTGAGCACACAGCAGCCAGTGACGGAGGGAATGGAGCTGCTCGCCAAGTTGCTTGGCAACAACTTCTGGGAGCTTCACTTTTCAAGTACCGAATAGTGATGGATTCTGATAGGTATCAAGATCCTCCAGGAGAGGCGTTATACTTTCCTGGCAAAGGTGCGCAGCAGACTCGGATGGAGTTGAGTGTTGTGATAGAGTTTTGAAAGAAGCCTGGAAGATCGAGCGGCAATTGCGGATACGCTTTTAGTTTGGTTATGGACGTGACGCCTAGAGATTACCTAGAGATCACCCAGAGATCACCTAGAAGATGGGCAGATGAGTGGTGCTGTAGCACTGCTGAAGAGTCCCCCCAACCACGACCACAACTGACACTCCGTCTCTCATGCCTGGCGAACAAGGAAAGCAAGCTTCCAGTGTTTGGGCAACAAAGTCTGTAAACCTTCCACATGTCCCCCCTGTCACCTCCCCTCTGTACCCGCCTAAAGCTCCATCATCCCGGCTTCCAAACGCGCCGCTAATGCAGGAATTGTGGCAGTGCTGGCCTTGGCAATCCGTCCAACTGTCACTGCACTTCAAGTTCAAGTTCACATCATTATTGTCACCAACAGGTAAAGCTCGAGATGACCACCAGTCATATCCGTCCCAAAGAGATACGCCTCTCTACATGCGTGTTCGTGTTCATGTCCATCGTCTCCAACATCTGATACATATCTCAAATTTGAACCGAATCCCACGCATTCCTTCCAAGCACCACTCTCGGACATTTTATGACGTCGAAGACCCAACATCTAACCAAAGTCAACCAAACTAAAGCAGGGGTGGAAAATCACCACCCACCAGAACGTCGATAATAATTCCCCTGGGTCCTAGAATGGGATGAAGTCTCCTTCCTATTTGAGGTCCAAGAGGCAACACGTATTATTATTGATGATTACACTTCCCTCGGTGTAATTTGTGGCTCAGTGTCAATGATAATAATGACGGAAGCTCAAGGTAGTTCTTACCGAGTATTGGGAGGAGGTGCCGATAGGCCATGCGAATTACCTCTCAGGCCCTGGCTTTCCCGGCGCACCAGAATAAGATCCACACAGGTCGTAGCATATATTGCATATATTCATCAGTACTTGATGATTAGACACACATCAGACCTCACTCATAGGCGTCCACCGTTAGATCCCTCTATACGATGGGCTCGCTGGAGTATCTCGCAAGACCGCACAGGGCCATCAGAATGCTACGAGTAGTTAGATGATGGATCAAAAATTAAAATTCATTTAGACGCTGATCCCCGTTGCCTACTAGGTACTTGGGTAGAAATCTCGCAACAAGGCCCCGAGTTGAGATCGCCAGGTACCCTGGATACAAGGAGAGGGGTAATAAAGAGCTCAGATAAATAGAATGTCTTTGGAGTACTCGTAATCTGCTTTGCTGTCCAAGTGCAGAGCCTCGCCAGAGAACTCGAGTTCCCGTCTGGCATCTGCTCTCCAACTAGGCCTAATAAGCACCCCTACCTCACTGCATGGCAAGGACCACTCTAACTCAAATTAAAACATATCCAGATAATCTGCGTCTGCTACCCGTGCTCGCGCCCGCCCCAACATTCACTGCGTAGACAAAATCGACCGTCGCTGGAAAGAACCACAAGAATTTTCCCGAACTATATGTTCAGTGCTTCACAATGCGCACCCCATTCCCTGCAGACTCGGTCTCCAAGTCAATCTCCTCCAACACAGGTAGCTTCATAGTAGCTGCAAGTCCCAATCCCAGTCCTGGCTTTTGCGCCTGTGCTGGCAAATCGCGCTTATGATGAGGCGACCGGCCAATCAGCCTCGCGCGCTTCACCACGTCGGTGCTTTCTTGCTTCCAGCGTTCGAAGTCTTCTTTCTGCCGGAGGACCTGGAAGAGGGTTGTTTCGGCTTCCGGCCTCCAGGCCGATGGCTGGCCGGTTGCCTTTGAGACGGACGCGGATTTTGGCTTCAGCTTCACTGGTTGGGCCTTCTTCGCCATGTCGATCAGCTCACGGAATATGTCTTTGGATTCAGACCGTAGCTGTAGTACTTGAGTTGCTTCCTTGGCTGGCTTCAACTTGTCTGGGTCAAGCCATGAAAAACTCGTGGCGGTCACTCCCGCTTCGGTCATTGGTAGCCGTAGACGATGATTTTCGTATTTCAGGAATCGAACAGCTGCTTCAAGGCTGGCAAGCTCGACCCTCAATAGATCCGCCTCTGCCTTCACTTGCAACGATCGGGATTCGTCTGCGACCCCGAGTGCGAGACTCTGGCCATCCGCGACCTTGCTCTTTTTGATGGTCTCCAACTCGACCTTCGAATCCTCCTGACTCTTCAGCAATGTTTGATAATCAGCCTGGAGCTGTTGCAAGCTCTCGTCGGCTTTGGATTTCTCTGAGCGGAGTGTCTCAATCTCCGACTTCATCGCTTTGACTCCGTCATCCTTGGCCTTGGTTTCTTTGGTTCTCGATTCCAGAAGCTCAATCTTGACCTGCTGTTCTTCAAGTTGCCTATCTTTCTCGCTCACTTTAATGGTTTGCTCTTGGATTCGTGACTTCATCCGAGCCATTTCTTCTTGCAGATCTTGAGACACTATTTTCTGAGTCTTGACTTCTTTCGACCGAGCGATCCATGGTGCTGGCAGCCTCTCAAACTCAAGGGCGTTATTTACATCAGCCGATCTGCTATACAAGTCGTCCACCTTAGACTGGAGCGTTTGAAGCTGTTTGGTCAGAACGCTGAACACATCTTCGAAAGCAGAAGTCTGCATTTCAGCCTTGGGTAGCATGGCAATAACGGCGCAGGTCATCTTTTCCATCACTGTAGTATAAGAGAGCTCTTCTTCATGGTCAGGCTTGTTCAAGTCATCGATAATTGTCTGACTCATTTCTCGGACAAGGCTGGATAGTTGTTCAGAAAGATTCTCAGTTTCCGAAAACAAGCCCCAGATCGCCTCACCGGGTGACATGGATCTCGCTCGGAGATCGCCAAGTGACTGAATGATCTTACTCGACACATATTTGATCGTTCTTGCTTTGATGCCGAGTTGATCCATTTTCTTGCCGAATACAGCGGAGTTGTCGTCTTCGTTTTCTGGTAATCCCAATCTGGTTTGTACTGCTTTGCTCAACATCTGAGCTTGGCTTCCAATGGTGTCAGTGTAGCACTCGACCATAGACATCGATGCCAACAATTCTGTAGACCTGGACTCCTGGCTTTCGGGGATGAGTTTTTCAGCCATATCGACCAAAATACCTGCCATGCGATGGACGTGTTCAGCGCCATCATGAGCGAGCTCATCACGGCGTAATGCTTCTACCCAGCTTGTCATTGATTGCTCGACAGGTTCCAGTTCGAATGGCGCCCCGCTAAATCTCATGAAACTTTCAGAGGAGCAGGATGACATGTGCTGCACGAATCGGTCACAAGAATTGGCAATGAAGTTCATCTGTTCCATAACAGCAAAGGCCTTCGAAAGCCCGTCTTGAACGAGCTCTGGCCGGTCTCGAATTCTCTCACCAAGAATGTTTTTGACCAGGAGAGCTTTTGCTTTGATTCTCTTAAAGCAGAGAAGTGCAATAATTGGCTGTTTATCTGACTCAAACGTGTCCGGGATGAACAGCTGGACAATCTCCAAATGTAGACTGGCTTGCTCTGCACGCATTTTTCCAAGCTCCAAATCGATGGCTTTGAGCTGCGTTTTAGCTGCAGAATTCTGAAGCTTGAGGTTGAGATCCATCATTGCTCTTGATTTGCTGCTCATTTCATGAGCTTCAAGCTCACTAATATCGCGAGACCTCCGGAGTTCGTCAATGTCGTTCTGTAATCCTTGCACCACATCTCTGAATTTGTTCAGAGTGTACTCTAGATCTTCAATTGTCTTATCTTGCTCCACTACTTGTCGATGTCTCTCATTGAGGAGTGCTTCACTTTCATCCAACTGATAATGCAAGCGCTTCTCCTCATCCACATGAAAAGCCTCAAGCTCATCTGTAACTTGAATGTGTTCTTCAAGATCTTGGACCTGGCGCTTGAGATTGTCGATTGTGTGTCGATTCTGATCTCGTTCGGCCCCCATAGCCTCAAGAATCTCATCATTGGATTCAAGTGCATCCAGTTGTTCTCGTAAATGCGTATTAGTCTCTTCAGCTCGACTAAGTTTTGCCGCAGCATCTTCGTATTTGGATGTCACCGGCTCCAATTCATCCAAAGTCTGCTGCAACTCTTTAATCTCGCTTTTTAGATCACTCTCGTTCTGGTGAGACATATCTCTAAGCATGACCAAGGCCTGTCTCAGTCTTTCTGTTTCGCGTTCCATTTGGAGCCAGCCTGAACCGGCTCTCTCTTCTGGAGTCATAACAGACGTCAACTCCCGGTTTTCTTCTCGCATTATTTCGACCTCGAGCTCCAACTCTTCATGTTTTGATTTCAATGCTTCCAATTCAGTCTCGAACATGATAGCACGCTCCTCAGCCATCTCTTTATCAAGTGTCGCAAGTTCCAACTCGGATTCGTGTTCACCACTAGGTTCTGCCGCTTCGGAAGCACGCGCTTCGGCATCTTCGTATTTTGCCTTGAGTTCGACCATTTCCTGTTGGTTTGCCTTGAGTTTCTTCTGTAGTGTCTGTATGATACCTTCGTATCTCGTTGTCTGGCTTTGGAGGTCTTGGATACTCTGTAGTTGAGCTTGATCTTCCTGTCTCTGTTTCTGCAATGTCCGAATCTTGGTCTCCAACTGCTTTATGACCTGAGCCTGTCGTGCACGTTCCTCATGAGCAGCACTAGAACTTACGGAGACGTTTCGAGGGACTGCGACCGAGTGTGGGCGCGTGGCCAGCACAGGTGAGATAATGTCATTATTAGTAGTTGGTTCTAATGGGATGTCATCATCTTCGCCTGGATGGGTTTCTTCAATCTTCGCATCTCTCTCTTCTTCAATAGGTGGGGACTGTTGATTGTTTTGTATAGGGGAATGGGCGTCACTCTTCTCGAATTTGGGTGTAGCTTTGGCGGATAGCGATAATCTCGAACCTGCCATGGACTGTCGTGGTGGAAGAGCGGCAGGTTTATTTGCCGTGGGCTTCAATGCACCACCAATGGACTGTCTGCTTGTGCTTGTCGCATTCGTTCTAGAAGTCGACGTGGGAGGGCCCATCAGGGGCCGACCTGTTGTACTAGTGCGAGATTTCGTACTCGAGTCAGAGGTTCTTGCGGTGGTTGCGGGGGTGCCGGTTCGTGGTGTCGAGGTAGATGAGCTGACAGACGATGGGGCAGGCTTTGTCGGGGACTTTGTGGGAGACTGTTAAATGTGATCGTAAGCGGAGTGTCGAATAAAGGACAAAGAAAGAAACAAACCCTTAATGACAACCTCGATCCAACTGTCGACCCAGAGCCTGCACTCATGAGGCTCTGCCTCTTTCTTGCTACATCGGCCGGGACGACACTTGAAGGTCGGGATTTGGTCGCGACTCCATTTGACATAGGAGTTCCAGCTGGTTTAGTAGGTGGCGGTTGCTGTCGTAGGATCTTAGCTGCCGACTCCTTTCGGACAAAGATACCATGGCCGAAGGTGCACTGAAAATAACGCTCTCCTTTCACAGAGCCATCATTTTTCCCAGAGCTGTCTGGAAGTTCGAGGCCGAGCCACTCGCCCGCAGCGATATGCAACGGTCCGACATACCGAACTATGCCTTGCTTTTTATCATTGGTTTCGATAGTTTGCCCAATCTTGACGTTGAGATCGGGCATCTTGAACGGGTGCTTTGCGGGCGTATAGGGTCATGACAGAGCATAGGGTGATTGTAGCTTTAGGAGAGTTGTTGTTCGCTAGAGCCAGTCGAGGCTGGTGAAAGAGTCGTTGAAAACAGATTTGTTGTTGATGAGAGACTGGAAAGGCACCCGCAGGCTGAACGCGCCTGTGGTCGCGCCCTGTTTCCACTTTGAGCCACAACCTGCCCTGTGAGGATTTTCAGCCACACCTCGACTTTGGACTGTGGCTGACAACACGTGCGTGAGCATAGTGACTTACAGACCAATTAAGGAACCGACAATCAGAAACACTACTGCTTTGCTTATAGTGACAGAAGTAAACGAATATGCCATTGCTCTAAATATCATCCTTGGGGGTATATCTCATATTCTTTTCAGTAAACCAATCGACGAAAAGTCACGGCTTCTGTAGAGCAGTGTAAAACAAGGAAAAGCCAAAACCACCTGCGTCTGTCTGCATTCAGAGCAATGTTGGGTATCTTCCAGAAACCAGAGCGCGTACAAAATATAGTAAAAGAGTGTAAGTATCGTTCAACGTGTCGGACTCAACATCCACAATCACTCATTCCAAACAACAAGCCAACAAGAATCGTTTTTTCAATTCCTCCTCGAGGAACACGGTGCCCAAGTCCATCTTCTTTTCTTTTCTTGTACTTTTCATTTGAGCATCAAAAGGGTATCTTGCAGGACGGAAGAGCAGTCCATAATCATGATTTCCGTATCGGTATCAGGGTATCATTCGGTCGTTTCCAGCTAACATAGACCTCACCAAAACTCTAGCGTAAGGAAAGGTTCAAATTGTTGCCAGATCCATTACTGCCGTTATGGATCTGGCTATGGTGATGTGGCCCGATCGGGGCCGGATATGAGGAGAAAGAATGCGACGTGGGTGGTCTCCCAGAGTCGAAACTTGCCCGAGGTTCATGCTTGGGTGTCCTGTCTCCAGCACCGCTAATACTGTTGGTGCCAAATGGAAACTTTTCACCGTGGAACCTGGATGGCCAAGCACCACCAGTAGAGGATCCGGCCACCTCTTCTTCTGGGAGGTTGACACCGCTGTCGTTCCAAAAGTTGCGATATCCACTCTCGCGACTCTCCATCGAGATGAGGGACGCTTTACTGGCATTGGAGGAAGCATGCTTGAAAAAAGTACCAGGCGAATTGTTCTGGTTTTTTCGACTCATGAACGATGAGAAGGATGAAATGCTCCCAGGCTTGCGAAGCCTATCAAACAAAGACGCTCGTTCAGAGACCGGGGTGTCTCCATCAGCAAAGCTTGTGCGCGTTGGAGAATCCGAATGGAGGGAGGGAGCATTTTGTAGTAGCTTGGAGTCGAAGAAAGGCAGAGAATCCTCGAAAGAGTCCGATTTCGGGCGTGGAATTGCCCCCTTGACTGTCGTTGCATCAAGTCCGTGCGGAACAAGTTGTGAGATGAGGTAATCAATGGCATCCTTGAGTCCACCTGCATTGTTCCGAGTATAAGTAAGGACAAGTCGTCCTTCCAATGGCCCGACAATACGTTCCAACGACGCCGTGGCAGACTTGGGCAGGCTGCTTAGCTGGGGATTCGCGTGTACATCGACCTCGTACTGGCTTCTCAACTTTTGCCGTAGGTCATTGAAGTATTCGGGACCACCAAAAAATGTCTCCAAATCGGGAGACTTCTGGAAAGCAATTTCGTGACTCTCAGGCACCATTCCCAAGAAAGCATCGACGGCCTGCGGAACTTGGTATTCTGGCCCGGAAATGGAGACAATGTCGCTCGCTTGCTCAGTGTTCGGAAAGTCGATCTTACAATTCCACTTCTTCTCCAAGTCTTCGATCTCGGAAAGTCTGGCAATCAGTTCACGATGGTAAAGTCTATTGATAACAACAGTCTCGGAGACGAACTCGGCGTCCTAGGGCGAGTGATATGATAAGCAGACGATCAATCAATCAATATATCAGGGTTGCTTACGACTTTCTCCACCATGTCCATAATCTCTTGCTTGACCAGATCCAAGCTTTGCGCGTTTCGGGCAGGTGTGCGGCAGATGACGTTGTCAACCTTGATATCATCATCTTCCTTGCCCATTCCACCTCGATCCATTGCATTAGAGAATTTCACAAAGACGGAATATTTCTTCATGATGCGTTGAATATGCTGACCACCAATACCGATAATCCGTTTGTGATATTGGTCGGGAACATGGAAGGAAATCGAGGCTGGCATTTCCTGCTCGACTAGATCAAGTCCATTCTTGGTAGCTTCATACTGACTCCCAACGACATCGATGTAAAAGTTATATTCGTTGAAGCCGTCGAAAATGATCTGGACGTTGCCTGCTCAGTGTTTAGCATTTGGTTGAGACCCACTGGGTTAAAGAAACCTACTTTGGCCCATGATTTTGTTGATCTTGCCATTCTTTTTACCACTGACGAATTCCTTGTGTTCATTGGCAAGCTCAATTTTCACACGCATCTGATATGGCGATTGTTTGACAAAAGGAATCTGATTGATAACCATCATCGCGGCCTTTACAGCATCATCAGAACCATTAAGAGTGAAGGTGAATTTCTCGAAGCTCAAATCAGCACCTGAATTGGTGCAGATATCGCTAAGCATGACTCGAATCTCCTCAGGGGAAGGGCCTCGGAAAGAAGCAGCCTGTGGTGGATCAGGTGTCATGATCCACCATGAAGCACTGAAAAACTGACCAGCCTAGATATCACGTCTATTAGCGTCACTCAATCGCGTCAAAACGGCAGTATATTACGCACGAGAGCCATGATTTCCTTTACCGTCCTCTCCACATGAAGAACTTCAGTGCCCTGAACACGAACAAGCCCTCGCTGGCTGCCGAGCTGGGGGAACAGAACATGAGAACCGTTTGTTTCCATGATCTTCCGAACTTTGTCCAGTCGATCGAGTAGAATGTTGTCAATCTTGCTTGCCGAGACCACGGCATCCTTTGAATATAGTTTGATACCCATGACCAATTCTTTCAGCTTTTGCTTGGCCTGGTTAATCCGCTCTTGCGTTTCGCCAGTGATGAAGATTTCGTCGGCTGCCCGGCGAGTCGCGTGTGGAGGGACATAGCCAAAAACCCCAGGGAAAGGAGGGGGAAAGTATATCGCGGTCTTGGTTGCTGATTCGATTTGCTTGATGTTCTTCCCAGTGCGGCCGGAAACCAGGGTATGCATGGTCACCTCCAACTTTATCACATCAATCTTGTGTTTGAGCTAAGTGAAAAACATTAGCATTGGTATCATAGATTAGAATAGGTCGGCATACAATTTGATCGATCATCATCAAGGCCCGTGTTTTGGCATGTTCGACACTTTCCATGTCACCAAATATGCAGACTCGATAGCGCTGATCGAGGCCACTATCGACAAAACTCCCGTATGAAGCTCCGCTGGACAGTGGTTCGGCGTTGCGAGGCTTGAGAAGGAAGATGTCTGTTCCGGTATACTTTGCGCATAGGTCAATGTGACTGAGAACGCTCGTTCTAATGTTCATGGTCTCAACGGCATCGAGAATCAGGTCCGGATCAATGTCCACAATAGCGGACCGCTTGTAACTGTCAGCAGATGGCCCACGGAAGTAGAGTATGAGCTCACCATCATTATCGGGGTCTCATTGAGAACTTTTGATCGCATCTTGTAAACCAGATCCCCATCGCCGGAGATACAGACATTGGTTACTAGTCCTTGGGATCTTCGGTGAAGTACAGGCCCTGCCTTGGGCTCCGAGGAAGTGACAGTTGCCTGTATGCGGCCACCACTTTGTTCACTGATGTAGGAGCACAGGGAACGAAGGCGTTCCTCGTTCTGGACATGGACAGGAAGCTTATGTATCGGCAATTCTTCTGCGGTACTTGGAGGAAAAGTCCATCGTTGAAAGGCTCCTGGACTCGAGTGCAAGACATCTTCAGGATCGGGACCGGCAAGGTTGGAGGCAAAGGGCACGTTGAAAGAGAGATTGACAGGTGTAGAGGCATCAGCAGAAGAGGGTGGACCGACACCGGGAGAGCCCTGTGGACGTCTCAATGGTTGCGGCGTGGACATGTCTTGATTAAATCTCGACATGCCAAACGCTGCTGGAGTCATCCGTTCCCAGCCATGACGGGCCTGGCCGGTGAAGTTGCTGATCTTGTGCATCTTCGAGGCGGGACGACTCCCCAGGTCATCGACGTGGGGGATAGAGACTAAGGAGCAGGATAGCTCTATGGTTGTAGCATTGAGAGAGTTGCAGATCGAAGAGAAGGAATCTCGACGAAGGGTGGAGAGGAGGAATGGGATGAGAGCAGTCAGTCGTCGTTCAGAACGTGAGAAAGGATACGTCTGGACTGCAGTGGGAAGAAAGAGTTCTGGGTGCGCAGTCTAGTGGATCGACAAGATGCAGTTCAGTCCGGTAGAGTGTGGGTTGGATTGGTGGTGGTGTTGGAGGCAAGGTGGGCACTACAATAGTGGGCGGTCACTGCTGGGCTTGGAACTCCAAAGTAGGTACGTAGCCAGCCTGAGCATCCGAGTAAACGAAAACTGATCCTGTCTTGCCTTGGAACTTCAGGGGACTCAACTGGCGACTAGTGAGTTAGGGCTTAGACACGAACAACACCCGGAAGGATAGCGCCTAAATGCACCTAAAATCATGCAAATCCTCGTACCTCCCAAGTAGACTGGTAGTGGATGGAATGCCTGGAAGCTGGAGTTAAGGTCTCGGAGGCTTGAGAGACTGCCAGTGGATCACACACACTGCGGAACGTTGGCTTCTGGGGTTGCCGCTTCAGCTAGCAGCCAGGGTTGGGAGGCTGGCTAGGCCTAAATTGTCCAGGCGTCGGCGGTGCATGAGACCAGATGATGCCAACACCTGATGATGGCATCCCCACTCCGCTGCATTCCAACCAATCGTTCATCAATCGTCGCGTCCCTCTGCCGGGTACAACTTGATTCATCCTCTCACGAGCACAGCTTGAAGGGCTAAACAGGGGTTGCCAGATAAGCATGGACACAGTTATCCTGCAATGGAATCTTCTATGGCATGAGAGGGTAGAAACAAGGCTCTCAGAACCTGTCAACGGGAAAGCCACTATGCCTGATCACTCATCCACGACGATTCAAAGTTGTGAGACGAGTCTGAAGCATAAACGTGTGCAATAATGGGAGCCTCGATCTGTCGAGAGATTTGATAGGAAAACCGCCATGCATATTTAACCACACCTGTCTATAACACGAATCATACATATGTACGGCACACTATGAATCTATATGGTCCCATTGTAGGGAACGCCGACTAAGTATCTGCACTCGGTCAACTTGGTGGTTGACTAGTAAGTGCTCGTAATTTGCGAGATAGGAGGCCATCCCCAGCCTCAACGAGAGGCGTTTGGCGTGATGCTGACCAAGGAACAGGAGAACTCCGAGATGATGTTGATGGGAGGAAGCCGGGAATAGGAGATACTGTTCGTTCAACATCTAGTGTAGACTCGTCGGACACCATTTCATCCTCAGCTTTCGAAGTGTGGTGGGCATGCGAAGCATGCGAAGCATCGGAAGAATGGAGTTCAGAATGTTGTTGCATACCACCAAACGTGGGGAGTACGTCCTGAGTCTCTAGTAAGCTGGAGTCTTCTGGCGTGACTCCAGTTGTATGAGAGGGCATTGTCTCGCATATGCTCGGGCTCGGTGAAGTCTCCAGAGGTGGTATGTACGCGCTGAACCTGGGTTCTGGAAGCTGTACCTCCTTGCGTAGTTTCTCCTTGTCGTCAGGCACCCGATTTGCAAAGACCACACGGATATTGTCATAGAGATAAAAGCAGCCTTTCGAAGTGCAACAAAATTTAATATGAACAAGATACCGAAGGATGTCCTTGCCATTTGCTACATCTGACACTGTGGCCATTGATTGTTTGTCGAACAGGCTTGATTCGAGAAATGGACCAGAGGAAAAGCTTCGCTGCCGGACAAAGGTCTTCGTTCCTGGAAGCATGCCTTCCAGATCGTAAGGCACGAGAAAAAGCTTGACCGCCGTCTTGTTGGGATTCTTGATGATAATCTGGAGCTGTCCTGTTTGAGGTACGCGATAGACTCCTCCAGGAGGGACTTTGGCTGTGCTTGTCGACGCAGGCTTGGTTTTCACCTCACGTGCCAATGCCCTGCCAATATGCGTGTTTTCGGGGCTGGTGATTTTAGCTGCCAGTGCCTCTGTGTCGATGTTAGGATTGGTTCGCCGGGAGCGTCGAATTGGGAGTTTGGCGGGTTTTAAATTTCGCTCCAAGTCTATTGTACCTACATAAGGACTCGGATTGTCATCAGAAATAGATCTCGATGGGTTTGCGGATGGATAGTTGTAGAACACGGCTGGAAACTGCACTGTGACATGAGCAGGACATTTTAGGCTAGCAGGACAATTGCCCTTTCCCACCACTCCAATTTGAGCGACAAAATCGAGCGGTTTCGACGGTGGTGTTGACATGCGTCCACGAAGAATAGACTCCTCGAACGATCCGACCATCGACGCTCGTTGTCGTGGGGAAAGGTCCGAGGCTAAAGAAGGTCGCCGTGATCTGGCCACAGAGGGGCCGAAGGGGAATGGCGTAGATTGATAGGTAAAAGAACTCAGTGAACGGCGAGGTTTGTGACGCTGTGATGGATTTAAATCATTACTTGGGGGTTGGGCTTCTGGTGATCCCTGAGCGAAGTCCGGCATGGTATCCTCGATGGGAGACATGCGGAAGGTCTCAAAAGCATTTGGTGGCATTGTTCGTCTGCGAGAGTTCTTATTGAGATCATGCGGCTTCTCTCTTGGTGAAAAATCCAAGGACGGGTTGTTCATGGCGTGCACCAGTGGGCTGGTGGGAACCCTCATCACAAAACTAGACGACAAGCTGCTGCCGAGTGATGGGGCACGAGATCGCCTTCGGGGGTCGGCATACAAAGATCTTGAAGCTGGTGGGCTTGGAGATTGGGCGAACATCGGTGACCATGCAATGGTCGAAGACGATGAGAAGTCTGGATGGTATAAGTCTCCACCAGGAGGTGAGGTGGCGGAAGGATTGAAGTCCTTGCGTATAGTTGAGTCACGAAAATCACCAGTATGCAATGCAGAGAGTGAACGATGCAGGGCGTCGGTGGCTGAAAGTGGAGATGGAGAAATTGGCGGCCTTTGATTCTGGGGGCGAGGAGGGATATCTTCCCTTTCCGAGATAGACCTGTGCTCTGCATTGGTTTCGGCACACAATGCTTCGAGACCAGGTTTGGGGACCCATGTTGGCCTCTGACCGCGCTTGATACATTGTATGAGTTCTTCACGATCACTGGTTCTTATGTCCAGGTTCTGATCTTGCTCCGAATGCTGTCCTTCGTTAGAGACATTGCCAGTAATTGGCACCTGTCTCTGTTCCCGGGTCATGACCGGCGGATGGGAGAGTTTACGACGCTTTGCTGGGTGGATAGGGAGGCTGTCGAAGCCCAAAACAAAGGGCATGCTCCTGTAAACCGACCAGTGGCTGGTTGGGAGGTGCAGGAAACAAAGGGCGAGACAGACATGGCCGGACAGCGGAATGGAGCGGAGAAATGAGGAAGACGGTGACTACTGCTGCATTTTCCGGTGGTTGATACAGCGGTGGTTGAGGAAAACGGAGGGACTGACGGTGGATTGTAAACCTTGTGACTTTTTGCTGGACAGAAGAAGATTCGCGTAAAGGATGGTCGAGTAAGAAGGTGTTGAGGTGTTGGTGGTTGGGATAAGAAGTGCAAGTGACTCAAGGGCGTCTTCGGAGTCGGAGTCTGAACCGTGACCTATGATGCAGTGACGGACTTACGAAGTAGTTAGTGGGCGGCTCCTTCCACTGCTATCTCCCACTTATCAGTTGATTCAGCCACTTACGGTTAGTCTGCTACTAGAATGTGCAGATGGATTTTCCCATATATTTCATACTCCCCTCCCCGCACGTCAAAACTCCAGTCTGCAGGTGGCTATTTGCACTGACACCCAAGTTCAACAAATTCATTGTCTTACTAGCCTTCGCTTTGTCCATCATGTCTTCCAAACGCCCTAGAGAAGAAACTGCTGCTGAGGGCAAGCCTCAAAAGAAACAGAAGTCTACAGGCTTTTCCGTTGGGCCCGCAAATCTCCCAGATGGCACCTACCGAAGAAAAAGTACAGCCTATTCTATTGCTCCCTTTTTCTGCTTCTCTGACTGACATTCCTGCAAGCCCAAAAGATAAAAAAGGACCTTATTGCAAAAGCTAAGGTGAAAAAGGCCTATGCAAAAGTCAAAGCTCAAGAGAAAGAGGAGGAACAGAATCATCCAACCTACCTTGAGTCTACTGGCGAGACAGTCGAGCCAACACCCGCTACTCTTGAACTCCATCCTGATCGACAAGCGATGGTGGACGCAAGTCTCGCACGTGAATCCGAATTTGAACAAAGAAGAAATGCCTCCTCCCGAGAATCACGCCCCCGTGTCCGTCAGCCGAAACAGTCACGATATCAAAAGGAAATAGAGCTGGGTGTACAAAGGAGAGCACAGATTGAGTCACATAAGCAGGATGCCGAGGCACGACACAAAGATCGCAAAGCTATGGCCAAAGCGAAACGTCCTACCAAAGATGGAAATCTTAAGCTGGGTCGGCAGAGCACAGTCCTATTAAGCCGTATTCAAAGATTGGCCAACCAAGGGAATCTGTGACGGCATTTTTCAACCACCCATCAATCGACTACAGTGTCGCTTCCGCATCCAATGATCAACATGCTTAAGCATGTCAAAGACCTATAAAGCCTTTCGCGCTAGTCCAGTGCCTGGTAGAAAGACTCAACAATGATCTTCTTTATTAGGCAAAGCATGACCCGTTTCAATGTTCATCATTCTCGATCTTTCTACTCTCCTTAAGCACGGATACTTGCGGCTGACAACCATTGTCCAGAAGTTTTTGAACAAGCTATTCCTCACAATGAGCTTTGCCGCATTTCAATGGCTTTGGCTCTCTTCACAAAGTTGCCCACCCAGTATAAGGCCAACGCAGTACCAGGACCCCCACAACTTATTCCTTGTCGATCCACAATACACTACTTGCCCATCGTCGTTGCAAGCTTTTCCGATACATAGAACTTTTCAGTCACTACTACACCTTTTCAATCAGTACAATCAATTTCTCCACACGTCAATCAGAATGTCCGGTGAATTTAAGAATGACCAGCGAGGCCACGGAGGTCCTAGAGGTCGCAATGGTGGCAACGGCCACAATAAACACCATAACAGAGACCATATGGACCATGGCTTCAATCAGGGCTCCCGTAATAATTGGAACAATAATCCACACCAAAGAAACAACCAGTCCCATCAGGGTAATGGCAATAATACTCACACCAACAACAAAAAGGGCCGCCATAACAAACACAGTAGGAATGGTCCATCAAATGAGACCTGGAAGGATAACAGGCCAAGCCGGAATGGGCTTCCGAATGAGAACTGGAATGGTAATGCGAATCCCTCGTTCAGTGACAGCAAATCCTATGAGAACCATCGCAACCAGCCTCAGAGCTATGGTTTCACCCATAGACACAATAAGAGCCACAGCGGCTACAGTGGCTTCAGAAACAGCTCGCGGCCCAAGAGTGGGTCCGGAGACCACTACCACAAAGCACGTACGTCTGGTAAATACATGTGGAATCCTCGTGATGATTCCGATCACCAGATGGCTGAGGTAGTCCATGACCTTACTGGGCTAAGCGATTTCGGCACTTTGGGACTAGGACGGAATTCATCCTTCGGAGCGATGCCGGAATCACCTGTTGACGTGAAGATGGCAGATGCTCCACCATTACATTTGGAAATAACAACGTCTACATCATCGTGGCGGAAGCGAAATGAAGACATGCTATCGCTACTTTATGAGAAGAGACCCCAAGGCTTTAATGGCGATCTCACTGTTATCAGACATGCGCTTGACAATATGGACAAGGACTATAGCTCCTTTCTGCGCGCTTCATTGAAAGAGGATTCAGGCGGGGACGAATTGAAGGTCAACCTTGAGGTCTTCAGACTCCATCTTTCATTGTGGGTTCACTACTTTGAAAGTGATTCTGCCGAAATCTATGCTCTTCAGCATGGCTTCAGTGCCAATTTCCTTGGCCAAGACAACCTCCAGAAGGTCCCTTTGATCGTGGGCTGGTTTGCCTCAAATCCTGCCTATGCTCAACAGGCATATCATGGATTTATCTTGCTTTGGAGCAAATTGGGTGCCCAACGGACGCGCAAACTTGGGCTGGCAACTGTTTGCGAGCTTTTCATCAAATCTCTCAGTCGACCCGAACTGCATGTTCCAAAGTGCCCCCAGGCTGTCTGCGAAGCCATTGATACTGTTCGATTTCCTCCTCCAGACCCTGCACCCCTAGCTCCTGCTCCAGTCCCTCCACCAGCTCCTGCTCTTGCCCCTACTCCAGCCCCTATGCTTATCTCCAACCCGATACCATACTACGGAAAGCGGTTCAAAACGATAGGCTCGATTGTAAATTCAGGTAAGTGATGAATCTCTCACCACAATCACCTGGATCTCCAGAGCGGTAAGTAACATTCACACACGTAATTCTTATTTTTCTCAGAAACACTTTTTGTACAACTTGACATGGCATTCTCAATATTTTCTACAGTTTGCGTTCCATTCACGATTAGGCTCTCGAATCAACAAGACTCAACCAGAAAATCATTGTTTTCCTTTCAGATGCCCCATAGCGTAAAAAGACTTAATGTAATCGTAGTATGAGCGCCCCCAATAGCCTCAGCCTCATGAGAATGCTCCAGACAAAGAGGCCTCAATGCCGTGCTGTCCATCAACATCCCTACCCAGAACTACCTCACTTGCGAACCGCAACCACAAACAGTCGTGGATATCGCAAGAGGACCTTACCGTCGACCGAGACAGGATACAGGTCCTTGATCTTCTGCAAGTACTTGTCGAGAAACCCATCCCTCTGCTCCGGGGTCAAAGGATCAATGAACGGCCTCAAGCCAGTGCCCTTGACCCACTCCACCACCGCCTCATGACTCGCCAACACGTGTTGATAATGCGAGTGCCAAATATTCAGCTCGGCAGACAACGGCGCAAACGCATCGTAGAACTCCTGCGGAGTCTGCATGTAGTCCCGCGCAGGCTGCAGGCGCTGCAACGTCTCGGCCCAGGGCCCATCGGCCGCGACACTCCTCATCGCGCTGTGGGACGGCTCGTCGAAATTGTCTGGGACCTGGAACGCAAAGACGCCCCCAGAGGCCTGCTTCTCAAACAGGCCCTTGATCACACGAATCCGCTCCTCCGCCCCGAGCCACTGGAACACGGCATTGCTGAAGAACAGATCGACGGGCCCGTCGGGCGTGTAGCTCTGCAGGTCGCCGACGGTGAACTGCACGTCGGGCAGCGTCGTCCGGGCTTTCGCGATCATGTCGGGCGACGAATCCATGCCCGCGATCTTCGCAGACGGGAAGTGCGCCGCCACCACCTCGGTGGAGTTTCCCGGCCCGCATCCCAAGTCGACGATGGATTGGGGGGATGTGAGCGGAACCTGGGCCAGCAGGTCGCGCGACGGCCGTGTGCGCTCCGCCTCGAACTTGAGGTACTGCGCGGCGCTCCAGTCCTTTTGCGCGGCCATCTTCAAGGGCGGGCTGCAGGAGCGGAATGTGCGAGTCGTCGTCAGGGTGCCAGTGGTTGTGGCTTGTTGATGTTGTTTTAGTGCGAGCTGCTTTGCTGCGGTTGTGATGTTATGGTAGTGGAGATGATTGCGGCTCAGACGGTTCATGTCCAGGTATTCGGGGCGAGTCAAAGCTTGATGTCGAGATTATTAGTATCTCAGCGAATCTGGATCGTATGTTATTATTGACTGTCTATTTCGTCGATTTGGTACATGAGACCAATGGACTTGAATCTATATTCCCAAGCTGGCCGATATCGCGCCGCATTGCCCCAGCGGATAAATCCACCGAAGGCTGAAAAGGACGCCAATTTGAGCTTGTCAAGCTTGTCATAACCACACTTGCCACATGATGATTCGGTGGATCGATGAGGGGTTTACCAATTAAGCATTTCGACCCCAGATTGATTTGAGAGATTTCTGCTATTGCGAAAGGGCGCTGTATCTGATTCAACTATCTATCGGGCTTTAGTCTGAGCATTATTCTCATTCGTCCCTTGGAACAATTCATACTGGCGAGGCTTCCTCTTACGAAGGGGTTATTCTGAGTGGAGAAATTCGAGACCAGCTAAATAAATACCTCGGAAGATGTCCGAGTGAGGGATGCGCATGGCTCCTCTCCGCACCAATAAGCGACCTACATGCACTCAAGAAAACTGGAACTCGAGACAACGAGTTGAAGTTGTATGGAGAGCGCAGCGGGCCGACTCATCTGTTACTGTGGATACGCCTTGAGTGCCTCTGAGGGATTTGGGAGACGATGACTCTTCCATGTGAATAGCTTGGACTATCCCAGCCTGAGGGAGTCTCTCATCTAGAGAACACCGCACACGGCGAGTACTGGAGCATTATCTGATTGGGTTCGCTACTGGGGTAGCATAATGCTGACCGAGCATGGAATTATGATGGCCATGAGCTTTGCTCGCCATACTGAGCGCTGATATGGTCCAAACATGAGGTCTTCTACGCCATGAACAGTGTCTTCCACGAGCAGCTCCCCTAAAAGTCACCTTTCCCGCCTGGTGAGCCGACAGATAAGATTGGTCTGCTTCACAAACCAGTGATCCGTCAAAACCCAATCAGCCTTGGGATCCGACAGCTCGAGGTGATACTTGCGAATGACTTGAGGAACAAGCTTCGACATCTCGAGGAGGGAGATGTTCTTCCCCAGACAGGTTCTAGCCCCGGCACCGAACTGTTCTCATATGTCAGTTGTTGCCTTGTGGGTCATGGACAGAGAAACGAATGTCTTACCGCCAGGAAATTCCTCTCCATTAGTTTTAGAGTCGCCTCATCCGCCTCGAGCCATCTCTCCGGTCTGAACTGTTCAGCGTCTGGACCATAGACCAACTTGTCACGACTTGGAATCCATGGATTGATGCCAACGATTGTGCCTGCGGGAAGATGAACACCGGGAGCAACCTCAAAGCCTTCGGCTGGAACGATACGCTCGAGCAACATGCCTACCGCAGGGTGTAACCGCATGGCTTCTTTCATGCAAGCTTGCAGGTACGGCATGCGGTTCGCTTCCGCAAAGGTTACAATCGGCGACAGGTCACCAGAGTCTTCCATGCGATCGATCTCATCTCGGAGAAGGTTGTAGCACCGTGGATTCTTGCACAAGTAGTAGAACATCGACCTAAGTGAGATCGCTGTGGTATCACTTCCGGCGAGGCTGAGTAAACTCGTCAGCAATGTCCCTCAATCTCAATGTGGTCTCCTTACATGTTGCTCGCGGCATGGCTCTGCAGCTCATCATTTGACATGACCTCTTCCCCGTCTCGGGACCGTCGAAATCTAGACAGCATATCCCGTAACGAGTCGAGAGACTTATCTCGAACACTGTAACGTTCAAGCTGCTTTGCTGCAAAACGAAGCACGTGTGAAGACGAGTTCAACCATGCAAGTGCTGGTATCCACGGTACAAGTCGTGCGACAAGAGGATTGCCCAGCAGGAATTTATGGAGGTATGGAGCTTCACCAATGACAGAGTTGTATAGTAATCGGCCTTCGATAGCTTCAATCACGCCTTGGACATCCTTCTCTTGCTCCATGAACCCCATACAGTTGGAGAAAGTGATAGATGTGATAACGTCGAACGAGTACCACTGAAGCCATTCTCCAAGGTCGAAGTCTTTACCTTGCATTCCATCGAACTTTCTCTGCAGGATTTCGATGCAATCATCAGTCATTGGCTCAAGTTCGACCAGTGTGCTCATCGAATATGCACCGGCGACAGGTCTCTTTAGAGCCTTGTGCTGCTTCTCATCACGGACAGAAAATACTGTGGGGAATGGCGTGCCCTGTTTCGTTTTCACGTCGAATGTTGAGTAGAAGTTACTCTGAAAGACTCGCCTGTCAGTGACGGGACCCAACGACGTCCTGACCTTTCAGTCGACCATACCTTGTAAAAACGGCTGGTGATACCATAGACTTGTGGGATCAAATCCGCATTTGAGAAGGAGACTTGATTCGGACCGACACGGACTACCGGTCCGTACTTCTCATGATATTCCAGATGTTTTTTAAATTGTCGGCCTGAAGCAGAGGTGATGAGTCGATCTAGAGGAGATATGCTAGCCAAGAACGGCCCTGGCACCTGTTTAAGACCTCGGCGATATTTGATGTTCACCAAGAGAAACACTGCCAGGAGGAATATACTCCCAAAGACGAGTGATAGTCGCATGGCAGTAGATTGAGCTGGTATCAAGTTCGATGATAATGTCAGCACAGCCATGTTCGATTTCTTTGCAAAAGGTAGCGATAACAAGGCAATCGCCTTGGGCATATCTTGAATAATATATAGCAGTGGATGTTCTGCTGGAGACGAATTTGTACCTAGCCTGGGGTACCCCAGAGTCACGGCGGCAAGGAAGCCGTTACAGCCCCGAGAAGATGTCGCGGGAACGGCATCTGCCGATGGTTACTTCTGCTCACTGTGACAAAGTCAGCAAGATACGGACAATTACTTTGCGGGTCAATCCGTTTCATCCCCAGAAAGTATGCCATGGCATCAGGAGCGCCTTGACGCTGCGCCGCAGCATAATAACGAAAGCCTGTCGATATAAGTTCTTACCACATTTCAGTTCTGGGTATGATCTTTGCACTGTCACAGGTATGCCAGCGTATACGAGTCCAAGGGATCTCATTGAACAACATATTATCCATATAGGAGGCTACCGGACTAGGTACCTAAGGTCGGTAGATACTTGAAACCAGGAAGATCTCCTGTTGCAATGTACGGGCTCATGACTTCTTTACTTTTTCTCGAATCGAACCTACGAGCGACTTGCATCAAAGTGACTGAGAGAAGCCCTTCCCGAGTTCCCAAGCCTACCTAGATTTGGGTAGTTAGTGGAGGGTTGGAATAACTTCCAACTCTACTGAAGCATGAGCAGTTACCCAACATCGTTCGAAAGATTATTTCTCGATTCATCAAACATCAGACGCGCCCTGCGGACCCTTGATGCTGCCAAGGACCGCGAGGTCTAATGTAATCGAAAATTGAAGACTCAACAGGTCGATAAATGTAGAATAACAGAACGTCAGTAAGAATGTCCTCGGGGATAATTCCGCTTGATAGATGATTCACAGCCATTAGAGCCAGCTGGGCTGAGCCAGACAGACTAAAGCCCTTGTAAGTCATTCCCCCACGTGATATCAGCACCTATTTTAGGGGCTGCCCGGGCGCCCCGGGCCAAAACTGAGGCTGAGATAGCGGCAAATTGAACGGCTTAGACTACAAGTTTAAATCACAACCTCTGGATTACCATACCTGACTTCATACTGGGCTCTGACTACTCATATTGTGTTCAACGGCCACTGTCCATCAAGAGCGTAATGAGACAATATCAGGGTCCACCACATCGTCAGGAGCAACGAGATCTTTGGGCCTCTGTAATCGAATACTGGTTTCTTACGTCGTGTTGAGATTCTGTCACACGGCTAGAGGTTGCCGATCTCATTCGAGACCAAGCTATGGCGAGGCAGAACGAACCACAATTTCAAAAACTGACGGCCGAAGACAAAGCCGCAATTCGACGTGAGAAAGTCAGATTGAATGTGAAGGCTTATCGACAACGGCAAAAGGAGAAACAGGACAGCCCGCCTGGGGATTCTCGAACAAACGGCACATGTAACCCCCTGCACATAACACTCCGCTGGGTTCCAGAGAAACGACCAAAATCACTGAGTGAAACGAGGCATCGTAACCAAAAGCCGAAAAGAGCCTGGACCACCAAAGAGTCCGATGCAAAGATCAAAGAGGTCAACCGTTTGTCGACGAAAGGTCTTTCTCTGGTCCACCAACCGAATCTGGAGACACAGTACACGAACGCTTTGCTCGACCAATTTCTCTTCAGATTCCTTCCTCGGGGCTGGACGCAAAAGCCATCAACGAGTCGACAAGTAAGACTAGCAGCGCCGTGCGCATCGTGGATCACCCGATCGTTTGACCTTGCTTACCACCAGGGCCAAACCGCAGTCAGAGACCTGCTGCGCACCATCGCGCTTGGATTGATTGCGATTGAGGAGGGCAGGGAAGATTTCTGGAGGAAGTCACTGGTTTCGTACCGAATGGGCCTGACAGACGTCAGGCAGCGTATCGTCCATGTTGGACAGACTAAAGTTGATCCCACTGATCTGTTGGCCCTGCTGCTATCGTGCCATGTCGCAGCCATGTTTGAACTCGCTGTCAATGCTTCGCTGTTTGACATGATACACCATATCGATGGGATTGGTGCGTTGATAATGCACGCAGCATCTGACAATGGCCATCTCTCGGAGTTCTTCTGCGACGTGATTGAAGAATTCCGCATTATGGAGATGTGCTTCTGTTTAATTATGCGACGAACATCTTCGTTATTAGGCCTTCAGGATCGGGCAATCTATGTCGATGCCGATGGTACTTCACTTACAAGTTCTGGGAAATCTGTGTCCCATATGGGGACATTGATTAATATTGCTGACAGGATATGTGTGGCTATTGTCAAATGCGATGGTCTACAACCACTCTTGGATACCAATCAGACAATCGCCAGCCTTCTTCAAATCATGAAAACGTCGTACGACGTCCTGGACGACTTGGAAGCGTGGAAGGAAGACTTCCTTGCGATATACGGATCGTCTATCTACCATCTTGAGGATGAACCATCCAGTAAAGAGTTGGAGTTCTCCAGCTTAACTGTCGGTTCAACCTGGTGTTATCACCTTGCGTACAGGTTGTTTGCATTGGACACGCTTCTCTCTGCAATGCAGTCACTCTCTAAAATCGGGAAAATGGGTGTGTTGTTCTGCGAATCGCCACCCATCTCTGATGAGGGCAGCCTAGTATCTGTGCAGGCTGATATGCTCAGTACTGGGCGCCTTTTGCTAAGGTCGCTGCCATGGTTTTACCAGAAATCAATTGGCGTAACAGGGCGCACGCTGTCGATCATGCCCCTAGCAGCGGTATGGCGCGCATTTTCCAACGAAGTTTGGCACAACTCTCCCGCGCCCATTGCGCTCTCCAAAGGTAGCAACGCTGCAGAGGTGCCTAATTCCGCGCCTGAGCTCTTGAGTCAGGATTTAGCCATGTATGAACAGCTAGCTCTCAGTGCGAAGGCTGTCGGGCTCCCGCTGGTGTCTGAACAATGGGTCGCATATCAAGAGACAGTCTTTCCACGGACGAAATGACAAAGCCCGAATCGTGCGAACGGGTTGATTCATGAATCACAGTTGGTTGGTGGGAAGCGAACCCTCTCAGCCAGCTCAATACATCGCGGGCCTTGCTCATCCACGATCAACTAACAATCGGCGTGAGCGATAACTTCTTCCAAAGTTCATTCACTAGCTGGTAGCATTCTTTTGTCAAGAATGGGTGTGAGCAGAGCGGCGACCCATTCATAAGATGTGAACAAGATCCCTCCTGCTAGCACCGTCCTTCCCAATCTCATCGTACTGCCACGCCAAAAGCCTCTCACACCATAGTCTGCGATGACGCTGGTGAATGCTTCCTTGAGACCAGCTCCACGTACACTTTGGGCGCGAGTCTTGAGTGTGTCAAAAGGTTGGGTAACAGCTACAACTATCGTGCCGGCGACTGCACCATTGGCGAATGTTGTAGCTGTGGTCTGCGGGATATCGCGAAGCCGTTCGAAGTCTTTGAGAATGTTGTATGTCCCTAGACGAACAGAGGTGGTGGATGCTTGTTTCAAGGTCGTCGTAATATAACCTCGATACAAAGCACGTAAGAGGCCATGCTCTGCAATAAGTGTCTTGGTGGCATGCCACGGTGATGTAAAGCGTTTTGTGTAGCGTGCATCATCGATCATGGCTGTTTTGATTCGTTCGGTTGGCGTAACAGCGAATGTACTCGCGACAACTCCCGAAGCGATGCCTGCCAGCAGATTTCGAGCTGGTGACAAAGTTCCTGTTTGAGGATCTTTGAAGGCGAGTTTGATACTGTCAAACGATATAAATCGGATAGCATCCTTCGCTACTGTTCCAACGATGAGCGCTGAACAACCTTTGTACAACGCCCCTGGGCCTTCCTGCTGAATGACATTTCGTATCACTCGAAAAGGATTTTGCGTCGGACTGTCTTCGTGCAGTTGTACCCGCGTCTTGGCATATTCAAATGCTGCCAGTTTAACTTTAGGTTAGAGAGAACATTTTATCAATTTCGAAAGGATACAGTAGAACTCCCTTGAAAACGGAGGACTGCTTCCGCGGATGAACCGAGGCAACTTACGATATGTCACTGTTGCTTCAATACCACCGGCTGTGCCTCCTGCGATCAACGAGACGAGTAACGACTTGTCCGAGTTCTAGAAAGAGGTTAGCAATCCGTTTCAGTCAATCATTAAGGATTCGAAATCAGGAATTGTGGGAGTTCCGACTCAAATTCGCTCGGGAGCCGTGAGGAGAACTCACCCCGTCTGAAACCATTGCTTAAACTGGAATCGAGATATGATAGGGATATTAAAATCGATTTCAAAGACAAAGCTTCGTGCAAAACCGAAATATAAACTTCTAAAGTCTATGACACACAAAGGGAATGACTGGAGACAGAGAGGGTATTGGGCAAACAAAACGACGCATGAAACAAACCTTTCAACTGAGGTTCGAGATTGTGAATTCCATTCCTGATGTCAACGGGGACAAGGGTACGGCCCGATTTCGCTGGGACGGCTACCTCGGGTAATCTCGGCATAAATTTCGATTTGACCGAGAGAGTCCGCAGCCTCGTCATCCGAAGTTCAGCCTCATTTCAGCCTTGCACAAAAGTACCGTCATGTCAGCGCATTTCGAGCAGGATCACAGACAATCATCCTGAATGTCGAAGAAGGTTCAAAGAAGCTATGAAGGTGAGTTCTGGTCTACAGGCTGAACATCGTTCACTCGACATGCTCCGCCTTGGAGTATACTCCCTAGCAGATCAGAACAAGATAAATCACTTCGGAGTTTCACTAAGCTCAAGCACGTTGATCCTCACTGATACCTATGGCTCCAAGATACGAATAAACGTCTGATGACACTCAGTTCGTACTGAACCTCACACGGTTTGGGTCGCAACTGCTGGCATTCTCTTTCTTCAGGTGTCTGGTCAAAAGGGCAGGAACCTTGATGTCAAAGGAACAACTCTGCATCTTCACTCATTGATCGACACTCAACGTGCCGGTGCCACTACCGTCATCGGGCCACAATCAGACCATATATACTTTCATCCTTGTTCTGTACTCTTTTCTTATACCAGCCACGATATGACGGATCTACCCAATTTAGCATCATCTCGAATCCCTCTTTACCACTCACAGCCAGTCCACCCAAATCATGAGTGCATCACCGTTTCCGGTATTCTCAGCGTGGAGGCGTTCGACCTACAGTGATCAACTTGATCCAAATCGGTGTTCCCTACTTAGGCGCTACTCGTCAAGGAAGAGCCAGCTCGAGACTTGCAGGGAACACCCTCCATGCGAGACACTATCGCCCCGCCCATCGCTGTCATCAGCGATAACCTGGACAGCTAGCTGCAGCGAACCTGTTTCAGTTCGAAGGCCGGGTTCAAGCAAGCGACCCAAGAGCTTCTCGATACCTCCAATTTTACCAGAACCAGATCATCCTGACGATGCCCATGCTAAGAGACGACTCTCTCTCCTTTCAAGATTGCCAGAACTGGTGAGCTCATGCCAGGAAGTCCATCTGGAGATTAGCGATTTGTTCAAGGATATCAATACACCAGCATTTGACGAGACTCGAAGTTTCTGGCTTTCGATGATGATAAGGTATTCTCAGGCTTCGTTGGAAACGACCAATATGAAAGCGGCCATTGAGACTCTCGATATACATCGACTATCGAGCCTTTGGACCCGAGCCTGGAAAGCATTCTATGAGCAACACCAAAGCATCTGCATGACTCGAGAGATTTTGGAGGAGATTCGCGCTGACGAAGTTGCAAGATCGAGTGGTGCGATAAATACGCAAGATCTGATCAATGGTTTCCAAGTACATTTCTTGGAACAAAGAGTCAGCATTCTATCAGAAAATTGCTTGTGGGCCGTGAACAGACTTCGACATGTTAATATGTTTGCATTTGGTGAACATAGGCGACCGGTAAGGCAGGCTCAGTGGGTGAAGCGCGAAGTGCTATCAGGCACTCTGGAGAGGATGGCCATGCGGCGCCTGGTGCCACCTAGCCTGCAGAGAAGATGCGGATATTCATGAGTTTCATTCGAACAAAGGGCAATCCAGACCAGGCGTACGATGCAGTATTCGGAGGCTCACAATAACTAGGCTGAACCGTCCAAACTCATAGCCGCTGGACATGCTTGAGGCAATGGTGTGAAAAGACATCACCATAGACATTTGAGAAATAAGCTTCTGAAGCATTGATACGCTTGTAATTGAATTCACATAGTGAGAGTCCAGAAAAGAAACGCTTATGAGGTTAAATCGAAGAAGAAGAACAAGAACAGGAGTGACGACGGAGTGAGGCTGCAGCCTTATCAGGAGTTACAGCCAAGCTCTACTGGTCAATGCGTCGGTCATGTGACTGTTGATTGGCTTGGCAAAAAGGGAATGTTCAAAGTCGTGTTGGAGTGTGTTGATCCGCAGCGCGCAGTTTATGAGTCGCGACAAGATTTCAATCCACTTGCTAATCAATCCCCATTCCATCGTCGCGACTGCGAACATCGACCTCCTTTGATTCCATTCATGTACCATAAACTCTCACCATTTTTTTGTTGACCCAAGTCATCCTTCGGCTTCTTTGCGCTCAGCGCGCTGTCTTGGAAGGGTGGTTTGAAGCAATAACTTCTTTAATCAGTGTATATCAAAAATGGAGGACACTCAGACTCCCACAGAATTGAAGCAGGAGGTCTCTGATGTCGCCGCGCTTCCCCCGGCAGAACCTGAGGTGACTGCGACGGCGCCGGATTCTCAGACTGCGGTTTCTCAAGGTGCGCTCCACCTTTCTCCCTCTCCGTCAAGTTTCTCACTTCTCCTCCATCCCGCTTCCTGTCACCAGTTTTGACCTCACAGTAATCACCATGGCTGACTCATTTTGGTATTGGACAGACACACCTACGGAGGCCGAAACTGCTGTTTCAGCAAACCCTTTGGACGCACCCAAATCCCCTCCAGCCCAAGACGATCCAGATGTCGATCAAGAAGATGCAGAGATGGGTGGACTCGATGAGGATGCGAAGGTTGAGGCTGTGGACGCAGAAGTAGACGCTGCTGGTGAACCCCAAGAGACACCCGCCGCCGCTGCAGAGGGTACCGATGGCCAGCCCGGACAATCAAAATCAGCCCTCGAAGCTACCGCAAACTCACATCTCATCGCCCAAACCCATCAGATCATTCTACCAAGCTACAGCACATGGTTCGACATGCATACCATCCATGCTCTGGAGACCAAATCGCTACCCGAATTCTTCAACAGCAGAAACCGGAGCAAAACACCAGCCGTGTACAAAGACTATCGTGATTTTATGATTAATACCTATCGTCTCAATCCTGTTGAATACCTTACCGTCACTGCATGTCGGCGCAACCTGGCTGGTGATGTATGTGCAATCATGCGAGTGCATGCATTCTTGGAACAGTGGGGCTTGATCAATTACCAGGTAGGAATCCTCCCCTCTCTTAATTACTCAAATTGACCCCGACTAGGTTGACCCTCAAACCCGACCCGCGAATATTGGACCCCCGTTCACAGGTCATTTCAGAGTGATAGCTGACACTCCACGTGGCTTACAACCTTTCCAACCGGCACAAAACACCTTCACCACCCCCGGCAAGCCACACGCCTCTACAGATCGAGCGAAATCAGCCACCCCTTCTTCCAAAGCAGATCTCAACCTCGAACTCCGTCGGAATGTGTATGATGAGAAAGGAAAGGAGATCAAAACAAGTGAGGAGCCAGAGAAGCAGACGAATGGTGATGCAGCAACTGCCAACGGCTCATCTACCGGTGATGTGACCACGAAGGCTGTGGATGAAGCTGCCCGTGAACAACTCAAGACCTTCAACTGTTTCTCATGTGGCATCGATTGTACCAGATTAAGATTTCATTATGCAAAGTCAGACCCGATCACGACCAGTACAGCACCGACCGAAGTTAAGTATGAATTATGTCCAAACTGTTACTTCCAATCTCGAATGCCCAGCAACCATCGATCCTCGGATTTTGTCAAGATGGAAGAACCCGAATACAATCAAATCCCCGACAAGGATGCTCCCTGGACAGACTCGGAGACGTTACTGCTTTTGGAGGGTCTTGAGAACTTCGACAATGACTGGAATGAAATTTCGAAGCATGTTGGTACACGTACGAGGGAAGAATGTGTGCTGAAGTTCCTGAAGCTTGACATTCAAGATCAATATCTGGAAGACGGACCTTTGAATGGTGCAGCCACTTTGAAGAATCTCACTGGTCGAAGTCCTATTAGCCAACTCGACAATCCCGTCATGTCGGTCATTAGCTTCATCTCGCAGCTAGCAGATCCTAGCGTTGTTGCCGCTGCGTCAGGTCGCTCTATTGCAGTTATGCAGAAAGAATTGAGAGCACAACTTGAGAAAGGAATTGGTGGATCAACCGATGAGTCAGCAACAAAAGACAAAGAGCAAGTGAAGGGTGAAGATGCTATGGATGTCGATGAGTCGGCTCAGCCAGCAGAGAAGACCGACTCTGACGCCAACGCGTCTTCGGCAGTGATAAACGACATTGCTACAACAGCCCTCGCAACCACAGCTGCCCGCGCCAGTGGTCTCGCATCTCATGAAGAACGAGAGATCACACGCCTCGTCGGCGCAGCTGTAAACCTGACATTACAAAAGTTTGAGCTCAAGCTCAATCAGTTCGCCGAGATGGAAGAGATCGTGCAAGCCGAAAGAAGAGATCTCGAGAAGGGACGTCAGCAACTCTTCCTCGACCGACTGGCGTTTAAGAAGCGGATGAAGGACATGGAGAACACATTTAAACAGGCAAGCATGAAGGGACCGGAAGAAGGAATGAGAATGATGCAAGAAGCCATGCACGCCCATTCGGGTCAGCGCGTGGGTTTCACCAACGTCAATGGTGCGACTAATGGCATCGTTCCGGTCAGCGCCGAGGCCGGTGAAGCTGCAAAGGGTGTCGACGTCTAGTACTCGCCGCAAACACCATCAACTTTGATGAGAGCTTGGAGATGGTAACTTTCCGACCTCTGCACTGGTTCTTTTCGAGCAAAGAAAATGTGCTTCTTGTCACAGATGTAATTCAATCACGCGATGGGCGTTTCCCTGGGTTGCTTGGTTGGTTGGCTGGACAGGTGGGTGGATGGATGTATGGAAAGCTGAAATGGCTTATGCGACTCTGTGCCATTCGTATTGTCACCCAGCTGCGCTACGGCTATGGATACTAGTGCTCGGCAGTGGAACGGATGGGTTTTGGCTGGGCGACTTGGTAGTCAGCTATTGCCCGTTCCCATATACCTCAGTAAACACTGTACTTTCGATGAATTTCGCCAGAGATAGGTACTCTTGCTACTATGTAGGAATAATCAGAGATGATCAAACTGCTTTGATTGTTGGTTCGAGCAATTAGTTAGTGCCGCCGCCATAGTTTGGCCTCGAGTTCTCCAGAGCTTTGCGGTGAGGTGAGTGGTTCCGCGATGCCAGGTAACCGCTACCAGAGCTTCTGTCACCACTCCTACACATGTGCCCACCCATCATGAACCGACACCTGCATCTCATTGATGAGGCAGTATCTATCGGGCCCAGCGAGAAGAGACTGGCCCTTCTTCCACAGCCGGAGCCTGTGATCGACGACCCAATTGATCGCAAACCGCGTCGCGCAATTGCCAGGCCACCAGCGACTGATGTGATTCCTCCACAACCCCAGATAGGTATCGGTCACTGATTGCCAGGCTCTGCCGTCAGCCTTCACCAGATCGTAGGATCCCCCATCGTAGCCGACGCGTACATTAGGGTTCAGCCATACTCCTCCCGAGGCGCTGAGTCGGTTGTCTGCATAGACAGACAGCATTCAGACCCTTCGAGATGCTGTGCTGCTAGACTGTCGGGCACGCCTCGGAATCTGAGGGGTGTCGGGTGTGAAGTGGTCGGATAGAATGGGAGGGAATCCATGAAGACTGGATATAGTTGCCTTTATATCAGTATAATGGGCGCCATCGTTATGCCAACTGTTGGCTTGGATACTCACCCCGACCGTTCCAAGAGCTTTTCACAGGAACCGGTTTGGCGGTTTTGAGCGTGGACCGCCACTTCGAGGATCCGAAGTATGGCCACGTTCGCGTGATTGGTTGGTCTCCGTCTGCGTCTCTTAGAGCAGTTGTGTCATGATATTTGGGCGGCTTGGATAAGTCAAGAGCGCAAGCTGCCAAATATGCGCCATCGTTGGTGTGAAAGAGGCTTTCAACATCTTGAGTCTAACCTGGAGTTAGCATGATAACCAACCGCTCTCACTGAGATGTCTTGCTGAACACAACGTGGCCTGATACATATTGTGAAGACCACGTCGTTGAGAAACGATATCTGGTCGAACTGTATACCTTTTTGGCGAGGTCTTCAAGCGGTTTGAGAAGATAGATTCCGCATGCGTGAAAGGTATGGAATGCGTCTCAATTCTGTCGTGCCCCTAGGGGTGGCAATCCAGCCAGTGGATCCTGGTTGCTTCGCAATCTCATCAGTATGAGTAGTTCCGTCTAGAACAATCGTCCAGTTGACATGAAGCGAGTCTAGAAGCGCATCAAGTTGTCTCAAGGCGCCCTTCGAATCGTCCCAGCTGCCACTTTGTGCAACAATTGGACGGATCCGTCCTAAAGCATGCTGTGCTGCCAGGATATTTAAGAAGTCGATGAACAGGAGTAAAAGCACTGCAATTTTCCACACTCGTCTTTGCAGCCTTTGTAACAACCCGGACATGGCGTGGTGGGTATGGCCCAAGATTATGTCGGTACAGCACACTTGAGCGATAGAAAACAGTTCGCCATGATTAGGCTGAGAGAAGTGTGTTATCGCCATGAAGAACTCAACCTTGCTAGGTGTATAGAGCGAGGATTGTGCGCCCCAGTCTCGTTGCTCTGCGCTGGGGGCGAGGCAATCAGCCTAACTGGGAACTTCTTCGGGCGGGTTCCACATCAAGGTATCAAGGTTATAAGTGCAAGCCCCCATTGTCTCCTTCTCCTCCTATTTATCGTCTCACAAGGCAACCTGTGATGGTGTCTCCTAGGGGCTACATGCACTTTTACCACCTTATTCCGCTCCTTTGTTAAAGGACGGGTGAGCTGAGCGTCTGATTGAAAACGAGTTCTCATATCACTGATTGGCAGCAAGATGGGCACGCCAGCCTCAAGAGGAAGTACTCTCTCCCTTAGTGTACCTAGTCATTGGCAAAGTATAAAGAGCAGTGGAATGCCTGCATATTGTTCAGCCTGTTTTTATGACTTTCACCCTCGTTGCAGGCGCTGCGGACTCTGTATCAGTCACCAAAGCTGGGCCCTGTTTTACTTTCTGATCCATCGTTCTTTCCACTCATATATACATCTTGCTCTATGGGTCACAGGAGAAGATTCAAGCAATAGGAAATATTCTTTCTCGTATCGCTAGAATACTGCCAAACATATCCAATGCATCCCAGAAGCACGGAATAGCAATCAAGAATCTGTGGCAGACATCCGTTTCTGTTTTTCGCAACTGTCTGGCGTCCCTGTCGCAGTTATTGAACTCATGGGGTCTGCAAAGCTATGGCAGGGCAGCGTCACTGCAAATCTTGAGCTTGACATATGTTTCACTCAGGAGGCAATCAAGAATCCGATATGTCCAAGTGGCGTATATCAGGACAGGTGGAGCTTGTTGTCGATCTATGGTTCCGATGGCTTCAGACCCAGTCTTGATGGGACTTCTGTTTGGGTTTGGGTAAAATACCACTCGCGTGATCGAATTGTATACCGTGAGCTCCTGGAATGTTACCGGCTTTCCTATAAACGACAACTACAATAAGAAGCTGATCGATGTCAACCAGCGCCAAAACGCTGTCAACTTGAGCTCTGACAATACCATGCCGGAGCAGCAGCTCTTTGTTTACGTTGAAGGACTCAGCTACCGAGCTAACACGACGACTGACCACATAGCCCGAGCCGTGGTATGTTTATATGCCCTCATTCTTATCTGTATTTTGGACAGCCCACAAGCAGATCTACTCAAGCACATGGGATACAACCGTGGAACTGATGGTGCTCGCCTGGAACTCCCACAAGTCACACTGCTCAAAGCAACGTTCCGCTCAAATTGAGCGCTGGAAGACATACCGGCCGATCGCCAAAGTCTCAGCGAAAGGAATAACAGCGAACAAATACGAGCAATCCGCCCGAGGAGTACCTTCAGCTCACCCTTGGGGAACCACCTTCTATTGGAGCCTCAACTAGATCGGAGCACGCAGTTGGGAGCACTGCTTCGCAGCAGACGCCAAGTCACTCTCAGTGTGAAGAGGTGGTTGCAAAAAGAAGTACTATCAGACGGGTGAAAAATGGGGCAGCAGTTGCTTCAGTAGATAGCTCTTAAATGTGTAATACAAGAAACAATTGCTTGCTAGTTTGACGCACGTACATGGTCAAATGGATGAGGAACATCAGTTTATAATAGTAGCTGGTCGCCTACTTGACGACAGTTGCCACTCTACCAATAGTAAAATGTCAGACGTTCACTTCTTCCAGACCACCGCGACGTTAATGACTCGATCAGCAATGTAGGACATGCAGAGGAAGATCATCCCTGATATTACATGTGCGTGGCAGTAACCTCTTTCGGCTAGGTCTACCCCTGCTTTTGTCAGCCTCGTGCGTCAAAGAAGATCTCGAGGTACGAATTGAAGTCAACTGGGATCCATCCGGATCGTGAGGAGACTTCTACAGCTGGGCCTTGGGTGAGCATGACTATGTACAGTATAAGGCTGGTTTCCATCCAAAGCATCGCCGATTCCAATTCCCCACTCAAGAGTGCCGATACAACGATTCACGACCAAACCTCGTTGTGACCAGTAAACGCCAACAAGAAAAACTCCCCATTTGAACACAACATGCTCCCCGTGCTGAACGCCCATCACATTAAACGATGCTCCCGACGACCTCCCCATCTTACATGACAGCCGTCAGGAGATTGCCCTAACCAAGCCACGGCGCACTCTTCGCAGCACCCGAGGTATCATGCTCGGGGGCGGGCGACGGGGGAAATACAGGTCCCAGTTTATTTCTACTGTGTCCGGCGGCGTCTCACCGGCAGCCAAAGCAGCAGCACGCAGCAACTCCATCGTGGAGTCACGGTCCGAGACCAGCGTGGCACCGTCGAGCTCGTCGTCGAATTCGAGCTCCGAGGGGACCTCGTCTTCCGGCTCGACCAGGGTGTCCCCGTCGAGGTCGGCCGGGTCGACGGCGACGTCGAAGTCGGCGTCGGCCTCCGCTTCAGCTTCAGCCTCGCGCTGGCGTCGTTGCTCCTCGAGCGCCAGCCTCAGCTGCTCGAGGTCCTCGGCGGTCGGGTTCAACGCCAGCTGTCGCGGCGTCGGGCTGGAGAGGCGGCCGGGCGTGTTCCACGCCGTGGCCAGATGCCCGGACTCCCGGTCGGCGTACCCGGGAGGGCTGGCGATGGGCGTCCATATCCCGACGTGGACGGCGTCGCTCGACCCGCTGGCGATGGACAGCCCGCCGATGCCGTCGAGTGGGTGTGGAGTGGGCACTCGGTCCCACACACTCCGGTATTGAGGCGTCGACGGCCTGAAGATCGGCAGACTGCGTAGTCTGCGCAACACTCGCGACGCCAGGCTGCGGCGTCGGCTGCCCGGAGGGCCGTCTCCGGGCGATCGCGTTCCGGCGCTGCTGGCAGGCCGGGTGTTCGGTGCCGATCTTGATGGCATGTTGGAGAGAGAGACAGAGGGAAAAGGAGAGGAAAGAAAAAGAAATCAACGAGGCTTGTTGTCACAGGGCGAGAGCTGGGTGCTCAAGGGAGGCTGTTGAAAATGCTGGATCCGTTGAGGGAAAAGGTAATGGAAGTACGGTGGCTTGTGTGTCGAGGAGGGAACTGGGGACTAAAGAGGCGCTGTTGAGATTATTGTGTCCGTGGAAGGTCAATGAGATTGGTTTGGACGGATGCCCAGTATTGATCAGAGGTTGATAGAGATATGTAGTGATGTAGAGACAAATTTTTCGCTTTGAGGAGATTTTGATGGTCAGTCTAGAGGATATCTTCTCTTATATGTGATGTGAATAGGCATTGCGCAGGTGAAGATTTGGACATTACTGTTGGGCAGCAGACAGCGAACCGTTTTTTGAACATGGCTCCAGATCTGCAAGACAATTAGGTTTTTGTCGAAAGCCCGAAAGGATAGAATGAGGTTCGCAAACCTTTTGATGCCGACTCGGAGTAGAAAGAAGTAGATTGGACATTAAGATGTGGTACAAGGCTGCCAACGTCTTAGTCCACTTCCATAGAAAATCAAATACCCAGGGAGAAGAAGTGAACCAACAGAAATCAGGATGCCAAAGAAGGCATCCAATTATGAGGCCACCATTTTAGTCGAGCATCTGTTCTGGTGTGGGGCGAAGTCCTTACAAGGCTATGACCGCCTTTGAAATAGACTTTCACTGTGGGACTCACGAGAAAAGGCCAGGTCGACAGGCATCTCAGTGGCAAAAAACTTGTCCAAAAACTCAAAACCTATAGTAAAGTCAGTATGCCAAGATGGTGGGAGGTCCTCATATCCAGAATGTATATGAAGGCCGTTGAGAGCCTTCTTTCAAGCCGAGTCATCAACCCTCTTGTTTAACGTCTGGATCAATACAACTTTACAACACCAAAGTCTTCTTCAGCCAACTTTGCATACAATACTCGCCAAATACTCCTCAAGAACAAGATGTTCAACCTCACAACATTGATCAGCAAGATGTTTGCTCGCGCATGCACCAGACAGCCCAACCGACACATCAAGGCTCGACAAGACAAAGAGCAGCACAACGAGCCACGAAAAATGAACGCCATGCATGCCATGAACAAATTGATGCTCACGCAAGCACGACTCCTCAACTTGAGACACTCAGGCCGGTACGAAGACTGGCTAGGGGGTGGACGGGTCTGGAAGCTCGAACAAGAACTCATCTTTGTGGACCTCGCCTTCGACAACTGCCTTCACGTCCTCCAACAATCGCTCAGACTTGAACATCCATGCCTGGAAGAAATGGTAGCGGTATGCAACGACTTACCGGACGAGATTTCGGTGGTGCTTGAACTTCTCGAAGAAGCTGATCAGATCGGAAAACAGCTGTCGGATAAAGTTATTCTGCGGGTCTCGCAGGCGGTGGTGGAACTCGAGCATGTGAGTGGAGTGATGAGAGATACGCGCGATACTCTCAGCAAGGTACAAGAACAGCGACAAAGAGAGAAACGGGAGGTTTCATTGGATGATAAGGTATGGTGGATATAGGGTGATGAGTTGGAAAAGGGAGAAGACTGAGTCATGCACTTGAATATGCTGCTAGCGTCGGAGTTGAGAGTTGCCTGGAAGGGAAAGGATGCCCGATCCAAAAGGGTAGGACAGTGTTCTGAAATAGGCAGATTGGTGACCCAGCAAAATCTGGAGTTGGAATTCGAAAACAGTGAACATCCGACGGGACTTGGCCGGGTTCCTACGCACCCAGCTAGGCACCTAAATCAAGCCATTTGGGTATGACATCTGGGTATACCACCAATATACCTACCGAGGTGCTTCAGGTACATCAATCAAATGTAACAACAAATAACAACACTTTTCTTCTTTTCGTACTCATTGAGCATGATGAAATTTGAATCACTTGGGTGGCCAAGATGGGAGTCTGGTCAAGCTTCCAGTCTCGCTGCGCCAACCAACCTCCAACACTTGGCCAAAATTGCTTGAAAGGCTTCTTTTTCCCACCAAGCTCTACTAAGCACATTCAAGCAGTGGCCAACTGACGCCTCTCGAGCTTCTCCATGCCCAACAGGAACCTGATAGGCACGGCAAAGACTGCCCAGACCTTCGCCTGCAGCGTCTGACAAAAGCCAAGAACCTGAAGCACAAGAGTTCCCACGCCACCCACGTCTGCCAAGTTGAAATTCTCGTCCGTTCATGGGCAGCTCCACGGGGTTGCTATCGCCTCTTGGAAATCTCAACCAGCCTCAAAAGAGAACCCATTTGCTTTCAATTACCGACCGTGCATCGACACATTGGTCTCTAGACTCAACAGGGAAACCGGATGGAACATTTCGAGAACTGATCCCGAAAGCTTCCACCGTCTTACCCGACTTGTGCTCGTCTTGAAGCCACCAACTGAGAGGTTGGTCAAGGTCAACGCGTTCAAATCGTCCTGTTCTATCCGATAGATCCGCCTTGGGGTACTCCACGACCCCCGTCGACAACTCCGCATCTTTGGCCCGATGTTACTCTCACGCTCGACACGAACAGTGATCTCACGATCATCTCAACCCCATTCGTTCAGTGAGCCTTCAACATCCGCCGCCATCTACAGGCTTCAGAAATCCACCGACTTTATTCGTAGAGAATCTCATTACCAGTCCTTTTGTGGATACACATCATGCTCCGCCGTCTCCCACTTTGAACTCTGGCAATAGCTTTCTCCGCCAACCAAACACTCTGAATCTCATGGTGGCATCCGCCGCCCAATCATCGTGAATTCATTCTTGTCGTCGGTCATGCTCCGATTCATTACCGCTCTTCCAGAATGCAGCCTACGTCGCGCGGGGAACTATGTATGACAACAGAAGACCACCCAGCCCGGCGCACATGGCCCTGTTTTCCCAAAGATGTATAAGAGAGTCGATCTCCCTCTTGGTTCTCTCACTGTGCAATAAAAAACAACAGCCTGGATCATTTTCAATTGCTAACCCTGCGTGGCTACGACTTTGATCAAGATGGCCAACGTCGATATCCATCCAAGCTCCAACTCACCATATGAAAAGCATACCCATGCCGAAGACTATGATCATGAGCGAAACCTGTCCAATCGCCATATGTCCGTTGGCAAATATGCGGCGACCAGAATCACAACTTTGAAGCCTCCCATGGCTAAGGCTCCGAACCCTTTCACTCTACTTGCCATGCTCAATAAACAACAATGGCTCTTCTTCCTCGTCGCATTCTTCGCCTGGTCATGGGACGCATTTGATTTCTTCACCGTGTCGCTCACAGTGACTGATCTGGCTGAGGACTTTGGAAAGACCAATACCGATATCACATGGGGAATTACTCTGGTATTGATGTTCCGTTCCGTAGGCTCGACAATCTTTGGTACGTGCAATATCGCTTAGCGCCGATGAACTTTACTGACCAGAACTCACAGGTATTGCCGCAGACAGATATGGACGAAAATGGTAAGTTCCATGACAGACATACTATAATCTTCCATTCCATACTGATATTCTAAATCAGGCCTTTCATCATCAACAATCTTCTCTTCATTGTCCTTGAGCTAGGCACCGGCTTCTGCCAGACCTACAAGCAATTCCTGGCAGTGCGCGCCTTGTTTGGTATTGCCATGGGCGGACTCTACGGCAACGCAGCTGCCACAGCTTTGGAAGATTGCCCCGAAGCGGCTCGTGGTATCATTTCGGGAATGCTCCAACAGGGCTACGCTTTTGGCTATCTCCTTGCGACGGCATTTGCACGAGGCCTCGTAAACACGACTTCCCACGGATGGAGACCACTTTTCTGGTTCGGGGCTGGTCCTCCAGTTCTCATCATCCTCTTCCGACTTTGCTTGCCGGAGACCAATACCTTCCGTGCTCGTCAAGCTATCCGTGAGCAGCAGGGTAGTCTTGCTGGTACATTCATCTCCGAAGGCCGTGTTGCGCTGAAGCGACACTGGTTGCTTCTCATCTACATGGTGCTTTTGATGGCCGGTTTCAACTTCATGTAAGCTTTGGGCATCAAATTGTCAAATTCGGATCTTTTTACTAATGTCTGAACCAGGTCTCATGGATCTCAAGATCTTTACCCAACCATGTTGACGAACCAATTCAAATTCTCCCCCAACGCAGTGACAGTGACCCAAGTCGTAGCCAACCTCGGAGCCATGACGGGCGGAACCACGATCGGATACTGCTCTCAGATCTTCGGTCGCCGCTTCAGCATCATTGTCATCTGCATACTGGGCGGCGCACTACTCTACCCCTACACATTCACGAGCTCCAAAGCTGTCATCGCCGCGGCGTTCTTCGAACAATTCTGCGTCCAAGGCGCCTGGGGTGTGATCCCCATCCATCTGATGGAATTATCTCCGGGCTCTCTGCGCACCTTCGTGGTCGGCACATCCTACCAGCTGGGCAACCTCGCGTCGTCGGCATCCTCGACCATCGAGTCCGAGCTCGGGTCGAACTGGCCACTCGAGCCACTGCACAAGAATGGAAAAACGATCAAACGATACAACTACGGCAAGGTCATTTGCATCTTCATGGGCGCCGTGTACGCCTACGTCATCTTGCTGACGTTTGTGGGCCCCGAGAAGCGAGGCCGCAGCTTGGATGTTCAAGATGATGCCGATATGGCTGAGGTGACGCACCGCGATCTGAGAAATCAGGGTGACGTCGCTCATGGCCATGGTCATGGCGAGAGTAGCGAGGACGAGAAGGTCGTCAAGCGCGAGGACGAACGTGTTTGAGTCGGGAGAATTCCAAGTTTATGTTTTGGCTGGAAGGAATCCTTCTTGGTTCAGATTGATTGGATTTCATATCCACGCGACTGCCGCGTTATGTAGGGTTATGAACTTTTGGAGGAGAGTCTGCCTCTGGCATGAATCACGATGTGGGTGACGCATCATCGAGAATGAGAAATGAATGTCACCGTTATCGAAAATGAAATCATTCAGATTTTCCGAGCATTTCAGCCTTGTGGAGGACCTCTTCGGCCTGATCGCTTTCGCTCGCAGTGATGCTTGTCCCGGCGAATGACACGGACTTCATAGTCGGTACATTGCTCAATTGGATTGAGTGACCATGGTTGCGTGACTTGGCTGTATCTCCCTCAGTAGATTCATATCTAAATCAATCATATCGTGTTCACTGCAAGTGAGCATCCTCCCTGAGACCGCCCCAGTCCACCGATAATAGCAACCGGTGCCAATACTGCACATGCACTGTTTCGGCATCCATGTTAGCGAGAAGAGTGCTATGTACTGCTTATGGGTGATTGAACTTCATTGGGGAAGTTTTTATGTGGGGATACATACGGGCCCGCGCTGCAGTATTTGAGAAGGATAAACCATAACCGGCAGTGCCCCGCCCCGTGATATTCAATATTAGTTACAGACCGCACTATTCAGTCAGTATTGGGTGTAGACCTTGGAACTGTACGCTCGTCGTGCTCATTAGGATATCCCTAGACGTCACTGATCGAGCAGCACGGTGTGCCGAGAGGCCAATGCTTCTGCTCATGACCCTGGCAGCTTTGGGCAATGCATGAACAATAGTATGTTCGTTTGCCTCGTAGAATTCGGCAATAGATCGAACGTCTGGACTTGGTGGTCACGAGTAGGTATTGTATGTGGCCTAAGCGAGCACAGAGCAGAGCGTGCATCGGAATGAGGCTGTGAGCAGTAGGCACGGATACCTAGGTAGGGATAACCTCCTCCGTAGTGCTGAGGGCCTTATGCTTGACGATGCAGCTTGGATACAGTCATGATTCATCGGAGCTCCTACTGAGTAAGGCTCGTTGTTGTACTCGGTATATTAAGTTGGTTACACTTGTGTAGTTAGTTACATCGTCAGCCGTGCCGTGCTGTAGGTAACTGATAGTATCGAGTTCGTCTGCCTTGGCGGAGTGGTTGATTATTGCTCGGGTGTCGCATTCACCAACAAGCCCTTGGGGCATCCGTAGGCGAGATGATAAGTCAGCCTCAGGCTCTGGGCGGGCCCCCATGGGAAGGAATTAGCGTGCCATTCTCAACGGGTAGCGTGTTTGTTTGCCGTCTTCATAGGGGAGGATTCAAACTTTTAAGTGGTCCAGTTCTAAAATTACCTGAAGCTGCCACCAGTGGAAACACACTATTCGGCCTTTCGGAAAATTTGGCGACGGGAAACGTGATTGTGATCGTCTGTCTTATCTTGTCCACCACCAAACCCCCCGGTTTCATCTGGTCTGCAACTCCGCCTTGCCTGCATCTCTAACACCCACACAGGGAAATTGAAGTTTCGGGGTGACCCAGATAGCTAGCCTGGGCCCTGGTTGATGTCGATACGGATGAGTAGCGAAACGAGGTTGCTGCTTTGGATATCCTAGCCTTATCTTCCCGGATGGCCGTGGTCGTCCTGTAAGTGTAGCAGACGATGTTGTCCATTCTGATTGTGGTTATCAGTCTGGTCGTTGGTGTCTGCTGAGCTGAAGTAGTACGCCATATAGATAATGGTTGCACATCATCGGCTTGAGGCGAGATTGGAGCTGGGAGGCTACATTGACGATAACCATGTCAGATAAGCTCATGAGAAGCCAACTTCTTTTGCTCCTTCGTACTCGTATCTCTAGGCTGCAAACACCCGCTGGAAGTGTATCGGTAAATGCAGGAATCACAAAGCCAGAGGCGGTATGGTATCTCCCCACGAAACGTCTCAGTGCGAGACCGTGGTTTCCATTAACCGTCTCTGGCTGGAGAACATTCAGGTATCGTGACCAGCGTAGATTCATTGTTGTCCCCGAAAACCTGATTTGATAGCGTCAAAGCAACATGGCCATCTCAACTCGCTGGGTCATGAACCACAAGATGAAAAGAAATCGCGTGTGGACAGGGCTGGGTCCTCCATGGGTCGCGAAACACTCTTTCGAGCGATGATTGGTGTGCCTGGCGAGAATGTGCATCATTCACCCCGGTCCAGTCTGAAATGCGGAATCCGGCACAAGAGCAGAAGGAATCTACCCTGACGATCCCAACGCGTTTCCGGAGGCTTTTGTTTTGTCCCTCACAGTTTGAGACTATCGAAACGTAATCAAGTTCGCATGGGAATAACAGCCAACAATTGATCCCCTGCTCTGTGAGAGTTTGGATGGATTGGGATTGAGCGGGGCTGCTGAACTGAAGGCTGACTTGCAGTGGTCACGGTCGCCGTTTATTATTATTGCTGCGGGCGTCCTTCGGGGGCGTGAACGATAATACTCGTAATCATGATTGGCGTTGGGTCTAGATAAAAAGCCAAGGGTTTTAGCGGCTCCTACAGTGGTGGCTCCAGACAAATGCCCTAATCTTTTAGCCTTGTTCCCCCCAAAAGGCCATCCTCTGGGCCCTCGGCCTGCCCACGCGGGTGCTAATTGAGGCGGCCCTGGCGAGTTACGAGTACTCGTACCCGTCCGTTGATTTTTGCCGTTGATTGCCTTGCCGTACTCAAGATACTCCGTTGAGAGACTGCGCTGTTCTTGCTCTGACAACCTGCAGTCACGCTTCCCTGGTCCTCTCGACTTTTCCGATACTCCCAAGGATCATAAGACGTTCTTTATCTTGAACGCTACACACCTGAGTAGAGATAGAGACCTCGTTCCTCTCTTTGTTCCATCACACCTCCTTTATCCATCGATTCTTCTCCTCCCACTTTCTACCCTCTCGGATCGTCGAGTTCTCGAACCACTTCCAACCCTAACCATTGTTCTCTTTGCATCTACTCATATTCACATACTTCCAGTGTGCTAGACAATGAGTCGCATCGTGCAGTCGCATTCACACACCTAGAGTTGCACGAGTGCTGCTCACCCGGATTCGGCTGACGCATCTGTCATTGTACTCGGCTCCATACGACCCTAGTCAGTGTCACGAACCATGGCATATGCTTCAGTTGCCCAGGCCGAGCACTCTCCCCATCTTCCTGAGATATCAAGCCCTCCTCTGTCATTCGGTTACGACTTTGCACAGCATGGCGAATCTTCTCATGGGTCCCAGGGCCGACCCCGTGTATCCTCTATCCTTAAATCGCTCAGTTCAAATCAATCGTATGAAATGGTGGAAGACGACGACTATGAAGAGCCTATGCGAACTCCAGTTGGGTTGGCACTCAATATGGATGCTCCTTCTGCCTATTCACCACCTAAAAATGTCGCATTCCAGTCATCACCGGACCCTCCAATGAGGACGGCCTCGATCAGTCGACATCTGCCCCTCAATCACCCTACCCCAGATTTGCAGACTTTGCAAGGGGCTTTGGTCAAGAATGTGGAGCGGTTGGAAGAAAGCGCAGAACGTCTGAGTATGACTTCAAGTCTTGAGGATGAACTGCATAAGATGAGGCTCGACCAGAAAAGAATTGAGCGCCAGTCATCTGCCCCCGTGACGTCGGATAATGTTATGAGACCGGTACCACAAAGGCAACATTCTGCAGGTTCATGGTCCAATTCCATCATTGGTGTCAATCAAGCCGCGCGAACTGGAGGTTATTCACCCTCGGGATACATAACCTCTCCAACCGGGTCAATACACTCCAATTCACGCTCCAACCCACATCCTCTTTCGAGACATTCTTCAAAAAGTAGTCGTCGAGATCCATCTCTGCCCGAACCACTCTTAGAGGGACGGCCTTTGGAGTTCACATCACCTCCACATTCTGCTGTCACTGTATACAACCAGGGAATCGCCGTATCATCACAACCAGCACCTGTAGCGGATGCTGACGAACTCGAGAGACCTACCACTTCCGCGTCCAATGACACTTTTCAACAAGCCGAGGCAGCGTTCAATGATTTTGATGGAGTGCACTACGTTTCAAATTTCGCTCATGATCGACAGGACTCAATCTCAAGGCGGATATCCTTGAAGCAACCTCCGTTGGCTAGGGACTCAAAAGCTTACCGAGAGGCACAACCCGGAGAGAAAATGATATATTACCCCGCCCCTGTGCCTGTCATGCTCAATCTACCACAACGACTTTCAAAAGCCAACTTTGGTGAGAAGGAGAGACGCCGTCTACAAGGCTTGAGCGGCGTTCCTGATGATATGCGGAAGTCTGCCCCGTGGCTTATGGACCAAGATTTGAGCAAATTGCATGGTCCGAAACAAAGCCTCAATCTTCCGCCTCAGTTACGAGCAAGCGCATTTTTCGAGCATCCAAGTATCACCCAAAACATACAGCTAAAGAACGGCTCGGCAGTCCAGACACTGGACAGTATATTAGATGCGGCGGCTTATGCACCTGTAAGTGCGTTCACTGACCATCCCATAGCCGGTCAACTGGGAAAGGAAGTCTATGGATCAAATAAGAATCCTCGAAAAAGCATGCAATTACAAGACGACAAGGCCAAGAGACGAAAGAGCTCGTTGAGCAACATGCTGAAAACCAAGAGATCAATGTCCGGCTCGAGGCTCAGCCGCACGAAATCACGAGACTCTAAAATCATGTTGGATGGCGATGAATATGCAAGCGGGGACGAACTGGATAAAGCGGCGGCAGCTTCCATTGCACCGGATGATGATGAAGTACCAGAAGACGCGGTTGACGATGATGAAGAGGACGATGAAGACGATGAGCCCCAAGGCTTCAGTGCAGCGCCAACCACACTACTTGCTGAGCTGCAAATGCGAAAAGAGCAGCAGAAATTGAGAACTCGTACTGCTGCCGATGCATTTCCGAATGGCATGCACTCGACTCTACTCGAATTGGATGCAGTTACGCAGCTGCAGCAAAAAGCTCGCAAGACGAAACAAGTCACATTGGCGTGGGAAGATCATGATGAGGCTTCAAAGCAGCACTTCGCCGACGATGATGTCCCCCTAGGCATCCTGTTTCCCGAGAAAGAAGGAAGAAGTCATTTCAACGCTAACAAACCACTTGGACTTCTCGAAAGGCGTGAAATGGAGGACAATGAGCCCTTAAGTCAACGCAGGGCTAGGCTTCGAGGCGAACCATTGCAACCAGCAAGGTCGGAAGCCAAGACCCAAATCGATGAGTCTGATCGTGCGCCCATCATCGAAGAAATTCCCGGTATGAGCCAAGATCTGGCAGAGGAAGAAGCAGAGACACTCGCCCAGAGAGCAGCCAGGATAAAGAGAGAAAAAGAGAGGGGTACTGGAGGCCAATTTGCCGATGAGCTCACTAGTGAGCTAGGTCTCAATGTCGACAAACCTCCCGAAACTTCGAAGACCCCCGACATCGAGGAAACTCTAGGTCAAAGACGAAAGAGACTGCAACAAGAAGCTCTCAAAAATGGCAAGACTTCCAGCAATCCACAGCTAAGGTCAATGCATAGCCTGGCAGACGTCCTGCAGGCACATCCTGTGGGCCTACAGCAAAGACAACCCTCGAATGAATCTAAGCTGCCAATGCTTCAGAGAGCTCAAACTCAAGGTCCCTTGTTGTCTTTCAATAACACAGACCCGCTAAACAACTTGCAAAGCACCAACTGGGCATCGGCACGTCAAAACAGTGTTTTCGCTAATGGTGCTGCTGGTAATTTCTACCAGCAGAATTCGCCATATATGAACGCAGCATATAACGCCTCTACCCCTGCCATGTATGGTGCACCAATGCCTATGTACATGCAGAATCAGGTGGGTGGCTATGGATATGGTTATATGCAAGGCTACGGCGGTCAACCCTATGTCCCAGATCCGATGTCAGGCCCACCCTTGGACCCGAAGCAAAGACAAAAGATTGATCAGTGGCGCCAAAGCATTGCGCCATGAGATTAGATTCCGACATTGGATACTCGTACCGGTCTTTGGACCACAAAGTGTCCAGAATATTGGATTGTAGTTATAGCCTGGATATCTACCGAATCAACCTAGTGCTGACAGGTAACGCGATTGTATCAATAGTATGACTAGATAATAATGAAAGGAGATGGATGGGAGGCCAAATCTACATCATTACCGGCGAATGGTATCAAAGCCCGCTGACTAACGATTCACGTCAGCCTCCCCTCTAAAGTCACGTGTCGGCTGATCGTTGCTATGGCAGCCACGGTAGGTAAACATTGGTCGAGACCGCCATACGACATACACACTTAGATGTCTACGTGCACCCTCCATGGACCGACTTACTGTCCGTGCTGCAACAATTTACAATTTTCTGTACCAATGATGATCGGCATTTGTTAGGTACCGTGCTCATATATTTGTTCTCTTCCTCTCATCATGGCGCCTACCGTCCACCAAGTTGCCCAAATCTTCGAAGATTCACAACCTGAACCAAGAGGCCGGAGGCCATACCACAGTCGAGTTCCTTCTGTAGGCAATGTTCTGAGAGGTCGAAGAAAGGAGAGCCAGAGTCCTGTGAAGCCTCAGAAACAATTGCTTCGCGAGGGTAGCGAGTCAGCCAGCCCTCTTGGAGAGCGACACATCAACAGTCCACCACAACCGAAACGGATCCCTACCAAAACAGGTGATGAGACCCGTCCACCAGCAACTCCCACACATAAGAAGACAGGCAGCTCTGTTTCTCTGAGAGGTTTGATACTTGGGAAGGAAAAGACTTTGGACACTGGCAGCATCTCCTCTACGGACGAGAGGACTGTGGCTGAGAAAAAACCCAAGAAGGTCAAATCGGCAACTAATCTCACTGGACTTCTGAAGAGGAAGTCCAAGAAGGATCTAAAAGAAGATATCCGTGACCAGGAGAACGTGTCCCCCACCAAAACAACGCAATTGCCGAGTCCAACCCCTATCTGGGCTCAATTTGCTACGCAACCACTGGAGAGCTTAGACGGCACCATGCACTATCCAATGGCTCAAAGACGAACTGTCGAAGAGGAAATCAGCCTGTATACTCCTAAGGACTACTCTGAGTTCCGGCCTTCGGAGCAGAGAAACTTTTATGGATATGCTCCGCCAGTACCATCTCCTGTTGATGTTCGACCACCCGAACGACCCTTTCTGGAGCACAAGTCTAGTAGGAGCTCGATCTTCACGGAGAATCTCGAAGACGAAGCTGGTGGTGAGAAACAGAGACCAAAGAGTAGAGAGCAGTCTGTCAGCCGTCCGAGTTCATCTTATGCCTCGGAGTCTCGCCCTCCGTTGCAGACACGGTCCTCTGAGTCATCTCAGACCGATAACAAAGCGAAAAGGGGATCAAGGGTGTTTGAGGTTATTCAAAACTTCAACCTCAAGTCACGCCGAGATGCTCGATCGGCGGTAGAGTCTCAGAGCAGTGCCAACCCACCTCTAAGCCCTCAAGAGCTCGACACGGCATTTGAGAAGGTTTTGGATGCTCTCAACATTCCCATGAACATGCGTGACAACATGCGTAACCTGAAACCAGATGTTAAAGCCGGGCTAATGAAGGGAGAAAGATCTGGAAGTGGTTCATCCTCGGGTTCAGCGCCTCTTAATGGTACCGACAGTCGGCCATGGGCAGGAAGTCCCAAGAAATCCGACAACAATCGACCCAAAAGTCAGGATGACGACGGAAAGGAAGGGAAACGGTCTCGATCAAGATCACGCCCCCGCAGTCGGATCCTGACATTGTCAAAAAGTGATGAGACATCGCCTACCAAAGCTGACCGGCCAGGATCTTCTTCGAGATCTCGCAGCAAGACTCGCAACAAGTCCACAGACATTACCTCTTCGAGGCCAACGTCGTCGAAGGCTATGGCATCTTCGGCATCTCTTGCATCCTTGAACGCCACGGATAGCGCCACGACTCCGGGCGACTTTATTCATTATCTTCGTGAGGTACAGAAGCCAGAACTTGTCGAAGTCAGCAAGATCCACAAGCTTCGAATACTACTGAGAAATGAGGCCATCAGCTGGACGGACCACTTCGTGACAAGGGGCGGCATGGACGAGCTGATTCAGTTGTTTTACCGGATTGCAAAGATTGAATGGCGAGAAGAGCACGAGGATAATCTGCTACATGAAACCCTGCTCTGCTTGAAAGGTCTCTGCACAACGTCATTGGCGCTTCAACGTTTGGAACAGGTCGAAAAAGAGTTCTTTCCTGCTCTACTCACAATGTTGTTTGATCCTGAGAGGAAAGGACCGTCGGAGTTCGCGACTCGGGGCATTGTCGTTTCCCTTCTGTTCGCGCATCTCTCATCCTCTGTGGGTGGCGGCCAAGGCCGAATGCAGAAGAGAGCAGAAGTGGTTCTTGGGTTCCTCCGTGATCCAGCGCCAGAAGAAAGCAAGCAGATTTTGGACTTTGTTTCCAGAATGCACATCTCCCGCCCGTACAGAGTGTGGAGCCGGGAAGTTGTGAACGTGACCAAAGAGGTGTTCTGGATATTTTTGCATCATCTCAATGTTGTGCCTATTGTTGAGACCGACGAAAGCGTGGGCTATTCGCGAGCTCACTACCCAGCACCCAGACCACCACATCCAGCGGCTCCATATGTAGGCGGTGTGGAGTGGGAAGCAACGCAGTATCTGGCGATCCACTTGGACCTCCTCAACGGCATCATTGCCTCCATTCCCAGCTTAGAAGAGCGGAACAGTCTACGAGAAGAAATGAGGAACTCTGGTTGGGAGAAAGTGATGGGTGGTAGCCTGCGGACCTGCAAAGAAAAGTTCTACAGCGGTGTTCATGATGGATTGAAATGTTGGGTTTCAGCAGCCAAAGCAGATGGCTGGCCAGTCGAGGATGTCCGAGCAGGGCCTCCAAGAGAAGCCGCCAGCCCTAGGAAGAGTCCGGTCAAGAAGAAGGCAGATGAGCCACCCCAGCTAGCATTAACACCGATCTCGAAGGGAGATGATGGATGGATTTGATATCTGATATCTGGCGTTCAAGTATTGGTTGACAGGATTATGACTTGATGACTTTGTCATGCAGACCTATGGGTAGTCTGGTATTGATGAGATTTCTTTGTTTCTATGGTTTTTCTTCTACAGTACGGAGTACTCGCCTCCCCATGGCCCTGCACCAGACTTGAATGACAAAGCGACTCGGATCTTGGTGATCTCTGCTTCTCCAACTCAAGTTCCCCTCACCACTTGGCCATTTTGGGCCCTAGCGTCGGCATGGAATATTGACATCACCGGAGTGTGACCAGTGGGCGCCAGTACTGTAATACAGTTCAAAAGACGAGAGACTGGGGCAAAATCGCTCCTGTTTTCCACATTTGACTGGGAACGGAACATCGTAAAATGGAAAATCGCGATGCGCGCCGCAATCTTTCGCCTGTAACTTTCCGATTTGCTCTCAGTACCACTATCCGTACTCGTACTAGGTGCTCCCTGCTACCTACGTACCCTGCGCCGCCCATCGCTTCTGTTACCAGCCTGAGTGCAATTGACCTGGCTGCTGCGCTTTCACACTCAACTCACATTCACTTACATTCACGTTCTCAACCTTCATTCACTTCCTCCTGCCAGGGTTACGTGAGGTTACTCTTCCCTGCGCAACATACGATATCCCTTGATCTGATCACCCCTGAACGAATCTTCATGGATTGACAGATCTTTTCAACCCACTCTGTCACCGATCGCACTTCACCCAGCTCCTCCTGCTCCTCCACTACCCTCTTTTCCTCCGCCTCCCACGCTTTCTTCTACTCTCCCTATGTCCACAGCGACCATGACTACCACTCTCGGCACCTCGAACATACGAGGTGGTCCTGCTCGTCAGACTCGCTCAAATCCCATGAGGCACATCAAGGGTGCGGGCTCTGGCGTTCGTCACAACTCCCTCATTTCAACTACCGGGCTCCCTCTGTCCACCTTTGCTGCCACCTCCTCTATCAATCCACCACTCAATACAAACGAGCCGCCTGGCCTCTATCCTGCCATCAGCCACTTCGCTGATGCGATAGCTGCGTTACCACGAGACTTCCGTCGCCATACATCCCTGCTAAAAGAGGTGGACGGCAAGGCGTGGGCCCCAGAAGAAAATCTGCAAGAGATCTTGCAGCAGTGTCTTGCTGACACTACCGCCTCTTCTGAAAGATTTCTAGCTGCCGCACATAACCCACCTAGATTCTCCACAACTGACGATGTCGTCGTTGTCAGCGACGCCAACAGTGTGGCTGGCGCCTCGGTCGATAATGCCTCACTTGCCTCTGCTCGTTCTACTGATCCTATATCCCTGCAACGGAGACGCCAATTTCACGCCCTGCGACAGAATCTCATGGCAGTCATGGTGACCATGGACGAAAAAAACCACGTGATCACAAAAGCCAACGAGGACGTTTCGAGAAGTATTCGGCGCATGGAAGCAATCTGGCCACACATCTCTGAGGAGATTTCGGAAGAAGCACGACTCGGAAGCTTGAAGCACTGGGCATACACTGAAACTAATCCCGTCAAAAAGCCTCCGGTACCCACCACTCGCAGAGAGGCTGCGGCAAGTCTAGCTATCCTACATGAGTCTGAGACCGCTCACAGGAGTGAAAGTCGGAGAGAAGCCATGTTGGCCAGGAAGCAAAGGGCCACTCAACATGTTGATTCCGACTTTGATGAGTCGCGACCTGCTAAAAAAGCCCTGGCAAATGGCAAGAAGAAAGGAACTGATACACCTGTAGAAACTGCCGGGCTGGGCATCACTGGTGTAGGCACTGGTAAACGGAAAAAGCCAGAAAAGGCCGCAATTGGCGGGGTTGCCATGGAGCGTTCAATCAGTAGCGCCATGGGTGGACGAGCGATGTCGCGAGAGAACTCACAGCAGGAAAATGCGAAAAAGAGGAAAGCGTCAGGTGCAGTCACTTCAGTCGCACGAAAGAGGTATGTTGTTACAGCACGAGGCAGTCCTGGACAATTAACTAACGAATTCTCCTTCAGAATAAACGCTTCCACGCAGGACTCTCCCAAGCTTGCGTCTTCACCTCTCGCAGGCAGCACTGGCAAAGAGGCCTACAAGAGAAGCCCAGCCCTCTCGTCTGTTCGACCCGCAACCGCTCGTGGGCGACAAAACTCAGCGCAAACGCTAGACACTAATAACCGTGCACGGCCATCATCTTCAACCTCACACCGAAACGGAAACAACAGTATTGCCACTGCGATTACTGCAGAAGCCAACAATACCGCCATTTCAGCAAAGAGTTCGAGTGAGGACAAGAGCACAACGAAAGAGGCCAAGGCTGAGAAGGGTGATCGTCCCATCGAGGATGAAAAACCAGCTCCAAGCAGCACAAATGGAGACCATCCCATGCGAGAAGCTCTTCTCCTCCAGACATCGGCCGGCAAGCAAGAATCAAATACTTCCAAGGCCGAGGCAAAGGTTAACGACGAGCCCATTGCTCGAAAAGTTGCATCACCTCGTGTTCCACCCGCACTGCTAACCAGTGAATCTGCACTGAGAGGGGAAAGGCTAGGTAGAGGCAAAGGCTCCAAGACATCCACACCGATCGTGGGTACATTTTCCGAGGCCGAAACGGCAGAACCCAATTCTGCAAGCAGTACACAGCATAGTCACGCAATATCGAAGGCCAAACGGCCAGCCCGGCCCAGAGTCAAAGATCACGGTCTACATGACTCACTATCGCCCAAGGGTTTGCCTATGAAGCGCTCCCACAAAAGCAGCGGCAGCATATCGTCAATTGTTCCCCACACAATTGCCTCAATCCACCGACAAAAAGAAGAGTCAGAGATGACCAAGTCCACCACCCCGTCGGACATCGGGGTAGGAAAGGAAGAGGAAGAAGACGAAGACAACGACGTCGCCGAAGAGGACGAGGAGCGGTACTGCTATTGCCAGGGCGTCAGCTACGGCGAGATGGTGGCCTGCGACAAGCCAGACTGTCCGAGACAGTGGTTCCATCTCGACTGCATCGGGCTCAAAAGCGTCCCCAAGAGCGCCAAGTGGTACTGCGAGGAGTGCAAAGAGGTCTTGGCCAAGAAAGGGAAGGTCGCCTCTAACGGCGGTAATGGCACTGCGAAGTGATCATTGCATCGCAGTGAGGCACGGGATGCTACTCATGATAACCTCGTGGTGTCCCCACTAGAACAAAATCGATAGCATACCACCGCTGGGGTGGATGATGAAAAACACAATCAACCCTATTAATGATCTATTAATGCACATTTCCCGCTCATTGGTGACACGCGTCTGTCTGATAACACTGTCTGTCAGAACCATATAGTCTAATCTAGTGCTTCGCGACAGATGCTAGTGTAGGTGAAATACCCGTTCCCTTCGTTGTTGAATCGAGCGTAGCTAATATATAGATATCGGCTTAAGCTATCCCTGGGTATTATATGGCGGAGTGGGGGGTTTTTTAGACTACCGAGCCACCGTCAACACCAGAGATGCATGCGTTGTCCGAGCCGTTTCCAACGTCTACTTATGTCACTCACCATTCTCTCTTTACCTCGATAATCTGCGATTTTGGTCAAGTGAGGAAGGGCTCGCTCCATACTAGTGAGCTAGATACATGATGGGATGTACCTACCCGCTGCCTAGGTTGATGGTACCTCAGAGGTTGATACATTGATTTGGCTCGCTTAAGGGCGACGTCCCAGCTTGCCTGGGCGGTAGGTTGTAGTGTTGGTTGGCTCCAGACTCATCGATGAGATTCCACTCTCTTTCCCCGAAGCTGTGAGACTGAAGCAAGCTATCCTCAGATCCTCACCCAATTCAACGAAATATTGTAACTACGCGGGCTCGGACTCGAAACCCAGACGCTGGCGGGTAAGCTGGCGATTGTGACTGGAAGCTCCAAGGGACTAGGTGCTGCCATAGCACTAGAATTGGCATCGAGGTCAGTCGTCAGTCTTCAATCAAAGATCCTCGCACTGCCAAACATGCACGAAGGGGCATCTTTAGAAGAGTACAATGAAACACGATCGGACTGACACTGTTCATCTTATCTCCAGGGGAGCCCTCGTCGCCACCAACTATCCACACGCCGAGCTTCAGGCCGAAGTCGAGACTGTCCTCACCCAGATCCGCGTCTTGAATGCTACGCACTCCCAAGACGCGTTCGCCATCGAAGCAGACCTATCGACCACAACAGGGCCCAGCGAGCTCGTCGCCAAAGTCTTCGAGCAGTCCAAACGGGACAAAGGCGACATCCTCATCAACAATGCCGGCCTTGCCATCATGACGCCCATTAAGGCCGTCACGCTCGAGGAATGGGACAAGCATATCAATCTCAATGCCCGAGGAACGTTTCTGCTAACGCAGGCGGTGCTGCCGTATTTGTCCAAAGGGAGTCGGATTGTCAATCTGAGTTCGTCAGGTGCGAGGCAGCCATATATGGCGAGTTCGGTCTATAATGGCACGAAAGCGATGATTGAGAGTTTTACGAGATGCTGGGCCGCGTGAGTCATTCATTATTCTTCTTCTTGACGGGATTACTACCCTTTCTGTGCATATCACGATCATGCTCGCGGAGGTTGAACATGTCACAACTAACCAGATTATCTTGCCACACAGTGAGTTCAGACGAGAATACGAGTGCACGGTGAACGCGATTGCACCCGGAGCACAAAACACTGAAGGGTTCAGAGCAGTACCTGACGAGTTTCGAGCCTCGCTGGAACCGATGCTGGCTGCGACGCCCTTGGCCCATCGTGTCGGTGAGCCGGAGGGAGTCGCGTATGCGGCGGCTCTCTTCTGTGAGGAGAGGGCTAGGTGGATGGCTGGCGTGGTTCTCAGTGTTAATGGTGGGACCTTGATGATATGATCGACGTAGACTTGGAAGAGCGAGAATTCACAAAGGTCGCGATTGCCTGCCTAGTCGCTAGGGAAACAGATACTTGCTCAGTGACGGTCACCGTTTCTGCGGTCTTGAGTCATCCAAACTTACAAAAGCAGGCACGACACAGGAATGATTCTTGGAAGTCGGCACGCTAAAAGCAAGGGCGATCTTCGAGTATTCGGAAAGAAGATTGTACTTGAGACCTGATGCGGGCTAATGCGATGCACAGAGAGGAATATTATTGAGGCCAGATAAATCCATTGATCACTCAATTTGTTTATCTGGAGGTTTGACAAAGTACTCTCTAAGCCTCTACTGGACATCAGGGGTAGGCTTTGTGCCTAAAGAGTTGTTAGGTATTTTACCCTTTTCTGAGATTTCCTATTTGCAGTGCCCCAATCCTGGACTTCAAGGGCTTGCGCCATTCGCGATCAAATGGCATAGCGAAAGTACTTGTTTTCCTTGTCCGTCAAGTCGAGAAATTCCTGTCCAGTGGGTTGAGGTGGAAGATCAGCAGCAACTCGGTCTCGTCGCTTGTTCTCGCGCCAATTGAGCCACCAAATCCCAAACAGACACAGCAGGGAAGCCACGTACACGCCGAGAATGGTGTACTTGGCCTTCGTGTAATATGGAGGGTCTCGGAACGTCTGTGGCCCAATCAAGAAGCCTCCACAGTAGGAGATGAGGACCAAGCTGTTCACGGTTGTTTTCTTTGTGTAGCCCGCGACATTTGAACTAACAAGGCTGAGAATCAGGATCAGTGGAGAAGGAGAATTTCCCAAGATGATATAATATGCGACAAGCTGGCCGATACGATGAGCCGTTGGGCCCTGGGTGGCCAGCCCAGTCATCAATGCGATTGAGAAGATGCTGAGTATGACGGCAAGACTTGCGGCCAGCATGCGATTGTTGATTCTGCGGGCCAAGTAGGGAAAGAAGAGATTGGTCACAATCTGGGTGATACCGCTCGGCATGCTGATGAGGAGTGTGGTTTTGGAATCAAATCCATACCCTTTGAGGAGCAGGGCAAAAAACACGGTGAGACCCCCTGATGGAATCAACCAGAAGATGCAAAACAGGCAGCATAGCCATGTCTGTAAGACATTCGTCAGCTGGCTTAGCAATATGACAGATTTTGAACGAAGGACTTACCCTTGGGTCGGTGAATGCCTCTCGAAATTGAGGCCATTTGAAAACTTTGCTGCCAATACCTTGCTGATTAACTCGAAGACGCTCAACGGCAATTCGACGGTCATGCTCATTGAGCCATTTCGCCGTAATTGGAGACTCTGGGAAGTATAGCCACATGCAAGTCCCAAATATACATGTGATGCCTCCGCTGAGGATGAACAGGGCTTTCCAGCCAGCGAAAGTAATTTTGGGATTGTCGAATCCTACGGCGATGCCATATGCGAAAGCTGCACCTAATATCTGTGCCGCGGCATTCCCAACGTACCAGAAAGCCGTCCTGGTTGCTTGTTCATCACGCTGATACCATCTAGCTGTAATGAGGACAAATCCCGCTGTGACTGCACCCTCGAGGGCACCGAGAATAAAGCGGGCGACCATCAAGCTTGCAAAACTGGTACAAGCCGCATTGAGGCAGAGGACCCCGCCCCACACGATGATAACGCCTGAGAGGTATCGTGCAATGGGTAGCCTTTGCATGAGGCGATTATGAGGCCACACGAACGCCAGATAACCGAAATAAAAGATCGAACCGCACCTGTATGTGATGAGGTCGATTAGTACGGCCAACACAGATATACAGATCAGAATAAAGAGAAACATCATACCAAGCATATTCTGAGGTGGTCAACTTTGCGTCCACGATCAGACCCATCACCGAGGCATAGCTCAACAGCGTCTTGTCAAAGTATTGGATCATGAAGGTGACGAACATCCAAGGGATGAGATGTTTGTCGATGGTATGGCGAATGCGGTTACTGGTGGCTTCATCGTACGTGATGGTCTCACCCATTGTGAATTGCAGAGCTGCGTCTGCATCTTTGGTCGCTTTAACTGGACCATATTCTGTGGAGTGTCTGCTCAGAGCATGCCCATCTTCCGGTTCGGCATGAATAGATGGTGATTTCTCTGCCATGATTCTGGCGATTTGGTAAGTCAGAGGGAGAGACTTTGAGTGACTGATGATTGTGAAGCTCGAGCGTTAAGTGCAGCTCCCAATGCTAATCTGTCGAGGGCTTTTATGAAATATACTATGTCGATGTCTTGTACCTTCGTCGAGAACACAAGATAGGATGGTCCAGAACCCTCGCGGCTTTGGTGGAGTATCTTCATACTACAGACTTCATCCTGAGTGGTTTACCCGGCCAGGGGATAGCCTAGTGTAGCTCATCCGTTGAAGGAGAAATCCGTCACCAATCTTGTAAACAATTATTTGCTAGCATCTGCCTGCGATAACCGCACAAACCACATCTCGCCACCAGAATGGAGGCCCCAGATGGGGATCAGATTATGGGATAGCGCGCGATGTGTTGACCTCGGCAAGGGGACTTCGTGGACAGACATCTCGGGTGTGGAAGATATTGCGAGCCTGCGTGCCCATCCAACCCCAATCTCATATCTGCACACGATAACGCACAATATCAGGTCAAGTGCAATAGCCCAGGACATTATGTGCCGGTAGCCGAGATCTCCAGACCCCAGCTTTAGCCCCGCTTTCTACCGTCGACATGATCACTCAGTTAGGCGGTATCAGAAACGGAGAAGATCCTTGACCAGGCTCTCAGTCTAGGGCAAACCCAGACATCAGGGTTTTGTGGTCACTCTCGACGCTCGAACGCTTCGACTCTCCGATACTTTGGTGAGATTTCATAGATGCGTGACATGAACGCATTGTTTTCTGATCCTGAATCCTGACTCTAGACAAACACCAAAATCATTTCAGTTCAGGCAACTCCAACTCAGTGCGTCACCCTGAGCTTGCAAAACAATAGAATGGTCTCAAAAGAAGAGCTTATTGAGCGACCTTGTGTCACCTTACCCCAGGGCAAGATCCGGGGGATCCTGCAAAAAGAACTGTTTCCCCAGACAGTCGAGTGTTTCTTGGGTTTCCCATACGCAAAAGCGCCGGTTGGGGACCTTCGCTTCCGGCCACCAGCCAAACTCGGCCCTTCCTCAGACACATTCGATGCCTCTGCATATGGCTCAGCTGCACCCGGAAAACCTCTAATACCTCCACGCATTCCACTTGTTTATAGCGAGGACTGTTTGACAGTCAATGTGTTTCGGCCGGCCGGGAGAGAGAACAATGGCAATCTTTTGCCAGTTGCAATCTATGTTCATGGTGGTGCCTTTAATCGAGGACATTCCTCCATGCAGGATACGGCTTCCATGGTGGCTTGGTCCGAAGAGGCTTTCATTGCCGTCTCATTCAATTATAGAGTCGGGGCACTCGGATTTCTACCTTCCACAAAATCTGCTGAGGAGGGAATAATAAACCTTGGTATGCAAGACCAGCGATTCCTCCTGGAATGGGTTCAAGAAAACATTCACAATTTTGGTGGTGACAAGAAAAACGTCACATTGATAGGACTGTCCGCAGGAGCAATCACTGTAAGTTGAGGAACAATTTAGGAGGGCTTCCATTGACACCAGTCTAGATTGGACACTTTCTGTTCCACTACAGCGACAAACCAGATCGTCCATTTCACAGGGCAATTATTCAATCTGGCTCACCAACCTCGAGAGACTGCCGGCCATACAATGCAGCCGTCATCGAAGGTTACTTCAACGAATTTCTATCTCAGGCCGGCTGTCCTCAGGATCTTTCGGCTACAGAGACGTTCGCATTTCTACGTGGACTGCCTCTTTCGACCATCACTGATGCCCAGTCCGCTGTGTTCAATAAATACAAGCCGACAATGCAATGGGCATTTCGTCCTGTGATAGACGGAGATCTCATACCGCGGCCACCAATGGAGAGCTGGCATCTGGGTCGTTATTGCAAGATTCCCATCATGACTGGTTTCTGTACGAACGAAGGGTCACTATTCATGGATCTCAAACTATCCAAATCGCATCAATTTACAGAATTCATGCGGACTTTACTCCCAAATCTACCCGACGAAGATATTGATCATCTAAATGAACTATACCCAGATCCACTCCTAGGAGACACGACCTATCAAGACGAACGAGTCGGAAAAGACATTGGAGCACAATACATGCGTACTGAAGCCGCCTATGGCCAATATTCTCTCATTGCACCGATTCGCCAAATCGCCCACCTAGCATCTTCGCAGCAGGACGCTGGCCCCGTATATCTATACCACTGGGACGTCTTCACGACCCTATTCCACGGCGCCGCCCACGGCGACAACCTTCGATACGAAACATTCGAGCACGGCACCACATCGCTCTCGCCGGGACAGGAAGAAGTCGCGGGTTTCCTCCACGCTTACATCACGAGTTTCATCTGCCACAATGGCGATCCGAACCGCATTGCTGGCAGATGGAAGCATCGTCCGAGTTGGCAGCCATACACACACGACCAACCCTTGACTATGATCCTGGGAAAAGGCAATAGAGAGCTTATTGGTGGTGATGTGGGTGTTGCGGCCGAGTTGGTGCGTGAAACCTGGGCGTTGGACCAGTGTCGGTTCTGGTGGGAGAGGACGGAACGGACACAGCAGTAGATAGATACCAATGTCTTAAAGCCAATTTTGAGCAGAACCAGCCGACTATAGCCGTAATATAAAGATTTTGGGGTTTTGAGACGTATTCCCGCTTTCGGGTGCTCAGGGGATCGTACTGAGATAGAAATGTCTGTCAAAGTCTCCAACGACTTGAGCGAGTTATGTTCGTCTCCCCTAGATCTCCGTCTAAAGAAACTTATGCAACTGCCTTGGTTAATTACCTGTCCCATTGATGGTCATCAGAGACCATGCCGACGGCCTTGCCATCCCGCTTCCAAACCACACCATCTTTCATGACAAAATCCACCCTCCTCAGCGCCCGAGGATTCTCGCGAGGATCCTCATTGACGGCAATGATATCTGCACGACAGCCTTTCTCAAACCAGCCGAAACGCATCCCACTCCGGTCGCCCCCACACGCCTCCCAACCGCCCACCGTACACGCCTCGAGCACTTCTTCCCACGACAGGCCGACCTCGCGCAAAAGTTCCAGCTCGCGCGTTGACTGGCCGTGGGGGTAGGTGCCGGTGTCTCCACCGACGGCGAAGCGCACGCCGAGCTTATGCGCGATTTTGGACTGCTCCATGATCTCGTTGAAGCGTTTGGCGTGGACGCGCTCGCAGATGGCCAGGGTCGGGACGAAGATCGTGCCTTTGTCGCGCATCTGCTTGAAGAGCGCCTCGTTCGCATAGTATGCGTGCTCGATAGAGACGACACCAGCTCTGATGGCCATCTCGGCGCCCTCGATCGTCCCAGCGTGGCAGACGACCGGCACGTCCGCGAGATTGGCCTCCTTGACGAGCGCGTCGATCTCTTCTTGGTGGAAGACGAGATAGTCTGGATTGGGGTCTTTCGGCGGATGGGTGGGACTGGGGATGTATGGATGCTGCTGAGCAGGAGGGTAGCGCATGATTCGTCGTCGGTAGTCGGCGAAGAACTTGATCACATCGGCGCCAGCGGCAATGCGTCGTCTCACAGCTGTTCGTATCTCGTCGACGCCGTCGACTGCTTCGCCTCCTCGTGGATAGCAGACCCCGTTCGCGTGGTTCTCAGTTCGCATCTCATATGAACCCGTGCTGGCCAGTGCTCGGGTTGCAACGAAAAGACGTGGCCCGGGGATAAGGCCGCGGTTGATGCAGTCTCGAATCTGAGCATCCATCTCTCCCATTGACTCGGAACTCAGATCACTATGCAGAGGGTTTGTCAGCTCAATATTGAGAGTCAAAATGTATCTAAACGGCGAGTCTACTTACCGATAGGTGGTACATCCCGCAAGGAGTGCTGTACGCACGTGGTGTGTCGCACGAATAATCCGCTCAGGAATGCTTTCGTCGCGCTTCTGGATCAAAGATGGGCGCTCGCTATGGAAATATCAGAGCGATACAGTTCGGCACATTCTTGTCGCAGGGTATTGGAATGACTCACTCGTAGGAATGAAGGAAAATATGAGTGTGAGCATCCACCAAACCGGGCATCACCACCTTGCCTCGCAGATCGACATCACCTTCAGCGGCACCATTTTTCAGAGAGTCTGACTCTGTTCTTTCATATACATCGACTATTAATCCCGTCTTTGGATCGACGGTCACCGAAATATTTGTCAAAAATGCCTTCTTCTTTGGGTCGAATAGAGTTGACGTGTGAATTGTATATGGGCTTGACATTGCAGCGTGGAATCTCTTGCAGCGTTGTTAACTTAGCATGCTACTGAGTCACGAGCATCATGACCAGGAGACGCAAATTGTGAAGCCTTAAGTATATTAGTATCCATCACCAGGGCATAGAGTTGTGGATACCGGATCCTGCAGGTACTGAGGTCTATGGGAACCGGATAGTTGGAGACTCCCAATTTATCCCTAGCGTCTTCTCTCTGGGCATGCTCAAACCCGAAACGGCGATCTGACGATCCAGATGTACTTAACTCGTGGATATTGAGTTCTCCAGCTTGGGTTTCCGAGTTAGAGAGCGCGGTTGAAGCTGAAAGCCGAGCCAGTCCCATGAGCATACTATAGACTACTTAACTGAGCGATTTTCGGTAGGTTATGCCGAAGTGACAAAGCATACTTTGATACTTGATATAACGGCCAGAGCGGCTTAATGACCTCCACGAGGCCCATGATATCGTCTACGACAGTCGGACGCTTCTAGTAGGACACTTCAGATTGCCCTGGAAAAAGCATCATCTTCCAGGCGTCATGGCACTTTCCGTGATTGGAACAGGTGATCTCGTCATCAACGGTCCTCTTCAGCGTCCTGTCGGCCAGAACAACGTATATGAACATGTCAGACGGGCAGATTCATGCTTCGTAAACCTGGAAATGCCGTTCAGTACAGATGGTTGGCCTGCCGAAAAATTAATTGCACTGAAATGTGATCCAGTTCACGCACATATCATTCGTGACCTCGGAATCGATGTCGTAACATTGGCCAACAATCATGGTATGGATTATGGTGAAGAAGGTCTTCGAACGACATCTAAGGCGCTCGAAACAAATGGGGTCGCCCATGTCGGCTTTGGCAAGGACCTTGTTGATAGCTTCACTCCTGTTCTGAAGAGCATTCGAGGTACAAAGGTGGCATATATCGGCGTTACAACAACTTTGCCGAATGGTAGTGGGGCAGGGCCTTCACGACCAGGACTTGCTGGAGTGCGGGTCTTCACCAAATATGTTTTGGACACGGTCACGATTGATGAATCACCAGGAATGGCACCATATGTAGAGACTGCCACATACAAGCCAGATGAGGAGATCCTACTCCAGGCTATTCGTGATGCGAAGGCCAAGGCAGACATCGTTTTAGTTGCTATTCATTGGGGAGTTCCCTATGGATGGGTTGCTGCAGTACAAGATGAGATCGCAACATATCAGCAACCACTGGCATATGCCATGATCGAAGCAGGAGCGTCCGCAATTTTTGGCCACCATCCACACGTGGTGCAAGGTGTTGAGTTTTATAAAGGCGTTCCTGTGTTTTATAGCTTGGGGAATTTCATTTTCAGCAATAATATTGTCACGCCTGGTGTCGGCTTCCGGGAGTACCCTCCTTATAGTTGGACCAGTTTGCAGGCGACACTGTCAAACATTGGTGCTCTGGCGAAGCTATCATGGAACGAAAATGATTTGACCAGTTGCTCAATCATCCCCTTGACGATTGCAGAGGATGGAGAGCCACGTGAGGCTACTGAAGACGATGCCAATGTATTGGTATCGCGATTGAAAGCCCTATCCAAGGGATGGGGAGTCATATTTGACTTAAGAAAGCTGGAGCTTGGTTTCGAAATAATGGTCTCGGGAATATAGCACAAAGGCCTCCACAGCTGAGTATGAGCCGAAGCGTGGCTCATACATTTTTCAACAGTGTCAAATCATATTCCAGAGTAGTTGCACAAAGGTTTCCCACGCCTCTGTATATACTGAACCACTTTCCCAACGAGCCACAAATGACGCAAGAAGCGCAGAGACTTTCAGAATTGGACTCAGAGCAACACTCTTTTCCATTGCAAAGAGAGGCCCATTCTGCGCAGGTTGGTTTGCGCTTATCAGATATGCTGCCCAGATGAATCCAGCCTCGAGGACTTGAGCCGCTGCCATGCAAACACTCAGAATCTTCTTGTCTTCGTTCAAATGAGTGAAGTGGTCGATAATAGTAGCTGCAGACTGGGCGACAATCTGAAAGAGCCTAGAGGTAGGCACATTGGCTGAGATACAAGAAAATGCATCTGATGTGGTGTAAATTGGATGTAGAGTAAGGTATAGCATTGCCGAATGAATGCTTATCTGTGAAGATGTTGACACTACTCTAAACCGAAATGGAATAAGACTCTCAAAGAATTCTTCTCCTTGCAAAGAAAAGCGTGTTAATTGGCCAACAATGTGCTGCTGATAACACAAGGTTTCGAGATCATCTGACAGTGGTCCCGAAATAGCCAGGACATCAGCCATCGGTCTCAACCGCATTGCGCAGATGGGAGATTGGAGTCGCAGAAACAAAGCAGTACAACTTCAAAGCGACATTAGTATAACTCAGACCGAACTGGTGGAAACATACCTCTCTAGCTTAAGCAGGGAATGCTCTAATCTCACGAATGGGTCGTCCAATTCCACATTCTGGATTTGATACTCCTCACGAAGGTCTTCAATGGTTGAACAAGCCCTTCCCAGTAGATCCCATAGCTGCCCGGATCTCGGGCTGATAGCTTCGCAGAGCGCAAGTGCACACAGAGCGGTGCATGTCCATCTGAGCGTTTCCATTCGTGTGTCTTGCGATCTCAATCCCTGCGCGATCTTCTGCACATGACCGACGCAGCGTAGAGCGATGCTTGACAAAGTTGGGTCGAGATCCCTTGTAATGAGTGTGGAAGAGATAGCAAACATTATACTCAAAGCAAGTGAACCGGGGTGATCTTTGTTGGCACTGCTCCATCTCAAAGGATTTTCATGCATCATCACCGCCGACTCTAGCTCGTATGTAAGCAGAGGGTATTGCACAGATACAACTTTCATGTAGTGATCGAGGACTGCTCGCTGAGTGGATGGCGGTACTAGTGACTGAAGCTCGAGTTTTCGTTGGTCCATTGTGACATAAAATGATGGTGAGCTGGTCAAAGATTGGGAATCCAGTGATCGGGATGGCTCTTTCTGTAACATGTGTTTGGGTACTGGTAAATTGCTGGCAAGATGCCAGTAGATGGCATTTTTCAGTAGGCGCTCCAAAAGACGCGGTAGGCTTCCAGGACCCAAGTAGGCTGTTGGTGAGGCGGATGAAAGCCCATCGGACAATATAGTCAGATGGTAGCTTTGCTCTGCGACGTCAGTAGCCAGTTCACGTAGTCCCGAGTGTGTCCGCGAGCCTTGAGATCTTGCCTTGATATTAGAGATTTCAGATTCGAGGCGCTGCTTCTTCTGGCTCAAGGAATATAAATGGCTGAGGTCCAACTGTAGTTGGTAAAAAGTTTAAAGATGATTGGGAGGAATGGCCACCAACCTACACGATATCTCCTGCTGTAGAGAGTCATCCCAGAAGGTGCACTCGACGTCATTGATCCGACAGCTCTTACATGCAGGTAACTGTAAATCGCACTGTATTGATCAAGTTTAGCTTCCTTATGAGGACGATGATGGTCAGGAAATACCTTTGTTCTTCGCTTACGACATCTACTACAAACTCGTAAAGCCATGATGTGGTATCACTAAGATCTGCGCGTTTTAATTGGCATACTGGGGTCAAAGTTGGCGCACTTTCTGATAAAACTGAGAGATTTATTGTTTGGGGCTGGGACCATTGAACCGAGTGCGAAGTTGGTTAATGATATTGTGAAGTGAAAGACGAGTGCCGTGCTTATCTTTTGGAGATGTTTGATATATGTTGAGTGTCGATGGAGGGGCGAGGGCTCTGGGGCAGACTTGGGCGAAGGTGCTTGGGCTTGGACACTGGACACAAACATCCCCTAAGTTAAGAAACCCTCGGTTGTCAATGCGCCTGAGGGGGACTGGCCTCTGGGGCTGCGAAACCGGGGGATAGCATGTATTTTCTTGGCGTGATAACAACCCTCCCCAGCTTACACCTTTCAACCTCTTTTTTGACTCGACTCCTCCATCTTCACGGTGTCTCACTAACTCGATAGACTAGCTTTTGAGCACTGATTCTATTGCTCTTCAAATCATCCAAGCCCGTCAACACCCCGGCGAGTCCGTTCTGCTTCATAACATAGTTATGAGGCTTTAGTTGACCTTTGGCGAGAAGCTCCTCCGTCAGTCCCATGAATTTTGTTGCCCACTCGAAGTCTGCCGAATTGGCGGGATACTCAAGTGTTCCAACTCGAAAATATTCGCCCCAAACAGTGTACATATTAGTCCCAATACTCTCGACATCCTCTCTTGGACTTCGATTGCTCAAGAATGAAGAGTAACGACAGCCAGTAGAGACCGAAGAGAGAGCATTAGCACAGATTTGAGCTGACGCCGCAGTGCTGATGATATCCCAAACGAGCAGAAGATTGTTCTTTGTGAATTCGCGGATCTTCAGGCCTGCATTGATATCATTGTAATCGAAAACCTCATCAGCTCCCAGCTCTTGAACATATTTCGAGTTTCTTGGTGAACACGTTGTGAGAACAGTATAGCCTGATCTGCTTGAGCTCTTAGCACTTTGCCATGACACTAGGTTGAGGACTCACAGCTTAGCAAACTGAATGCCTAGTGCTCCAGTCGCAGTTGCTCCCCCATATATCAACACGAAGGGGTTTTCCTTGCTCGGATTGACCGGCAAACTCATCTTCAGGCCTTTTTGATATAAACCTTGCATGACAGTGGCTACACCGAGTGGTAATGTCGCGGCTTCTTCAAAATTGAGGCTTTCGGGAAGTTTGATCAAAATATCACCTGGGAAATGTTAACATTTTCTCCCACAAGCATGAGAAGTGCTCTCAAGACGGGTGTCTGTGGAACAACTATTTGTTTTACATTCCTTACCCTTCGCAACGATATACTCGGCAAATGCGCCGTCCTCATGCCTTCCAATGAAACTGTTCCCACCGTGAGCGACGCCTGCCACGCGATCGCCCCTAGAAAGGGGTTTGTTGACACTTTTTCCAACTTCAACCACGCGACCAGCGAAATCGCAGCCTACGAGGCATCCATCTTCCACCAATTTGTACTCTAGGTGTTTCCAATCTGTTGGGTTGAGTGCGACTGTCTCAACCTCGACTAGGACGTCGCCATCACGGATAAGGGGAACAGGGCGATCGCTGACGAGAGTTGGCTGGCCCTCACGGACCACTATCGCCTTCATGATAGTTGAATCGGAGAGAAATCTGGACGTAGAGAGAGTTAGGTTGGTTCCGCTTGCTCTTTTATTGAAATCCAGATCAGTCGAAGTTATTTCTATATCCTTTTCTGACCATGTTCAGAACTATATTATTGTGAACACTAAGCATACATATCTCCCATGATGACAAATGCCGGCTTTGAGGTTTTTTCGGTTCTTCGATATCGTGGACTATGGTTGCGGCACATGGAGTCAAAATTGAAAGGTACATTCCTGCCTCACAAGAGTTACTTGGAGACAATCACTTTGCTGGGACTTCCATCACACAGTGTCTGGATAACTGTCATACGTGGCGGTTCTGCCCGGCGATTCTACTGGAGAACTCGGTTTATTCCGTCGGTAGGGCAGGGGCTTGTTTGTCCTTTTGTGAAGCATCCTCATTAACATGGAAGATTTATCTTGCTTTCTATTTCTACTTTGTCGTTCGTTTTCGTTTTAGACCTTTAGTACCAAGTGCAGCCAGATACCTAGGACTGTCCAATTCCAACTGCAAACATGATTGCCACATCCAACATCACCATGGACGATCCAACCGTCAAGACGGTCCATTGCAGTGGCAGTCCCTACGAGATAGGCTTCACCCACGGAAATGCAGCCTCGACTGAAATTCATAACAACATTGCCACCTATACTTATTTCTTTGGAGAGACGGCGAAAATTACTTGGGAAGTAGCTCGCGAGCGCGCCGTCACACGCTTTCTGCCTACCGTCAGGAAACAATGGCCTGAAATTGTGGACGAGATGAGAGGAATTGCAGAGGGGGCTGGAAACGGCGTGACGCTGGCCGACATTGTCACTCTCAATGTCCGCACAGAGATTGCTTTTACCAACTACACAGATGGATGTACGTCGATAGGCCAAAGGGCCCAAGACGGCACGATGTTCCTCGCACAAAACTGGGACATGATCCCAGAATTGCAAAAGGGTATGATATTTCTTCATATTAGGCCTGCAGACTCTGATATCGCTTTGCGATTCCTTGGCGAGGCTGGAATTGTTGGGAAGATTGGCATGAACAGTGCTGGTTTTGGATTTTGTATGAATGCCTTGAGATCAGGGGCTCTCAACCCAAACAACATGCCAGTCCACATTATGTCGCGTCGTCTACTGCAGTTTGCCACCAGCTTCGACACGGCCATCGCCATCATCGAGAAGTTTGGACTCGCAAGCTCGATAAATTACTTACTTGCCGATAGGACGGGGATTTTTGCTGACATTGAATGTTCTCCTCTGGGGACCTTTCTGATCTTTCCTCAAAAGGGATATGTGGCCCACGCAAACCATTTCTACGGGCCAGGTCGACCGGCGAAATTGGTTGATCACCCTGCTGCTGATTCACTCAAGCGACTGGCACGAATGCAAGAGCTGACTGAGCATGATCTGCAGCTCGGCACGCAGACATCGTTTGACTCTTTAAGAAAAAGGCTTTCCGATGAACAGGGGAGTCCTCCGGCAATTTGCAGGAGTGTTCCTCCTGGTGCCGTGGGAATTGATCGAATCATCACACTGGGGACTATTCTGATGGATTTGACACACTGTACCGGTAGAGCCATGATCGGAAGGCCTTGTGAGGATCTTCCTGTTGTAGACTGGTCATTTTGAGCTAGTAAAACGCAATCAAATCGATTTTTAGTGTTCCCAAGAATCAAGTGTTGTCAAGCGTAAAGTGCCAGGGGTGATTACCCCAGGAATGGTTCAAACCTACTATCTACCTAGTCACCCAATAATGGAGACGGAGAGACAGAAGATGCGTGTTAGAGAATCCACCGTCGAATGAGTACTCCACCTGGTAATCGAAGTCTGCTGCTGCTGATGTTTTCAGTGAGCGTGTGACAAAGTGTGATGTCAAGGCGGACCAAAAAGGGGTTCGTTCCAACGAGGCTCTCGCATTTAATCTAGCGCAAGTGAAGATCTGAAGGCGAACGCCGCCCGTTGTGCGGCTGCACGGCGTCATCCCACTCGCATGGGGAGAGCTATCATTAGCTAACGGACAAACCCTAGTGAGATTGCTCCATCAATGCTTAAACCCGTGGTTGCCCTTCTCCAATATCCTTGGAGATCTAATTCAGGGTCAAACTCGATGCTTGTGTGAGCCAACATCTTTTCTGTCGGTGATGGTGCATAACTCTGAGATTGTGTATGTGCCTGACTAAGAGTATTGAATCTAGCAGACACTGAACGCAAGAGATCGTATGATGTCTGCCCTAGGTGGTGCTTGAGCAATTATCAATATTCGGATTTGCTTTGGAATGCTCTCAAGCCCTGCGGCCAGGAGCTTGAACATACGCATGTGTCGCCATTGTCATCAATGTTCAGACACATAAGAAGCCACTATAAACTTGCATTTCCTGGTCAAACGGTAGGCTGATAAAGCAACGGCAGCCACAAAGCTGAGAGCTCACACCCTGTCAATTATCGAAAAATAATCATCATGTCGACGGATAATGCCTTAGTCCCCACCACGTCGTCGGTGATGATGGACGATGGAGCCAAATTGCATGTGAAGATTCTTGGAGACGGCAATGGCTCCAGCTCGAAGCCTTTGCTCATCTCTCTTCATGGCGCACCTGGTCTATCCACCCATCTTGAGCCCGCGGCTTCTTACACTTTTCTGTCGAAGGTCTATCGGGTACTAGTGTATGATGGTCGCGGGAGCGGCACTTCCGATCATATCGGACCATTTAGTCATGACCGATGGATCAAGGATATCGAAACTCTCAGGTGTGTGGAATGATACCTGTCAAGTCCATAGCTAATGCCAACTCAAGGAAGTTTTACGGCGCAGAAAAGTTCGTTTTGGCCGGTGCATCTTACGGAGCTTTCCTTGCACTCGACTATGCCGTTCGCCATGGAGACAGGCTGGACGGACTCATTCTACGGGGGGCTTGGGCAAACGGAAAATTTGGCCCAATGAATGCGCTGGCGAATATCCTGACATCGGACAAAGTGAAAGTTGATACTGAACGTCAAGTGCGCCTGTGGTCTGGAAATCTACGTAACGACCAAGATTTCGAAGACTCAATCATGGAGCTGCTCCCATTCTATGCGCCGCCACATACGGCTGATATTCAGGACATCCCAGAGTCGACAGAATTCATGGGAACTGTGAAGTATCACTCTGCAACGCAAAACTATGCGTTCGGTGTTAATATGCCCCAGTTCGATGTGCGAGATAAGCTCCAATCAATCAAGGTATGGATTATGGTGCAATATCAAGGTATCAAGGACGCATAACTAATTTGCTTGTTTATCAGGCCCCAACATATGTAGTCGTCGGGCGACATGACTATGTGACACCAGTGTCCAGCAGTGAAGAGATTGCTCGTGCGATTCCTCGAGCGAAGCTGGAAATATTCGAGCACTCAGGGCATAGTCCACCATCAGATGAACCGAAGGCATTTGAAGCGAGCCTGGCGAAGTGGTTGAAAGCCGAAGGATTGCCCTCTACAAGCTGATGTCCGAGATGAGCTCTCTGGCAGTAAACCTACGGTAGAAGGCGACGCAGGCGGTCGTCGTGCATCTTGCCGTAGCCGGATAGCAAAATTCATTAAGATTATGAGATTTATTAAAGGGTTGCGTGGAAATCACCGTCTTTCGCTTCTTCGATATGCCGCTTGCCGCTCTGCCCACCTGCTGTTTCCTGTGCACTTTAGCCCTCCCTCTTTCTTCTTCACTCTCAACAATAACTTCCGTTCGACTTTTAGACGAGAGGACCCGTTTGAGATGCTGGGGGACCTAATCCATTGCCCCCTTTTCAATGTGCTTAAAGCACTTAATTGGGCCCTTTACAATGCTCTTTTACCCAGGCAACCCCTCCCAAATCAAGGCACTACGCTCCTAATCGCGCTCGACGCCAGATTCGTGAAGAAGTTGACGCCTCCGTCCTCCGCGGTGGTAACATTCTGACTCGGTACACGACACACCGACGAGAAGGAGCCGAATTGAGCCCATTTGCCCGCGACGATCTGGTCCCTGTACTGCTGCAGCGGACAGGATGAGCCGGGTCCTGATTTGCATGCTGGGACCGCTGTACAAAAGCGAGATGAGAATATTAGCATACAGGAAGATTTAGTTTCCTTCGTTAGGCTTGCGCGGTTGGGGACGAGTGTACTGAATTGCATTTGGAGGCGCTTGGCTACTTACGATAGACTGCATCATTCAGGCGGATGCGCACGTAGAGATTGTTAGAGCAGTTCAGACGTTCGAAAGCCACCGTGCCGCGCATAGGGTTGATCCGGCTACTGACGTAGATCTGGATGGGCGAGCAATCAGTATTTGAGTCAATTCGGGTTCCTGATTTGAGGTTTGCTCTCCCCAGGAGAGAGTGACACTTACCCGATTGCTATCTCTCGACATTGATGACAAGGCTTTCTGCTGGTCAAATATGCCGAGTATAGAAGCCAACTCGTTGATCTGATTGTCATGGGTAAAGGCCACAGTCAGCGGACCCAGTTTGTTGTTGCCATTTGTAGACCCTGCGACCGATGTCTTTGGTCCGGAGGAAAGCAGATCGACCACCCCCTGAAGCAATGGAAGTTGAACAGACGCGTTTTTATACGCCCCAGGTCCCGTGCCGTACCAGTAGCGCAGATCCTGGCGGTACTCGTATTGAAGCGTCTCCTGCTCGGTGAACACGGCGCAGAAAGGACTGATACGGCGCAGGATCTGGCTCTCAAACCCACACAGATAAGGGAAATTGCTGACATCGCTGGTCGTGAGGTTCAGGTTTCCCTTGAGCAACGCGTTGAGGCGGGTCACGATCGGAGGGAGATAAACGTTGTCATAGGCGTCCGCGTAGCCTGAGCCGGAATTGTCTGCGAATGTGGGACACGAATCTGACGTGGCCAGGGAGTTTCCCACCGCGGAGGCAGCTTTTGCATTGATTGCGTAGACAGTTCCGAGTGAGGTTGAGTTGGGGCCGATGTAGCCGCGAGCAAATAGTCTACAGTCTCGTTAAATGAGAATCAAGCACGTTTAATCCCAAGCCCACCTGGCACTATCAATGGTCCGTGGATAATCGTTGGCCCATACACGGAAAGGTGCGCCGTATTGGTAGAAGCCGGGGTATCGAGTTCTCATCTCAACACCGTAGTGATAACTGAGCCTTTTGTCAGAAGCCGTCCATCAGAGTACGCGACAAACTCACAGCTCATCGTAACCACCAGGCGAGACCTGAGCGAGTTCAAGATCGGGATTGTCGAGGACAGGCTTCCAGTCACGGAGAAACGCAAGAGACCCTGTCGCCTGGAATGATGCATTTTGGATCTTATCCCACGGTCAGTCTATCTTCCCTGTAGTCATGGAGCAAGGCTACCTTGTTGTACAGAGTCACCCAGCCATTGTATGCACCCGGATCTGGGTATCGACTTCCATGACGAGTGATATAAACTGCTTGGTCGACCTTGCACTTATCCGGAATTGTCGCTGATATGCCGAAGACATTTGGACCTAAAATGTCAATTACTGTCTCGGAATACGGCTTCGAGAGCAGTCGTCAAGGCACGAACCTTCAAACCAAGGGCTATTCGCACCAAGGTGTTCGAGGGGTCCGAATGCGGTGTTGCTCGGACTTGGAGTGTCCGGGAGGCCAGAACCAGGACCGGAACCAGGATAGGGATGCGACCAACTCCAATCCTGGGAAGCGTCGCCAAATGTTCCAGTGGTCCTTGCAGTTGCAACAGCAAATAGGGCTGACGTGACCAGGACGGACTTCATTTTCGATCTCTTGCGGACTCGTCGACAGAGTTGAGTTTGACTGGAACAAAGGGGGCGTAGAGGTCAGGTACTCGTCGAATGGCGAACCCGGCCACATATACGTTGGAAGGCCCTGGCATCATTCCCTAAGCAGCCTCATCTCGGAGGTGAGCAGAAGCGAAGGAATCCACTGCTGGCGATGCGTAGAAACAACTTCCTGATAAACGGCCACCTCCCGGTAGCAAACAGATTCAGCATGCTTTAGGAATGCTTACTTCGCTTCGGTAATACAAATCTCAAGAGCGTAAGGTATCATTAAAGTTTGCGTGTGAAATTGGTGTTGCTGATTGGGGAGAAGAAGCTAGAAGAAAGAAGACACACGTTCCAGGCAAGAGGGCGACGATTTGTCCATCTCACATCGCTAATTTTGTGGTCCAGTATATACTCCGCACATCCACCTATAACTATTCTAATTACACTACCGTGTAACGGTGTTGAATCTGAAGCACGGAGGGGTGCACGTGGTGAGGTGAATAATAGGTACTATCACTGTAATTTAGGGACAAGCCCTATCTAGCCCTTTCCCGTCACCACTAAGCTTACGGGATACGAAGCATACTTGGGGCCTGTAAGCCTGTGAAGGACCTGGATATTTAGGCGATGCTAGGTTAATTTAGGCTTATATTTGACTCGCTTTCATTAGTAACAATTGGGAACTCTATCATTACACAATTTGAGGCAAACCTCCGTATTTCAGAATTTGATGTACTTACAGGTGCTGAGACAACTTGTGGAGTATATTCCGTACTACGTTGAGTACCAGAAGAAAAACTCCACATTCACGTCCGTCCTTGAGCACAAATATCTTGTACTCCATTCGAAGCATGTCCAAATTCTCCATCATAACTTCAAATGATGCAGCAACTGGGGATCAGGATCATGCGGTAGATCAAACAAACCCGACCAGGACCGGGTTGTGATCAGAGTGCGGATTTCTGTCAGGCTGGACGAAAAAAGCCGAGTCGTAGGTCCAACTGGTTGCAGACAAGCTGACGGAGCTCGAGGAGCGATAGCTATATCTCAAGTCAGCATCCAAGTCCTAAGGGCACAATTGGCACGCCGTCGTGAACCCATAGAACTTTATCCACGACCTCGCAGGAGTTGGACGCCGCTGGTACATCGCACGGGTTGGCAGTCGGCCCAGCACCAGGATGCACGCCTCTGTTGACGAGCTCGACATAGGTGTCAGAGAAGCCGGCTCCGGTTAGGAGTTTCAAGCTGACCTCATCGTTGGTCCAGCGATCATTGGTATCGCCCTCTCTGATAACCCCTTGCCCAGTTGAGTGGACAAGATGTAGGACAAGACCTGTTCGATATCACCTCGTCGTGCGTTGCCGTCTCCAGTCTTAGAGCTAAGGACAAAGAATGTCGGCCACAGGGGGGCGAAAAGTCGATGTGCACTACTCACCTGCGTCGGAATGGAGGTTAAAGAGATCATTCGAGGTCATTGCCGTCAGCTGTAACCGCATCATGGTGAAGCCCTGGGGCGTCAAGCAAACACCATGGTTGATATCGCACTGACTAATCCCGACACTGCTCAGGGACCACAGCCTGCTTAACTGCTCATTTCCTTGCCCTATGATGCACCGACACCCTACTACACTACCGGCCAAAGTAAGCAGAGCAATGAGGACATAACATAAGGGCAGGAACTCTATCAGGTCCCCCTAAGGCCCGTCCGAAATATATGCCTGATGGAGAGATAAGTATCAAAGCGAATCGCTTGGATCCGATTCGGCACCCGGTTTGTTTGCCCAAAGAGCGCCCTTGGGTGATCACTGGTGCTCAGCCAAGCGCTCAGTGATAACTAAGATCTAAGAAGCCTTTGCTTACCCTCTAAAACCAAACCGTACAGAGCAACTATATTCTTCGTTCTCGAGTAATAGCGGTACTTGATAGAAGATGCAATTCAAGTGCTTTGGCCGAGAGATCTTTGGTGGATGATAGGGAGACATTGGGCGGAACTCCTCAGCGGCATGGGCGAGCCTGGGGCGTGGAGAACGGGCAATGATAAGAAACCTGAGAAAGGCCTTCCCCGCCCATCCGTCTGGGCGTTGATCACTCTTGACTCTTGAGGGTTCGACCTTTGACTGACCACGTAAGTAACCAGCTAAGTTAACTAGGTGGGGATCAAGATAACGTCCATCCAAGTCTCCCCAACTGCAGGTTATTAACGTGTTTCTCAACTACCGACAATCTGGAAAATTTCACAGTCCTAGCATGCCACTCGCAACAGCTCGCTGTTGCCAACATCCCTTTCTAATACTAACACCTGCTTTATGCGCTGTATCATCGTTTTAAGCCGTCGCAAGCCATCAATATCTGTCAATCATGAGTTTAGATGGGCAAAATACCCAGAGGAAGCATAGGCACAGCAAAGCCTGTACGCGTTGTCGGAAACGCAAAATTCGGGTAAGAATCTTTTGACCGCGCGCATGTAACCAAGGAAGAGCACTGCTGAGCATGTTTGCCTAGTGTGACTTCCGGTACCCGACATGCGGCGCTTGTTCCTCCGCTGGAGCAACATGTTTAGGCTTTGATTCCATCCAGGGAGTTGAGAGGCCTCGAAGTACCATTTCACATCTCGAACAAGAAGTCGCACGCCTGGAGACCGAGTTGGCTGCGATTCAGAGCCAGACGAAAACCGATCTTGATGTAGCAATTGAGGCTACAGAACAGCTTTCCACACGGTTGGCAGCCGCGATTGTAATGCCGCATCGCAATTTCCGCAACCAAGAACCGCTGCTTCCCCTGACATCGAAGTTTTTTCTTTCTGGCTCTCCTGAGCCATATCTTAGCAGCCCGGCAATCGATTCTCGTGCGCTGACTCAAAATAATGAGATTTCTGCGACGACTAACAAGCTTTCATCCATTCCTCGCCATGCCGTTGACACGATGTTGAAACACTATTGCGAGATCTACCGTCCTTTATATCCAGCCATTGAGGAAATGGACTTGTTCAATGCATCCGACAGAGTTTATAACAATACAGAGCCTTCAGCATTCGATATCTTCTGCGTGCACATCACTTTAGCAATTAGTGTCTGAGATCTCGACTTCCCAAATACCTAGTGGTCTGCTGACGATCGAGCAGATGCAAACGCTCATGTACACCGACGAACGGCGGGCAACTTCGGCTTCATATGGATTTTGGTCAACCGCTGTGGATGCGCTTGGACAAGCTGGACCGTTTGACCCATGGGAAAGATTGCAAGCTTTACAGCTACTTACCCATTACGCTTTCACGAATCCTAAACATGCTGATTGCAGTAAATGTGCTGCGGCAGCAACAAGATTGTGCCTTCAGCTTGGGTTGCAGCACGCTTTGCCGAGCTCGGTGCAAGACAATCTCGACGCCGGTACGTTGAGGAATCGGAAGAGGCTTTTCTGGAATTCCTACAACATTGACTGGTATGATCGCGTGCCGTTCCACTGCTCCTTACTGCAGTTGCTGATGAGCTGGCTAGTGCAGTGCACACTGTTCAGTGTCGACCCTTCGTATGGCCGAAAAGTGTATCCATAGGACAGGTAAGTGTTGCTTGGTAAGACGGGCAAAGGCTAAACAGAGCCAGTTCTCAGAGACAGACTCACAGTCAGCCACAAGTCGCCAGTTCTGCCTATTAAGAGAGCTTGAGTCTGATGTTACTCGAGGAATGTATTATCCAAACATCCACTTTGATGACATACCAAGAGATCATTCGTTTATCGAGTGGTTCACTCAGTTGCAACAACGACTAGATGAATGGTATCAGACGACACGGCAGAGTATCAACCTTGGAGAGAAGATTGAATTTCACGAATTATTATTTCAGTGTCAGGTCTTGAGGCTCAACCGGCCATCACCCTGCTGTCCTCAGCCAACCAAGGAAATGCGCAAAAAGGCATTGCAGGCGTCAATTGCTGTACTGAAAGAACTTGGCATTATTGAGCGCATGGGAAAATTGTTCAACATCTGGCATGCTGGATACTATCTTATTGAGGCGGTAATCTGCCTTCTTGGGACTGTGCTAACGGAGATGGGCTCTCAGCGTGATGCTCATATCACTTTAGATGGTGAAGACATCCCCATTTTGTGCAGATATGTTCAGACAGCGCCCGCGCTCCTCAAGAAAATATCGCGTCGATGGCCAAACATAGCTGTCCATGCCTCCGCTATTGAAGCTTTATCGCGTGCTGTCATTGATGCACTGCACTTATGGTCAAAGTCAGACTCAGTGGAACATGTCGAAATCACAGCCCTGAAATTACAGCTGAATCAATTTTCGCTCTTTTCGCCATTGCCAAAAGAGACAGAATCTTCTGCTCAAACCTATATTCCTTCCGGAACACCAGAGCTTTATGAGGCACCATCGGGAAATCCAGTGTCTGGAAGTGTCAACCCGCCTTTCGACCACCTTGATCTACAAGTTCCTGAAGTTATAGCAGCACCAAACAATGATTGTGCACTCTCAAACTTGGTGCAGGACCAAGCATCTTCTATGATACCCGGCCCCTATGATTTCGACATGGGCTCTGATCTTCTCTGGGACTTTGATGGAATCGACACAGAAGAAATACTTGCAGCGTTTCTTGAAGTAGAGACTTGATATACGCTCTGGATCATCTTTACTAACATGACTGGAATCAAAAACTCTGCGAGTTACAATTCTTATCTGCTGATTCATGGACGTTTCTCTTGGCCTCTGGCAAGTAGCGAAACGAGATTCAACGCACAAAGCTTCATGCATGTTTGGATGTCCATGCAATCAATGATCGAAAAGAGACACTACATGTGTGCATCCCCTTGTCATTTGCAATATCGAAGCTTACCACAAGGCGGTTTCAATTTACTCCGCAATGTTGGCTAAGTGATCTTCTTCTCAGAACAAGGTTTGACACTCTGAGAAGTCCTTACAGCCAATGTTTCCCGAGACCTAAAGCCACAATGTGACGGCTTTCAGCGTTTTCGACATTGACCTACCCGAGGCCTGGTGAGGACCTAGATCGATACCAGATATCTTGATGCTACCGAATCAACAAGCCCGCGGGGTTGAGCGCAGGTCTGGCCGTTAGAGACGCGAAAATGCGAAGGCTAATCAGTCTAGACGTTTCCAGGAGTCCGCAATACTCACCTAGACGAAAAGCTTATCATCTCCCCATATTCTGTACTTGATGTGGGCTAGATAGTTGTGGGGTCGTTCTAGACTTCTCAATCTAGGAAATCTATCACGACTGCATTCTCAGCGAAACGATATAAATGGTCATATACTCCTGCAGCTGACTATTCTTCTTTCTGCCTCTTCTAATTCAACCGTCACCATTTCACTCTATAGTTAGCTCATCGAAAAACATATCTTCGGTCATGGCTTTCGAGATTCTAGGCATTCCAGCCTTTCGCCTGAGCTCGCCATGGTGGCAAAAGTGAGCTTCAACCGTCAGCTCCTGAGAATGAGAATCACATCCAACATCTGACTTTTTTGTATAGTTTCATCATGGGTACCATAATTGGTCTGACCGCCGGTCTCTACCAGGCTCTCAATCTCCTTGGAGCTGGTGGTGGACATCCCAACTCGTTCCAAACTGTGCAGGTAGTCAATGCTACACTCTGCGCTGTCTTTGCTATCTCATCCGCATTTGGGGGCAGTGTATTGAACACCATTGGTCCTGTGATTACAACGATCCTTGGTATCATCGGATATGCTATGTATGTGGCAGGTCTCTGGTACTTTGACAAGACGAGCAATGATTGGTTTCCCATACTTGGTGGTGTTGCTATTGGAGTAAGCACTCTCCTTTAACGATAAATACATGGCTTTTATCTTCCGCTAACATTTACAAAGATTTCTGCCGGCCTCATTTTTGTTGTAATGGGTTCAATTGCAATGTCTTACTCTGAGGAAGAAGAGCGAGGGTCCTTCATAGCCATTTCGATTAACCTACAGGCAGCAGGTTGTGCCGTTGGAGATTTCATCGCCCTACTCATCAATCGCAATTCTCGAGATGCTGCTGGCGTACCCGTGGCGGTGTATATCATTATCATTGCCATGATGGGATTTGGTTGCCTTCTTGCCCTGACTTTACGACCAGCTTCGCGAGTGATCCGAGATGATGGTACTCAGGTTGCCACGGTACAAGCACGAGGCTACCTTGAAGAATTGAAGGCCAACATTGAAATCTTCAAGGACTGGAAACTCATGCTCATGATCCCCGCTTTCCTGCCATCGGAGTGCTTCTTGGTCTACACTGGGTCTGTCAATGCCTATCACAACAACTTGAGGACAAGAACTCTTCTGTCCTTCTGCGCGGTCGCACTTCAAATTCCTACGGGCTATGGGCTTCAGAAGATCTTGGATCACAAGGCGTGGACCCGTCGTACAAGAGCCCTCCTAGGTCTCGCGGCAGTAAGTGTACCACTGTTGACTGCCTGGATATGGGAAATCGTTCGCACTCGTCACTACAACCGTATGAGTCCGCCCAGTCCAATGGATTGGACTGACGGCAACTTTGCGCCCACTTTCATCCTCTTCTGTCTCAACTGGATTGCGAGTATTTTGATGCAATGCATCATACTTTACTTCCTGAGCTGTATGACAAATTCCCCAACGAAAGCTGCAAACTATGCGGTAAGTGAAATGCCTACACCCAGCCTGACAGCACTTATTTTCCGGTGAATCTAACGGTGGTCAATTACTCAGGGTGTGTATCGTGGATTCCTCGCCGCCGGTGAAGCAATATGCTTCGGACTCGATTCAATCGCTGTGCCCTATCTCAAAGAGTCGGGCGTGATCTTCGCCTTCTATGCCACCGGCGTGCTGGTGTTTCTCTACCTCGCCACATATCACATTAGTGAAACCCAATACTTGACTGGGGAAGAAGGTGTGGTTGTTCCGGTGCATGTCATTGAGGAGCTAGAGCTCGCTGGCAAACATGCTGTGGTCGATGAAAGCTCTGATCCCAAAGCAGAGCCCAAAGCTTCCTCGAATGAGATCCAGCAGGCATAAGCGAATCTCGAAGAGGTCGAGGACGAAGAATCATGCCTCGGTCAGACTGCTGTGGTATCTGCATGTTGGGCTGCAAATGCTGAGCCTGGGCCACTGGGACGAAGTTTGCAGGCCTCGAGGGGAAGAGCCTTCATCGCACTATGCATCTGCACGGGCAACTTTTCTATGCAAGATCTAGGATTACTATGCTTCACTGTTTGTCTGGCTCTGGTATCAACCCTTATGCAGTGACACTTCAGATCCTCAGGATCGATGTGATACAGACCAATTGGACCCATTTCACAACCAATTCCAAAATCCTGAGTCATGCAAGTACCATGGGCTTTAGCATTTATCGGCCATGCGTGCCACTGTGCATCATAATTACAAATCAATTGTCCATTATTCACAGACATCACGATACCTGATTGTCCTGACTAGTATATTGATACTTTTCCTGACTTTGCCGGGCTTCCATCTCGAATTCATAAGATCTCGCAGCGTTGAAGAACTATCACTCCCCGGAAAAAACAGGAAAATGGTCTGCCGGATGAGTAGCATGTCTAAAGCATACTTGACTAAGCCATATCCTATCAATTGTCTTCATAAGCTACTTTGTCACCCTAGGACGTTGTACTGCCTACTGCGTGCGCTCATGACGGAGGGAACAGGTGGGTCCGGTTAGGGTGTTGGGCGACGGACTTCGCCTTGTGGGCGCTTGTCGCGCTAGGGGAGTTGCGCAAACGTTATCCACTCCGCGGAGCATTTTTCAACGTTATTCGATGCTTCGATGGCCAAATTGGACGGACTACAAAGTAGTCATAGACTCTTAGGCACCATAGATACAGGAGCGGCGGGGTTTCAGTCTTGGTTGACATGACAGATCTTTTGAGTGTAATGACTACCTAGGTACTAAGTTGAACGTCATGATTGTTGCTTTCCACGAATGAATCTAATAGGGTAAGCGCTATTGTTTCCCGATTTCGATCGGAGTCAAGGTGTTCCACTTCGGACGAGAGCGTGGAAATGTCCGCCAGCCTCAATACCACATGGCCCCATTCTCGCGTTCTTCGAACTAATCCGCTAAGCTGACGAGGCCACCGTCTTCTCGGGAGCAGCGGCCAAGTACTGTGGACTGTAGGAATAGTCCGTATACCCGACGGAGCTCATCTTGGTATAAAATGTTGCACGGTCATAGGGGTTCGGCGAGATGCCCTGACAGATCCTGTACGGCAGGTCCGGAGTGCTGATGTAATACCGTCCAAATGCCACACACAAGTCGCGGTCTCGGTGAAGCTCCTCGGTGACAATCTTTGCCGTCGCGGGCGTGAATCCGCCGGCGAGGATGATCGGGGCCTGCGATCCCCAGATCTCAATGAATGGGTCGTTGCGTCTCGTCAGAGCATCGTACGCTGCCGTTGCCGCATCCCCGGCGTACCTGCTCTCGACGAGGTGCAGGTAGGCGAGGTCGAGCTTCTTTAACTCGGATATTATGTAGGAGAACTGCGGTATGGGGTCAACTGCGTCGGTCGCCCCGCCAGTGAATTCTGACCATGGCGACAAGCGCATTGCGACCTTCTTGCTGTCGTTACCGACTGCGGCGATGATAGCTTTGGTGACTTCAAGCCCGAAACGGGAGCGGTTCTCAATACCACCACCATACCTATCTGTTCGGCAATTGCTTGCTTCTTGCAAAAACTGGTCGACAAGGTATCCGTTTGCGCCGTGGATTTCAACCCCGTCGAATCCAGCAGCAATGGCGTTCTTTGCTGCAGAAGCGTAATCATCAATGAATAGCTGTATTTCATCGACAGACAAGGCATGAGGAATCGGGGACAGAGTGGCTTCCCCTAATTGCGCATTGGGGAGAGGCGCTTGGTTCGGAAGAGGTACTGCACTCGCACTGACAAGTGGATAGGGGCCACCTTCTGCGTGTTTGAGAAGTTCGGGGTCAGACCGTTTTCCGAGAGCCCATAACTGAAGGAAAATGAAACACTTCTTAGCATGGACGGCTTTGGTAACGGTTTTCCAAGCATTTATGTGCTCAGGACTCCAGATCCCTGGCACATTGGCTATTCCAGAGGCCCGTGGACTGACCAGGGTGGCCTCGGCGATAATCAGAGTGCCTGGCGTTGAAGCCCGCTGAGCGTAGTAATCTCTCACGTCTGATATGGGAACGTGTTCATCATCCGCACGGAAGCGTGTCAGTGGTGCCATGACAATGCGATGGTTGAGCTCGACATTTCCTAGCTTTAGAGGGCGGAAGAGTTGTTCGCGAGACATAATGTTGAGGACGGTAACATGCGAGTTAGTAATTTGGATGCTTCTGATTGCTGCTGTAAGCTGTGGGTACTGCAATCTTTTCAGACATCGAGAATTTTAAGGGGCGCACTTATCTTATAGTTCCATACGTAACGTATTGGCATTAATGCATTTCCCGAGGCTTACAAATCCCAAACTGAAATGGATGCATAGAGCGCAGTCTATGGCATTCCGACTCATCAAAAGGTCGAGTATTGAAGCGGGACCGGAGGCGATGAAAGATTTCTGGGCCTTGCCAAACCACAGTATAATTCTGACCTGGAAAGCCCCCTAGGCGTGCGGCGGTAAGGTCTCGTTCTCAGCAGATAGGGAGTGAAATCGCCTCATAATGTCTCTGCTGAACCGTTGCGGCTACTGTGCCTCTCTAGACCATACTATCGAAGATTGTTAGGACTTTCTGTCCGACTCTAATGGTCACTTGCTCACGGTATCAGATGCAGACCCAGACTTCGACCATGAAACACCACAATACAGATCTTTGACTTGGGTGATGGGTATGGCTCAATGTAAATACTGCAGGTCCGTCTATCACTTATGGCCGGAGTGTGCCCAGCGGTGCTGTCGAATTCAAACCCAGACGCATACATTACGAGGCATAAGAGAACCCTTACCTCCTTCGATGATTGGCGACTTGAGGAGTTTGATTGCTCAAGCGGAAATTCAACAAGCGGAATGGATGTCTGGGAGCAGAGCGAGAGCAGCCCGATGATTTAATGGGCTGAATGATCATAGCGATCTCCCGCTCAGCCAAGTGCGCCTCGGTATCAGTTAGTGTTTCAGGGTCCTGAGATGACAGGGAATTCTTTACAGAAATGATCAACAGGAATTCCATCGCTGATACACCGCGTTGGCACGTTTGGCCGATATAATTCAAGGCCTCGCCTTCGCATGAGATTAAATTGACCCTACCATTCCTGAAGGTAGCATCCTTCTGCTGTAGTGTACGATGGAGACCATGTGGAATGACAGTATTTGTAGTACTCGCTGTCCATGTCACCACTGAGCGCGCTTCTCCACGTTGCAATATCATGTACTTAGTAGCCCGACAATAATTCTGCCGTCGATTCGCTTATCATATCACAATGGAGGTACGATTCATCCTCTCAGGTCAAATTGCAAAACCATCTATTGGACATCCTCGAAGACTCCACGTCAACCACGCAACGAGGGTTGCAAGGACGGCGGATGGCAAGGCGACCACTGGCACGGCAAGACCGAGCATGCCCAAACTTGTCAAACTAGCAAAAATTCCAGCTGCAGGTGTGAAGCCTCCATACATCCACCCCTGAAAAGCAGCGGCCATAGAGCCTGAAGTTTCCAATAGTGGTTAGGTGCAAATTGGACAATAAATGCGTGATGCATTGAAGGTGCGTGGGTGATTTGCTTACCTGCAACAACTCCCGCAGGCCCGAACCCCAGCGACAAAAGAAACCAGGATATCAGAGTAAAAGTGATAGCCCAGGCGAGGATGGGATACAGTGTGCCTGTAGATTTGTCAAAAGGACGAGCTTCCTCCAGGCACTACGGCTGTCAGCCGTTGAGACGACATACACGGTCTTTCTAGTGTTTCGGCTAGCCATGCCCAAAAGCCCTGTGATGGAGTCTCTTGTTCAAGAGTTACTAGGGGCAAAGGGGAAGCAGAGCAAATGTTCACAATTTGAAGCAGAACAAGTGCGGTAGCAATTACGTTCAGCCTCGCGGAACCCATGATTGTGGCACCGAGATGGTAGGAGCCGTGAGATGGTACTTGTTGTGGCTGTTGTAAACACGATTAGGTGTGCAGGAAGAAGTCGATATCTTTATTTCTGAATACCAAACAATGGTTCTTGGATAATTTGTGTGTCCTATTCGAATGTTTCTGAGGCTATCACTGTATGTAGAATCGGAAGGCATCACGTGACATTGATGCCTAATGATCCCTGCCCCATGACGAAGTCAGAGCACCTTGTGATGCGTCAACTCCCTCACGTGCCATTTGGTAGAATCGAAGAAGTGTAACTTCAAGTTTCCAGCTCAATTACAGGCACGTACCTCCAGATATTCTAGAACTCATCGGAAAACACCTGGAAGCTCCCAAAGTGAGATCCCATTATGGATACAGTGTTTCACTAGTAGTGGACTAGTGCGGCATTGGGTTTGGTGGCTCTAGATGACACCCGAGGATTTGGGGAAATCGCGTAACGGTTGCCGGGCGCGACTGCCCATAAACAGACACACATACGCGCTGTCACATTCCCACCTTCAAGGTGGAACAGGATCTCAAATGATACACAACGCTTCAGACTCCAACCTCTATTGATCAGTTTCGTATTCCCAACACCATGCCGCGTATTACAAGAGCTGCTTTGAAGGCTCAAGCCCAAGATCAGGGCCAGGATGACCTTGACGTTCTTCAGCATTTCATCCACGAGGATTCTGATGCCGACCCCGAAATTCCAACCCTGCAAGTGCAAGGTCCCGAAACATCCCTGAACACGAACCAGGATCTCTCGACGGAAAGTCGTGCGGCACTTGCAGACATCACCCTGGAAAATCAATCTACCTCCGACGATGTCTTTACAGATGATAACGTCGCGCCTGTAAAGAAAGCTAAGAGCAAGAGAAAGGGAAAGCAACAGAAGGAAAAGACTGAACCTGTCGCTGAGGACCAGAAAACCACTGAGAACAACGCCGCCCCCATCGTGGAAGAAAAACCACAACTTTCTGAACCCAACAATCCCTCCTTGACAACTGAGAGCGACATCACGAATGACCCAGTGCTTCAGACAGAAAGCAACCTAGAACGATCCTACACCGAACCACTTGATACACCACCACCAGCCGCCTCATCACTCCAAGCAACTACCCCCCTGAAGTCTCAGCTCATCAGTGGCGCACCCAAAACACCCAAATTCAACCCAGCTATTCACGTACCTGAGCCTTCTTCCACGACATCAGTTATAGACACAGTCGAAGACTCATTCATTGCCAAGATCAAGACCCGATCCCCATCCAAAATGCAATCCTACTCGGATGGAAGCAAATCTCCCGATTCATACAATGAGCAAAACATATCCCGAACTCCACGTATTGAAGACTCGGTTGAAGCTATTGATGCGTTGGAAGATGCGATTGAACGGATCTCCCAAGGTCTACCAAGTCTGGATGGTATCAATATCAACTCCCCTGTCAAGTCGGCCAAGAAGAACCCAGCACGGGCAAAACTTGAGCCTGTTGCCCGAGCACCTAACACGTTGAGAAAGTCGGAACGAACGCCTGCAAAAATCCAGGGATCAACTAACACAAGAGCTACTCCTCGTCCTCGTCCTACTAGTCTTGTTGCCCCAACCAACAGACCGACATCAAAAGCTCCTACCACGTTTGCAGTTGCAAAACAACAGAAGAAGTCCATTATCGATGGTTCCAAGGTCAAAGAAGTCGTCTTGCCTCAACCACCATCACTCTCGTTCTCGAACTCACCAGCCAAGACCCAGCCTAATACAACCAAGAAGAGAGTCCCTAGTGCATCGCTTTCCACCAGTAAGCCAGGGTTTGTTCCCACAAAGTCGTCCAAGGCTCCTACGAAACCCACCTTCTCTCTTCCCGGAGAGGTTATCTCCGCGAAACTAAAGGCTCAACGAGAGGAGCGGTTGAAACAGGAGGCAGAAGCCGAGCAAGCAAAGAAGAATTTCAAGGCACGACCTGTGCCTATGAAAATATCTGAACCAAGTGTGAAACCCCGGGAAAACAAATCGAGCCAGGCGAGGTTGAGTATTTATGCTGGGGGAGTCAACAAGGAAAATAACAAGGAAAATATTGAGCCTCCAAAAGTGCTTGCGCGCAAGCCACGTCCGGTGTCTATGATTGAGAAGCCAAAGACGGACACTACGAGAGCCAATTCGGGCGTTCGGAGAACAACCAGTGTTATTGCGAAACCTACCACTTCCAAGGTCCGAGTGTCATCGGTACAATTATCGGCTGGACAAAAATTGAATGTGTCAAAGGATGAAGCGGTGCAGCAGAAAGCCAAGGGCAAGGAAGTCTTTGGGCGGAACAAGGCTGAAATTGAGAGATTGGAGAATGAGAGAAGGGAGAAAGAGGAAGCGGCTCGTAAGGCTCGGGCTGATGCTGCAGAGCGAGGACGACAAGCCAGTCGTGAATGGGCTGAGAAGCAGAAGAGGAAGTTGGCATCGCAAAACGCTGCAAGAGTGAATGCGGGCCAACCCAGTCGAGGCACCTCTACTGCTGTTGCCGCCACCTCTTGATCCTGGCTGATACTCATCGAGCTCTTGTGCGATTGGTTTTTCGGGTTCAAAGCGTCGGAGTTGGTTTTGTGCAATGTTTTGAAACCGGAGAAAAGCGGATTGAGGGACAGGAATGTTTGGCTGCGAGCACCCAACTTGTTCGTCATTCATTCCATCATAAGCATGCCTATCATCAGAGCTACATTCACACAACCATGGCCAGACCTTCGAGGGGCCATCTGGTCGCGTATGTGGATAGGTAGACTCGAGAGTATAGCATACATAGCGTTGAAGCTGGTTGTGCTAGCGCAGACCCAATAAATCATGAATACAGTTGATGGCAATGACGATGGTACTTTCACCCACCATCTTCCGTCTTTTGTTGGACTGGTATTCTTACAAGTGGAACAGGCAATTCAGGATTCTTGTCTTGAGAAGAAGAGTCACCGTCCTCCAAATCACTCTCCCGCTCTGCGGGCATCGGTACCGGCACTTTCACTAATCATAGGTCAGCAACCCCGAAACTGACACATCGCAACGAGCCCAGACAAGAATATAACATCAACAGCAAACAAGAACACATACCAGCAGCCATCCCAATGGCGCGCAACACATTATCCCAATTCGCGAGCACGAGAGCCACGCTCTGCGCGCCGTCGCGCAGCGTGCTGAGTTTCTGCTCGAGCGCCGCGAGCTGCGAGGCCAGTTCGCCGCTCAGGTCGCGCAGTTGCCGTAGATTCTCCAGCTCGGCGCGTTTCGCGGCGATGCGTGTCTGCAGATGTGTCTGTGAGTGCGTGTTGGACGTGGAGAGTGCTGTCGATGTGGTGGCGCCCCCGGTGGAGGGGTGTCGGAGGAGGGATGTGCTGGTTGTGGTGAGTGTGTGGTTGTGGTTGTGGTTGCCCGTTTGGCGGGGTGCGTAGGAGGACATTGATGCTGGTCATCTATCTGGGTGAAGATAGGGCGATTTGGAATGGTGGTGGTGATGACGGGCTGGAGGTGGTCATTTCTTGCTATTATTCTCGTTGGTTCGCTTTACGATTGCATGTGCAGTGATATCGGCGAGGTACGAGTAATGCCGTGGGCGATGGTGAGAGATGCAAGTACTTTAGAAATTAGTCCATTCCTCTTTGGGGCCCGACGCATCCTCGTAAGGATTAGCGCTTCCACACTAAGCCGGGATCGGACAATTGTTTATCTTCCGCATTTGAACGCCTCCAGTAAATAATTCACGAACTCCAACCGAACACCCTTGAAATCAACTCTATCGCCTAGTGACAATTATAATTGTTGAAAAACACAAACAATCCTTGAATCGAGCGAGCTGCGCAACATCTATTTGGCCGAGTGATGAGATTCAAGGATTTCTACATTCGGTGACAGAGACAACGAATTACTGAACGAAAGGCTGGTCATGCGATAGAGTATGGCCAGGCTCAACGACCCCCCTGCGCCGCCACCTGAGAGCATCGATGCCTGTGAGTCCGAAACAAGGCCAACCACGCTGCATGTCCACACGATCGCTGATATTTATCCATAGTAAAACGAAGATTTATCCGTCAAAACCGCGAAATAGCGCGCGCAAACGCAAATCAGTCACAACGAATTCGCAACCTCGAAATCGAGATCTCTCGAATAGCGGCCGACAATCTCACACTACGATGCGAAGTCATTGCAGCACAAGCCGAGGCCGAAAGATGGCGACAAGCGAACATTGTCAATCGTGACCTTTTGGAATGGAAGGGTCGCATGGAACAGGCACTGAAAGAAACATTTTCACTGGTCAGCGAAGTGCCCCAAATTCTCGAAAAGGCTGCAACATCACGCTCAAGAAAGAGTGGGGTGGAAAAGTTGAAAACAACCAGTGAGGCTGAGTGGAAGACCAGGTCGGCGATGAGGGAAGCTTTGGCTAAGGAGAAAAACGACGGCCTTGACGGAAGATTGCCCGGTATAGTGGAAGGGAAACTATACCCCAGGCGGACTCTGGAACCCGCGGACGTGATTGCATTGAGAGACGAAGCAACTGCGCAGGACTCCACCGAGTCACCCGATCTGGGTCCCCCACCGGTCGCACATTTTGACGTGCAAGACCCGATCAAGTTTGACACCTCCAGACAATCCGAGCAAGCAAGTGCAGATGATGTGTCGCAGCTTCCTTCCACACTGGAAAGAAGACGAAGGCGAAGGACAAGTGCCTTGTTACAAGACATGTCGAAAGAAGAGGATTCGGTTGTTGAACAACCTGTCGAGACAACAACCTCTCCACTACTAAAGGCCGGAGCAAAGCGAAAATTGGATGCTTCAGAGCTTGAAGAACCCACCCGACGGCAGTCTAGCGAAAGTGAGGAATTTGTCTTCCAGCGGAGGCAAGACCAAGCCGGCGGTCTGGCCGGAGGAAGGAAGTCATCGAGGTTCGCGCGTCCACCAGGGCGAGAAAACGATCTGGTGAACATAAACCCAACTTTGTCACCCCAGAAAAACGTTGCTGGAAGGAAGATCCTGGCTCCTAAAACGACAAATTCCCCTGCAAAGCGAAAAGTTCAACTGGTTGAAAAGGTTGAAGCCTTGGATGATAGCCGAAAGGACGATATCCGACAAATAGCGAAACCATCCAGGAAAATCAAACTTCCTCCGGCACTCGAGAAACTGGAAAGCTCCTACATTCCCGTACGAGACGAGAGGGACGATCTGCAGCCAAAAACGCCAGCAGCCCTTAGCGAAGATATACTTTCTCCCGTCTCAACCGAGCCATCGGTCCGCAATACACATCAGACGAAATCGGAAGCAGCCGTACTTGACTCCGTAGAAGATGTCCTTAACGGGAGCATCGGTCGGGGTTCTCGTCGAGCAAGACCTGCTATCAGCTACGCCGAACCCAGCCTACGAGACAAGATGAGAAGACCTGGAAAGGAGTTGGTTGGTGCCGTTGAAGGACTGGACAAGCAGCGGGAAACAACATCCTCTCACTCCAGAGGAACCAGTTTGGACCCAGGACGATTTGAAGGCGAGAATGAAAACCAAGTCAGATTGCCAGCCAACTTTAAGCAGGAGCGGAATCCCCTATCGGACAACAGATGGAAGGAGCTTCCTCTCACGAGCAAGAAAGAAGAGCCTGCTAGTCCACTGAGGGACAAAGAGCGCAAAGAGAAGATTCGAGAGAAACCGTCTCATTCTAGCTCAAGAACCGAAACCGCTAGTGTTCCAAACGACAACGCCAGAACGCCTTCATCGTCTTCAATGCCAGCACCCAACCTCATCAACAATGACGGCCTGTACGCTGAAGACCTAAAGAATGCCGTTGAGAGACTCAGTATATTCGACCCGCCCGTGTCCTCTCCGCTGGAAGACTCCAAAGAATACAACGACAAAGACGCAGCAAAAGCAGTCCAAGCGGCAACAAGTTCCAGACGCAGAGTGTCCAATAATGCCACGCCCTCGGCCAACTTACTGAGCAGGAGACATTCAATGCAGCCGTCGTCGTCACTGTCATCCTCGAACCCTAGCGACCCACCAATATCCTCGCACAGCCGAACCTCGCAAAGTGGAACGAATGCCCCCGCCCCGCCACGTCCATCCTCGGCAGCGAGCCTACACAACCACGCGCCTACATCTACCGGCGCGAACAACGGTCTCAAGCGATCGGCCAGCAGCAGTGCCATGTCTTCCACGCGCCACGCCAGGGGAGGGGCTGGAAGCGGAAGTACTGGTGGATCGTCCCGGCAACAGGAACCGCTGGCTTCGACTGCTGGTGCGGGTAGCGAAGATACCAGGGGCGAGAGGACCGCGATGACTAGGCGCAGAAGTCTGATGGTGTAAAGTTTCACCGTTTGTTATCTTGGACACACACACGCACAAAATGTCCGTCTGGATGGTTAGGATCGCTCGTTTCGTTATACAGTACTGGAAGGTTCACTGGCACAGGCACAACCTACCGTACCTTCGTGCGCACTTGTGGGAGATTCAATTTTGTATAGCGAGCGAGTGAGCGCGTAAGGAAAGGGGTGGAGGAAGGGTGGAGGAAGAAGACTAGGTTTCTTAATTAATGACCCTAATGACCAGAATGGTGGCTTTTTCATTGTTCTTTCTCAGTAGAGGGAAGTGGAAGTTCGGCCTGATTGTTTCCCTACCTAGCTACGGTACATACCTAGTCATTGTGGTGTGGCAGTCGCTCTCGCTGCTCTTCTGTTTGTCATTTTTGTAGGTCATGACTTGGGCAGGAAGCGACCGAGCAAGCCTGTGAATTATATTACCTCTTATCCAACAGCATCAGATTTTTTCTTCCCAGATATAATGATCGACACCGTGGCTCGGAGACGGATCTCACGTGCTGCAAGGACTAGAATGTCTTTCTGGAATACCATCAAAGTGTTCGACCACTGGGCCAGGTTCTGATCTGGTCATGGCTCTCCTTGGGGGAAAGAGTCGACTTGAGGACCTTTGCCGCAAGGCCTAAGCTGCGAGTCGTAGTCCATGCAGGCTCTAGAGCGATCTCGAAGCTGGAACGATGCTTACATGAGACCTGATAAGGCCTTTGTTGGATTCCGGTCGATAGTGGTAGATGTCGTTCTTAGATGGGGGGAGACATAAAAAACTCAAGAGGTCGAGTTGATGAGGATTGGTAAGGCGGCTGAAGAAGTGTCTCTGGACTTATGTTTTGTCTTCAAGTAGTAGGTCCATTAGGCTTGTTGTAATCCAGACTCTGGGACATTCCCAGAACGACGTCGTCGAGCTTTTTGACATATTCTCGCATTTCTCTGCGTTTGGCTTTGCGCTTTTCTTCCATGGTCCTGACTTTTTCACTCAAAGCTTCGATTTCGCGTCGTTGTTCCTCCTCACCTCTCCCTATCCCAGGAAGTCGCGAAATCAGCAGATCTATTTGCGCGGCTTTCTGGACAAGATCCTCGGCCAATTCGTGCTGTGCCGCGGAGAATGCTGATGGTTGGACAGGTCGCAGGGGAAAGGGAGCGCGATCGGTGTCTTCTGGGCCAGGCTGGATAGAAGTCACTGGCGTACCATCGGGGTTGGGGGTCTGCGAAGTCCCACCGAGAGCAGGTGGATTGGTGAAAGGATCATTGGGATCAGGGTCCGGAGCGATGATTGGGTGTCGTTGAGAAAGATATGAGATGGTGGAGAAGCACTGGGTGAGTAGTTGGTCATAGCATGTTTGCAGCTGAGTGAGGATGTCGTTAGACATTTGTCCAAGGTACCTGTTCTTCAGGTATGATGGTTGAATTGATGCAGTGAATGGCGCGTTGGTAGGGGATGGGACGTGAAGGTCAGGAAATTGAGAAACCCACGTGATGAGGTGCACAAGGTGGTTTGAGGGAAGGTGGGGGAATCCGGAGAAATTCAGTCAGAATGGCAGGAGTGACAGACAGCGACGGGATGGGCAGCACTCTCGGTGTTGTATGGACGACAGGCGTCTGTTGATACCTAAGTAGCTACCTCAGTACCTGGGTAGACAGCTGAGAGTTTTCTCCACAGGTGCCTCGGAGGAGGAGGACCTCATACGGATCTGCGAGTATGAGGGGGCTGTTTATGCAGCCTTATGAATTAGTCAACGAGCCTCGTGGCAGCCTTGTCATCATCCACTGACATATTCATCTGCATGTGGCGGCCTTTTCCATCTCCATTTCCAATTCCAGAACGCTTTCAGCCCAATTCTTCTACTTTCCATCCCCGACACTACCGTGGCTTTGCTCTTTCTTTCCTCCGTTCTCTTCCTTTCTCACCATCTACCAACCCCTCTCTCCCCAATCAACACTCTCGACTCTTCAAAAGGCATGTTAATCACCATCTGCCATCGTCAGCCCTCGCATCCACCCTCTCAGCGATAGCCCGGCCTCTCCCCCGTTTCCCGCCATCCACTTGTCCCACTTCACACCTTCTTCCCTACACACCAATTTCTCGCGGTGATGCATACCTCGTTCACAGGTAGCACCCGGAAGACACGCCAGGTCAATCTTTCTGGCCGCAATGCTACAAATCCATGGGCTGCACTGAACAAGCCCGGCGCGGCCAAGCCGTCTTCCACAGGTCATGACGCTGTTGCACAGGCCCAGGCCGATCGACTGAAGAGGCAGCAGGATAGAGAAAGGCAGACTGCCTCAAGAAGTATCCAAAGGCTATGGCGCGGTCACGCTGGTCGACGGGAGATCAAGGCAATCTGGAGGAACATGTGGGATACCAACGAACAGAAGAGACTCGGCACCAACCACAAATTGAACTACGAGAGTGTGATCGAGAGTGGTAGTGTCATACCCGAATATCACGATGATACGCAGTTGTCCCACCAGTTATCTCTACTCCTCCGCTTCCAGGAATTCAGACGCGGTGCAGTCAGAGACTTGGAAGACACTTCCCGACTGGTCTACTTCGGTCAAGCACTCCGTCAAACAATCTCACCCTCACAACAGTTAGACCTCACTGCGGCATGGAGACAGAATCTGGCTCGACTGGGATTGGTCGTACTACGCCATCTGAAGACTGTCCCTCAACTTAACTCCGCTACCCTCCCGAGCTCCTATGGCAGCTATTTAATCGCAATTCTTTCCTTTCTTTGTCAAATAATATCTCAGGAAACCTCCGAACAGTCGCCGATCTACTTCGATGCCATCTCTTCCGTTCTAGACACGGCTAGCAATCAATCATGGCGAGATCAAGCCCTTGACTTGACTAATACATTATTGACATCACCACAACCGGGAAGGCGCCAGACCTATTCTGCTTTCGCGAGAATCATCCTGACCCAGCCTATCCTGTCTACTGACTCAAGCATGCTGAGGTCAATTACGGAGACAGTGGATCTCCAAATGTTGTCAGATGCGATTACTGTTCAAGTTCAGAATCTTGGAGATCTTCAACCACGGCCTTTCACCAACGATCAACTCTTGTGGCAGCTAGCATACCTCGTGTGCATAAACAAGTCCCAGAATCGATCAAAATCCGTGCAAGGGTCTTATATCGGAGCACTTTCTGCTCTCCTGGCGTCTTGTGCTCCTGACATCGCAACTCGCTTAGACCTGGTCGATTCGCCCATGTTCGGCGATGCTACCCCGCCTACCGAACCACTACCTCCATTTATTCGTGAAATGCTTCTCAAGATCCCTCAACAAGACTACGTTCGAAGGACATTAGAGGCAATGGGCGACAGCCTCAATACAGGCGGTGGTAGCTTGGGCTCGGACTTTGATGCTGCTAAACGACTCGCAAATTATGCACTGGGCTTGCTGAATGCCTTTCCTTCCAAAGCACAGAACACTCGCATGCTATTGCATCAGGGTACGTTTGCCTTTATTGGCGGTGCCAATATGTCCATTACCCAGTATTTCTGGGCTACTACGCGAAAGACTGGCGTTTTCAGGAAGATTGTTCAGAATCATCGAACTGTGCTATCATTGCTGCGCGAAGCGGCACCGGAGCACAATCAAATTGGCCAAGCTCCCCTCTCACAATCAGAAATCGCTCACTGGCAAGATGAATGGAAGATCACCATATTATTCTTCGAGCTGTACGGTTTTATCCTGAGACTCATGGATGATAGTGAGTTCTTTTCCCTGGCCAAATCTCCATTGGTTGGCACGACTGCCAATTCTTCCACTTCGGTGATATCGAGAAAGGGTGCTCTCCCCTTGGAAGATGTGGCCGTGATGACTACCTTTCTCAAGAATCTAGCATTTTCTCTGTATTGGTATGCTGCTGACTTGGCTGAGACCAATGAGGGCGATGATGAGGCTGATCTATCTGTTCTATTTGGAATGTCTTCCCAGCCACCCGTCAAAACGACCCAAAAGATACAGCAAACTTTGACTGGCAATGGTCTCTCACAAGCATACCTCAAAGGACTCGTGACTGGTCTTCTACGTCAATTGCATGAAATCGATTCGAGACAACCTTTTGTTCCAGCTGATCACTGGTTGATGACGGATCAAGTCAACATGACTGGGTTCATTCCCGCAGTTGTGGCAGAAGAAGAGAAACGGCACGAACTTGTTGGTGATGATGAGCAGGAAGAAGAGCAAGATTTTGCCGATGTTGACTCTGACGGGGCTGACGCGTCGATGGGGTCGGGTGCGTCAGGGGCATTGTTGAGTACTATGTTTGGTATTCGTCAACCTCATGTGCCACGAAGTCGAGCCTCACGACAGGCTGATTTACTGGAGCGCCAACGACTCCAGGCAAGACGCAAACGGCAGATTGAGTCTGTCGCACCACGTTTGGAGATACTCCGCAACTTACCATTCTTCATACCCTTTGAAACGAGAGTTCAGATCTTTCGTGAGTTTATTTTCCGAGATCAAATCCGACGACGAGACGGGGCGGTCGATCCAGATACGTGGCGAATGTCTGTTGCCGCCAACTCACAAGGGCGGGATATTGATGGCAGACGCCGGGGACTAGATATCCTCAGTCGCCATCATGCGCAAATTCATCGAGAGAGTGTCTTCGAGGACGCCTACGAGGCATTCTATCCCCTTGGAGAGGCTCTCAAAGAGCCTATACAAATTACGTTTATCGACCAGTTTGGTGCACAAGAAGCTGGAATCGACGGCGGAGGTGTCACCAAAGAATTTCTCATGAGTGTTACAAGCGAAGCATTTGACCCGGACACTAGTTTAAGCATGTTCAAAGAAAACAGCCAGCGGTTTCTGTTCCCCAATCCCTTGATATATGAGGAATCTTCGAGACATCTGAAGAAATTGGGCAGGAAACCCCACACAGAAGGCTATACTCGTCCGATGAATGAATTTCTTCGCCGTTTCCAGTTTTTGGGTCGGGTTGTGGGCAAATGCCTGTACGAAGGCATTCTCATCGATGTCAGTTTTGCAGGCTTCTTCCTACTCAAGTGGGCTTTGACTGGAGGATCTACGGTCGGGTCCACTGAAACTGCATACCGTCCCACTATCAATGATGTTCGAGAATATGACGAAGAGCTCTATCAAGGTCTTCTAAAGCTCAAAAACTACCCTGGTGATGTGGAGAGTGATTTCGGACTGGACTTTACCGTCACAGATACGTTTAATGTCATGGATGTCGACGGACAAGAAGCCCTGGAGACGGTGACCACTGAGCTCAAGCCCAAGGGTGCCAACTTTCCAGTGACTAACATCAGTCGGTTTGACTATATCAACCGCATTGTTAGGAGGAAACTGCTTGAACAGCCAAAAGTGGTTACCGACGCGTTTCTCTCGGGTCTTGGACAAATCATTCAACCATCATGGCTTGCGATGTTTAATCAGAAAGAGTTACAAAAGCTTGTAGGAGGCGACAGTTCCGAGCTTGATATTGCAGACCTCCGCCGAAACACACAGTACGGCGGACTCTACCAGATTGGGGACGATGGATTGGAGCATCCAACCGTGCAACTTTTCTGGAAAGCATTACAGGAGATGGACAATGCAGACAGGAGAAAGGTGCTAAAATTTGTGACGAGCACGCCACGGGCGCCACTCCTGGGATTCAGCCATCTTAACCCCAAGTTCAGTATTCGTGATTCGAGTGAGGATCAGGCAAGACTTCCTAGCACAAGCACTTGTGTCAACCTCTTGAAACTACCCCGATATGGAGACATCAAGACGATGAAGGACAAGCTGCTGTATGCGGTTAACTCTGGAGCAGGGTTTGATCTGTCATAAAGGCGAATAGAAAAGATCGGAGAGTTTTGGATGGTTCAAGAGGATTTGGGACGAGTGGTCTCATGAAGCATCATAGATAACGTGTCTTTTCTACAGCGTTGTTTCCTGAAGCGACTATTTTGGCTCTCGTGCACATACTCATTTAATGGCGTACATGTAGATAGCTTGTCCTCCCAGCTGAAACCGGAATAGAGATATCATGTGCACTCGCTTATACTTCGGAGCCGCATCGTTTAAGTAGTGGATCCTTGTAGCCAACAATCTGTGGACCGTACGGACCCGATCGAATGGAGCTATATATTGCTACCAAGACCTCTATACTCCGCCATCACAATCCGCCGTACCGCAATTTACCACTAGTGCAGTTATCAGCTCGATAAGAACTAAAAACCTCAGTGGAGATAGAATGTAGTGCTCAATAATTCGAAGTGGGCGTAGAATATGAAGCCGCAATTGCAAAGGACTGTAGAGTATACTATGAGAAGCAATTACTATATCTCACGTAGCTATTGTATCAACTGGATAAATCAGCAACGATTCAAGACAGTGACACTGGGTCAATTTGGCGAGAACCTGGAGAATTTCCAGTGAATCGGTGCTGGGCACCGACGCGATTAATAAGCTGTTCTTATGTGGTCACCCGATTGGTCAAAGGCATGCTTATGTAGTAGCGCACTCATAACCTGGTAGCTACGAAACCAGAGTGTAGCTCGCGTAGGCTGAAAAAATTGTAAATATGACACAGAACTTGGCTGGCAACATAAGTATGGTAAAGTCACTGACATTGATTGACGTAGATCTATCATCCAGCCTATTCCTGTTTTCTGATAGATATGGCCTCCTTGCTCTTTATAACAATGCAGCATGATGGGACCAATCATGGTCGCATGCATAGCGATATCAACGCTAATGGCCTTAAATCACACGCAACGAGATTTTCTCATGCCAAGAAGAGACAGGAACGACTACAGGAGCTCAAGGCCTCTATAGTACCACTTTCGACGCAGATTGCACAGCGCAGAAAAGCCGCAAAAATCTCAGCATTACAAGATCATCAATCTTCCCGACATGGTTGCTGCGACAGCGAGGTCTCTTCCCCTGGTAAGTCTCAAGTTGAGTAGAGCAAGCTCAGATCTTAAGCAGTGGGAAAGAGAGTAACTAATATCGATCAGAGTTGGGCACGTCGATCCTCCTGCATCAGATTTCTGGCGGCCTCCGACGGGACCCCTTTAGATCACTCCCGTATAATCCTGGAATGTCCATCGGAGGCGATGCGACTGATATCTGTACGCTCCCCTCGTATATTTATATATCCCTGAAACTTGAGACATTTAGGCAAGTCTAATTTCTAATGAGATGATCTACAGACGCCAACGTCATATATGGGCGGCATGCCACAAGCACGAGAATGAGGTCCTACTATAAATTATACTGGTCTCTCGCACTCCATGACGAGACACTTTTTCTAGGTCTCATAACGTACACCGAAGGCTGGACGCAGAGGGTTCTGTATAAGCAATCCTTGCCCTCGTTATATTTCCATCATCTCTACCACCAACTGCTTCGTCGTATCCAAATACGCGTATCGGACGCATCTACAGCGACTAGCAACAACACCATCCTGGTCATTTCCATCCTGATAGCAATTGGCGTGAGGTTCCTGCCCTTGATTGCTATTCCTTCTGGATTGTCTTGTGCTAACCAATTACTTCAATCAGGGTCTGGCCAATGCCTCAATTGAAGAGACCGTGGTTCATTCTACAGCTTTGTGGAGAATGGTCAACCTAAGAGGCGGTCTAAACTCTTTGGCAAGTGAAGGAGGCGTCTTGAAAAATGTGCTCGCCGTTCTGGATTTATGCCGGCCGATTGACAACTACCCAATGGAGCAGTTGGCATCATCACTGCTTCGGCGCCCAAGAGAACTTCACTACCTTTCCCATTCATTCGACAGGCTACTCAGTCCCAAAACCGCATACCTTCCGGGCGGTATACGAGCGCTCATTCTACTGCAGTATATCAATATTGATCTAGCCCACAGTTTAGCAGCCCTACATCTCGTTTTTCAGTCTGATAGAGCCTTAACAGTGGCTGAACTTTCCAGCCTGGCAAAAATCATGGTCTCGATGCGACAGTGCCTAGATCATCTCCTTTCTAGCAACAAGGTTTCTGCAAGTCACGGCCAATCACTGTTCCCATTGTCAATCAACTTCGAGATTGCTATATGTCTCATTCTGATTATGGTGAGCAATAGGATAGGTAACTATCCAGGAAATGAGGAATTGGCCAGAGAGCTTTCGGGAGTTTTGTACGTCATGTGCGACGAGCGTTTCTGGATTTCACCAGAGCCAAGGAGAGAATCGTGGAGACTTGAATATTCGTGCATCGCATGGTTACTCATGATCGCAGCAGAAGCGAGGGATGTAGACGCCAACAGGAGGTTTTGTCAACAGCTAATGGGGTTAGTGTTTGATATAATGGAGAAGATGAGTTTCGGAGATTCTCAACGAAATCTCGACGATGGTTATGCAGTATGGTCTTTCTTCGAAGCTACAATCCTGAAGTATTTCTTATATCCGGTAATCCTGGTTGGACAATACAGGGAGTGCTGGATCAAGTATTGGAGAATCCTCCGGGGAAAAGATTGAATGAAACTCAGCGTTCCGAATAGGTCAGTTTAGATCAGATCGGGGGACGAATCTGATCTGATCCAACCAAAACCGTCTCCTCCGCCTACACCCGCAAAGACTCGACACCACCTAAACCACACCTCATAGGAGATGCCTCGTCGAGGCTGTTAGGCATGGAGAGGTCCAAATGGCGATAATTGCGAGAGTGGAGTGGCTGTGACGCGAGGCATTCGTCGTAATGCCCTCGTGGAGGTCTCTGGTAACGCACTACCAATTCGTGCTCGAAAAAGGTCAAAAAAGACGCAATTTACGTAAGATGCATCTCTGTAGGCGGAATAACTGCCATGACAAGTTTCATGCTTTGCTCTATAGTAATTAAGCGGTGGCATGCATCTGAATTACTTGAATTGCTATCCCCCGAGCCGTTGGCATGTGACGTTTGTAGTCTTGGCGTGACCCCCAACTAAATCGCGTCCTGTAAATTAATGTCAACAAATGCTTCAGAGATGGTTCAACCAACGCGGTCTAGTAGGATTCCTACGCAAAAGTTACCATAGGAGGAATGAGAATCCATCGCTCGTTATCGTAATGCAAAAAAAGTGAGAAAAAAGAGGTGGTTGTGCCGCAAAAACGTGCCGCAAGTCTAAATGCACCTCCAATCATCCACCAATTGGTAAGTGAACCGCCGGCATTATTTACTTCACCAATATTGCTCGACGAGAGTCTATTTATAGCTCATTGGATAGAGCGTGAGTCATTGCATCTATGTCTACGATTTTTGGGTGGCATGTAAAGTCTTATTGAGATTTGTGAGGCGACGAATTTATACGCCGAATATTTCATCGCCCATCGAAAACCTGCTAAAAAGCCACGACCATGGTATCCTCTTTCACTCACAGAACTCATTACTTGGTTTGGAGGGCTCGTCTATATGGCAAACCATACAGAACCGAACCGTGAGGCCTGTTGGAGCCGTTCTTCTGGCGAATTTATGCATAACTTAGGTCGCTGGATATCAGAAATTCGATGGGATCAAATTCATCGCTGTCTGACCTTTAACGCCACGGCACGCACTAACCACACTAAATGGTGGTCTCCAATTGACCCTATAGCTTCTCGAGTGCGTGCCAACTGCAGATTAGCGGCCAAACCGTCAAGTTGGATGGCGGTTGAAGAGGCGATGGTTGCCTTTACAGGGCGCTCCAAACACTGGGTGAATCTACCGTCAAAACCCACACCAAAGGGCTATAAAGTTTGGTGTTTAGCACTTAAAAAAGGCTAAAGTTGGTCCTAACGTTGGTACTCCAAAATCTTAGGTCCTGAGGCCACTAAACAGGGGCGTTAGTTTGATCAAATGGAAGGAATGCCATGGATCCAACATGCCGTGACCTTTCAGGTGCCACAGGACCTTTGCTAGGAGCTTATCGACTACGTGCCAGGGCAGGAACGCGTGGTATTTCTAGATAACCTGTTTGTGACCGTGCAATTAGCGCATACCCTCCTTAAAATCGGTGTTGGCGTAATGGGTACAACACGTAAAAATCGCGACGGTTTTCCGAGATCTCGGAGCCACTTGACGCTGGCGATCTGTACGAGACCGGGATGTAGAATGAGGGCCACTAGAACCAAGCCTCGGACGGCATGGCATGGCCCCAGGACTTGATGCTCCCTTCCAACGCCATCCCCGCAGACACCTAGGTAGGTAGGTAACGTACCTTGTATGGAATGATGCTCTATGAGATGCGTAACGTCGCTTCCTCCATCCAGCCTTGGCTCTCTCTCTCTCTCTCTGGCCACTGCACGCGTTCGGTCAAATCTTCGGTCTAGCATTCCTAAGCTCGCTCTCGCATCTCGCCGCCAGTACTCTGCGGAGGATTTTGCCGGACTAGTACGTAGACGCTTGGGGTCAGCGAAAATTCTCTCCCGCTAAATAACATAACGTCCAATCGACAAATGCCAGCTAGTAGAGTCGTCTGTTTCTCCAGGTTAGAAAAACCAAAAGGAAAAACCAGGACTCACCGGATTGCGAGGGATATGGTCGACGAAAACCACACCGGCGGTAATCCTCTTGATCTTGGAAACACGTTGTGCCACGTACGCCACGATGGCGTTCTCGGTGAGATTCGAACCGGGCCTTAGCACGACATATGCGCGTGGCTGCTCGTCTTCGCCGCTGGTCGGAAGATAACGAGCGCGGTCAGCCCTTGCAGCAAGACAGAGAGAGGGGGGAAGAGGAAGGGGAATTGGAAAACTTACATCTTGGCGCCGATGACCGCTGCGTCCAAGATACTTCTATGGGTACACAATACGGCTTCGAGTTCGGCGGGCGCTACTTGGTTGCCTTTGACCTTGATCAACTCCTGTGCGAGATCATAGAACGTCAGAGTCTCACTCTAGGAAGGACTCTCAGTCATTGAAAATGGGGTGCACGTCTGCAGATGAGATGGTGCTGGCCAGAACACACCTTCTTCCTGTCCACAATGAAGAATTTCTTCTTGTCATCCACGTAAGCAATGTCACCTGTCTTGAGCCAGCCATCTGAGGTGATGGTCGCTTTCGTGGCTTGAGGGTTTCTCCAATATCCTTTCATCACGTTGGGTCCTCGGACCCAAAGTTCGCCTCGTTCATAGCTTTTGGTGATCTCAGTACCGCTCTCGCTCTCTTCCTCGTTCTCGGCGTCAACGAGCATGGCTTCGCAGTTTGCAAATACTTCTCCCACGGACGCCCCCGTGGATTTCTCTCGATCGTCCCACCCCAGCGCCATGGCGGGAAACCTGGTGGAAATTTTGTCAAAATGGGACGTCTGACTCGTCAAGTCACGGATTTCAGGTTTAGCCTGCGAAGTCGGAGAAAAACTTACTCAGACAGCCCCCAAGCCTGCTTGACATTCACTTGGCCATTTTCCCACAACGATTCGAACTCCTTGGTGGCAGCGACAGACAGAGGTGCGGCTCCACAGGCCACCCGTTTGACGCTCGAGAGGTCGACCCCACCGCTGCGCACATACGGGTCCTTCGCCATCCATCTGAGGATAGGGGGCACGAGAAGCAGCTCGGTCACTTTGAAGCGGTCAATGTATTGGACCAATTTTCTCCCGTCGTATCTTTTCATTATATATACCGGAACGTGACGGCCGGGCGAGACCAGCGCACACATAACCAAGCCGAGGCCGTGGTACATAGGCAACGGGCAGATTGTTGTGGCTATGCCAGCCTCGTCCAGCTGTCGGAAACGTGGGTCAAGCCTCTGGTGGTGGATGATCTGGCAGTTGTTGGCGACGATGTTGCGATGCGTGACTTCCACACCTTTGGGCACTCCCGTGGTGCCGGAAGAGTAGAAGAGGAACGCTGTGCGGTTGGCTTGGTCTTCGGTTGAGAAGCCCTCCCATCGAAAGCGCGTCCCTTCCGCTGGACCGGCAAGCAATGAACTCCAGTGCTTTTGTTGTGAGGTACTCAGAGGCCTATTCGGAGCAGCCAGCGGCGTGTCGTCAAAGATGTACACGTAGTCTTGATCGAGACCGACAAGAGATGCTGCCTCGTTTGCGCACTCCATCAAGTCTGTGGCTGTGAGGAGGAACCGAGCGCCCGAGTCTCGTACTTGGTGTGCGAGCTCTTTCGGGACGAACATTGGGTTGGCCATGCTGACAATCCCTCCGGCCATGATGACACCCATCGCCACGACGGGCGTGAAGATGCTGTTGCCGGAATGTAATAGTACGCGGTCACCATCTTGCAAACCCGCTTGGATCAATCCGGCGGCGAGTCTCTTGGACCATTCTCTGTAATCGTGGAGTGTGAGCCGGAGTATCTCGGGAGCTTCACAATCGGCGAAAGCAAGTTTTTCTGGGAGAGGCCCATCGGCCGAGCCGAAGACTTGGGTAGGAATAGATGATAGAGGTACTGGGATCGAGAATCGTGATCGAATCGGCATCGTGGTGCAAAAGGATTTGTAAATATTTCCGAGCTGTAGTGAGCTGTTGTCTCGTATGCGTGCTCCAGACTACTATCGAGAATGTCCTTCAATAAGATATTCCTCACGTCCTTCCAACTCAAGCACCCCAAGACCTGTAAACGCGGCATATAACCGCTCACGAGCTGCGAAGAACAATAAGCCAAGGGATCGCATCCCTGCATGCTAGGCTACTGGTCTAGCTACAAACAACCTCCTTGACTGAGCGCGGCTCCGACCGCGGGAGCGAACTTTGCTCGCCTATATCTGAGGTTCCGCTGCGCCTCCGCCATGTCGGAAGTGGGGCAGCCATTCCTGCGATCATTTAGGCTCATTGGGAACATTTGTTCTTGACGACGCCAGGTTTTTTGAGTCTATCCCAAAATCTCTCCATCACCAAGCTATCCGAATCTACTCAGAAACGAGGTTAAGATGGGACTCCCAAAGGAAGAAGTGATGAGTAGCATCTGGCGGCCGGGGTCATTCGGTAATAAAACGAATCCCTTGCCTTCAAGAGAAGCACTTACAGAGATGTATATACTAATAGTCCATGCGTTGCAACAGATGGGAAAATTGTCTTCGCCACCGGCGGTGCTGGCAGTCTTGTGAGTGTCCAAGTGCGAGCGCTGGTCGAACTCGGTGCCAACGCCTGCATTGTGGGACGCAACGTGGCCAACACAGAACGTGTGGCAACTGAGCTGGCGGCTACTCGACCCGGCGCCAAAGTCCTGGGCCTCGGTGCCGTGGATGTGAGAAAGCCTCAAGATTTGGAAGGGGCTGTAAAGAGATGCGTACAAGCCCTTGGAGGGATCGATTTTGTCATGTACGTTCTGTTCCAAACTGCTATGGTGATATCACGTTGTTTCGCTACTTTGCAGCGAAACGCTCAGCTGACTTTCGCTACCAGAGCTGGAGCAGCGGGCAATTTCCTTGCACCGATCGACCAAACTTCTCACAATGCCTTCAAAGCGGTGGTCGATATCGATCTTTTCGGCTCGTGGAATACGCTCAAGGCCACGGTGCCGGAGCTGACAAAATCTGCGCAGAAGTACAAGAGCGATGGAAAACAAAGTGAGCTCCATCATCTGCTTTAAGAATGACAAGATGCTGAGCGTCTCTTCTTCTCCTCACACAGGTTCCAGCTCTGGCACCGGTGGGCGCATCATCTTCATTAGTTCAACACTGGGTTACACAGGCAACCAATTGATGACCCATGCCGTGGTTGCGAAGGCCGGCGTAGATGCCTTGTCAGTCCAGACCGCCATCGAATATGGCCCACGCGGAATAACATCCAATGTAATTGCGCCCGGTTTTATCCAGGGTACAGAAGGCATGGTTCGGTTGACCGGCAACGGCCAAGATGCTGGTAGAGATATCCCCAGTGGGCGCCTGGGACATGTTAAGGACATTGCCGATGCGACAATCTTTCTCTTCTCTGACGCTGGGAACTATGTCAACGGTGACACCCTAATTGGTGAGTCCAGATCCCGTCCCATATTCAGCCATTCAATCTCGGACAGGGCTGACCACAGTTGGTGGTAAAGTGGATGGAGGTGCGTGGCACACAGCAGCGGTCAACACTAGCAAAGATTTCGCATACCCCGATTTCCTTCTCTCGGGAGAAACGGTAGAGGCATGGAGTACTAAAAGCAGCACAAAACTCTAGAGGGTGGGATCTACGTGGTTGGAGTGTCAGAGACATGTAGAGAGTTGCCGCTCTGTTTGTCCTCGGTAATTTTGGCCACAGAGGAGCGTCGACGAACATCGAGGACACTGGGCCACTCGCATTACATATACGCTCGTTTTCTTAAACAGAACACTTTGTAGTCAAGTTCATTAGCAATCTGATGTTGATTTTTCGGACGCGTCCAACGAGTACACATTCTCCTTAATTGCTCAGGTTTTTGCGGCTGGGAGCGTCGCATACGCCACGTAATATGACAGTGTCACTTTTGGCACGTGCTCTTTTATGTTGGCTCGCTCTACTAGACTGCCCAGCCTTAAGTCCTCTAGGTGTCGAAGTCTGTCGACCAGCAGTCGGACAAGACATCGCCGTAGGAGTGGACCAATTTCTCGGATGCTGCTTGTACCGCCCGGGATCCGCCTACCGTGACATCAAGCATGAGCAGGCCTTTCATTAGAGAGTCGACAGAGTCTCTCCATTGGTCCTCCGCTATCAGACTGAGGCCAAAGCCTACAAAATCTGCTGAGTTATTGCTGTGAAGATTTATCTGCCGTTCAATTGATTGGCGTAATGCAGCCACCATCAATTCGATGCTGAAGTGATATCCGGTCAGCGGGATGTCGGCACTCAGACCGTGGTATAGATTGAACATTTCGAGGGTTGGCTGGCACTGGAGCCGTCGCATAAGTTGGCTTAAGCGCAAGATACCAGTCGACTGGCAAGAATACAGCTTGCGAAACAGGTCGGTCGATATTAGATGCGTGCCGACTTTGGACTTTAAGTTGGCAACCTCGGTGAAAGATGAAAGCCCGAGAGTCCATAAAGCACCCAAGGTAACTAGTACATGCTTGGTCAATACACGACACCAAATAGACCTGACTCAAGAGGCTTACGAATCTGGACCTTGGACTCTGCTGCCAACGTGTCAAATCGCTCGGGAGGAATGTCGCTCAGAGGTTTCATTATCTTGTCCATGCTCTCCATGGCCTCGATTGCTGGTGTGAGTAGACGATAGAGCTCCTCCGCAGGCCCGCAGGCCGACGAGTTAATATCGATCAGCGTCCGCTTCATCCGCATCAGCTGTCTCAACGTAGAAAGAAGTTCAAGGAAGTCCTGTTGCTTAAATGCACAACCATCCACCGCTACCAAAGTGCTTTCCGTGTCATCCATTGAGGGTCGTGACGTCTCTGTTCTCTGATTAGCGAGCCATACCGTCCAGCAATCAAGGCGGCGTACTTACCTGCTATGAAGTCATCTGGTAACTTGCAACGACGATCGCCAGTCAGTGAGCTTACGGTATCTCGTAAATACCCAAAAAATTCCATGAATTGGAGGCTTTTTTCCAACGCCTTGCTGTAGCGCGAACAAGGCCCCAGGGTCTTGGTGTGTTTCCTGAGAAGGGGAGAAAGAGTATGAAGGATGTTGAATGCATCATCAAGAAATGAGGATTTCTGTTGATCCCAGGTGTACGAGTCTTCTGCGGCTGTGGTCGCCTCGAAAAGAATTGTTGCATAGAAAACCCGAAAGCTTCGAACGTTTCGAGCTTTGCCGAGAGCGGCTCTGGCCTGGAGCCAAGATTCGTGGTAAAGTGTAGACATGGCTGAGGTGGACGGGGTTCTCTTCTCAGTCTCAGATGAAGATGCGCCCGGGGGTTCATCTGACATTCCATCCCTGGCCGAAAGCCATTGCATCGTGAAGACCTTGAGGACGTCCTTGAGTGCGGTGTCTGCGGTATTTCTTTCAAACCGGTCGAGCCGATTGCCATAGAGTCCACCAAAATGGTCGAGAAAGCGCACGGCACCAAGCAGCGTCATCCCGTTAGTCGCTTCGGCATCTGGTACACGGCTGGATACCCGCCACGCGCTGTCAGAAGAAGCCGGACCAGAGAGAAACTGGGGATCCAACACCCCGTCGACTAAGTTGCTTGATCGTGCCGAATCTGACGTGGTGATCAACCACAAGTCATTTCCCGGCGCATCCTCAGGAGGTTTTCCCGTGATCGCACTCGTCATCCATCTCGAAGAGTTCCCTGAAATGACAACATTATAGATATGCACGAGGCTTTCTTCGATGATTCCACTCGTCAAAGAGGAGTTGAGAAGAAGCAAGGGCCGCCCCAACGCACCCTGCGAGGAGGTAGTGCTGATGTTGTCCAGGATCCGGCCAGCAGTCGAGAGAGGCTTGTCCGGGGTGCTGTCCACCTCCATATGGAAGTCATGGCTACTGAGGGGATTTACCTGTGGGTTATCAGCCGCAGGGGTAAAGCCCATTGCGCCTAGAAAGACGTCGAACTCATGGTCCAATGTTGCTTTTGGCCAGAGGTCAGGCAAGTCGTTCCCTACTTCCAATATATTTCCCGGAACGATGGGGTCATTTTCGATGCTTGGACCCAAGAACCAGTTTCCATTGTCGCTGGAAACGGTTTTCTGTGCACTTGTCTTTTTGGATAACCTGGCTGACTGGGCCTGGACAAATTTGAAAGTACATTCATGGCCCAATCGGGCACAGTTGGCGCAGATTACTGGAGTATTGTCAGGCCTTGGAGAAGACACCAAACAACGGCGCTTAGAGGCTCGACAATGATCGCAAGATCGGTTCTGACGACGAGCTCGGTCACCAGCCATCTTTAAAGTTGCTGAATCAGTCATTTTAGCTTCACGACGTCCATGAAAGCAGGCGTCAGACACAGGTGGCGGGCAATCTGTCGATGGGTGGTTACTCAAGGGCGAGGTGGGGGGGGGGGGGGGGGGGGACGGAGAGGAGGGGGAGAGTGGGGGAAAGGGGAAAACATAAACG